ACACCTAAGAAAACCCAGACACCTAAGAAAACCCAGACACCTAAGAAAACCCAGACACCTAAGAAAAACCCAGACACCTAAGAAAACCCAGACACCTAAGAAAACCCAGACACCTAAGAAAACCCAGACACCTAAGAAAACCCAGACACCTAAGAAAACCCAGACACCTAAGAAAACCCAGACACCTAAGAAAACCCAGACACCTAAGAAAACCCAGACACCTAAGAAAACCCAGACACCTAAGAAAACCCAGACACCTAAGAAAACCCAGACACCTAAGAAAACCCAGACACCTAAGAAAACCCAGACACCTAAGAAAACCCAGACACCTAAGAAAACCCAGACACCTAAGAAAACCCAGACACCTAAGAAAACCCAGACACCTAAGAAAACCCAGACACCTAAGAAAACCCAGACACCTAAGAAAACCCAGACACCTAAGAAAACCCAGACACCTAAGAAAACCCAGACACCTAAGAAAACCCAGACACCTAAGAAAACCCAGACACCTAAGAAAAGAGGCAGTGTCAAAATGCCTCGTGTACCATCAATATCACAATGCTTTGGAGAGCTTTTGACAGGCCACGAGGAACATCAAGCTTCGCTAAACTCGGTCTGGCGATGAGCGCATTTCTAAGCTCGGGGTTACGAGTAGGCTGAAGTAAATTGCTGTCAATCGCATTTGACGTCTGCATGATTTACTGGGACAAAGCATGGTGCATGCATAATTACTGTACCACAGCCACGCTAATAAACGGGTCCCTCAAACGGCACGAAAACCCAATTGAATAAACAGCAATCAGAACAACAGAGGTGTTTTCTTATGAAAACAGAGCCTTAGGTGTGATCGGTCACTGAATCATGGTTTCACCAATGTAAACGTCTGATATGTGTAGAGGGGTTCCTCAAAGTGCTACTAAAAAATTAAGTAAGTGTAATTCCTCTAGCTACCAGTCGAATTGGGACGGTCAGTGCACACGTTTCTATCCTGAATGGCGAACTTTCCCGAGATCGGACTCTATTGTTCAGGAGTAATCAAGACTTCTAAGCGAGTTTTCTGGGGTTTTAAGCATTCTGTATATTTCACTCCAATACAACATCGTACGAAAGGTTTTGTTTCCACTACTTCAACGACTTTAGATAAACGAGTTGGATTAGGCAAGCAAAGACGTTTCAGTAGGCAGCTATTCTCCATTGGGAGAGCCTGATGTCTTGAAAGCCTCTTGTCTCATCGGCCATGGCCGGTGCAAGGTTCATAGCTGAGCAACATCCATTTAAGAAAATAAAATTTAATAATCCTTTAAAAAACATCTATCTGGAAGTGCTGCGAAGCTAGCTCGCCCGCTCCCTTTGATCTTAAAAATCTAGAAATCGCCTACCTGGATGACAAGAGATGCATACATTCCCACCCAGCCCAGAGCCATTACAACAAGGTGAATCCAGAAAAACGAACCAAATTTGTAAGCAAAGTCGTTGTTTTTTAAGAAACTATTGTCGAGACTAAAATTCTCTGTGTCAGAAATCATCGTGAAAAAGGTAGCCGTAGATCCAACGTTCAGGACTACCCACAACAAAGTCCAAGCCAATCCAAGCTCATATTGCGCAACTGAAAGCCAAGTAAATGCAACAACAGATATAATGGATTGAATGTAAAGATACCTTTTATGGGTAGCGGCTTCCTGGAATGAGCCATAGTAGATTTTGGAAAACCTCAAAGCATTCTTCTGTTCCGCTTCAGACTCATCCCGCCCATCCGTGTCGAAATACAAACCATTCTTCACCCTTCTTTGGGCTTTTTTGAAGGAGCGTTGAACGACATCTTCCCAGCCTTCAGTACTTTTCGCCTCAGTCGAGCTCTTGATTTGGGAGATGACATCACGCACAAGAAGGGGGAGAACTGCGAAGCCATCGCTTTCATAGAAGACTTGCTTGTTCGAATTCTTGTCACTCTTTATCATACCCCATGGATAATAGGAATAGATTACTTCACCAACAGGCAACTCCGAAGGAAGGTACTTTGACACACCTTCCGTAGAGCCCTTATCGTATTTTTCGACTCTGTAAATGAGCTGTTGGATTATCTCAAGCCAAGACAAGTCGGGTTCCTCTGGATATATCTTCACAATGGCAAACGGAAGCTTAACAAAAATTATGGCCGCCGAAAGGCCATTGAGCGCCAACATACCATTCTCGATAAACATGTTGATAATTGACAATTCTGGCAGCTAATGCAGCTTATTTTATACCTCGCTTGAAGGAATAACAGGGCGCTTGTGATACGCGACCGCACGTGTATATGAAGGACTTGTGATGCACGTCAACTGGATAGCTTCAGCCTCCCCTATAAAGTTTGCTGCGGCTCACTAGATTTTGACAGTGACATGACCTGCCTCTGGTTGACGCTTAAGTCAGTTCTGCAAACCGCCAATGTCAACCAACTTAAGACGAGGCATTATTCGCACAGCCCCAAACTTAAGGAGCACCATTACGCAATGGCCCCTCTTAGAGGACAATGATAAGAGAAGTGCAAGATAGACGATTCGTACCACAATAGAGCCAACGAGTCCAAATTTCATGCAGTGTAAATCCATGAAGCAGAGACATAGTCTGAGGTGTGCGGGTTATGGAATAAGCTGACGAGAGGTGTTCAAAGAACCGAATACCCATCAAAAAAAAAAAAAAAAAAAAAATAAAAAAGAATGATCCGGTTGGTCTTCGGGCCACGGGGCAATGAATTTCATCGAGAGTAACTCTTCGAATTTACGCAAGAGAAAATAACCCCTTACCAAAGCTCCTGGCCAGCACTCAGCCCTGCTTGGTTTGCGGCATTTATGCACCCTAAACTATAGCCGAAACGAAGGATGTACGAATCTGGGATCCTCGACGCACACCACATGTGTGGTAGGCCCCTGCGATATTTACTTCAAGATGAGATGTCAAAGTATAACACGGCAGATTGTACGGTGACTTAACGCCCAACTTGTGTGGTCTGTCGTAACGGCTCAATTCTAATTCAACAGCTTGAATCCTCGTTCTTACTAAATTCATTTAATACTATAACCTTACCCAACCACTTTGGACAACCTGGCTTAGAAGACCCAGCCAAAGATCTTGTCATAGAACCACCTAAGATTGATGGGGTTGCCTGCAGCCTCTCTAGCAGCTCTATCTTCTTCATCCTGTGCCTGGAACTTTTCTTCCTGGATGTCAAAGGCCTCCTTGAAGGATGTAAGGTCGATCTCGCTGGCACGAACAAACTTAGTTTTGTACCAAAACTTCCAACCAAGAAACATCACGATAAAAACGGGAAGCATGATGTAACCAGTGATAAAAGTCTCGTAGTCGAAGGGACTACCGAGGAAAACAGTAAAGTTCTTTGCAAAGATCACAAAGATGCAAATGCCGAGGGAGAAGTAAGTTCCAAATGGCTGGATTGGAGAGCGGAACGCTAAATCTCTCTTTCTATCATAGCCTTGTGCCTTCAACGCTCTCATAAAACGAACGTGAACAGTAAGAATACAAGACCAAGCAAGCAAACCATTGAGCGAAACAACGTTTACAAAATGCTGAAACACATCAGCCGAATCTGAAGATGTTGCCATGAAAGCCAAGCAGCCGAATCCAAAGGCGAGAGCAATACCCCAGTATGGCACTCCTCTTCTATCGGTTTTGGAAAAGAACTTGGGGGCATAGCCAGACATTGAGAGACCATAAAGGGTTCTCGAAGCGATGTACATATCAGCAACGGCAGCAGAAGTGACGAAAATCAAGATGCAAGCGTTGATAACATGGTCTAAACCTTGGATCTGAGCATTGAAGATAGCGATCACGAAAGGTGAAGCCGAAGCATTCGTGCCACTAGTGCCCAAAAGCCTAGGATCGTTAGATGGAACGCACATTCCCAAGAATAAGACGTTAAGCACATAAAAGACCACTATACGGTAAAACGTCAACCTGATAGCTTTAGGAATAGCTTTGCGTGGCCTGGCACATTCAGGGAACGTCACACCGACCATTTCACAACTTGAGTATGCAAAGACACTATTTACAAGCACCGAAATGAAAGACACAAATCTTCCAAGATCACCCTCGATGTTTATGCCTCTTTCTGGTTCAGAATAAGCTCTGAAAGCTCCGGGATCTTCCCAATATCTGAAGCCAAGTCTATCTCCAGTAGGGCCACCACCTAAGGCAATGACAAGCAATAAGATGATGAGACCAATACACGTACAGATCTTTACCACACATGTCCAGAACTCAACCTCGCCGAAAAACCGAACACCAAGAATGTTAATTGTGGTGCTCAAGGTCAAAAACACCGCGATCCAGATACCAGGGTTGGCTCTTTCTTCGTCGATCCAGTATTGCATGGTCAAGGAGCCGGCAACCAACTGGTTGGCGGTCACCAACAATTGCAAGAACAAGTAGGTCCATCCACAGGCAAAACCAAGTGCCTCGTCAACGTATCTCTTGCAATAACCAGCAAAGCCGTCTGCCAATGGGATGTGTGTTGCAACCTCTCCCAATCCAGTCAACACCATGTAGACAACAAAGCCGATGGCCGAGTAACTCAAGACAATAGCGGCTGGCCCTGCTAGTCTCAAGGCATTACCGGTACCAATCAACAAGCCCGTTCCCAAGGCGCCACCTATGGCAATCATCGACAAGTGCCTAGCATGCAACACACGCTTCAACTTTTGGTCATCGCCGGCCTGGGACTCTTTAAGAGCCTCACCCGGGTTTAAGGCCTCAGCGGAGACAGAATCCTCGCTGTATATTTGCTTTTCAAAATCTTTCTGCTCCGAACTCATGGCCCCTTACCAAACGACTTTTGCAGCCATTATATACTAGGTGATCTCGATGACGGCCAAGAAATCGATGATAGTGGGGTCCCTACGGCAAATTGAGTAGCATTATGGAGGACCCTTTATCGGCTCTGACATGTTCTTATTTGCGGGTCATCAACAAAGAAGGGAGTTGTGCCAAGCTACGGTAGCAGACTTGGCTCCATCGATGATATTCAGAGTCAGACTTTTCGACTGGGGTTAGAGCGGAGTAGTTTCTCGAAATCCAAGAAAAAGTCAAAAGAAGTTTTAGAGATCGCCGTTTATTTAAAAGTTTCCAATGGAGTACAGTCTGTTTTGCACCTCGCCAGACATCAACACTTTTTTTTTTTTTTTTTTGCCTAAGCCGCGCTTCAGGATCTCGGCACGATGACATGGAGGAACATACTGCACTGAATTAGGCTGAAGATAAGCTGATAAGCTTGGGTTCACGGCTGGGCTTCTCTAGACGCCGCATCGATCTAATGGCCAGTAAAAACGCCGTAAATGGTCAAATAAGCGATATTATTTAGCTTTTCCGTGGATTAAGAACAGTTATAATGCGGTTTTGGTTTGGATAAATTGGGAATATTGGGTGCGTATGTAGTTTGACCGCATTTTTCTCATAATTTGGCAAAAGTAAAGAATTACAATTCTTGCCCTAAAGCAAAAAAACTAGGAAGTAATCTATAAAATGAAATCGTTCTTTCTCTATGCCTCCCTTTGAAACTTTCTTGCTTTCAAGTCTTCTTAATTGTGTCCATTTCGATGAGTTTAGTAAGAAAGATTTTTTTTGGTGGGATTCTCAAGTAATGAGCTTGTTTTTGGTTAGAGATGTAGTTCTCGGCTTGAGTATCAATATGAGTACCCAAGGTCTTGACCAAGTTCAAAGCAGTACCGTTACCTGGCAAGGCAAATTCAATAATGATCTGGGGAAGGACATTGATCGATAATGCTTTTCCTGTGGAGGCAAGAACAATCACAAATGGCAACAAGAAGACTAAGCTCAAAGCAAGTGCAAAGAAGATAGTATAAACAGGCGGAATTAATCGGCAAGGAAGCTATCCACTTTTAGTTTGTCCACCAGAGAGCAAGAATAACGAAGAGTGCCAGGAAGACTACCAAATAATTGTTCAACTTTACGAAGAATGGAATGACAGGTCCATCTGTGCCGATGATATTTAAGTCAAATGTCGTGACAGGATTGAGTCCTACTTCTGTGATCCACCCTGTAGTTGCCACATTGAAGTTTTCGGGAGCGGCCCACGAGATCCAGTTATAGTAGGAAAGGGCGTTGAAAAGAACGTTCGGCACCCAGAAGTATACAAAGGAACAAAAAAGACAGCAAGGAAGGAAACTTATCTTGAAATTTTCCATCCATTAATAGACTCCTTCTTTTCTGGTTTGGTCAAAGCCTTGTTGACTGGCCATGGTAGGAAGCATCGTTGACCAGACGCCGGAAACAAAATCATAAAAAAAGAGAAAAGAAAAAAGAATCATTAGCAGAGAAGTCAAGAAGTCACACGAGAGCTCAATTGACGACTGATTTTGTGATACCAATGATTTTCATACCTCTGACGGCTCGCGGCAGAAGAAGATTTTCTTGCGACATTACTCGCTTACGCATGAGAGCCACACGGTAACGCGGGATGAAAACTGTCATTCACGAAAAACTCGTGCGACTGTTGCTAACATAATTGAAAGAAGACAAAGGTAGTTTTTCATCTTCTCCTTTTTCTTTGTTTAAACTTTGAAGTAAATGCTTATCAGAGAGCCTTATCTTTTCATTGAAGTAAATCCTTCGCTTCGTAGCGATCGCCCTGGATCGCCTGCAATCGAAGCGCTCTTTTTTATCACATCAACTTATCCATTTTGACAGAAAACATTTAGAATGGGAGAAGGGAATTAAGACTCCACATTCATAACGATTTTCTTTAATAATAATAAAAAAAAAAAAAAATTGGAAATCTTCCAGGAAAATTTATCGCTTTGCTATTATTAGTGCCGCATGCAAGGGTGCAAACCCCTTCCGGGTATATCAATTCTGTCATGCATGGACCCGTCATGCACGCTTTTGTCCAATTGACAACCTATTGGGAAAATGACCGCGATGGTTATAGAAAATTTTTCATTCTTCAAATAAAGAAGACTAAAGAAAGGATATTCTTGCTTTTGACTTTTTTGTTCGTATGTAAGCTTCTGGACGATTATTAATCTTCTTTATTGTAAGTATATGTGGTCTAATGGTCTGAACAGACGGATTTAATCATCAAAATTGTTGATGGCACTTGATTCGCTCCTTATAAACTCTCATGTATAACGTGTAAAAATTCCACTGCTTCAGGTGTCTTATACAGCTATCCTACGCTGTCATTTGCCTGTCATTGACCTGCCGTGCATAAGAATGCCATGCGCTTGCACGAGAAATATACGACCACACATAAGCATTACCTAACAGGTTATTAGTCCCCGTACTTCTGTGGCTTATAAAAGCAGGGAGACGCCGGGTTTATTATAAAAAATGGTCAATATTTATCAATTGCATCACCATCAATGAGTTCGACTTTTGCTTATTTTGAAAATGGCACCTTTACCTTTCCATGCGGGCCATCAACTATGGTCGTCAATGCCCTGGCCTTGTTGGACCTGAGCTACGTTATTGCAACAGAAATTTATGCTTGTGGGCGTGTTCAACATTCATGGAGAAATCTTGCTCCTGGAGGTTACACTAAGCTCCATCTCATCTATACCTTTGCGCTGATGGTTTTCGGTATATTTGTCTATAACTGATTTTAGACTAAACTTAGAATATATGTGAATGAATAATATTGAGTGTAAGTGACAGGACTAAAGTCGTCATGAATGATGAGAGAATTTCAATCTGTAGATCTTGAAAAGTATTCGATTGGGTTGCTCAGACAAAAAGTCGGATCCTTATTACATGTCACTTTCTCGATATATCTAGGGACGAGCTCACATCGACAAATACGTCGAGTAGTCCTCCCCTTGAATAATTCTTTGTTTCGCTCTATCATAAATAAATTATTAAGTTGCAGCTCGATAAACGCTGCCACACTTCTGAACACCACGACTTTTAATGGTCAAATCTGAAATCAAGACGCTTGTTGCCCTCGTCAGTTGTAGCGCTGAGATAATCTTCTTGCTCTTCAGCAGTCATGGCATTCCATTTCTCGTCTCTCTTTTTGTTACTGTAGACGTAGTATACTTTCACGAAAAGCAATAATGGAACCAAACAAATCGCAATAATGAAAAGCTGAGTGTTACCTCTCTTGTACTTGGGTCTGTCATCTTCTCTGTAGATGTTGTGAGCACCAATACCACCAACTTGCACGGCCATATTGTACAAGGCAGAACAGACCGATCTTGATCTAATAGAATTAGAGTTTCTGGAAACCCAAGAAACACAAATGGCATGAATGTATGGGGCACCCAAAACCATAGTTACCAAGAACCATGTTACCCAAGGGTCTTCTCCACTTCCCGGCCACCACCTGATTGCAGCTAAGAATGGAACAGATAGTATCGGGAGAGCTAAGCATGTTAAAGCACGTTCGTTGAATACCTCAGATAGCCATGTAATTCCAATCAATGTTATAATATGAATCACCGAAGACGGGATTGTAAGCAAATTGGTGTCGAATCGACTGAAACCAAGCGACTTCATCGAAAGAGTCATGTACGGCCCGATTGTACCGTTTGGAATGTATGCAATGAAACCGATAGCATAAATAGGCCACAAATCATAGTCCCATGCGGCTTTGGCGATCATCTTTAAGGACAAACCTTGTCTGTTGTGCATGTCACCCTTGGATGGGTCGTCTCTCAAAACTCTATTAACCACAATTTTCACTTGTCTGTCTGTAAACCAGCCCTTAGGGTGCAACCAGTTCTTGGTTTGAACAGCAGAAGGAACCATAAGGTAGAAGGCAGTTATACCAATACCCAAAGTAAAGAGTCCCTCGATAATGAAAAGCCATCTCCAACCAGACAAACCAGCAACACCTCTCATACGCAAAACACCAAATGCCAAAAGGGATGTGAAAACTTGACAAAGAGAAAGCGATGTCCAAAACCAAGACAAACGAATAGGCAACTCATTTGATTTATAGAAGTAAGAGAGCCACAAGACCAAATCAGCAATGAAACCACCTTCTAAAGCACCAATGAGGGCTCTGCAAACTAAAAAGCCAGCTCTGTTTTGCAATGCACCCTGACAAGCAGCGACAATAGACCAGGAAATCATCTGAATAGGAATAAAGATATCGGGACCAAGCTTCTTGGAGATAATCTGCGATGGCAATTCTGCCAACAAGAACGCAATAAGGAAGATTGTATTACCCAAGTTATAATCGTTGGTATCCATTCCCAACTCCGGCAACAAGTCATCAACCACAGCTTGTGCTAAGTTACCTCTGTCAATTTGCAAACCGATAAACATAATACACGCACTGAGTGCAACTCTCCAATCCAAAATCCTGAGGACCTTCTTCTCCTCCTCTGGCTCCCATTCAAACTCGGGATCAAAAGCCAGGCGACTCTCATATCTCACTCTCTCGTATAAATCACCATAGTACTTGGCTATAGCAGGATCAGAGAAAGGATTGTCACTGATCGAGTCAGTTTGGGACTCAGTGTCAACCAGCAACACTTGGTACTGTTCATCGTGCTTTTCCTCAGTCTTCGTAGGCACAGTGCCACCCTTCACTTCCAGCTTCTTGAAGATAGCGACGCCCATTTTTGAAGATAGTTCCTAGCGACCATCCTACTATCGAGTGGGAATTCTGTCCCTTTATACTTCCATAACTCCACGCTGGAAAAGGCGGTTAGAAAAGAAATTAAAAAAGGGCTATTTCATACTTGGCATGGCTCCCAAAACAAGCTTTGCTGAGTAAAGTAAGACTTTTTTGGGCTGAATTACGTGAGCTTCTTTAGAATGTGCGTCTTTAGCGAGTAAGAATGGGTGCAAATTGGGTGCAAATTGGGTGCAAATTAGCCGCACACTGGGTAATATTCTGCAACCACAGTTCAGTGTAGCTGTGCCCAGATTGCGATAACCCGGATTTGTGTTGTTACTTTCTGAATTTCTTGCCACGTTTTTGGTCCATCACATACATATTTCTTGTTGATGGGCATTTGACACCTCTATAATTTCTTGTCTACAGCTTTCCCGAGTCTTACAAAGAGATGGTCTAAGAAACAGCACGAAAGCTGTCAAACATGAGCGACAAGCTAGGTACACTGATAACGACTGCCTACAGATCTATAACAGCATACCTTGCATCTACTCCGGGAATAAGCTAAACGGTGGCTACTTTGAGAAGGCAGCCACTCTCCACAGTTAGGATATGCAGTTCTGTGGGACGCCTGCGGCGCCATAGCTGTTGAAGAATTGATATTGAAGGTAAGTTTATCTGACGGAATAAGATAGCTCCATAAAAACTTAATAGCAGTGCCGAGAAAAACACAAAATGACGCCATTCGTGAGTTTTGGTACCATGTTGCTTGTGTGGAACCAAGGGTGAAGAGTTTCACAGTTATATTTGGGAATGGGCGAAGTAATCCCGCCTTATCCTAGTCAATTAATGGTATGTTTGCTTTTATTAGAAGACATCCCCTATTAGGAGTCTAGTGAAGGTTTTGAAAACTCCGATGAAATGGTTTTGTGACTATGTTTCACATCGAGGGCTTCGCAAACCTCTAAGCCGTACCAAAGGAAGAGCGCAGGTAAATAATTTGAAGAATGGTTGCCATGTGTTTGCCTCTTACCAATTTCTAATGATCAGTATGGACATTTTACCTGTAAACTGTAGTTTTGGAGTTCGTGATGCTGAGTTTCGGGTAGTTGTAATTGGACCAGGTCTTCGCTCGCTCAATAAAAGGAGCTGAAGCTGTATGATTATAGAGCAGCAGAAAGCTTAATTAGTTTTGCTTTTTTATTTCTTTTTTTTTTCTTTTTCTTTCTACACTCTTTACCAGCTTTTCTGTAAAGTTGTGGCAACTTGTCCTTCAAGACCTCAAAGAGATGCCCCTGGTAGAGAAAGAAGTGTACTATTTCATTCAGTAATATCAAAGGCCTTCAATGGGCTACTTTTGGCTATATAGAACTGCCTCAGCCTTAGTTCCTCATCCAGCATCTCCTTAATTCTCGCCCCAGAACTCAAGTGGGTTAGCTCCACCGTTGTAAGCGAGGTAGTTTGGTGTTCCTTCTGGAAGACCCTTGATAACTCCCTTAGTGGCATACTTGAGGAACTGAGTCTTGAGATCGCTTGGCTTGATAGTATCTATGCTAAACTCAGAGTTCAGGTCAGGGTGCAAAGAGATGAAGTATGCAAGCAATCCCGACACATGTGGAGCAGCGAAAGAAGTACCACTCTTCTTACTTGGCGACCACAAACGACCCACAGATTCGATTCTTTCACCAGGAGCATGGATATCCACACATGGGCCGTAGTTAGAAAACCAAGTCTTAGTGTCGTTCTTATCAACTGCACCAACAATGATTGCCTTCGTCTTGGGAAGAGAGTAAGAGCACACTTCAATGTCCTTGTTACCGGAAGCTGCAACAACATGTACGCCAACATCGATCAATGCATCCACACCTTTAGTTACCAGCGAAGCAGTAAATCCCTGGATTGACAAATTCAAAACGGAACCTTTGTAGCCCTTTGGTTTATCTGCCACCGTTTTCATGTGGTCCTTGTAGACATAGTCAAGACCTTGGAGCAAGTGAGAGGTCTGAATGTTTCCAACCATACTGGTGATATCAACAGCAATAATCTTGACTTGCTTGGCAACACCATACGTCTTGGAGCCAATTGTACCAGCCACATGGGTACCGTGGCCCATAATATCACCATGGTTATATGGAAACACAAGAGCAGTTCCGTATGAGGCTCTACCTTGGAACTCTCTGTCCTGGTACTTGATTCCTGAGTCAATAACATAAGCAGTCACACCCTTACCGCCATCAGTGTCGTAAACGTATTGTGGATCATCAACCTTTTCACGAGTGGAAAGTCTACGAAGACCCCAAGGAGCATTCTTCTGCGTCTCGACGCTGGCAAGCTCCACTACTTCGTCTTCCTCGACGTGGTCCACCAAGGGGTTCTCTTGGATCTCCTTCAAGGCCTCAGTACTGAAGTATCCCAGGTAACCTTTGACAGAAGCGAAATCGAAGAACTTCAAACCTTCCTCTTCCTCCTCTGGAACCTCTTCTTCTCTCTTTGAGTTCTTCTCAACAAGATCAGTAATCCAAGCAGAATCCTGTTCTCTTTCTTCATCAGTGACGTCATCATTGTAGATAACAACGTATCTAGAAGGAGCTGGAGTTAACACTCTGAGCAAAGGAGCTGGTCCGTCTTCTCTCTTTGATGGACGAGTAGCACTGCCTGGTGTCTCTATCTCTCTAGAGACGATATCTTCCTCCCCGTTCAAGGGAATAACAGCACCAAGAGCCTGGCTTGCAAGCAAAAGCGAAGCAGAGAAGGTCAAAAACTTCATTGCAAATTATCCTGAAGGACAGATCCACCAGGCGATTAGCTGTACCTTTTATACATATGCCCAGATGAAATCCATTTTAAAGAGAAACTCCTGGCGAGTGCACCTCCGCTTTCAGCCAGTTTTGTGGTTCTTGATGTGGTTACGTTACTTGCGCTTCGGTACTACCAAACATCAACAACAAGTACCACCAATCCCTAAGAATACTTTTAGTGTCAATGTGTTTCTAGAATCAAGTTCTTCAAACCCAAAGTGCTTAATGTATAAATACTAGGGAGGACATCTTTGGATTGACTTGGTGTCCATCAGGCTCGACCCCGGAAGAAAGGTGCCAAGATGCGCAGAAACACCTAAATACGTCAAATGAGAATGTTTATACAAACTAGATAAGAACGAAAAGAGTCATGAATACGAGTCAGAATAAGTGAAGTCTGTTGGCTTATAGAGAGCTATAAGCGAGGCCAACATTGAAAGACCAATCTTAAACGCATTCATCTTTCGTTTGTAAGGCCCCGCAACCACCAATGCGGTTTCTCTGAGAGTTTCCGCTAGAGGTACAAAAACGCTCTTTGTAATCACTCTCCTCCATTCAGGCGTGATAGAAGGAGATACATCTAACCCCAGCAATGTGAATCCCTAGCCATTGACAAACCTATTCGTCTGAACACCGAAGTGCATAAGCTAACCGGATTTAGTCATGGGCGGTACGCAATGCTTGAATCACCCGGTTAATTCTTCTACCTAAGAGCATTACGTGCTTTCTAGGCATTTTGTGTCACTTTCTTGAGGTTTCGACAGGCCTTTTCGGACGACGTTGCCAAGTTACAGGAGTTCCCTCGGCAACGTCACACTGTCCACATATAGACTGGTCCACTACAATTTGTGACATCTCCTTTCATGTACTCTAACGCCTTGCTGTGTTTTCCTCTTTTGCTTGTGTTGGTAAGCAACCTTGGCCTTAGCGGTGTCAAAAGTGGGTCGGGTTTCTAGTATTACGTGTAGTGGGATCAAGTTCAATGATGGGGCCGTAGAATACAATGAAGTCTAAGAAATCCTGAGTTACTTCCATATCCTACCTGCTGGAATACCCAGATTTCACCTTCAGTAGACAAATCCAGATCATTGAAAATCATCGATGCTTTGTGGAATCTGGTTATGAATGGTCACAGATCAATGTTGTATTGCCGTTACCGGCCTTTCTCTGAAACTTGCTTCTTCTGGGCTCCATATGAGTGCAAAACCGTTGAAGCCCTTCATTTGGAATTTCTTTGCTTGATTTTGTGTTATCCACTTGTGCCTTCTTCTGCCTCCTTTTCCATGGTTGCCTGGAGAAAACCGTAGGCCATGGCAAATGGCCTTCTACTACATCTCCTCTTTCCTTTAAGCCCTTTGTCGTAGTATAAAACGCAAAAGATGTCCTAACACTTGCTCGATGTGGAAGCAATATTGCCGAACCAAGCCTGTAAGCCATTAGACAACATATAGTCGTTAATTCCACTTCAAAAGGACATTCTACGTCTCAAAATTTCCCAAAACCTCATCAAAACAAGTCTTACGTCAATTACCTATTTTTTAATGGATTTTGAAATTTTTCAAAAAAACGTACTTTCCAATTTTCACTTATTTTTCAATTATTCTACCCCAGATCTCACTTTATGCGCATTTCTTCCAATATTACACACCAACTATGAACGTCCATGAAGCAACACAAAATAACCAAAATAACCCTAAAAACCACAATAATGAATTCAAAAAGCAACCATGTAAATTCCTTTCCCAACCAGACCTCTTCCCCTGCCCAAACTCATTTTCCACGTTTATTCCTTTATCAGTACCGATAAGGAGCCCGTGGGATGGGTGCGGCGCGGATCTGCAGCTCTGAACATCAGAACTATCCGTCTTTCAATCCATATCCATAAGAACTACAATAATCTACCATGGAAAAGGAATACTTGGTATTAAGGCCAAAGAGAAGGTCATGGCAGAAGTTGGGCAAGTTAATTGTTCTTCTCTTTTCGTTGGTTCTTCTTTTGTGAGACTTGATCCTTTCTTTGCTTCTAGGGAGGTGGAGGACCCCGTGGGAGTTGTCTTGCAAGCATTGGAACAGAACTATGCCCGCAATTGGTCTTCTGTTTATACTGCCGAGAAGCATTTGGCGGGTACAAATTATGGTTTGGTGGATTTCACGAGAAAGAAGTTCAAAGAGTACGGCGCCAAGGCTTCTGTGGATACCTACAAGGTGCTCTTGAGTTACCCAGAAAGCCATGCATTGAAGCTTTTGGATAAGAATGGGGATATTGAGTATACGGCACCTCTTAAGGAGGACGAGTTTGAGGAGGATCCTACGTCTGTTGGGAACGATACTGTGCCTACGTTCTTGGGCTTTGCTGCCAATGGAAACGTCACTGCGGAATATGTGTATGTCAATTACGCTTCGAAGAAAGATTTCGAGTGGTTGAAAGAGAACGGAATTGAGGTCGAGGGCAAGATTGCAGTTGCTCGTTATGGTGGTCTCAATCGTGGTCTTAAGGTCAAGTTTGCTCAAGACTATGGTGCTGTGGGTGTCCTTATTTATACGGATCCTGGCGATGACGGGGATATCACTTCTGCAAACGGGTATAAACAGTACCCTAAGGGTCCAGCTCGGGCGGAAAGCTCTGTGCAAAGAGGAAGCGTCATGTTCTTGGGAGGAGAAGGTGCCACTCCTGGAGACCCAACCACTCCTGGGTACGCCTCAAAAGGAGACGTTGAACGCCACGATCCTCACCATAGTATTGGCACTATTCCTGCGTTACCGGTTTCGTACAGAGATATCAAGCCTATCCTATTAAAGTTGAATGGTCACGGCGAGAAAACTCCTAAAGAATGGAAAGGCGGCTTCGATGGTATTGATTATACCACTGGGCCTAATTCAAAGGCCAAGTTGAACTTGTATAACAACCAGACTTACAAGATCACGCCTATTTGGAATGTTTATGGTGAATTTGAGGGCGAATCAAAAGATGAGGCTATCTTGATCGGCAACCATCGGGATGCTTGGATCAAGGGAGGAGCAGGCGACCCCAACTCAGGTTCTACTGTACTTGTTGAAATTGCCAGAGCTCTCGGTGAACTTCAAGACAAGGGGTATAAGTTTAAAAGAAGCATCATCTTACATAGCTGGGATGGCGAAGAGTATGGGCTTATTGGCTCTACTGAATATGGAGAATATGCAGCTAAGAGATTGCAAAAAGATGTGGTTGCATATATCAATACTGATGTCGCCGTGCAAGGATCATATTTATCTTTAAGTGCTTCACCAGTATTGAACAGGGTTTTAAGAAAGGTTGCAAGCTGGGTACCTTACCCCGGAGGAAAGGAAGGCTCACTTCACGACCACTTTATTAAAGAAAAAGGTGATATCATCAGAAATTTAGGATCCGGATCAGACTACACAGTGTTCCTCGAGCATTTGGGCATTCCCTCGGCAGATATTTCCTTTCGTCCAGCAAAGAATGACTCAATCTACCACTACCATTCCAACTATGATTCCTTCCATTGGATGGACAATTTTGGTGATAAAGGCTTTGTCTTTCACAACGTGATGGCAAAGTACCTTAGTCTTTTGGTGTTAGAGTTATCAAAACATAAAGTCATTGAATTCTCTTTAAATGACTACGCCAAAGATTTGCTCTTTTATTTTGGCTTGGCCGAGGACGCTGTTCCAGAATCATGGCTTGACAGAGATGTTCCAAGTCTGGCGGTTTCGAAGTATGTTTTGATTGATAAAACCAACAATCATGTCGTCCAAAAAGCAGCACAGTCATACTACTATGATAACAGCATTTTTGCCTTCACTGAGCTCTTGCAGCCTTATCAGTGTAAGCACATGAGAACGATGTTAATGATGGACGCGCTGCATCATAAGATACTCAAGTTTGGTGACGTCTTGAGACATACCAGGGAGCAGTTGGAAAATTTGGAGAAGAAGAGTTTGTTGTTTGATGCCGAAAGTGCTGCCTTACAGAAGCGCTACGATGACAGAGCCAACTTACACTGGTGGGAGAAAATAAGACTCTACTTCGATATCAAGCACCAGAACAACCTCATCCAGTATTTCGAGAGAAACTTTTTGTATGAGGAAGGCCTCGACAAGAGGCCTTGGTTCAAGCATATTGTGTTTGCCGCAGGAAGGTTTACGGGGTATGCTGGTCAAACATGGCCTGGAATCAGAGAAGCCATCGAGGACGAGAACCTTGAGAACACAGTCAAGTGGCTTGGTATAGCTGCGCAAACAGCCAAGAGAGTTTCTTCCGGATTGGATAAGGTTCTGGGAAAATAACAATTTGGCGGTGCTAATGTCTTTTTAGTCGGCGTTACCAAGGCTCTTTGATATTTCGTGTTTCATTCCTCTTTTATGTTTACGAAATTCACGGTACGAAGAAAAATAACCCGAGAAACTGACGTGTAGAAAGATCCTTCAAGGAATAGCCAAGGAAAACTCCCCACTTTGCAATTCTTCACGCTTGGATGACTGACTGTGTCAAGAATTTGGGAAAGCTTCGCGTCCGTGATCCTACAACTATAACATTGTCCATCATTTAGTTACGATTGTTCGTACTATGGAATAAGGACTCTTTCAGAAGACGAAGACGGAAAGTCAGAGACTACTTTTATGCCCTCAAAGGATTTAATGTAGGGGTACATTGTTCCTTCAGAAATATCATACTCTCACTGGCCAAAAGCTGCAGCAATAGCGGGTTATGATTTATCTGCTTGGATAAAGTTTCTATTACTTCTATCCCTAAGGCGACCCAAAGTCGACCCTTGTCATTGGCTCGTTGGCGGATACCCAAAAAACCGAGAAAAAGAGGAGCGGTCAAAAGCTCTAAGCCTTGCTTTGGCGACGCAAATTTAACGAAAACAAAGGCCTAGCGAGCAGATCAGGGGCTTGGAGAAGGTTGCTGCCAGGTGCTGTGCCCCCACAGACCATTCTGGACGGATCTGCCAAGCCTTCGCCAGCATCCGTACTAAAAATCAGTCCCTCAAAGAAGAAAGGTGAAACCATTGTTCTGTGAATGGAGATGTACTCTATACGCAAAAGGGTAAACTACACTTGGAAATCAACCCCAACCATTGCCATGGCAATTCTTATTTCTGCAGGAGTTTCTAGTTGCCAACAGCCTGTGGTCAGCAAGTGTCCTTGAGACTTGGTTTCTTGAGAAAAAGAAGAATCCTTGGAAATGGGAATCACTAGCATGAGAACTTCCACTACATGTATACGGTGGGAAGTTTGTTCGATGAGCCTCACTACTTCTCTGGATATTTCCGAAGGAGAAATTTTTGCCGAAATCTTTACTTATTAGGCAAGTGGTCTTCTATATTCCATCGGTAGGACCCTGAAACAAAATAACCGAGCATCTATGCCTGCCATACACCTTGCATGCATAGGAGAGATGGAAGATGCATCTGTTGAGATCCTTACCAGATCTTCTAGGAATGCTTGGAAGGTGGCAGTTGGAAGTGTAACTGTAGGGCTTAAAGGGTGAGAAACAGAACCGAATGAACCTACTGAAGTTACCGATTCCACTTGTATAAGTATGAGGTGGTGTTTATTGATGTCGGTGTATTTATCAACCGAACTGAGCCATTCCAGGCTTTGAATCCCATTCATGTCACCCTTACAACGAACACCAAAATGATTGCTACTGCTTTCTAAGTCTAATCATGATATCACGTATGGTGATCCTGAAACGGTAGCTACTTGTCCGTAAAGATTGAATGACGCATCTTACACAAGTCCATCTGTGGGGGCACTTACTCAATGCATCAAACCAGTATGTGATACCAAGAACTTATGTTTTGGTTGACTCAATGAACAATCATGTATTGAGTTATTGAGCATTTTGTGACTGTCTGCTTCCACGCTGAAAACCAAGCATATGAATTATTCTCCGCTCTGGATACGGGAAGAACATTCTAAAATGCATGGGAATAAAAATAAATCTGTTCAAGAAATACTTTTGGGCGTGCAGCATGCTGATTCATTGGCAGCCAAGCTATCGAACTCTTCAAGAGACGCCCAAGAGCTTCCAGAGCAATAGAAGTCGGGCATGTCAGATACAAACTTCCAAGTACGACACGGTCTAATTCCGTCAACGTGGATACATGCATTTTCTTCTAAGCAAGCGTATCTTTTGATTGTAACAAACTTTATTGGTTGTTGCATTATGTATGTTTGTCAGGCAAGAACGGTCACTCAGAAAGAGGAAGCGGTGAAACCATTTATGGAGAGGTCGCCTCTTTTTTCAATGGACTTGCTGCAATAGGGATAAGGATGCATCAAGTAAGTCCTTGTAGTGCAAGCTTTCCAAGAGTTCAGTGCTTCACAACCAAGAGCCGGTTCGAGTTGAAGAATCCCTTGACTAAGGGATACAATCCACGGACCAAAGTAGCAGGCCAAGGTATAAAGATAGAGCAATTCTCTTCAAATTCATGAATCTTTAACTACTAAATCATGGTCGAATTGAGTCAATACTTTTGGCTCACTTTAGCCCTTTTCATTGCCAAATCGTTGGCGGTGGTGATTGATGAGAATACAATCACCATCGACCCAGTGAACCTTTCCATTGGCGATCTTACTATCTTGCCTGATGTGTACTATTCTATCGTGAATAATGCTGCCACTTCTATCACCGGTAGTTTGGATAACCAGGGTGGATTCTATGTTACATCTACCGACAGCAGCTTGACAGCTTCGGTATCTCTTGTTTCTGGCTCAATCCATAACTCTGGTGAATTAGCATTCAATTCTTCACGTTCGTTGCAGTCGAGCTCTTACAACTTGAATGCTGTGGGTGACTTCATCAATACCGGCGACATGTGGTTTGGTATTAGCGGCTTTGCTTTGGCACCTATCAACCTTGGTTCAACTACCAACTTTGAGAACCATGGAAGAATCCACTTTGTTCAGTCCGATGGCAACCCATCCGATGTCAGAATTAACCAGGCTGCTGGTCGTGTTGATAATGACGGTACTGTTTGTGTTACAAACATGCACTGGATCCAGACTGCTTCTATTGAAGGTGGTGGATGTATCAATGTTCGTGAAAACGCCAGATTCCAAGCCCAGGCAGACCCTTGGGAAGTGCTGACCAACCAAACCATTTACCTTTCTACGCCTGATTCCACCTTCTCCGTTTCTGGTTTGTCTGGTAGCATTTCTGGGGACAAGACTTTCTACATTGTTGGCTTCGGTGGAGGAAATGTCATCAGAATTGGCCTTGGCTTTGACAACTTCAACTACTACGAGGATGTCTTGACTCTTTCTTCTAGTTTGGGTACTTTCAGCCTTCGTTTCCATATTGGTCCTGGCTACTCGAACCAAGACTTCTCTACCAATGGCCGTGGCGACGCTGGTACCGAAATTATCTACAATGGTGAATACTCTGGAAGCGTTCCTGATGTTTGTCAGTGTGAAGACTTCCCTGACCCTCCAGTGGATGATGATGAGCCAACCGAATCCGATATGACCAGCTTCACCACTACTTGGACGACCACTGACTCTGACGGCGAGCCAACCACTGATTCTGGCGTTGTCATTGAGACTACTGATTCTGACGGTTCCTTGACCACCACTACATCTACCATTGACCCAGAGGAGAGCCCTGAGCCCACTGGAGAACCTACTGGAGAACCTACTGGAGAGCCTACTGACGTTACTACCTGGACCACAACTGATTCTGATGGCAACCCTACCACCGAATCTGGTGTCGTTACTGAGACTACAGACTCAGATGGCTCTTTGACGACTACTACCTCTACTATCCCACCTGAGGAGTCTCCAGAACCAACTGAAGAACCAACTGATGACGGCTCTTATACTACTACTTGGACCACTACGGACTCAGACGGTAACCCAACTACTGATTCAGGTGTGGTGATTCCTACTACCGATTCAGATGGAGAGGCTACTACTACGACTTCCACGATCCCACCTGAAGAATCCCCAGAGCCTACCGATCAAGATACCACTACTTGGACTACCACTGATTCTGATGGAAACCCAACCACTGACTCTGGTGTCGTGATCACCACTACTGATTCAGATGGAGAACCAACTACCACAACATCTACTATTCCTCCTGACGAGTCGCCAGAACCTACTGATTCTTACACCACTACCTGGACAACGACCGACTCTGATGGAAACCAAACGACTGATTCGGGAGTTGTGATTCCTACCACGGACTCAGATGGGGAACCAACAACTACTACTTCGACCATCCCACCAGGAGAGACTCCAGAGCCAACTGATTCTTATACTACTACCTGGACAACTACTGATTCGGACGGCAATCCTACCACTGATTCTGGCGTTGTGATTACAACCACCGACTCTGACGGTGAGCCTACTACATCTACTTCGACTATTCCACCAGGAGAGACGACAACCTGGACTACCACCGACTCTGATGGTGAGCCTACTACTGATTCTGGTGTTATTATCACTACTACTGATTCTGACGGAGAGCCAACCACCAGTACTTCCACTTTCCCACCTGAAGAAACTGATGGCGAGACTACGACTTGGACTACAACAGATTCAGATGGAAACCCTACTACCGACTCTGGTGTTATTATTACTACTACCGACTCCGATGGCGAACCAACTACAAGCACTTCGACTTTCCCTCCTGAGGAAACTACTGACGGTTACACCACAACTTGGACGACGACGGACTCAGACGGGAATCCTACTACTGATTCAGGTGTGGTGATTACCACCACTGATTCAGATGGCCAGCCTACAACCACCACTTCTACTTTCCCTCCTGACGATACTACTGACGGATATACTACTACCTGGACCACTACTGATTCTGACGGAAACCCAACTACCGATTCAGGCGTGGTTATTGAAACAACTGATTCTGATGGTTCGTTGACTACTTCTACATCTACCTTCCCAGACACCACTCCAGATCCTACTGGACCAACTACAATCCCAACTACTTGGACCACCACCGATTCAGATGGTCAGCCAACCACAGAATCTGGAGATGTTATCGTTACAACCGATTCTGACGGATCCTTGACTACTACGACTTCCATTATCGAAGACGACGGTGTTGCTCCAGATCCTACTGACTTTACTACTTACCCAACCACCTGGACCACTACAGATGCTGATGGTAGCGCTATCACTAAGTCTGGCGATGTGATTGTCACTACTGGACCTGATGGCTCTTTGACGACTATGACTTCCAAGCACGACCCTAGCGACTTTACTTCCTACACTTCTACTTGGACAACTACCGATGATAAGGGTGATCCAGCCACCAAGACAAAGGTGGTGATTGTTACTACTTGTCCTGACGGGTCTTTGACCACCAAGTACAAGCCAAAGGAGACTACGTCCACCGTGACCAAGACAGACGACCATGGCCATGCTATCACCAAGACCATCGTCATTTGTGAAACCGAGGACAAGCAGGGCCACACAACTACTGTTACGTCTATCTGTCCTGACACCACCACGGAGACTTACACTAAGGATGATGGCGCTGTGACTACTGTGACTGCTAAGGTTATCAAGACCATTATCAAGGGTGTCGCTACTACTTACACCAAGCCAGAGTACGAGAAGACGTATGTGACTACTTATAAGTCTACCAAGGACGATGGAGATGTTATCACTAAACTGGACGATGTGGTTGAGAAGACTGACACTGAAGGACGTACTGTCACCAAGACCATCACCAAGGATGGTGAGTACACCAAGCCAGGCAAACCAGACCATCCAGAGGATACTCATGTTCCTCCAGAGGAGACTGATGTTCCACCAGAGCCTACTACTCCAGAAGAACAACCACCTGAGACTACGGATGCTTATGAAACGACACCTCCAGGTGAGGCTGCTCCTTCTATTACCACTCCATTTGAAGGTGCTGGTTCGCTTCCAAAGCTTGGTGTGACTTTGTTGCTCCCACTTGGTCTTCTTGCACTTTTCTAAGGATACCACTTACCCTTATTTCTTTCGCTTCATGGACATTTTACCGGTCTTCGCTTTGATAGGGCCGGCTTTCTAACCAAAAATACCCTTTTCATTTAGCTTTTTGCTTTATACTTCTCGCAAATCATTTCATACTTCGATATATTAATTTCATAACTTTATCTACATGTGTTTCGTAAAAGCAAAGTTAAATATATACTGGAAACAACTTTTTTTTTTATATACTTATTGTGTTGTGGGGGGAGGTTCCTTAAACGTTGGTACCGTCAAGAGGCCATGGGATCTCTTCACCGTAGTTCCAGTGAACAGCCTTGGTTTGGGTGTACTCCTTCAAGCCCTCAATACCCAATTCACGACCGAAACCGGACTGCTTCATACCACCGAATGGCACAGAGTTGCTCAATGCCATGTACTGGTTGCACCAGACAGTACCAGCCTTGATGGCATGAACCATTCTCATACACTGAGAAGCGTTCTGAGAGAAGATACCACCACCAAGACCGTAAGCAGTATCGTTGGCCAACTTGATAGCTTCCTTTTCAGTGGAGAAAGTCTGGACAGCAAGAACAGGGCCGAAAATTTCATCATCGACAATCTTCATACCCTTCTTACATTCAGTGTAGACGGTTGGAATAACAAAGTAACCGTTCTTGAACTTGGCGTCCAACTGGTTCAACTTCTCCTGGCCACCTGTGAGGACCTTTCCGCCCTCTTCTTCACCGTACTTAATGTACTGCTTGACCTTTTCGAATTGGACCTTAGACACGAGAGGACCCATGAAAGTCTTGATGTCACTTGGGTCACCGATCTGGATCTCCTCAATCTTGCGCTTAAGAACCTCCAAGAACTTGTCTTTGATGGTATCCTGAACGAAGAGACGGGAACCAGCACAACAGTCCTGGCCATGGTTGAACAAGATAGCCATACAGACCCAGTTGGCAGTTTGGTCAATGTCGACGCTGTCGAAAACAACCACAGGAGACTTACCACCCAATTCAAGAGTAACCTTCTTCAAGTTACTGCTGGCAGCAGCAGTCATGATCTTACGGCCAGTGACACTCGAACCGGTGAAAGCGACCTTATCAATGTCATGATGGTTGGCAATGGCATTACCAGTAACGGCACCCACACCGTTGACAATGTTCAACACGCCAGGAGGGAAGCCAGCCTTGACAGCCAATTCAGCCAAACGAAGAGCACTCAATGGGGTCTGTTCAGCTGGTTTCATGACAATGGTGTTACCAGCAGCGAGAGCAGGAGCCACCTTCCAAGCAAACATCTGGATTGGGTAGTTCCATGGGATAATCTGACCGCACACACCAATTGGCTCTGGTCTGGTAAATGCCAACTTGACACCTTCCTGCTGCTCAATGGTACGGCCCTCGATCTTATCAGCAAGACCAGCGTAGTAACGAAGACATCCAATGGAGTCCACAATGTCCACGTCACGAGCCATCCAAACAGGTTTACCGTTATCCAAACTCTCCAACTGGGCAAGTTTTTCAATGTCCTGTTCAATCAAGTCAGCCCATTTGTTAAGAAGCAGCGAACGTTCGCCTGGAGTAGAGTTGGTGCCCCAGACGTTTTCAAACGCTTCACGAGCACTAGCCACAGCAGCATCAACGTCCTTTTCAGTGGCAGCACTGATGGTAGCCAAGTCTTCACCCGTAGCAGGGTTAGGCGTAGTCAAGGTAGAACCGTCACTGGCAGCTCTGAACTCGTTGTTGATAAACAATCCGGTTGGAAGGTCAATTGAGGATTTATCGTATAATTCAATTTTCACCGACATGGTCTTTTGATGGAGGCTAGAAAAAAAAATAGAAGAGTACTAATATGAATTACCACTTTATACTCACCAGATAACTGACTCTCGGAAGGGTCCCGTGCCTCTCGGCAAGTGCCCGAAATCGCACCCTTTAGGCCCCCGCGGCAGCTTATCAGTGGGCGGTTGCGAGCCCTTGCAGCGGGGCGTCCCCAGACCTCCATGAAGACAGCGTTTGGGTTTATGTGAATCCCCACTCTGGAGATATTCCGTCGAGGCACGAAGGCCGTGGGGATGAGATGGGGGCTGGGAAATGGCTGGGAATCGGTTGGGGACCGTTGGAGGGAGGTGCACGGGTGTGAAGAGGATATGGTCTGGTTTTGTGCTTTTGTAACTTATTTGCAACCGTCGCGGGATATGGTGTGATTGAAAAACTTAGTGGATGGGTGGTGGTTTGGTGGTTTAGCGGGTGGAAAGTAAGTGGTACAAAAGTGAAGGGACGGTGGAGAGGTGTTGGACTTTGGAGGTTTTTCTGGCTCGGTTTCTGGCTGGGATGGGTTTCTGGATATTTTTTTTTTTTTTTTTTCTTGACGTACCCCAGATTAGTACCTGAGAAGGGTCCAAGGTAAAGCATACTTTAGATGATATATGGCTTAGGGAGAACAACGGCCTTCGCTAAGCCTGATGGTAGCTGATATAATTTTTTAGGCCTTGAATCAGCTATATTGAATAGTATTGGCCAATTAGTATGGGCCAGGAAGAGCATATTTAAAGGATCAGGTCCTTCAGATTGACATTCGTTTACAAAGTAATAAAGAATAGCTCATATATCAGCTCCTACAGCTCACAAAAAGAATTCAAATACGTAACAGTTATAAAGTTATGCCCGAAAGACTAAGGTTGCTCCAAGGTGTGAGACCTTAGGTCACTTTGAAGTCTTTTCCAACGGCAAGACTCAATCAAATAGTTGTTCAGCTTTCTGCAGTTTCGTTTAAAAAACTCCTCCATCACAACTTTCTCGTCAATCCTTGCGGCGGATCGATAAGTTGGATTAGCTAGGCAGATACAAAGTAACAACGCATAATAAGCATCATTGCCAGCATTGTGTAAAAAGGCATAAGGTAAACGCATAAGCAATAAGGCGTTTCCCAAGCTTAGGTATTCCGGACCATGTGTTTGGCATAAAAATGCACTGGTATCTATCGTTCTCGCTTGACCAACATTCACTTTCAACATCGTGAGAACTCTTAGTTCATTAGACAAGCCATGTCCAACGATACAAATACCTTCTCCTCTTGTGTTGTTCTTGCTGTGTTCCAAGATTAATCCGTTTAAAGCTAACTGGACCTGATTTGTAGTCATGCATAAGCTGGTCTTACCATTGAACAGTTTAGCAGTTGTTTTGGCTTTATCGTTAATCTCCTTAGAATGTCTTATGATTATATGAGCCAGTCGAATAAATGGCACTGATGATCCCCTTTGCTCATCGGCAACATACACCGAAACCCCAATTTCACTGACTTCCTTGACACCCTTACTACATCCCTCCATATCAATAGATATAAGAGTATGATTTCCATCGAAAACCGTCTTCATCATAGCAGCTAAATTCACACTCTTTTCTGATTTTATCAAACCCAGTTGATTTAGTTGATGAAGATATTCATCTATCGGATGTACCGTCTCTGTTTGCTCCTCCTCAGTGGAATGTTTACCATTTGGAAGGGGATCTTCATCTGAAACTTGGTGAGTGGTAAAATGCTCTTCAATATCCTCTTCTTCTAATTGGATGCTTCTGCTTCCATGACATGGAAAACACGATATGTGGCTCCAAATGCTTCGAAAAACACTCCACATGCAAAGTTTTGGTCAAGTTGGGGGATGCTTATTGATTTTGCGCTGAAGCCTACTTCACTTGGAACTAAATAAGCATTTTTTATGATCTGCACTTCGCTGTTGTCTCAAGTATCATCCTCGTCAAGTCCAAATAGGAACTTCCCTCAAACCCAGTTGAAACATTATTTAAACGCCAGAAACAAAAAAAAAAAAAAAAAAAAAAAAAAATAAGAAAGGTAACAAAAGCAAGTATAACTAATGAAAAAAATCAATACGCACAAGGTTCATTGGGTGGCTTCTCGAGGTTTTTACTAAGTTGGTATGACAGTAAGTTTATTTAATCTTTATTCACAAACAGTATATTTAAGGCCTAATCATATATGGCATTCATCAGAGCTTAGATGACAAAGTAACCGACAAGCGATGAATGGCACCGTCAGGACCCATTCTGGCCAAGTGCTGAGGCGTAATGTCCTCTACTCGAGCACAACCCATGAGGGCCATCACCACCTTGAATTCGTCATGGAGAATATCAAGAGCAAGACTCACTCCCTTCTCTCCATTATAAGCAAGTCCCCATAATGGGACTCTTCCAACCCAGCAATGGTCAGCGCCCAAAGCCAAGGCTTTGAAGATATCACTGCCTCTTCTAATACCTCCATCAATATGAACAGGAATTCTGCCCTTAACTGCAGCCACAACTTCGGGGAGGGCATCCAACGTAGACATGGCACCATCAAGTTGTCTTCCACCGTGGTTGGAAACAAGAATACCGTCAGCACCAGCGTCAACAGCAGCAGCAGCATCTTCAGCGGTGAGAATACCCTTCAACCAAATTTGCATGTTGGTCTTTGACTTAAGGTATCTAACGTATTCCCAGGTAAGCGAAGGGTGGTACTGGGTTCTATCGTCGTCACTTACCATATTAGTGCTGTTGATCCAAGGGTAGCTGGGGAAGTTGAGGTGGTCAGGAAGTCTAAAGCCGTTTCTCATTTCGTTTAATCTTCTACCGAGCCAAGGACAATCCACACTGATGAAAAGCGCTTTATAGCCAGCAGCTTCAGCGTTTTTAATAATCAACATATTAGTAGGATCATGTTTCACCACACTCAACTGTTGTCCATAAGCGTTAGGGCTATCCTTACCCTGATCAATGACATCCTTTGATGAGGAGTTGGACCAGCTGGAAAGAATCATGTTTACGCCCTTTTTAGCAGCAGCTCTAGACGTACCAAGCTCAGCATCTGGGTGAGCCATGCCGTGGTTGGCAGCTGGCGAAATGCCCAATGGGAACGCAACTTTTGCACCCAAACAGGTGGTACTAGTATCAACGTTACTGACATCGACCATCACACGAGGACGAAGTCTGTAGCGATCATAAGAGCTTTTGTTTTCAGCCAAGGTAGTGAGATCCATAGATCCACCGCTATAGAAATCACGGGCCATAGGCGTAAGCTTTTCATTTGCAGCCGCCTCCAAGTCTGCGATACAGTGTACGTTTTCGTCGTAAGTCTTAGCTCTGTTCATTAAAAGGTGAGAGATGAAGATAGAGAAACCGGGGAATCCAATTTTTATAGGTTTACATTGACCCCAGGCTGTTTGGTGGTTCCCCACGGTATACTATCGGAGGGTGTCCGACTTCTCGTGAGGGTTCCGAAGCGCATACTGATAAGGTCTAAGAAGAACCAAAGCGAAAAAAAGAAAGGAAAGAGAGAAAACAAAGAGAAACTGCAACGTCCAAGAAAACCCGGCAAAACTCGAAATCCCATAATTCCAAAATACCCAAATTCCAAAAATCCCCCCATGTTCCATTTTCCATCGTCTGACGAGAAAAAAGTGAAAAAAAAAGTAACCAACCTCGCATGCGGCAAAACCAATGCTCTCACGTAAATGGCTAGTACCGCCATGTCTACAGACCCAGCAGGCGACGAAAAACAGCCAAACGCCAAATGCCCAGACATGCCAAAAAAAAATCACATCAGTTAACGGCAACACCAAAAAAGCCTCCAAGATGCCGTGGAAAAGAAAAGAAAAAATAAAAGGAAAAGTACCGAAATTACATTTCCGTTGATGCTGGACTTTCCATTTCATTGTTGTTTTCTTCCCCTGGACATTCCTTTCACGTCGTTTGCCTTTTCTTCTCCACTTAGTTCTTTGTTTTTTTCCCTCACTTCCACAGATCTGGAGCCTTTTATGTGGGTTTTACGAGTGAAAAAATGGAAAGAAAACGCCCCACTGCGCGACCTCAAATCGCCGCGGATCAGGCCCGAATTCGATAACCGCTGCCGAGACACCTAATCTATGTTACTCCACTGGGCCATCTGAAGCACTATTATGTCATTATCGATGTTACACGTCCGCGAGGGGAACGGTACGATTTGGGCTGCTGGGCTGGGAAATCACGGTTGGGCTGATGTTGTATAAAAGCAGATGGGGTGGGTTTTTTTTCTTGTGTAGGTAGTGCTTTTTTTTTGCAACCATTTAGTATGTCTGACATAGAAAAGAAGAAAGGTGATGTGGTGATTTCGCCACAAATAAGTCGGTTCAGTGAGTTTGATACTGGCGAACATAACGTGTTTGTGGTTCAGGAAGAGGGCCCGGACTTTCGTGGTGTCACTTGTTTCGGTGCTGCCGTGTTGATTGCAAAGGCCCAGTTTGGTCTTGGTGTGCTTGGAATCCCACAAACGTTTGTCGCTTTGGGCATTGTTCCTGGGCTTATATGTCTTTTGGCGCTTTGTGCTTTGAGTACTTGGACTGGGTACATTGTGGGCCAGTTTCGTCTTAATCACCCTCAGGTGTATAGTATTGGAGATGCGGCTGAGATCATGTTTGGCAAGGTTGGAAGAGAAGTCATGGGTGGAGCTTTCTGGCTTTACTATGCGCTTGTGTATGGCGCTTCTCTTCTTACTTTGTCTATTGCTTTTAACACTTTGAGTGAACATGCTGTTTGTACGACTGTGTGGGTCGCTATAGGTGCCGTGGTGACGTTTGTCCTCGGTACGTTGATCAGAACCATGAAGGTCATGTCTTGGTGTGGCTATATCGCTCTTGCCTCGGTTTTCATCAGTTCCTGGATTGTCGCTATCGCTTGTCTTACTCAGGACACTCCAGATGCTGCTCCAAAGACTGGTCCTATCGATAAGGCTATTGCAGCAGTTGCCACAGGCCAGCCATTTTCGGTCATTGCCAGTGCCATTGGTGTTCAGCTTTTGAGTCTTTGTGGAACTGCTGCTTACTTTAATATTCACTCAGAAATGAGAGACCAGAAACAATACAACAAGTCGTTGTTCATGGGCCAGGGTTTTGTCATTGTCAACTATATCATTCTCGCCTGTATGATTTATGGAAAAGTCGGAGTCTACGTTACTTCTCCGGCATTAGGGTCGGCCGGTCCACTCTTCCAGAAAATCGGCTACGGCGTGGCTCTTCCAGGTTTGCTTTTCTCCTGTTTCTTCCATGCCCATTTGGCTGGTAAGTACGGTTTGGTTCGTATCCTCCGAGGAACACAGCACCTTCAAAAGAACACTTTCACTCACTGGTTTACTTGGCTTTCCATGATGACTATCGTCATTTTGTTTGGATTTGTTATTGCCAGTGCCATTCCATTTTTCAATGAGTTGTTGGCGCTCATGGCCTCGTTGATCGGGTCAAGCTTTACGCTTATTCTTCCTGGCTTTTTAGCTTCTTACCAAATGAGCAAGTACTTCAGGGTCGAAGGTGACAGTACTTTGGCTTGGATGAGCAACTTGAAGCAGAGATGGAATAAGACATTATCAAACAAAATCACTTCTGCTGTCGCTGTGTTGGCGATTGTTCTTGGTATCTTTATCTTGGGAGCTGGTACGTATGGAGCTGTCCAGTCCATTATTGATAACTACAACAATGGCGTTGTCTCTGGCGCCTTCTCTTGTGACGACAATAGTTAGTCACATCATTTGTTTTACGAATTACGTTTATGAAATGAACTTTACATGTATAACTTATCTGTAAGCACTAGAAACTTCATGTAGACTTTGCCCAACCATCACCGAGACCCTTACTCCTTAAAAAACCAATGGCCAGGGTCCTCTTTTCTTCTATTTTTCCCCTTGTCTATTATTTTTTAAATCTGAATTCTTGGCTGGGTTCCATTTGTTCCCCGTCTACGGTCTCCGTCTACGGTCTCCGAACCCTTATCTTCGGGTCCTTTCCGGTAGCCAGCGGAAGTGTTCCGGCGACGCATACCTACTAAAAGATACTACCCCAATAAATCAAGATATCGGGATCGTTATCGCGTTCTGACGTCTTCAAAGGGGTATGTTGGAGGCTATTAATTTCAGGCTGGAAAGATGCTGCTTTGCCTCCATATCTTTAAATACTCGTACTTTCTATTTTACTGTAGAGCATGTCTGAATCAAAGAAGGGTCCAAGCGTGGTGGTTTCGCCACAACTTAGCCACACAAGCGAAGATGAACTCCATACTGGAGAGGATAATGTCTTTGTGGTTAAAGAAGAAGGACCAGACTTTCGTGGAGTTACGTGCTTTGGAGCAGCTGTCTTGATAGCTAAGTCTCAGTTTGGCCTAGGAGTACTTGGGCTCCCACAAACCTTCCATGCATTAGGCTTTGTTCCTGGCCTTATAAGTCTAATAGTTCTTTGCAGTATAAGTACATGGACAGGATATGTTGTGGGAAAATTCAGGATTCGTCATCCACATGTCTATAGTATTGGCGAAGCTGCTGAAATGATGTTTGGCAGCGTGGGAAGAGAGTTTATGGGTGGAGCTTATTGGCTATTCTATGCTCTCTGCTACGGTGCCTCCGTTCTTACATTGTCCATAGCGTTCAATACTTTAAGTGAACATGCTATTTGTACAACGGCTTGGGTAGGTATTGGTGCCATTATAACCCTTATACTCGGTACGGCAACAAGGACTATGAAAGTCATGTCGTGGTGTGGATACCTTGCGATTGCGTCTGTTTTCATTAGGTGTTTCATGTTTCTTCCAGGCACATTTAGCAGGGAAGTATTGTTTGGTACGTCTTCTTAGAGGGACGCTACACCTTCAGAAGAACTCTTTCGTTCATTGGTCGACTTGGGTATCTATGATGACCATTGTAATTGTATTTGGGTTTGTCATTGCAAGTGCAATTCCTTTCTTTAATAACCTTTTGGCACTTATTGGCGCTTTGCTAGGAACCAGCTTTACTCTTATTGTTCCTGGCTGTTTGGCGTTGTACGAAATGAGTGGGTACGAGAAGAAGAATGGTGACTCTACACTCATGTGGATAAGTAGCTGCAAAAACAGATGGAAAGTAAGTCGGAAGAACTACATCACCTTGTTTGTTGCAACCTTTGCAATTGTTTTTGGAAGCTTTATACTAGTATCAGGAACCTATGGTGCTGTGCAATCCATCATGGATGCTTATGAGAACGGAACAGTTTCAAGGGCGTTTGATTGTGCTGATAACAGTTAGGAATTTACGAGAGAATTTATCTAGCGAATGAATAAGTATCTTTACTCTTGTAATCATCTAGATACTTATTCAAGCATTACTTCTTTTTATTGATAAGTATCATGATTAAACAAAGAAAAGTTAAGTAAAATATAATTGCCCTTTCAGAAACCAAAGTTCATCTGTGTATTCCGGCGTACTTGAAATGCCTGTAGCCCCAGGGTCTTTAGCAACCATAGAACGCCACCGTGCAAATCGTGCATACTACTTTCTTTTCAAATAGTTTATAAGAAACTGGGAAACTATCCTAGAAATCAGCCTTCTGAGTACTTTGCCAATGACATGGTGAACTTAGATTATGTTGCAAGCATAGAGAGTGATATTCTACGCAACATCATTATATATGAAATCGATGAAGATCGTAACAGAACATTCATTCTCGAATTAATCACAGATAAGCTAGACTATCCCACTAGGGTAAGGATCACCCATGCCACAAGCCTAGCCCGGTGCATTCTTTCAAGTGGAGGTGAGTTTTCCAGTCTAAGCTTCCCTGGGTTCAGTTTAGAGAGGAACAGAAGGGTTTTATCTAGTATCTGTTAATACAAAGACGAAGAAAGCCAATCTGTGTTGATAAAAGCAAATGTAGTAAGCTCTAAGGAATAACTACATATTAAGTGGAAAAGAGGCACTAGCCACTTGAAGATAGACTGTCCTTCTCCGCAACGCCATGTAACGAAGACACAACTTCAACGTACCAGCCCCAGTTTTCGACTTCATTTAAATATCCCTAGTAAAACCACCAAAAACACAATATCCCCATTTAGTAGCCACCACTGGACTACCCAACATTGGTGGTATTTGGGTAGCTGGACGCGTCCATACATTAGCGCAGCGAGTGGAAATTCCGCTTCCCTGGCTGCAAATGCCCATCTCTACATCCGTGCCTCCACTATCTACCCCACAAAGATAGTGATTTTTCAACAAAGCCCAAATGGATTCTTGGGTCAAAAGGGCATGTCGTCCTCCGTTCCACAGCGTCTAAGGGCTTGCCAGAGATGCCGAACACGAAAAACAAGATGTGACCACGCCCTTCCTTCATGTTCAGGGTGTACAAAGGCTGGAGTTCCATGCATGAGCGATGATAAGACGCTAGGGAAGAACTTGACTAGGGCAGAGGCGGTGGCATTGGAGCAGAGAATTCGGCAGTTATCTGAAAACTTCCAAAGTCAGGATTCAAACGTGCAAACAGAGCAGACGGAAAGTTCGGGAGAGGGCGAGGCCCAGAGACCTAAGAAGCGTAAGATATCAGTAGGCTCTGCCAGTAGTGAAGATCTGGAGTCTGAAACCAGCGATAACGAAAACCAGTATAATGGGCTTAACACGCTTCTAGGTACGGCGATTTCAGAGTATGGAAGCTCTCACGTAAGCGAGGATATTCGTGGAGAGATCAGACGGTACTCCCATTCGTTTACTCCCCAGGGTGCCAGGGAAACGTTCATTGCAACGGAAAACTTGTCTATTGGAAAATTGGGAAGAGACTTTCTTAAAGCTCTGCGGAAGAATACTGTTAGAAATAGGGCCACCGATATTACTGCCTACGATATGGGTATTTTGAAGAGAGTATCTAGACGGTACTTTACCTGGATCAATAGTGCCTACCCAGTGATGCACGAAACACAGTTCTACGAGCTTCTAGAGCTGTGCCATGGCTCTGGAGGTACTGCTTCAAAGGTGTCGTTATTGCAAGTGAAGATCGTTATAGCCATAGCTTTGGCATCTATAAGTCGACCTCACCTTTCGACGTCTGAGCTTGGCCATAGTGCTCATGCCTTTTGGAAGTCAGCTACAAGGCTCCTCGCAGCGTCTATAAGTGACGCTCCAGGCCTTGTTCAGCTTCAGATATCATTACTTTTGTTGCAGTATACTCTTCTAGTTCCCAAAACAGGCAACCTCTGGCAACTTGCTGGCTCGGCAATGAGATGTGCAACGGAATTGGGTATTTACGCTGAGCCCACTCCAGGAAAACATGTTGAGCCATTGACTCTCGATCTTCGTCGTCGCCTTTTTTGGACATGCTATTGCATCGATAGGACTCTCAGTACTATTATGGGACGTCCTAGCAGTATTCCTGACGAATGGATCAGTTCAGAAATGCCTTCGTTGGTGGAGGACTCACTTATTACCATAGACGGAATACAGTCAGGCCCTACATGTCATTTAAAAATTGCCCTCATCCATCACGTTCACATTTGCCGTTTACAGTCAGAGATCCATGGTAGACTCTACGCCCCAGGACACAACTCAAGGCTTGACCAAGAGAGTCTTTCAAAGTGGACATGGCATACATACGACCAGCTAAGAGCATGGCGTCAATCACATGTATATCCCACTCCATTGATCACTAAAGAATGGACAGAATTTCAATTTCATATTGCTGTCGTTCTTCTTTTGAGACCTTCTCCAAATAGAGCTACGCCAACTTTCGAGGAGCTTCATGTTGCTTTCCATTCAGCTGGACAGGCAATGAACCTTGTTAAAATAATGCACCGAGAAGCTTCCGCTGTCTTCGGTTGGTTAACAGTCCAGAGTCTCTTCATGTGTGGTTTGACCTACATTAAGTATCTTCGAACACTTTGCAATGGCAACGAAACACATTTGTGCAAGCCGTTTGTTGAAATCATTCTTGAAGTCCAAGCATGTACTTCGATGCTTGAAACATTATCGGCATTAGATACTGGTGATCACGAACAGATACGAAACGTATTTGAACTAGCTTCTTCAAACGTTCTTCATGAACTAGCCAACTCATGCGACGTTGCCAGTCAGTCCAACAAAGATAACGAGTGTATTTGGGATCTACTTGCCAAATCCTCTAATTCTTCACTACAACGGCCCACAAACATCCAAGGAAGCCCCATCGAGGTACAAAAAGAGTCTAGCATTCTTTTCATTTCGAAGCTTCAAGAAAGAGACAACTCACTTATGGACGATGAACATTTCTACCAACATGATGTGGATGCTAATTCAACTTCTGGGTACACCCATTCTCGAAGGTACGAGAGTGCAATGACCAGCGATTCCCAAGGTGCCATTGCTACAAGAACCTGGAATAGCTCAGAGGCATCTACAAATCCCCCAATTAACAGAGATGTACCAAGAGATGTTCCATACTTCGACAGAGGGTACCACTCATTCCAGAGCCCTGGAGTGTTCGCTTCACCCATGAACGAAGGCATCACTGCCAGCGATCTACCCAACATTCCCGACGATACTAGTGCCGATCTCGAAAGGTGGTTCCTCTACCCTATCTAAGGGGCATTTTCAATTCCGTGGTGGGGCCTTCGGAGGGGTTCCGAAATATGCGATCTTGATACTTCGGACACTATCCGATACCTATTTCGCACCTTATCTTGGTTTCGGAACAGGTCCGTGTGGGGCCGAACAAGCACGAAAGTGACTTATATAAGGCCAATTTCGAAGCTTGTTTGTCTCGATGTAATTCACCATCGAATAACATGTCTCCCAAGATTGAAGGAATTATTGCTGCCGTTGTCACCCCAATGACTGCCGATGCTAAGTCGGTAGACTTGGACAATATCAAGCCTCAGGTTGAGCGTTTGGCTGAAGCTGGCATTCACGGTATTGTTACTACGGGCACTACTGGTGAATTTCCAGCACTTAGCCTTGACGAACACAAGAGCGTTATTAAGGCATATGTGGATGCTGCCAAGGGAAGATTCCCTGTTATCGCTGGTCTTGGCTTCAACAGCACCCAGTTGGCTATTGAAATGGCTCAGTACTCTGAATCGGTTGGTGCTGCTGCTTGCATGATTGTCCCACCATTTTATGATCCACTTCCTTTCAAGTCGCTTTACAAGTTCTACGAGGATGTATGTGGATCAATCAACATTTCTGTGATGTACTACAACTTGCCAGGTGCTACGGGAGTTCACCTTACTGCTGCTCAGTTCAGAGAGTTGTCTAAGATCAAGGGTTTCGACTACATGAAAGATACTTCTGGTAATGCCAAGGAGTTGGCTGATCTCTTGACTAACCCTCCAGATGGCCTTCAGCCATTCAACGGTTGGGATACTCTCACCTTCTTCTCCATGGCACATGGCGCTAAAGCTGGTGTTTGGGGTGTGGCCTCGGTTGTTCCAAAGGAATGCGTTGAGTTGTGGAACACGTTCACCAAGGAGAAGAACTTGGACAAGGCTAGAGAACAGTGGAAATTCCTTTGGGAGGTGAGCGACTTCTTCGAAAGCGTCTGCTACCCTGCTGCTGTCAAGGCTGGTCTTGAGATTGTGGGATCTTCTGCTGGCCCAGTGAGAGCTCCTACCTTGCCATTGGAAAAGAAGGAATACGACAGATTGGCCGAGATTCTCAAGAAGAGAAAGTACTGATGATGTTCCATGTATATATATAAGAAATGGAGTACTAGTACATGATCTATGTAATGCTTCTTGAGTCCTGCAACTCTGTATCAATATTGACACATCTAAAGCTTTGATGGGGTTTTATCCTTCTTTCTGGTTACTCTCTCGATAGCAGGTCTGACTCTAGCCAAGTGCTCTGGCCCGATATCTTCCACTCTGGTCACACCAGCAAGAGCCATGGTGTTACGGAACTCGTCGTGAAGAATGTTAAGAGCAAGAGATACACCTTGTTCTCCATTGTAAGCAAGTCCCCATAATGGAATTCTTCCGACCCAGCAGAAGTCAGCTCCAAGTGCCAAAGCCTTGAATATATCGGTTCCACTTCTGATGCCTCCATCAATGTGAACAGGAATTCTTCCATTGACAGCCTCAACGACTTCAGGCAAAGACTCCAAAGTCGAAATGGCTCCATCCAACTGTCTTCCTCCATGGTTGGACACGATAATACCATCCATGCCATGCTCTACAGCCAATGCAGCATCTTCACCTGTTGCGATACCCTTGATCCACATCTTCAAAGAAGTCTTAGACTTGAGGAACTTGATATATTCCCAGGTAAGATCCATCTTGAGTTGGTGCTTTTCGTCAAGACTAAGCATCCTCTTCTGGGTCATTTCTGGGAAGTTGGGGAAGTTGAGAAATCTGGAGAGATTGAAAGGGTTCTTAAATTCACTGAGTCTTCTTCCGACCCAGGGCGTGTCAACGGTGATGATCACAGCTTCGTACCCACACTCTTCTGCCTTCTTGATAAGGGAAAGGTTTATCGTATCGTCTTTCATCAAGTTTATCTGCTGGCAATATGTGGTTTCGCCTTTACCTTGGTTGATAACATCTTCTAGTGAAGAGTTTGACCAGGTGGAAAGAATCATATTCACGCCTTTCTTGGCTGCTGCTCTGGAAGTACCAAGTTCAGCGTCTGGATGAGCCATTCCATGGCAAGCAGCAGGAGCAATACCCAAAGGAAAAGCATTCTTCTTTCCCATAGAAATAATACTAGTGTCGACTTCGCTAACATCCCTCAACACTCTAGGACGAAACCTATACTGGTCGTACGACGTTTGGTTGTCTTTGAGCGTCACATTGTACATGGACCCGCCATTATAGTAGTCTCTGGTCAGAGGAAGAAGCTTAACTGTCGCAGCCTCTTCCAAGTCTTTGATGGTATGAACTTTGGCATCGTAGGCCACTAAACGATGACTCATGGAAGTGGTATACAGATTTTGTGCCTAAAGAAACGCTGAAAAATTCTTGTAATGTACGGTTGACATAATTCGGCACAAGAGGTCGCTCATCTGCAACGACGCTTAAATGTGATATCTGGCCTCGTAAAGATAAGCTTAATTGGAGCCCTCAGACCAATAAGCAGACACCGAGGAATTTTAGAAGGACATTTTCACCTGTTTAGAAGTTTCTTGCAGTTAAAAGCTGCCAATCACAAGTCTGGTAAGGTAACTCGATGTATCGCTCCATCAAGACCAATTCTGGCCAAGTACTGCGGTCCAATATCCTCTACCTTAGTAACACCAGCAAGTGCCATAACGTTCCGAAACTCATCATGAAGGATAGTTAAGGCAAGGCTGACACCGTCTTCACCATTATATGCTAATCCCCATAAGGGAACTCTTCCAGCCCAGCAGTATTCTTTTCGCCCATCCAGGGGAAACTGGGGAAGCTTAAGTGCTCGGGAAGTTCAAACTTGTTCTTCATTTCATTGATTCTTCTTCCTCGCCAACGAGTATCAACAGTAAGAAAAAGAGCGTTATATCCAGTTTCTTCAGGTTCCCTGATGATGTTCAAGTTGGTTTCTTCGTCACTTAGCACGTTCACCTGTTGACCATACGCAATTGAACTACCTTTCCCTTCCTCGATAACATCTTTGGATGGAGTATTAGACCAACAGGATAAAATCATGTGTACTCCACTTTTCGCTGCTGCCCTTGAAGTCCCAATCTCTGCAATTGGATGTGCCAAACCATGGCAAGCTGAGGGCGCTATTCCCAAGGGAAATGCTGATTTTGCACCCAAGCAAGTAGTCGAAGTATCAACATGGGTAACATCCACCAACACACGAGGCCGAAACTTATACTTGTCAAAAGCAGTTTTGTTTTCTTTTAGCGTCACTAGCTCCATGGCTCCACCATTATAGTAGCCTCGAGTCATTGGCAGTAGCTGTGCGGTTGCGAGCTCTTCTAACTCAGCGATTGTATGGACATTTTCATCGTAGGTCTTTGCACGGTTCATGGCCAATGATCCCAAGTGAAACGTCTTCAAAAAACCATTTGGTCCACGTAAGTAGATATCGTGTGGCGCATCTGCAATAACGCCTAAAGTCTATTAGCGAATTCAAACGAAGCCTCATGTATCCTACATTATGATCAATCATCAAAAAACATTCCTAATCTATAGTCTAATTAAAGTCTTGGGCCAGAAACACGGTGAATTGAGCCGTCTGGACCGAACCTGGCCAAGTGCTGTGGTCCAATGTCCTCCACACGAGTACATCCCATAAGAGCCATAACCGTACGGAACTCGTCGTGAAGAATATTAAGGGCTATGCTAACTCCCTCTTCTCCCTTGTAGGCAAGTCCCCACAATGGGATTCTGCCCACCCAGCAATGGTCAGCGCCCAATGCCAATGCTTTGAAAATATCACTTCCTCTTCTGATACCTCCATCGATGTGGATTGGGATTCTGCCTCTCACAGCTTCCACAATCTCTGGCAATGCATCTAATGTAGACATGGCACCGTCCAATTGTCTACCTCCGTGGTTAGAAACCACGATTCCATCAGCTCCAGCATCCACAGCCAAAGCTGCGTCTTCACCAGTAAGAATACCCTTGAGCCAGATTTGCATAGATGTCTTGGACTTAAGGTACTTAACATAGTCCCAAGTAAGGCCAGCCTCAAACTTCGTTCTCTTATCGTCACTAAGCATCTTATGAGCGTTCATCCAAGGGTAAAGTGGGAAACCAAGGTGGTCAGGAAGCTCAAACGAGTTTCTCAACTCATTGAGTCTTCTGCCGAGCCATGGAGTATCCACACTGACGAAAAGAGCCTTGTAGCCGCATTTTTCAGCGTTTGCAATGATATCCAAGTTGGTCTGATCGTCGCTCAACACACTCAACTGATGAGCATACACATTCTTACCATTCTTACCCTCCTCTATAACCTCTTTGGAGGGCGTATTGGACCAACTGGAAAGCACCATATTGACTCCCTTCTTTGCAGCTGCTCTGGCCGTTCCACGCTCAGCATCAGGATGAGCCATACCATGACAAGCAGTAGGCGATAAGCCAAGTGGAAAAGCCACTTTTGCACCCAAACAGTCGGTGGTGGTATCCACCACATTCACGTCGATCATCACCCTTGGGCGAAGTCTATACCGATCATAAGACGTCTTGTTCTCTGCAAGCGTCTTGAGTTCCATAGAACCTCCATTGTAGAAGTCCCGAGTCATGGGAGGGAGTCGCTCATTTGCAGCCTCCTCGAGGTCTGCGATAGTGTGTACCCTAGTATCATAAGTTTGGGCCCTATTCATGACTTAGCCAAAAGAAACAATATAAAAAATGACCACATTCTTGAAAGAAGGTTCAAGACTCTAGATGAAATACTGTCGGTGGACCACGCACGTTATTCCGTGTGCTCGTGGCGCACCATCTATCTGCAACAGAGACTAAATGGCCTAGGCGAACGAAAACAAGACCGGCATTTATTCTGTTAATTTTGCCGTGGTTTATTGACGTTTACGAAGTGATTCTGCATTCTTTGTTGTTTTATTTTTTATGCCATTCACAAGGTCACTGTGGTTTTGGCGAAACCTGGCTCTTCGTAACGCGAATGGTTGCAAATCAGAGTCACATACTAATAACCACAGAAAATACAAACCACTCCCAAAAATCAGAAACCCCACAAAACCAAAATTTTCAGGGTCCTTCCCAGCCTCCTCGCTTCTCCTAGACGTATGTCTAAAAACGCCTTGATTTCTCCCTGTTTTGTGCTCTTTTCATCTACCTTTTCCCTCTACTGGTCCTCGTTTACAGATAATCTAATCGCACATTCCTGCCCCTCCTCAGTGACGTGATTGTCATGTGTCTATAGCTAATTTTTATTTTCCACCCTGGATTTCTTAAACTGGACTACCCACCGTTTTGCCCAGAGATGCCGTATTGTTAAACCGATGTGCATACGAAAACTGCTCTTTTGCACCTCCCGCCACAGTCAGCCTTACCTTTTCAAGAGTAGAGTGCTCTTGTACTTTCTCCCTGGAAAGCTTTGGCTGTTCCCGATAGCGGGCCGAGTGTACGAAGCCGCATGGCACTCTTGAATGGTACTACTCGTTCATGGAAATAGGTCGTCTGCCTGAAACTCGCAGGTATGCATTCTCGTATTACCTAGCGAAATCGAAATCGCCTTGCGTTGTCATGCACCATGGGCTGCTTGGAATGCCTGGGCTTCTTGCTGGGTTCTGTAGTATATCTCTCATCGGATTCCGTTTGCTCTGCTACTTTTCTAAACAACATGTCTAGTATTGAGAAGAAGAATGAGCTGAATTCAGATATTTCTCCACAGGTCAGTGAACTTCTAGATTCAGACTTTGAGAATAAGAATGTCTTTGCTTTGAAGGAAGATGGTCCTAACTTTCGTGGTGTCACTTGGATCGGTGCTGCTGGCTTGGTTGCAAAAACACAATTCGGTTACGGTATTCTTGGTCTTCCAGGAACGTTCCAGGTGTTGGGTTTCGTGCCGGGTCTTATTTCCTTGATTTCGCTTTGTGCACTTACAACATGGACGGGTTATATGGTGGGAAGCTTTCGTATTCGTTATCCAAACGTGTATGGTGTTGGAGACGCTGCTGAATTGATTTTTGGGCCTGTGGGAAGAGAATTCATGGGTGGTGCTTTTTGGCTCTTCTATACGCTTTGTTATGGTGCTGCTGTGCTTACCTTGTCTATTGCATTCAATGCTATCACTGAACATGCAACATGTACGATGGTATGGGTGGCTATCGGTGCTGTCATTGCTCTTGTCATTGGCACGGGAACAAGAACATTAAAGAACATGTCTTGGCTCGGGCTTGTTGCTTTGGGATCGGTATTCTTCAGTGTTTGGCCTGTTACAATTGCAGTTCTTGCTCAGTCTACGCCAGAAGCAGCTCCAGCAGGTGAGCCAATAGATAAACAAATTGTTGCTGTGGCCACTGGACGTTCTTTTGCAGCCATTGCTAGTGCCATTGCAACCCAGCTTTCTGGTCTTTGTGCAACAGCAGCTTTCTTCACTATCCATTCCGAAATGAGGAACCCTCGTGATTTCACCAAATCTTTACTTCTTGGCCAAGGCTTCGTCAGTGCCAACTATATTATTGTGACTTGCATTATCTACGGAAGAGTCGGCAGATACGTGACATCCCCTGCTCTTGGGTCGGCTGGTCCGCTCATGATGAAGATTTGTTACGGTATCGCATTGCCAGGTCTCTTCTTTTCGTGTTTCTTCCAAGCCCATATTGCTGGAAAGCATGCTTTGGTCAGATTGCTTAGAGACACCAAACACCTTCAAGCCAACACCAAAACGCATTGGTTTACATGGATTTCGATGATGTTGTTGGTTGTGATTATTGGTTTCGTTATTGCCAGTTCCATTCCTTTCTTTAATGATTTATTGGCACTTATTGCCGCTCTTCTTGGAAGTCTTTTTACCCTTATCATGCCAGCTATCCTAGGTATTTACATCATGAGTGATTACCACAAACAAGAAGGAGATGGTTTATTTGCTTGGGTGGGCTACTACGGGAAGAACTGGAATAAGAACCGCCGTAACATCATGCATTCCGTTGTGGCTGTTTTAGCCATCGCTTTTGGATTATTCATCTTGGTTGGTGGTACTTACGGAGCCATTGACTCCATTATTGATGGTTACAGAACCGGTAGAGTGTCACGGGCATTTTCATGTGAAGACAACAGTAATTAGAGGTATTAATAGACAATTTAGACGTAATAGGGATGATAGTGGACTTGTAGTACCCAATCAGGTGAACCATCTACGAGCAGAAGCTTATCTGGCAGATCTTAGATTTCCATAACCACCAGCTTAAGTACCTCAATACTGGTGTCTCAGAACGCATACCCCACTACATGCCAAACACCCTTTTGGACAACCTAGCCACACTTAACCAACACAAGATAAATCCCAGAAGCCCAATCCAGTCCAATCCAGTGTAACTGTTTCCCCAGAAAAAGAAATACGAAAGGCTATTGTTAAAAGTTAGACTGGGCTTTGGCGACTGATGTACATGAAGAAAAAGAAAGCGGAAAAAAAATGGGTGCAAAAAAAGAAAGCAAGATCAACCAAAAAACCACCAACCCGGTCTACCGCTCAAACCCAAGCCGAGTCTAAAAAGAAAAACCACAAGCATTTCCTTACCGCCCAGACGGAATTCAACGTCAACATCCCGGGTTCCATATTTCCTCGGCACAAGAAACCCGCTTTAAAAAAAACCATTCAATATGGGCGTCATGAGAACTACCTGACGATACTGAGTCATGAGGTTTTTTTTTTCTTTCTGTTTTTGGAGGTCCTGGGCGTGTACTTTCCAAATTACTGATAAGTGCCAGGAACCACCAGTCATAAGGTACTTGATTTGGATGATACCCCAAAAAGTGCAATAATAATCGGTATCGAATTCCGCAGCTCCCCCACTATTCAAGAGTAAGGCGTGTGAAGATACTTTTGGTGTTGTGTGCAGCACAGGGTGCAAAACGCCGCTCCGAGGCCTACCGCCAAAATCCCCAAAAGTGGTCCAAAAGACGTGAAAAAAGACAGTCGTGGTCGGTGGTGCCTCTAGATTACCCCTAGGTCATTTATTTTTCCAAACCCTCCCCCCTTCACCTCCTAGTTGGCCCCTCTCTCACCCTAACCTTCTTGTAACCTTCCCTCCTACACACAACCCTCCATCTCGCGATGTTCGCCGTTTTAGCCTGTATCAACGTGATGCGTCTTTTGCCTTGGCCCAATGGTCTTATGCAGCATGCTTCAAATTTTTCAGTATGGCCTCTCGTGGTAAACTTTCCTTTTCTTATCTCACATAACGATGTGCTAAAGGCTCTTTGGCTATCTACTACACCTTTTTTTCCCACACATCTTCAAACACATAACGCATGTCTGACATTGACAGAAAGAGAGAGCTGAACTCTCTATCACCGCAAGAAAGCAACTTTGGCGAGCTTGAGCCCGAGGACGATAATGTGTTCAAGGTCACTGAGGACGGACCAGACTTTCGTGGTCTTACCTGTTTTGGTGCTGCTCTTTTGGTGGTGAAGACTCAGTTTGGTCTTGGTATCCTTGGGCTTCCCCATACTTTCCATGTTTTGGGTGTAGTGCCTGGTCTTATCGTTTTGATCACTCTTTGTTTCATCACCACTTGGAGTGGTATCGTTGTGGGACACTTTCGTCTTCGGCACCCAAACACTTATAGTATTGGTGATGCTGCTGAAATCATGTTTGGTCCTGCTGGAAGAGAAGTCATGGGTGCTGCCTTTTGGCTCTTCTATACCCTTGCTTATGGTGCTACTGTGCTTACAGTGTCTATTGCTTTCAACGCCATCACTGAACACGCCATTTGTACTACCATCTGGACGGCAATTGGCGCCATCATCAGTCTTATTCTTGGTATTGCAACGAGAACCTTGAAGGTTATGTCCTGGTTGAGTCTTGCTGCTATCATTTCCTTATTTATTAGTGTTTGGACTGTCGCCATTGCTTGTCTTGCCCAGTCCACTCCCTCTGCAGCTGTGCCTGGTGAACCTATAGATAAGGGCATTTCTGCTGTTGCTACTGGTCGTTCGTTTGCTGCCATTGCCGGTGCCGTGGCTACTCAGCTTGCCGGTCTCAGTGGTACCGCTTCTTTCTTCACCATTCACACAGAAATGAAGGACCAGACGCAATACAATAAGGCTTTGATTCTTGGACAGCTTTTCGTCACATTCAACTACATCGTCATCACTTGCATGATCTACGGTAAAGTGGGTAACTACGTCACCTCCCCTGCCTTGGGTTCCGCAGGTACCCTTATCAAGAAGATCTGTTACGGTATCTCCTTGCCTGGTCTTATCGTTTCGTGCTTTTTCTTAGCGCATTTGGCTGGTAAGTACGGTTTGGTCCGTATCTTAAGAGGAACAAGACACCTTCAAGCAAACACTTTTGTCCATTGGCTGACCTGGATTTCCATGATGTCTTTGTCCATTATCTTTGGTTTCATCATTGCCAGCGCCATTCCTTTCTTTGGAGACTTGGTGGCTCTTATCGCTGCCTTGTTCGGTACAACTTTTACCCTCATTATTCCAGGTTTCATTGCTATCTACAACATGGGCAGCTACGTGAAGCGTGACGGTGACTCTTTGCTTTCTTGGATGCCTAGTTGCTTCAAAGCATGGAACAAGAATCGCAGCAACATCATAAATACAGCATTGGCATTTTTTTCGATTGCATTCGGGATCTATATCTTGGTGACCGGTACCTACGGTGCTATTCAGTCTATCATTGACGGTTACAATAACGGTACAGTCTCCCTGGCTTTCTCCTGTGAGGACAACAGCAAATAAAAGTTTTAGCTAGATTTTAGAATGAAGTTATGATTATGATATGCTATTGTAGTATTTAGACGCACTCCTCTTTGACGGATGATTCCTTGTCGAGATCTCCTGAACTGGACCGCTTTTTCGTAGCCTTGCTGAAACGGTCGGTTGGCACAAATCCCTTAGATTTCCATGCATAATTCACCTTCTCGTACAATTCATCCACTTGCTCTAACGAGAGGCCCTTGGTCTCGTAGATCATGGCCCAAGAATACACAGCACAAATGGCATTAAATCCACCCCAAATGAAGAAAACACTATTCCCCAAATTCCCTTTATCTTTATCGACCATATAAGGAACTGTGAAAGCAATTATCCAATTCCATAACCAATTTGTCGCAATACAAAGGGACATCGACTTTGCCCTTGTACTTAAAGGATATAACTCTCCCGTAACCACCCAGGCACCAGGTCCCCAAGTAGCTGAAAAGAAGGCAATAAAGATGCAAGAGAAGGCCACTAAGACCTTTTTGGATGAATCAGATGACGTAGATACACCAACTATGGCAACAAGAAGCTGGGAAACAGACATTCCGATTGCACCACCCAGCATTAAGTTACGTCTTCCAGCAATCTCAATGAGAAGGATACCAGGGATAGTTGTACCGACACTGACAATGTTAATGGCCAAGTTTGTGAGAAAACCATCTACTCCAGCGTCATTGAAAAATGTAGTTCCAAAGTAGATAATGAAATTCACACCGGTTAACTGCTGGAACGATTGACATAAGATTCCAGTGGTCAACCGCTTTTTCTGATAGTTCTTGTTAGAGAATACTTGTCTCCAAGAGGACTTACCTACTTCACATTCAAACATATGAGCTGCCTTGATTTCGTTAAACTCTTCCAATAGGTCTGAATGGTCCTCAGGAAGTTTTCTCAACCTTGAAAGAGCACGTAAAGCTTTATCATCCTTATCCTTGGAAACATAAAATCTTGGGGTCTCAGGCATGAAAAACATACTCACACCTAAAATGAGTCCCCAAAGGATCTGAAGAGCAAGGGGGATTCTGTAAGATCCAGAATTGCCGATTTTATGTGTAGCCTGGTTGAATACCGCAGCCAAGAAGATGCCTAGAGCTACCGCTAACTGATAACAAGAAACGATTGCACCTCTTATCCAGTGTGGTGCAGCTTCTGACTGATATAGTGGCACCGTGCATGATATGAATCCAATGGCTATTCCTGTTATGACTCTTCCAACACAAAGTAATGGGATATCCACAGCAGCTGTTTGAAGCACAGCACCCAAATTAAACACCACCAAGGATGATAATATCAAACACCACCTTCTTCCTAACGTGTCACTGATAAGAGGCGTAGTGATAGATCCGAAGAACGTTCCCACCGATAAGATAGATACTATAAGTGATGTCTCAGATGAATTGAACTCCTCGCCATTGGACGGAAACGTATGCTTGACATGATCCATGGCCATGATTCCGTTAATCGTACCAGTACCATAACCATACAAGATTCCACCAAAAGATGCAACTATCCCTACCACAATTCCCATTGTAGTGGAACCAGCTCTCTTCTCACCTAGGTTGATAAAGCGTCTTACGAGGGCATTATCTTCAAGGCCCATGTTTAGCTTAGCCGCATAATTCCCAGGAAAAAGGCGTTGTAGATATACGCAAGGCTGACAAATGGATCTTCACAGAAGCAGCCCCATGATCTGTTCCAAATATCCCCATAGTTTTTGAGTTTTTCCCCTTTTGCAGCCAATACCATGTATGATGTGCAGACAACGAAATGAGCCCCAAATACGACTGGAGGACGTCTTGTGTGCCAGATATTGATGGAGAAGCGGGCGGGATACCCTTTTCGGCGACAGCTCTGGGTAATTCAGGAAGGCTTTCCTCTTCTAGGGCTGTGTCTTTAAGGTAGTCGATCAGATGGAGCATCAAAATTAGACAGAGGAAGCCTTCAAGAATTAATAATCAGTGGGGTGTGACTTGTACGAAAGTCAGCAGTAGAAGGGTCATATATTCATAGCTAGACGCTCATTTCACGGACAGAAACCTGCTCTTTCTCGAGATCTGTCAAGTCTGGGAGGTCTTGAGTAACTCTGTTGAAGTGCTCGGTTGGGACAAAGCCCTTGGACTTCCAGGCAAAACCCACCTTTTCGTACAACTCGTCCACCAGCTCCAAAGAAAGGCCCTTGGTTTCGTAGATCAAGGTCCAGGCAAAGATAAAGCAGATAAGGTTGCAGCCACCCCAAATAAAGAACACACTGGTGCCCAAGTTACCCTTATCTTTGTCGACCATGTATGGAGTAGCATAAGCAATGGCCCAGTTCCATAACCAGTTGGAAGCCATACAGAGAGAGACAGACTTAGCTCTGGTTCTCAAGGGGTACAATTCACCAATGACAACCCATGCACAAGGGCCCCAGGTGGCTGCAAAGAAGGCAATGAAAATACATGAGAAAGCAACAAGCACCTTCTTTGACGAGTCGGAGTCAGTGGCTACTCCAACGATAGCGACCACGAGCTGGGAAGTGGACATGCCAGCAGCACCTCCTAGCAACATGTTTCTTCTGCCAACAATCTCCATAAGAAAGATACCTGGGATAGTGGCGCCAACATTGACAATATTGGTTGCCAAACTGGTAGTGAACCCGTCGACTCCAGCAGCGTTGAAGAAATTGGTACCGAAATAAAAGATGAAGTTGACGCCAGTTAATTGTTGGAAAGCTTGACACAAGATACCAGTCAACAAACGTTTCTGTTGGTGATTCTTGCGGGAAAAGACTTGACGCCATGATGATTTTCCGAACTCACATTCAAACAAATAAGCAGCTTTGATGTCGTTGAACTCTTCCAACAAGTCAGGATCATCGGTAGGAAGCTTCCTGAGCCTAGAAAGCGATTTCAAGGCTTTCTCATCCTTTTCTTTAGAAACATAAAATCTTGGGGTCTCTGGCATAAAAAACATGCTGATACCCAAAATCAACCCCCAAAGAATCTGAAGGGCTAGTGGGATTCTGTATGAGCCTGAGTTGCTGAGTTTATGGGTAGCCTGGTTAAAGCAGGCAGCCAAAAAGATACCAATAGTCACAGCCAACTGGTAGCACGAAACAATAGCGCCTCTGATCCATTTTGGCGCAGCTTCAGACTGATACAAAGGCACAGTCGAAGAAATCAAACCAACGGCAGCTCCAGCAATAGCCCTTCCAGCACAAAGTAAAGGTATACTTGTAGCAATTGTTTGAAGAACAGCTCCCAAATTGAAGACCACTATGGAAGCCAAGATCAAGCACCATCTTCTTCCCAAAGTATCACTGATAAGTGGCGTTGCAACAGATCCAAAGAATGTTCCCACAGACAAAATGGAAACAATCAAGGACGTTTCGGAAGAAGTAAACTCTTGACCATTGGCCGGAAACGTGCTCTTCACATGTTCCATAGCCATAATACCATTGATAGTACCTGTGTCATACCCGTACAAGATACCACCAAAAGCAGCCACTATACCCACAACTATACCCATAGTGGTAGACCCAGCCTTTTTGTCACCCACATCGATAAACTTTCTCACTAGAACGTTGTCTTCAAGACCCATGTTTGAATTATTCTTCACTGTCGTCCGAGAAATCGTGTCTTTTAAGTATTTTCACTTTCCGTCCCAGCCATCAAGTCGGGGAAGTCCTTCGCCATGACACTAACCCCACTGAGGGATTTTGGTCCAAAAGTGCCTTTGATTATCCATCTTTTTTGCAGCCAAATACATGTACGTTGTGCAGATAGAAGGGAATGAACGCCATATACGAGCCTCAAGCAAGATGGAATGCAGTCTATAAACGTTGGAGCGGGCGGGTTACTGTTTTCGGACAACGTCATAGGTACCTGGGCAAACTAATTTTCCTTGAAAAGCCTTTGTCCACGGAAAAAATACCTTTTATTTGCCGGATAAAACAAGTGGAGAACACATGCGCCGATAATCTGAGCAATTACGTGCCGAGAATTGGTAAGGCGGGCATTTATACCGCTCTTAAAGAAGGTTGTCTCATGTACCCCAGATCATCATAGAATATAGTGAAGGAAGGAAAAGGATAAAATTAAGGCTTCTTGAAGCTGGGGACATTGTGTTGAAGTAGAATTGTCCTGAAGTGTATTGTCAGGTCGTCAGCTAGAAAGAGCTGTTTTTCATGGGTTCTTGTGGAGTATGTGCCCCTCGTAAGTACGCTACATGTTCTCGAAGGCTCAAGTGGGGCAGATCGGAAAATCCAGGATTAATTTGGACTTTTGCCGAACTGGCTTTGCAGTGGGCATTTTCTTCCGACTCCATCGCTTCACGAAGATATGTGCTGGTGGCGAGGCTAATTTCAGTTGTTCAACTCCTTGTGGGGTTTGTATCCAAATCAGGCTTTATTGTTTCTGTATTTTTACCCGTATTTCTCGATGTACGCTGGAGCCACAGAAAACACCAAACCACAGCAAGAAATGCAATACAAAACTGACTCGGAACTCCACTTCTGGATTTGTGTCAAGGTTATGATCTTTGGCTGCACGGTTACGTTTCTCTTTGGGGTTATGATTCTACGTGTCGTTGGTTACAAAATTAAAATTAATTGAAAAGTAACAAACACAAAATTCGAGCGGTGCCGTGTTTCGCTAATTCATATTCCTACTCGTAATTTGGAGACTTGGGCTTTATGCCCACCATCCTCTTCAAGAAGTCCAAGATATAATCCTTGTCATCGCTAAAGACAATCTGAGACTTATCACGCTCAGCTGCCTTCTTAGCATTCTCTTGGTCACTAAGACTTGGGTCGAGATCGCCAAAGTTCTGGGTATCAGGCAACCTGTGGTCTCTCATTAGAAGCACCCAGACAAGCAAAGGAACACAAAGACAGACGCCCACAATCGAAAGCTTTCTTTGAAGCTCGGCATAAGCCATACTGATGGCTCTTCTTGGCGCCGAACCCCATGGAGCGAGCATAATAAACGTGTATGGCTCCAGGTAAGCACTCAAAGCCATGGAGGGGTCAACGCCCAACTCTGTCATTTTCTCCACGATAACACCATACATTTGTTGGGTCCAAATGGCACCAGAAATACTCTTGGAGAGTGCTGATCCAACAAGGTAGGACATGGAGAAGACTGCAATAACAGAGGCCATGTATTCGTGGTTAGTACATGCCTGGACAGAAACGGCACCAACACGAAGGAGACATCCACATGCCACACCGACAAAACACATTCCAATAGCAACACCATCACGGTAATACTTGGCACGGACTCCATCGTTGTCACCTCTGAAATGAACAAAGAGGCCCATGGCAATGAACATCATGGCAACACCAAAGAGCACAAACAATTTGGTTCTTCTGACTTTAGTCAACATAAGGCCAACGATAGGAACAGTAAGACCTTCTAAGAAGCCCTTAAGTGCTGGGGTTCTTGTGGCGACAGTGACAGAAGCGTTCATTCCAACGAGCAACACAGGGTAAGAGTAGTCATCAGGCATTCCATAAACAAAGGTTGTGAACAAACTCATGAGGAATGCTGCCCAAACACCACGGTCTTTCATAACCTTCCATGGAAGCAAAGGTCTTTTGGTACACTTGGTTTCCCAGAAGATAAAGATAGGGATTGCAACAAAGCCCATCACAAGAGGGACGATGGTAGAAGCTCTTTGCCATTGGGAACGTGTTCCTCCAGCAAGAGTTAAAGGAACCAAAAGGAGACCAAGAACAACAGCAACCAAAAGACATCCAATCAAGTCCACCTTCCAGAAGATGGCATGTAAGTTATCCACCAAACGAAGGAAAAGCACTTTGGTGTAGCCCTTGAACTTACCTATAGTTGAAGCGCTACCATCGAGTTCAAGCTGGTATCTCTTGGCCCTTGGGCTACCTTCAATAAAGTTCTCCTGCTCTTCTCTGTTGATCTGCTTCCAAGTCTCTGTTCTTCTTGCCTTTATAATCAAGTGAAGGTAAAAGAGAATGTACGGTAAACACACCAAAGGTGTAGTATAAGCCCAAAGGGCAGTACCGAAACTCCAACTATGGTTTGCCAAAAGCTCAGCAATAATCTCTCCAATAGACCAAGTGTTCACGATGGTAGGCATACTCATGGCACCCACAGCAAAGGTTCTCCACTTCAAGGACGTTGCATCACACAAACTGAGCTGCCACAAGATGGCTTGACCTGAGTTACCCAAAGCAAAGAAAACAGATCCAGCAGCATACTTTTGTACATCAGTAGCCTTTGCCTGGACGATGTTACCAATCACCTTACAAATCAAAGCGACAATGAACAAGGGAAGACGACCAAAGATATCAGCAGCTCTTGCAAAGAAAGGGTAAGCAGCACCAGATGCAACATACCTAATAATGCCAATAGTAGACATAAGCGAATGCTGCTTATAAGAGTTCGTAGCATAACTCAGAAGAACGCTAATGGCATAGTTTTCCACCGAAATGATGTACATACCAAGAAAGATAGTAAAACAGAAGATCACCTTCTGCCATGTGGATGTCATTTGTTCCATGATAAGCTCCGATTTACGAATACCAAACGACTTGATGACCACCATAGAGTCATCTGAATCAGAGGATGCTGACAGGGTTCTGTCAAGGTCCTTATGGTCAGTAACCTGAGACTTTTCATCGTGAAGCTCAACATTCTTAATATCAGACAATCCGTTAGTCTCTTGCGAGACTGAAAAAGATCTGAATTCAGCCATGATTGATTAATGAAAGATCAGGGAAACCATGGTTAATTTATAGACGATATGGAACCCCGAATTGACGCTTGTGCTTGTGAGAAATTAAAAAAAAAAAAAAAAAAAAGACGTCAACCATGGCACTCCATTGCATTGTCCTCTTTACGACTCGTGCACATCCCTTGCATCTGTATGGCCGAACTGAAGGGATACATTGACGTACGTTTCTTGGCGTCTATTTGAAAGTTTTTAATCGTTTTACTTCAGCCGGGCAATCCCAGCTCTCCTCTTACGAAATTTCTTGTAGGGCTAAGAAATTAGTAATTTTTCATATATTGTTCTTGTCCTGGCGCCAGAGCGACCAATTCTTCATCCAAACTCACATCTACAATTCCAATAACCAACCCCTCCTGAACCACTTTGACACAACCGATCGTAAATTTTGGCCCGCCTTCATAGCATACATGTGCATATGTCGAGGTAGCTTCTTTTGGTGAAAAATTTCATCGAATCAAAACTCCCGCTTCCTTGGCTAAGCCTGTCTCCAGGCAGTCCGTTTATCGGAACCATCTAATCTGAAAAATCAAGAATTTCTCTGTTTGTGCGTCAATCACACGTAAATGCCATGCACTATTGACTAAGGCGAAGAAAACTATTGTGCTTTGGGTAATGGTTATGTGGAGAGTTTGGGGGACCCTGTTCCACGCCGCACGAGCGATTTTAGTGCAGCAGAATGAAGCATGAGCTCGTAAGTTGGATCCAGTGTCACATTAGCGAAGCACATCGAGGTGTGGAAGATGGATGGAAAAAGGAAAGATTTTTGGTGGATTGATGGACTTGGAGGTGTTCTTGATATGGGAAAATGGGTGTTCCCGCTTTCTGGTGATCCCATCTGATAACGGTGGGAAGGTTATTTAGAGCTGCGCAAAAGTGTCAAAATATTAACTACATATGTAAATGTCTTTCTCGTAAAATGAAGAGGGAGCGCCCGAAATCGGAAACGGATGCAAGCGGTTGGAGAAGTTACCGGAGCCAATGGGAATGGGCTCCTGCTGGCGTCCGTTCCGGAACTTACAACCCCAAGGGGCTCTATTGTTCTTTCTCACACTTTATATATATGTGGATCCTGATGGTTTAGATAAGTGAAAAGTCTAATTTTATGTTTTTGAGAAGAAAAGTGGTTCAAGAGAAAGTACATAAGGTCAAAGCCATAGAGGTGTTTTTGCATTGCCGCCATTACCTCAAAGTCTATCCATTCCAACGAGGTTGAGGAGTTCCAAAGTCAAGTGGTATACTACAATTTACTACCAGACAAAATGACATCTTTCATTAACATTAAGAATTAGATACAAGTTTCAATTATTGTTCAAAGAGGAAGCAACATATCCCCTTAGTTCTCCACGGAAGCTGTCTTGGGCTTGATGCCAACCAACCTCTTGAGGAAGTCCAAGATGTAATCCTTGTCGTTGTCAAAGATAACTCTGGACTTGCCACGGTCAGCAGCGGTGACACCCATTTCAGGATCAATGGCGGCATCGTCCAAGTTCTGGTCGTCGGTCAACTTGTTGTCTCTCAATAAGAGAATGAAGCAAAGCATGGGTACACAGAGACAGAGACCAACGATACACATCTTCTTCTGGACATCGGCATAGGCCAAACTGATGGCTCTTCTTGGGTCAGTACCCCAAGCGTACTTGGCAATGAAGTCGTATGGCTTCTGGTATGCCAAGGTGGCCAAAGAAGTGTCCACATTCAATTCCTCCATTCTTCCTCTGATGGTACCATACATATCCTGAGTCCAAATGGCACCTGAGATACTGCTGGACAAGGCAGAACCAATTTGGTAGAAGGATGCAAAGAGGGCGGTGACTGTTGCCATGTACTCGTGGTTGGTACATGACTGAACAGAGACAGAGACGACTCTGAAGATAAAGACCTGGGCGAAACCAACAAAACACATACCGATAGCCACACCATCACGGTAGTATTTAGCACGGTAACCATCGTTGGTACCTCTGAAGTGGACAAACAATCCCATAGCAATGAACAACATGAAGTTACCAAAGATAATAAAAGCTTTGGTTCTTCTGACCTTCGACAAGACGAAACCAAGAATAGGCATGGTTACACCTTCAACGAAGTAGTTCAAAGTAGGCGTTCTCTGAGCAACCACCTTGGAAGCGTTCATTCCGACGAGCAAAACTGGGTAAGCATAGTCGTTAGCCATACCAGTATTCAAGGTACTGAAGATACCAATAGCAAAAGCAGCCCAGATACCACGGTCCTTCATCACCTTGAATGGAACCATTGGTCTCTTGGTAATCTTGGCTTCCCAGACAATAAAGACAGGAATAAGAACAAAACCAATAACAAGAGGAACAATTGTAGAAGCTCTCAGCCACTTAGAGTTGATACCACCAGCAAGAGTCAATGGGACCAAGATGAAACCAAACACAAGAGCAGCCAAAAGACATCCAATAAAATCAACCTTCCAGAAAACAGCGTGCAAGGTCTGAACAAGACGAACACCAAAGAGCTTGGTGTGGCCCTTCAACTTACCTGCAAAAGTAGTGTCAGAGAGCATCTCCAGGTGGTATCTCTTAGCAGAAGCACTGCCCTCGATAAAGCTGTCTCTTTCCTCCTGACGGATCTGTTTCCAGGAATCAGTTCTTCTAGCCTTCATGATCAAGAAAAGGAAAAAGAGCATGTATGGCAAGCAGACCAAAGGAGTGGTGAAAGCCCACAATGCAATACCAAAGCTCCAGCTGTGTCTCTCCAAAAGAGTGGAAGTGACTTCACCAACAGACCAAGTGTTGATAATAGTCTGTAAACTCAAAACGCCAATAGCCACAAGTCTCCATCTCAAAGAAGAAGCATCAGACAAGTTGATCTGCCATAAGATTCTCATACCAGCGTTACCAAAACCGTAAAACACTGTACCGGCAGCGTACTTCTGGACATCGCTCGCCTGGGACTGGATAAGAAGACCAATGATTCTAAAGATCAAGGCCACAATGAATAACTCGAAACGACCAAAGTTATCGGACAATCTGGCGAAAAATGGCAACGAAGCAGCGGCAACCACACTTCTAATAATACCAATAGTAGACATGAGCGAATGCTGTTTGTACGAGTTTGTAGCATAACTCAGGAAGGTTCTAACGGCATCGTTCTCCATCATCATGATGTACATACCAATGAAGATAGTGAAAAAGAAGAAGCCCTTCATCCACCAGTTTGTCATCTGGGCCATGATAAGTTCCGATTTACGGATACCGAACGATTTAGCCACAATACTGGAAGTATCGGTGCCTGAGGATGCAACCGACAGAGAGTCATTGAGCTCCTTGGAACCATGGCTTTGAGTCTTCATCTCGTTCGAGTCCAGAATCTGCACCTTATCGAAATCATCAGTCTCGTTAGAGACTGGAGGTACTTTAGAGTCAGCCATGATGAACAAAGAAAAACAAAAAAAGAACCATCAACTCCAGGAAATTTTCCACCCTTTTTATACCGATCCTTTCCGGAGACCAGACATGTTCGATTTAGCCCATCAACCGCATCGCCATTGTCCTAACCCTTTTCTTAGCAAGGCTTATGCTTTATGCTTCTGCCTTATGCCTTCAGTTCATGCAGCATGCCAACAAAAGCCGAATTACGAACTGCAAATACTGAAAAGAGGTTCCCAGAAAGACGTATTCCTGCAACAGACCCTTTGCAGTGCCTTCACAGCGCCTTCTATTCATCGTGCATCAAAGGAAACATCAAACGTCAAATTGAAAAAGACATGCCTTATGTATGAAGCGCCATACACGCAAATCTTTATCAGATGGCATCAGTGAAGATTGACGTTTGCCGGGCAGGTTTCTTCATATTTTTCTTGATTTTTCAGGCTTTGACAGCGTCCTCAGCATGTGGGGTTAAACCACTCCAGCCGTGCGACCTACGAATACCCATCACCAGACGAGACCATCACTTGCACCACTTTTGGATAAAAAGCTGCTTGCTTGTTCTTACTTGCTTTTGGTCGCCCTTGGCGAGCCATTTTCCTGAAACACTATTGTCCATCCAGTGTCTGCAAAAGGTATGGCCTATGCTTGTTGGGCAATTTGCAGCCATTACGGTATATGCCAAAAGCCGTATGCTTCCTGTGCGTTCTATTTCTCCGTTGCTTTATCGCCTTTTCTCCTTCTCATGAAAACCCCATACTAAAAATCTTGTCTCTTTGCCTTGGCCAATGGAAACTCGTTCTGGGCCTCTTCATTCTTGCATATCTCTATGTGGCATTGCCGCACTCGGTATAGGTTCTTATTGTGGTGAGGATCGTGCTGGGCGGACTGTTTGGCGATGTTCCCGTGGAAATTGGGTGTTTTTTGGTATCTCTATCGACCCGCCATCGTCACTTTATACCCCTGACGTTTTTTCGCCGCCGGTAAATGACAAGTTAGGCGAGTGAAGCTCTTAAGTAGTCCACTGACAGGAGACGGGGAAACGGAGAAACGGAGTGGTCGCTTGATCTTTTAACCTTCCCTTTTCTTGGCGATCTGCTAGTACAATAGCCCGAGGATTACAATGCATATTGACGCCGCTCCAGAAACTGTCAAACGTATACCTGAGGAGAGGTTTTTGCAACTTCTGCCATTCCAGGATGGGAATTGATTTTGGGAAATTTAACCAATGGCAACTGAAAACAAGAGTCTTGGGAGTATGAGGGAGGTTTTTTGTTCCAAGAGTTTTGGCTGGATATGGCGTGGTTGGTGGTGGTTGGCTGCATTATCTGATCTTTGCAGCCATAGTGTAACGAAAAGTGGCACTTTTTTGCTTTTGCCTGGCATTTGTTTTGGCTGGTTGGGACTTTGTAAACCGTGCGTTTTGGGCCCACATCTTGACGTGTTTTCAAAGGTTATAACTCCGTGTTGGCGCCATGGCGCTTAAACCAGGGTATAGTTGCATGGACAGTAGATGTGAGTAACCGCCCATTTCTGGTTCAATGGAACCACCACAAGACGTATTCATAGTGGGCCACCAAAAGTATGCTAGTTTCTGGGCCATTTGCTTCCCTGCTACTTTGTTATCTCCATACCTGATGGTAGTCGGCCAATCACCTTCTCGTCAATGTCTCTTATTCATAAGCGAGGGGAAGGTTAGTGATACAGAGGGGTGAACTCGGGAGGTGAAGCTTTGCATGGTTCCGATTCTTGATGGGGACGACAAAGACTTTGTTACATTACGAGACTTGTGACCGACTGTGAAGTGAAAAATTCCGTTGAACGGGTGTTCTGAAGTGAGGATGAGGTTTGGTGATGAAAACTACGAATAACTGTGAGTAGACGGCAGGTTGATGAAGAGTTTTTTAAGTTAATTTAATAATTGTGAAATTTACTTCTATACATAGTACAGGCTGCTTTGTGGTGGTATTGTTGAAAGAGATGTATTACTACGCTTTTGCAGCCAAAAATACAGTTCTGCTTGTATGATAGGTATTGAAAAGAAATATGAATCTGTTCGGATACTTAATAATGTCTTTATTTTTTAAATGAAATTTGTTTGCCTTTTCCTAGACGTTGTGTGTTGATGTTTTTCTGTATGTCCTCTGGTTCACTCCAGTACCATACTTAGAGCCAATGAATGATCTCACTGAAAGACGTAAAACTACGTTCAAGAAGCAAAAGCCTTTTGAATCTCCTACAAAAAATAATTTTTCAGCCTAATTGCATTTCGCTGTTCTTCTTGTCTTCCCTCGATCCTTTGTTCTGCTAACTACGAGGAATGGCTGCAAACGCTCTTCCACGAACCAACCACACACCACAAGAACACCAAAAAACACAAAAAAGCCACTCCAACCAAATAATAACATTTTCTTCCAATTCATCCAAATACCACTTCTTTCTCTTCCCTCCTTATGGTATCTTCCATCCCCAGGCGTGCACGGTTCAAATCGTAGATAGCCATCGCTATGCTCATCGAGCTACATCTAACCCCATCTTACCACTACCATGTTGTACTTGATTGGTCTTGGCTTGTCCCACGAAACGGACATCACTGTTCGTGGTCTTGAAACAGTCAGAAAATGTGAGAGGGTTTATTTGGAAGCCTACACCTCCATCCTTATGGCTGCTGATAAGGAATCTCTTGAAAAGTTCTACGGTAAGGAGGTTATCCTAGCTGACCGTGAATTGGTTGAGAGTGGTGCCGACCAGATCCTTAAAGATGCTGATAAGGTTGACGTTGCATTTTTGGTGGTTGGTGATGTTTTTGGTGCTACCACTCACACAGACTTGGTGATCAGAGCCAATGAGCTTAACATCCCATTCGAGTCTATCCATAATGCCTCTGTGATGAACGCTGTGGGTGCTTGTGGTTTGCAGTTGTACCAGTTTGGCCAGACTGTGTCGTTGGTTTTCTTCACAGAGACCTGGAAGCCAGACTCGTTCTATACCAAGATCATGGAAAATAGAAAGATCGGTCTTCATACCTTGTTGCTCTTGGATATCAAGGTCAAGGAGCAGAGCATTGAAAACATGGCCAGAGGAAGACTCATCTATGAACCTCCAAGATACATGGACATCCTGACGGCAGCTCAGCAGTTGTTGGAGATTGAGGAAATTAGAGGTGAAAAGGCTTACACTCCAGACACTCCATGTGTGGCCGTTTCCCGTCTTGGATCTCCATCGCAGAAGTTCAAGGCTGCTTCTTTGAAGGAATTGGCTGAGTACGATGCCGGTGAGCCTTTGCATTCGTTGGTTATGTTGGGCAGACAAGTGCACGAGTTGGAATTGGAGTACTTGTACCAGTTCGTTGACGACAAAGAGAAGTTCAAGGCATTCGTGGAAGCCGATCAGGAGTTTTTCAAGCCTCCTCCATACGTTCCACCTGAGGAAAATTTCAGCGATTAATGATGGTGTATTAATAAATGTAAATAAGGTAAAGGTCTATTGTTCCTTCTTCTCGACAACTGGTTCCAAGTCGTCCCACACATTGTTTGTGATGTCCCATGCCATCCAGTCGTACCAGCCAAAGAAAGCAGGGAAGAAGGTAACCAAGTGCCACAAGGAATGGGCATCAACCAAGTCAAAGAAGATTGGAGCGAAATCGAAGATCTCAAGCGACATGCCCACAATGACAATAAAACAAAGTAAGAGCGGATAAAGCGAGTAAAGCTTAGGCGACTTGGAGTAGAAGCTGCCCATGAAAATGCGGTTTGAGCGAACGTACTCGAGGTGGTCCAACCTGATGATGTTATCGTCTTTTTCTAGGTCATAATACTTCGTATAGAGCTCGAAACAGGTCAAGCCCCAGAAGATGTTTTGCAAAATACCCACAAAGATATTAGCTTGCATGTTGTATGTGTACAGCCAGTCTGTCTCGAGACGATAAATATGGGAAGCATAAGCAGCAATGCACAAGAGTGCAAAGGAGTACTTAGCCAAGTACCTCCTTGGGAGGTAGAGCTTAAAGTACCTGAACGCAATGCCGTAGAAGCCGGTAAGAACCGTCAAACCAGCAAAGTAGTAATCAAGCTTTTCAGTAAACATCACATCTCTGATATGGAAAATTGTCAGCGAGAGCCAAGCGCCCATGGCCACCAAAGCCGCAAACCTCGTGTTTCTTAACATGCCTCGAAGGTAGGTGGCCTGTGTCTGTGGAAGCTTTTCAGCCAATGCCTTCAACTGAAAGTACCCCAAGTAGTGTGGAATAAAGTTCAAGAACGAGAACAACATCAGGGCAACCTCTTGAACACCAAAGATTCTCCAAAAAGGCCATTTCCCGTGGAACTGGTACACCTCCTCACCCTTTCTAACTCTTTCCTTCGTCACGATCTGCTGACACTGGTAGTCACAATTGGACGGACAGTCCCACAAGAGCAACTTCATAGGCAAGTTAAGCCCTCCAGAAGTAAACCTCCACAGCGGCTCGTACCGTTTATAGTCGCCAGCAGCCCTCAACGCTTCCTCAAACTGGTCCTGGAGAATGTAGTATGGGTTCAGGTAGCAAGTCAATTGCTCACACTGGTACCTACAATCACGAAAGTCGTCCAAATTGTCTCCTGGAGACGCCAGCACTGACGCAGCCACCATAAGTGATAGCACGATATGGGAAAACATGGTGGTTTGGAGTAGATGAAGATGGGTTGGTTGATCAAGAGTTGGTACGATTTTTCGCGAACGAGCAAGCTGGGAACCTTAATGCGAGAGGTGGTTAATAGAGAGCACAAAAGCTGGGTGGTGGGGAAAAGGTGGAAGAAATATAGGATGTAGTTTTGGGTGGTCGGTTTAAGAAGGCTGTATTGGTGAAAATTCGTTTCTTTGGAAAAGGGCAAGTTAGGCTTGGTGGAAGTTTAACATTGCATCGCGTATAAGGTATACTACATGGTTGCAATTTTCACTGCTAGGTGAGACAGAAAAAGAAAAGAAAGTGGTGTTCATGGAAGGGAAGGTGGGGGCTGGTCTTTTGAGGAGAGGAATGTGAAAAGGTTTAATTTGGTTGAGTTTGTATGGAGAAAAGTGGGATATGGCTCGGGTGAATGGTTGGCGGTTATCTATTTAGTGGAAGTAGAAGCCGCTGGCAGCTTATTAGTTGGATGCAAAGGAAGATTGGGCATAGTGCACTGTAACTTCTTTGGAGATGATGGTCTCTTCTTTTGCTGTTTTAAATTGCTTGTAGAACCTTTCAGTGTGATATTCTTTGGCGTCGTACTAATGGCTTGACGAACAAGGCTGTGAGCCATTGTGGAATACAAATTGAGAACACCGTTGAACTCTTGGTGTCCCTGGTAATTTTTGATTTTTAAAAATCCTTTATCAGGCCCCCACTCGAAACGATAGGCTTTATCTATCAAATGTACATGGCTCTATACCATTGGTCCAAATGCAATGATGAAGTCTCCAATTCAGCCTATTCAGACCACCATTCCATTTCTTTCTTCAAAATTTGAAATACCTGACGTCAGAATTTAAGTTAAGATTATAATTGAACCCTTTTTTTTCCCTTGAAGTATCCCAACATTTTACATCTTGCTTAATCAGACCTAACTAGCCTTACAGTCTCAAGTGCCCCCAATTACAGTAACCCTGGAAGACCAGAAGTTAACATAATAAGTCGTTCTTTTGTCTCTATAAAGCCTTTTTACTTCAAAAACCCACCCCATACTCTTTTTCACCACCTTCCTCGCCTAATCCTCAATTGGTCCAGTAGTAGAACCCATTAAACAAGCACCATCCATCTCTACAAGAAGCACCTAAAAAAAAAAAAAAAAAGAAAAAAGCCTAATCCCCAACTCCCCCAAAGAGGAGAACATCCACCCATCCACTCCATATAAATGCCTCCCACTAAAAAGCAACTCACCTCTTATCGCACCTTCTACCACTACTGTATCGAAAACGGAATATGCTACTTAAACGGCAGGAGGCCGCGATGTCCCACCAGATCTGGCCATTTTCCTGCACTCCTCTGGTCACTATCAAGGCGCTATCGGTTAGTGCCTCTTTCGTACTCCGAACACCTATAAAAGAAGGAGCTTCCCCAGGTTTTTTTTTATCAAGTGTAACTTTTTTTATCATGCCACCAACACAAACTGAAGTCTTGACTGAGCCAGCTTCTAAGGGATACGTCATGGGCGAAAGGGGTTCCCATAACATCGCTAAAGGTTTGCCCCACCCATACCCAGTGCCTAAGTTTGCAACCAAGGAAGAAGAGAGAACTTGGGCTAAACAGCATATGGCTGCCGCTTTCCGTGTTTTTGCACGTAAGGGATTTACTGAAGGCACTGCTGGTCACATTTCTTTAAGAGATCCCGTTGATCCATCTACATTCTGGTTGAACCCTTTGGCTAAACACTTTGGGCTTATTAAGGCCTCTGACTTGGTGCATATCGACGAGGAAGGTAACGTTTTGCCTGACGGTCCTCAAAGCGCTGTGAACGCTGCTGGGTTTGCTATTCACGCTGCTGTTCACAAGTACAGACCTGACGTCATGGCTGCTTGTCATACTCATTCCGTCTATGGTAAGACTTTCAGTGCCTTGGGCAGGCCCTTGGACATGATCAACCAAGACGTCTGCATGTTCTATAAGAGCCACGGTGTGTACACCGACTTCGGAGGTGTGGCGCTCGAGGAGCAGGAAGGTAAAGACATTGCCGATTCATTGGGTAACGGAAAGGGTATAATCTTGCAGAATCACGGTCTTCTTACTGTGGGCCAGACCGTTGACGAAGCCGCTTACTTGTTTTGTCTCATGGAGAGAAGCTGCCAGTGCCAGCTTATGGCTGAGGCTGCCTTGAGACCAGGCGAAAAGTTGAAGATCATTGGCGACGAGGTCGCTGCCTACACCGAATATATGACTGCTGATTCAGAAACGCTCTACACAGAGTTCCAGCCAGACATGGAGATGGAAATCAAGTACGACAGGGAGTTTTTGGATTAGCTTACAGGTGAGAAATGAAAGTAGGTAATTTATTGGAAACGAAATAATGGAAAACTGGAAAATTCGAAAGACGTGTAGTTGGCTTACCGGAAGCCTTTTACTGAAAACTTTCTAGGCTGCAACGATGTTTGAAGCAGAAGTGTACTTGGCCTGAGCGATGGAAATGGTCTGGTCAGTAAGGTCATAGTACACATATGCGCTTCTCAAGAAGACATCACCAAAGATGTATGGATCATCAGCAGTTGGTTGAGCACCCAAAGCACAGATCAGCTGGCCCTCGCCTCCAACGTTCACCACAAGGTCACTGTATGGAATAGAGATGGTGTTCTGGCCAAAGTCAAACGAAATGTGCTTGTCAGAAGGCTGATCACAGCTGACGATATAAAGACCTTGCTGTTGACCAGAAGTACCAAGAGCACTTGCCACGGCCTCAGTAAGGGCTGGAGGCCACAAGTTCCAAGAAGTACCTGAATCCAAGATGAAGTCTTCTCCTAAAGAAACGGTCTGGCCCTCAACAGAAGCAGACTTTGGAGACAAGCCTAAGCCGTATCCACTAGAAACAGAGTACTTCTGCAAGTCACCCTCAAACTTCTCGGTGTCGATACCTCCAAAGATAATGGAGCCCTTACCACTCTGCTCAGAGCCCAAGAACAAAGAGTAAGAGGCTTTTGGGGTAACGCCAGACTTCTGTAAAGCCCATGGCAAGTTGTCGTACTGCAGTTCTCCGGCCTCCTGGTTCTTGTCTGCCACGCCCAAAATACCAGTACTATCGGCATCAGCCAGATCAGCAACAGCAAACTGGAAGTTCTTAACAAGAGTCAGTCCCAGCAGGAACGAGAAGTCGTCCTTGTAGTAACTACCCTCAGCTCCAGAACCGTCCAAGTAGTTGATCGAGAAGGCTTCTTTGGTCTTGGAATCGTCAGAGGACTGGCTAGGATCGAACGTTCCACCCTGAGCATCGCTCACACTAGGGCCATAGACCCAGAGATCGGAGGAGCCAGTGTCAAGAAGAACAGTCACCTTCTCGTGTTGAGATCCCAAGTACACATCAAGAATGTAAGAGATATCTCTCTCGTTAGTGATGGTAGCAGAGGTGGCTCTCTTGGATCTCTGCTCCTTCAATGCACGAATGCTGCTGAAGTATCTCTCTGGGTGATACAAAGTAGAGTTCTTGCTGGTGTCTTTCACAATGTCGAAGTCAAGCTTCAATGGAGCAGAGTCTCTCTTAGAGAGATCAGCGCTCTCCTGTGGGAGAACCAAACCATTGACAAGAGTCAATGCAAGAGAAAAAATAGTCAATAATGGGAGCATCTTCGGTATTGTTGGGATTAACTTTTCTCGAGAAAGACAGAAACTTTGTCACTTAAGTACCCCAGATTTGTCCCAGAACAAGCCCATCCATTTGGGCGTACGGCAGCAGCCACACCGTATCACTGCTTAGCCGGCCGAACCGTACACAAAGCCACAAATCTTCGATTCAACGGTTTCATGTGTCTCCAGTGTCCCAAATGGGGTTCCCGGTTGCGTTCCTACGTCACCGCGTATGTACGCCTTCGCCCTGATAGTGGCTAGATACGAAGGGAAGGAAAGTGGTCCAAAGATATCTGTTTTTCTTGTGCCTAAATTCCATGTTCCCGATATTGTATAATTATTCCTGGATGTCTAAACTTCGCTTATGGATCTAACGACCGTTGCCAAGACCATCGTTGCATGTTTGACAGCTTCGTGCGTCGGGTATACGGAGTGGTGTACCTTTTTTTACCCTCCCATGCTCCTTCCCTATGCGAATGTTCGATCACATGGACCGTATTTGCGCTTTACTATTAACCGAACGGCTCTGATAAGAGCCTTTCTCTGGACGGCTCCAGTGGCTTGGAAGCAAGCCTCTTGTTTGCAGCCACACTTACCGATTGGCTCAAGTGGATCGAGTCCAGTGTTCTTCTGTGGAGATAAGTAAGTTAGGTTGCGTCATGAATTAGCGCAAAACAGAGCCGTTCGCTCGGTATCGGCGTCTTGATAAACTCTGGTAAGACCTACCATTGGCCACGATAACTACCACAGTTTCATTTAAACATCACATTAACTATTAAATCTTCATAACACTGTTAAGTCCGAGCGCCACGTTGTCTGGGACTTACTTTCTTCCGAAAAGCTTCTTGATAAAGTCAAGAATGTAGTCTTTATCGTTGGTAAATGCAACCTGAGACCTGCTGCGCTCAGCACCATTGGATTCCTTACCTTCGGCGAGCATTGCTTCATCGTCCAAGTTCTGGGCGTCAGCCAATCTATGGTCTCTCAATAAGAGGACCCAAACAAGAATTGGGACACAGAGACAGAGACCAGTGATGGAAAGCTTTCTTTGCACCTCTGCGTAGGCCATACTGATAGCCCTTCTTGGGTCGGTGCCCCAAGGGTGGGACTTGATGAACTTATATGGGGACTGGTAGGCAGGCTTGGCCAACGAGGTGTCAACACCCAATCTCTCCATCTGGTTGAAAATAGTCTCGTACATGTCTTGGGTCCAGATGGCACCGGAGATAGCACTACCAATAGCAGCACCGATCTGGTAGAAGGCTGCGAAAAGAGAAGTAACCATAGCCATGTACTCATGGTTAGTACAAGCCTGAATGGAAACAAACACCACTCTGTTGAAAAAGACTTGAGCAAAACCCATAAGACACATACTGATGGCCACACCGTCACGGAAGTACTTGGCACGGTAACCGTCGTTAGAACCTCTGAAGTGAACGAACAAACCCATTGCAATGAACATGACACAGTTACCGAAGACAATGAAGCCCTTGGTTCTTCTGACCTTAGTCAAGACGTAACCCAAGATAGGCATGGTGATGGCCTCAACAAAACCGTTCAATTGACCAGTACGAGTAGCGACAGTCTCAGAAGCGTTCATACCCACGAGCAATACAGGGTAAGAGTAACCGTTAGGCATGGAGGAAATCAAAGTACTGAAGATACCCACCAAGAAAGCGGCCCAAACACCTCTGTTCTTCATCACCTTGAATGGAAGCATTGGTCTCTTTGTAATCTTGGTCTCCCAAATAACGAAAAGACCAATAGAGCAGAAACCAATGACCAATGGCACAATGGTGGAGGCCTGCTGCCATTTAGAGTGAGTACCACCGGCCAAGGTCAAAGGAACCAAGATAAGACCGAAGACAACAGCGATCAAGAGACATCCGACAAAATCAACTCTCCAGAAAATGTCATAAAAGGTTTCCACAGAACGGACACCAAAGTACTTCATTTGGGCAGCCAATCTGCCTGACATGCCAGTGCTTTGGTTGATCTCGTCATCGTATCTCTTTGCCTTTTCGTTGTTGGCAATGAAAGCAGCTCTCTGTTCTTCCTTGATATGTTGCCATGCTTCAGTTCTAGAAGCCTTGATGATCAAGAAAAGGAAGAAAAGAAGGTATGGAAGGCACACAAGAGGTGTGGTGAAAGCCCACATGGCAATACCAAACTGCCAGCCGTTGTTAGCCAAAAGCGACTCCACAACTTCACCACTCGACCATGTCGTGATGATACTGGTCATACTGAGAACACCAATGGCAACAAGTCTCCACTTCAAGGTGGAAGCATCGGACAAGTTGATCTGCAACAAGATTCTCATACCTGCAACACCGAATCCATACAACACCACACCAGCAGCATACTTCTGAACATCTGTAGCCTGGGATTGAATAATAACACCGACAATTCTGAAAACAATAGCGACGAGGAACAATTCGAATCTGCCAAAAGTATCAGACATTCTAGCGTAGAAAGGCAACGAAGCAGCAGCCACTACACCACGAATGGTTGCAATAGTAGACATAAGCGAGTGCTGCTTATAAGAATCAGTAGCATAACCGGTAAACACCCTAAGAGCGTTACTTTCCATCAGGGCAATGTACATGCAGATGAAGATGGTGAAGAAGAAGAAGCCCTTGCTCCACCAGGTTGTCATCTGGCCCATGATCAACTCCGAGCGACGAACACCAAACGACTTCACAGCGGTAGCAGAATGGTCTGATTCAGTGGAGTTGGTAGAGTACGTTCTGTTCAAGTCATGGGAAGCCTCTGACTGGGCCTTCTCATCGTTAGACCTGGACTCAACGGTGTCTCTGGACTCAACGGTATCTCTGGTTTCCATATTGTGGAACCTCTCGTCGTTTCCTACCTGAGCCATGTTGTGGAGAACAAAATAAGAGAAACCATCTCCATTTATAGTGAAAATTCAGCGGGGCTTATTTAAAGCATTGGCCTTGATGAGCCTATTACTTCTTCAATGTGCCTGTGTGTGCCATGCATCCAAGCTGCATAAGCCTGTAGGAAGCCCAATATTCCAACTAACCCTGGTGTCAAAGTAGGGTGACAGGTTTGACAGGAAGTGTCAAAAATCGCCAAAAATCAGCCTTAGCGTCCCCTGGTTGCCTTCCCTTTTTGTCCCCCTCCACCTTTTCGTCTCTTTCCATCCCAACCTCATCCATCTTTTCTGTTATCTGATGCGATCAGTGATTGTTCGCATCCCCCTGTAGGGCGAAAGTTCTTGCGAGGCAGCGCGCCAAGACTTTTCAGTTTTTTTTTTTAGACGTTTTGCCGGATCGCATTTATGCCTGAAGCCTAATGAGTCTTTGTCTTTAATTTTTCACCCAATGACACTTCACCTTCCAGTATGCGCCCTGCTCGTATTGCGATCTGGCCATGGCAGAAAAGGTACAGCGCGGCTGGCAACTGGTCTCGGTTGACAGAATATAAACGCTTCTGGAGGCCTCAGTTGGGACCCAAAAGTGGTCTTTTTTGGTACCAAAATGGACCTATTTTTTCTGGCTTTCACGGTGCTCAACTTACACACTGCAGAAGTCAGCATGCTGAACGATAAATACATTTAAAGAAATTGACCCACGGAGAAACGGAGTGGTCGTTCGGCGCCGTATGCTACCACAAGAAGAAACTTCTGGGTCGCTTCAACCAAGGTCGCCTAACTTCCCTGAGCCAATGACAGCCTTACAAGCACTCCTAGCTGCCCTTGACGCCTTTTGTGGTGCCATACTTTGCTGTCAAAGCCGCTGGCGCAGACGCAAGGCAACGATCCGTGGTCATATTGGGCTAATAATATCGGCTTGACGTCGCTGTCATGGAGGTTTGACGTGGGTATGAAGAGGCGGGTTTCCGACACTGGTAGTACTGGGTAAGGTTTTGGGCGTTGATGGGCGGGCTGTAGTAAAGTGGACTTGCATTGCAACATGTGGTGTATTGTGAATCGGGGTACCGGGAGGTTTGCGGTGTGTTTCGCCAGTAAGAAAATGCAAATCAAACAGGGTATTGTTGCTTTTTTTCTTCTCCAACTTGCGCTTATTGTACTTTTTGGAGTGAGTAACATCGACGGTCAGTAGGCGCCATGAGCACTGTTTCTTGCGTTTTTCTTTTCCGGATGCCCAGCCTGGCGTCCAGGCTTGGGCTGGTTGTATGGTTTAATGTACTACAATGGGCAGTTAGAAGGTTTAGTTCTCTTTATGTATAGGTATTCCTGGAGGTGCTTGAACGGGTCTGTTTTGCCGTGATAGGAAAATATTTCCACTCTCTCTTAATGTTTAAGTGGAGATGATTCAACTCGATTCCAATTACCCCTTACTAGAGCTTTTGTGTGCCAAGTTTGGTCTGCAAGAAAAGATGTTTGATCTTGTCGCCAAGAATTAAAGGTTAACCGTAACATCGGGATCTGGTTTTCACGCCGAGCTGAACCTTATTTGGAGACACCACTTCCGGTGGATGAGTGGTGGGTATTTGGGCTTAATACTTGGCTTTGCGTAGTTTCACCATTTGCATGGCCATTTAACAGCTCTTCGACTTCGTGACGAGGTAACTGCCAGGTCTGAGCGATATCCCTAGCGAGTCCATGGGGAGTTACAGAAAACAGCATTTAACTCACAGGGACATTAATTTCACAGAAGAGACCATCTCTAAACTTCTCATCATCTAATTCATCAATTAAATTTAGCTTCAGGCCTTGGCTCATCACACTTCTCTTACCTATCTCATGCCGGCTTCACTCATTGCCATGGAGGACACTTTTCGGGCATTTCGGGAGTTTGCTAGCTTCTAGACAATACAAAGAGCCTTTTAAATGTTCTATTTATACAAATATGCTTATTTTGTATTTTTGTCAAAGGTTTTTATTTTCTCTCAATGTTGTCTACCTCTTACGTAAATTGCGAAATACAAATTGAGGGTCAGTCTCAGGAGGAAAAACAAAAAAAAAAAAAAAAAAAATAACAATATTTGCATGCAATTAATTCAAAGTCTTTCAGCTAAATCAAGTCCTAATTTGTGAAAGAAGCTTTGCGTGGGCTGCAATGTTTCAGGTACCTCGGCAAGACTTGACTTTGTAGTGGCTGCGAAACCTTACGCAAGGTAAGGTTATCTGATACGAGAATGTGCGTCATGATAAAGCAAGATCTTGCAAAGAACTGAATTAAGCTGACAATGATGCTTTTGATCTTCAAGCTTCTGAACTACAAAAATGATATCTCGGCTACCTACTATAACAATATGCTCGAAATCAACTATTCATTTATTAAGTAATAAAAGACAAGAAGCGAAACAAATTAAAAGAAACAGCAAACTTTCCTCAAACATCCAACTCTGAATGTCTCTAAGGCGTAATCATATCTAGATCAACAAAGCGGCAACGCCAGCGAAACCAGCAACACCAGCAGCAACACCAAGGTTACCGGCAGCACCTTCGTAAGAGGAAACCTCAGCGTGAGGAGCCTCAGCAGAGGACTCAGCAGCTGGGGCCTCAGTCTCCTGAGCCTCAGAAGTCTTAGCCTCCTCAGTAGTAGCCTCAGCAGAAGACTCAACATCCTCAGCCTCAGCAGTAGAGGTGGCTTCAGCCTCAGCACTGGAGTAGTAACCAGTGGACCAGATGGTCTTGGTGTAAGTGTTAGTACCCTTGGTACCAGTGATAACCTTGTAGGTAATGAAGGCACCCTCTGGGGTAGTCAAGTCCTCAGGCTCAGTGATGGTCTCAACGTAGGTGGCACCATCGTTGGTGACAGTAACGTATTTCAAAGCAGAGACAGCGGAGGCAGCAATGGAGGCGAGGAGAACAGTAGAGAATTGCATTTTTGTTTAACGAGTGGATTGATGATAGAAAGAAGAAAAAAATATAATCAGGGCCAGGATCATCCCATTATATAGTTTGCTGCCGCAATGCAAAGCCGTATATCGGTCCACAGCGATCAAATAGATAAATTCCTGAGATTGGCTATACACCTTTTGGGGGCAAGCCAAAGCATACGATCCGTGATATCGGGTACAGTTCCGAAGACCACCCGGCTGCAAAATATTCGACTACATGCTCTGCAGAGACGCTGCGCATGCACATGTCTAGCAAAGATGGAGTTTCAACGAAATTTGAAAGGAAAAACGCCATCATCGTAATGTCAAGCCTTTGTTCATTATTTTCACATTTTTTCCCCGTCTTCTTACCATCTCTATGGTGTTTTCTGACTTGACGTAAAATAGACACATGCTCGGCCCGTCCGATCCGCAGCCATCAGTGCGTATCCGAGACGTGCCAAGCTTTTTGGACGTCGCCTTAAATATAATGTCACCAGCTTCCGAGTGCCACAGACGCAACACAAAGTTTAGCAGGGATCGAGGCCATTGGCTGTGCAAGTTGCTTTGATGGATTTGGAAACGCAATTGCCCAAAGCGACCACTGTGGAGTCACAGTAGGTTGGATTTTGAGGGAATAGAAAAAATTGTGGTCTTACGAAAATTGTCAAAAATGAAATCCTCCTATTACCTAAATTGCAAAACTTTCTGCTAAAAACTCTACCTGATTGCTCCTTGTCCATTGCTCGCAATCTGTTAATAAGGATGATGGCCCGCATGCAACAACAAGGCTCGACTCCTCTTCCGCGGTCTCATGGTACTCGCTAAGAACCGTTGATATAACTGGCCTTCCACTTTGCACCTTCAAAGCAGTCAAATGATCGACCTCGAAATCTTTTGTCTGTGGCTCCACAGTTTGGTCAAGCATAGGCTCTTCAAGGTCGTCCATTTGGTAGTACTGCGTGTCTGGCACTTTCTTTCTGAAACCCTGAATAGCGCCTTTTATCCTCTGGAAAAAGCTTGTGAAAGTTCTCTTTGGCGTCTCGATATTTGACGTACCTGTAACAAAAATATCAATTTTGGCATCTTTGTATTGAGGAGAAAGTTCCAATAAACCCGATTCAGGGTCTTCCTGGTGACAAAGTATTCCACTCTCCTTCAAAACAAACAAGTCTTCTTTCTGTCTCACAATAACACAGAACCTTAGGTTGTAATGCTTTGGAATCTCTTCATTAGATGCTTTCTTGTTTCTGAAGTGGAAGTATTTGAAGATGGGCAACCCAAAAGCCAAGCCTGAGCCACCACTAACTATACTGATGTTATCGTTGAGATTTCTCGTGAAGAAGAATTCATCAAAGGCAGGGAAAGGCAGTGAAACAGTGTAGCAAAAGTAATTTTGGGATGCCAAATGCAAGGCAAATTTGTTGGTTCTCTTCAACACCAAATCAACGTACTCTTCGTTGTCTAAAGAAGCAATAGTGTACGGGTGAGTAGCAAAGAGCCATGACTTTGGATTCAAGAACGACGGCGAGATCCGAATATGAGACCCAGGCGAGAAATATGTAAGCATAGAGTCGTCCTGGTTGTTTCTGAATTTGGTTGATGCCTTTATAACCTTTTCAAGTGGGATTCTTACCATCATCAACCCGCTTTCAGGGACGCTAATAGTGTAGTAACTGTTGGACTCATCAACCTTGTCTTTGATATTGTAGCTCAAGTAGATCTTGGCTGCTGTATGGTACACCAACAAATACAAACTTCCAAAGACGTATAAGTTTGCTTCAGGCATGCTATGAAGATACATCAAGGGTACGGAAACCCAAGCAGTAATGATATGCAAAGCATAGAAGAGCTTATAGCAGCGTTCACGAATTCCTCTTATTCCAAGAAGTAGCGTAATGAACAAAAGCAAGAAGTTGACCACACCAGGAAACATCAACTTATCAAAGGTCTTATGGAGCTCATTCTTGTGGATCCAGAAACCAAAGAATCCAAGAGAGTGGAGCAGCACCGATAAAATGCAAACTCGTGAAATCCACTTATGGAGCGGTATCAAATGCATATACAAGACATTTGGCAATGGGTTGGGTTTCAAAGATAAAAAGATGATCAATGGGTACAATGCAAGACCAACTCTGCCAGCTCTCTTCAACATCCCAAGACTGATTTTAAAATGGATGTAATCAGGCGTCTCCTTGATGCCCAGGTACCAAGGAATGAACAAAAGCAAGGACATGAAGACCAGCCATATAAGGACTTGAAGCAGTAGTGGGAAGTAAACCAACCTCCTTACCATCCTAAGTAGCCAGCCATCTTTCTTACTTGCTCTAGGTGATATTCTAACCTTAAGGGAACCAGAAAGGCCTATAGTTATGATATTCACACAAGATAAGGCAAACACAAAGTACCCATACTTTTTGTTAAGATTAGCCCAAGGAGAATTTGCCCCATCGCCATCCCACCTTCTGTAAATTTCATACGTTTCCAAAGTCCCTGGCTCCATAGTACTAAATGGTTGCAAAAGAGAGATATGAGAAACACCAAAAGATATATCTACCTCATCACTATAAACCCATCGAGGGGACCAATACCCCGCCAGCCAATGGAAACCTCTTCATTGGTAGACGATCTCTTGGCTTTTCCAAAAACCAGCGGTTTTGTACGATCCGAAGTTTGGCACCTTTCAAAGAGATGGAATAGATAGAGCGTCTGGGCTCGGAACGCAAGGCAACTTTGGCAAAGAGAAAGCGTACAGCAACTGCAGCCACAAGTGGGGGACAATGAGCCGATACATTGAAGAATATAGGAATTCTAGCATATTTTACAAATTTTTTTTTCTACTTTTGGGCAGGTGCATTGGAGTCGCCTTGTCTGTTTGCCTCACTGTGGTGAGATCTTCTTCTGCGGCCCGAGACACCGAAGAGGCATCCGAGATGGGTGCAAATACGAAGTGCCCCCTGTGAAATCAAAAGGGCCAGAACAAGGAGTATTAGTAAAGGGGTATGCATTGTTAGACCGGCTCGGCAGTTGCAAGAGAGGGCCAAAAAAAAAAAAAAAAAAAAAAAAAAAAGGAAGGGAAGGAATGTTGGGTGAAGTGTATCATGGTGGGAGCCATGAGGTAAGCACATTCTAAGAGGATATTAATGTGGTTTTCCAAGGAAGTAAGTGCCATATCAGGATTATTTTTTGTGGTAGTAGATTAATCAAGGGTCCTTAAGTAGCTTTAATTTGTCCTTCAAATCAGATAGGTTAACAGAGAAGAAACAGTGTGATTACGATCTACCAGGCTCTACGTCAAGTAGTTTATCCCAGTTGTCTATATCAAAGTAGCACAAATTTATTAATTAGCTCGGCATGATGCCTAGGGCTCATTTAACTATATATCTTAACGTCACTTACAAAAGCATGGCGACAGCAGCAACGGCAACACCACCAACAGCAACAACCTTACCAGCACCAGAGTCAGAAGAAGAGCTCACCTCAGAAGCCTCAGAGGAAGCAGACTCAATAGCAGAGCTGTTTGGAACAGTCTCAGAGAGGGTCTTTGTGTAAGTAGCAGAGTCCTGTTCGACGGTCAAGTGGGTGGTGGAAACAGACTCCAAGCCATAAGTGTTGGTAGCAGTCTTTGTGTAAGTAGCATCGTCATTTTCAATGACAATGGTGCTGGTGTAGGTACCAGAAGTTGGGGTAGTGGTAGCCTGGCCAGTGTTCTTCTCAGTTCTGGTTTTAGTGTAAGTAGCACCGTTAGCAGTGACAGCGACGGTAAAAGTAAGGGAAGAGTCAGCAGCAGCGACAACAGCAGCGAGACCAGAAAGCAAAATAGTAGAAAACTTCATTATGGTGGAGAAAAATAATTTATTCGAGAGCCTTTTTCGATGGTGGGAGACTCCTGCTTATATATTTTGTAAGTATACCTCCTTCAGACCGCCGTAAAGCCACTCATTTACCGGAATAAGCCTGCAAACTATGCCGATGACTTCCTTCTCATGCTCAATGATTGTTCTGATAGTCCCTAGAACTAGGTTCACAAAAAGACGATCCGAAGGTTCCTGCTCGGGCCGACATGTTGTACCTCAGAGACATGCTCAGACTGCAAAACTTTAGACGCACAATTTTCGTATGCACAGGAGATGAACATCGAAATGCAAGGCAGAACAACCAATACGTCTGAAATGATGCTGATTTATGCTTAGCTAAAATTCGTTTTTTCTTGAATGCTAAGACTTTTTTTCAAAAATAGCCAATGTGCTTGCCACGAAATGTCACCTCCAAAGTTCCGTAGCGTGAGGTTGACATGATGCATGTAAGCGGCCATTAAGCCCTGATTTCCGATGATCTTTACCTTTGATGAAGGCTTTCTCCACGTAGAAAAGCGCCGTGTCTCTTTGGCTTTCATTGTAGTGCCACATGAAAAGAAAGGCACCGGTGCATGGAGCATATGAGGCATTTGCGGGCCGTCTGATTAATCAGATTATGCATTTGAGAACCGGTCGGACCGGCTTAGCAAACTCCCATGCAGCTAGACGCCCCATTCCATTGGTTCACTATTTTTCTCGTCTCCGTATTCTGGAGGGGGATTTCCGTAGCCCGGAGGCTTGATATCTTCTTCGTCCAGCTCCAGTTTGTCTCGTTTCTGCAAGACAATTGGACACATCATTTTGAAGTACACTTCATTGGAAATATCTTCAGAAGATGCCACTCCAAGAGCCACTTGAAGCTCAAAATCCCTCTTTATATTACAGGTGATAAAAGACTGACCCACATCCTGAATATCGCAATCCCACCATGCTGGATCAAGATCAAGCTTGTATAGCTCTCCCTTTCCCAGACTTTGCTTCGCATCGTTTACCGGTACCGGTTCGAAATCAGTGAAGCTAATCTCATTATCAAGTGGCTTATCTAAAAGCGTATACTTGTGTGTCCTGCGAGAATGCTTCACAGCAAAGTACCGTATTCTCAGTACAAGTTTGATCTTGATGCTTGATATGCGAAGCTTGAACGAGTCAGAATTGTGCTCGCCCTTTTCGTTGTTATCGTCACCTGCTAGCTCTCTTAAAGCTCCTCCAGAGATTGGCGTTTGCAATGATAGCAGGACAAAATTCGAAAGCTTTGCGTTACTTCGTAACACACGTTGAGTATCGCCCAAAGAAGTTTTGAGTTGTGGCCCCATATACTGGACAGCCAAATCCATTGGTAATTGGATACCATCTGATGAAAACAATTTCTTGAAAAAGCCCTCCACCTTCATTGTTCCCTCGGGTGTATATTTAAGCTCTTTGGAGCAATCATCGTGGTAAGGGTGAACCTTCTTGTTAATGATGTGGTTCACCGAAAACGTCATGTCATTATTGTTAGGGTAAAACTTCATATCTTCAGATGCTTTTGTATTGAACTTAAACATTGATGGATTTCTTACTGTCGCTATAACTGAATAGTCGACACGGCAGTAATTGTCGAAGGACGACCTGTGATAGTACGTGGGAGCCAAAGCCACTTCATCGGTAGGCTCTTTCCTCGTATACCCACGGGAATGCAAGAACTTCTTTTCTTCCTTACAATCAGGATTGTGGTCTTTTCCTGGAAAAGTGAATGCAAAAGGATAAGAGTATGAACCCTCCGTCAATGTATATGACCCTGAGGATGAAACGACCTGGATATCTGGAGGAGGAAACAATGTTGCCACTTCTTTCAATAAGATATGTTTTTCCAACTTGGTGACGTAACCCTGCCCAGAATGGACTTTATTTCTGGATCTCGACTGGCCCAAGAAAGTGATGTCAATGGAGGAGAGATCCACCTTTTCGTCGACAGTGAGGTTCACCGTCCCTGAGACAATGTCACCAGTAGTATATATTATATCATGATCAAGTTCGATTTTTAGATCGGCCATTATGTGTTGAGGTACTCATTTGTGGGGAATTGAGTCCTATTTATAAATGAAGGCTCATCGTTGATTGATACGGGCAGTGGGGGAAAATGATGCAGCACTTGCGTCGAAGCTGTGGTAGATATATGCAGTTCACAGAGAAAGGACCAAAAGAAAGAACCTGCAATTTTAGCTTTCCAGGAGTCACTTGAGGTCCAGAAAAGTAGATAAATTAGATTGAAGTCTACCAAGAGCCTCTTTTTGAGGTTATTTGGTATTATTCATAGCTTCGTTCTCATTTTGTCGAAACATCAAGGCACATTCCAAAGTGCGCTTACATAAGCGGACTTTTTAGACCCTGCACTTCAACAGTCAATGCCTGTCAACTCATAACCGATAAGAAAGAGCCATATGCAATAAAGTCACGAAAAACGCAACTCATACTTCTGGGACTTCGCCCAAATGCGTGATCACCTTCATGAGTAGAGAATCTTCAGCACCACCTTCACCGACCAAAAATGCCTGCGCCTTAGCCACATACTCCTGGAGAAGCTTATAGGTTACCTTCAAGGATTGGGTCGCTTGCTGCATGTACAAGACGGTTTCCTCCAACTTTGCAGGCACCTGAAGTCTCTGCTTTACCAGGTTGTAGCCAAAGAATAGATCATGGATAGGCGAGCCAGGAGGAACCTCCTTCAATGCGTATAGTATAGGCAAGGAGATCTTGCCCTCTGCCAAATCCTCTCCACGAATACCCTTCATCTCTTGGTACCTGTCATCCACCAAATTCAAATAGTCGTCACGAACCTGGTAGATGATGCCGAGCAAATTGGAAAACGTCACCAACTTCTCGATCTCAACAGTGCAATCATCAGTAAAGAGCGCCAATAGTCTCACTGAAAGCCTGAACAAACCGCCAGTTTTGTTCATCACCATAAGCAAATACTCCTGAAGTGATGGAAGCTCGGCTTCCCCATGATGCCACTGGCGTAAAAGGGTATCCCGCCAGAAGATGTCAAGGCCCTGGCCATGATGCAAGTTCAACATTTCATCCACAAGAATGCTATTAGTTCGAGTCTGGAGTTCACTCACACTGACAGAAGGATGCTTTCTTAGCTCTGGAAGCACGTTGGTGGCCCTCCTAAGCGCTTCAAAGTACATAAGGTTACCACAATTGATGGTTAGTGGAGTACCGTACTTGATATGGGCACTCTCCTGGCCTCGTCTCTTCTCGGATGCATCCTCAATATCGTCAATCAACAACGACAGATCGTGAAAGATCGAAATAATCGTCCCGATCTCTTCAAGCACAGCTTTATCCTGGATCTTAAAGAACATCTCGTTGAAGGCCACGATAAAGCGGTACCTCATATTCTGGTTGTTCCCAGGAATACTGGATATGTACGAGTACGGCTCCGTTAACACGGTTGGAATAGGATCCATCCCGGTCCTTCCAATGAGCGCGTCAATGCTGAAGTTCTCCATATATGCGTAATTGTGGCAAAAGATGCTCGGTGGTGATAGTAGTTACACATTATATAGTGCGCGACCAACTATACATGTACTGGTAGTACTACAACTGTCTACTACACCTATAAAGCCACAGCCAACTATCCATCCAGTAATCAATGGACGTTGCTAACATTATAGCCATACCGCCAGTGACCAGGATATGGCTTGGCTCAGTTCTTGTGATTTCCTCGGCCATCAGCTTGTCATTGGTGCATCCAGCCAAACTACATTACCTTCTAGGAGCCTCTCTGTGGCTACGCATCTTCACCACGTTTAGCACATGGGGAGAAATAGGGTTTCAGTTATTACTACGAATGATGTTTGCGAAGGTCACTTGTGGAAACATAGAGCAGTCTTATATATTGGAATTGGGCATGTTTCCTAGAAGGGTGGTTCGCCTGCTTGACGAACGGAAACGTACGTTGTTGAAACAGAAGTTTGAACAGTATAAGACATTTGATTTTGCCTGGTTTTTGTTCCAGCTTGCTATGTCTACCATTGTTGCTGCCCATCTTCAGCGTTATGTCACGGGCACGTTTGTTGTGCCGCCATGGGTTATGGGGTACGTCCTCGACAATGTGCTTTTCTACATTTCGGGGAAACTTACACCTGAAGAAGGGATTCCCGTGTTTATCGTGATGGTGAAGAAGAGATACGCCTTCTGGGCATTCTCGTTCATCAATTACTTTCTTTCAGACGAGTTTTTGACTATACCTCAAATGTATAGCCAATGGGGGACACTTCAGACCATAAGGTTCATTGCCACAGGCCCGGTTCTCTGGTGTACTATCTCCAAGTCGCTTATAGGCCACTTTTGGTGGTTTGTGAGGTACTACTTGTTGGAGGATTTGTACAATGAAAGCAAAACGGTCTCTCGCGAGGCGTGGCAAAGCGCTTTTGATGCTTACGAGACGAGAGATCCTTTGAAGGAGAAGTTGAAGACAGTGGTAGGTGACGTGTTAAGGTTTATTGTGCTTCCACCATGGTACACTGTAATTGTGCCACGTCTCATACAAGAAGAGCTCGTACAGGAGGAGCCAGAAGATGAAGAACCGGTGGCTGAAGAACCAGAACTCATTGGTGAGGTTCAGTGAGTGACAGAATAAAGATACCTAGGAGCCTAGCTTGCGGTGAACAGAAGGTTTGGCTACTGGTACAGCCAACCACATCACTCACGTTAAGTACAGATCACCAGGCCGCCGTGACCCTTCAAAGAAGAAACGACTATGCATATACGATTGCAAATATGAACATATCACAGCAATTACGTGTCTCAGCTGGCGAACGAGTCAAACCTCTGGAACTGTAAGAGAACAGGCTGGCCAAGATAGCACCCTCTAGCGGCCACCCTCTTGTGGCCACCAAAGCTTCCTCACCCCAAGAAGATACCCCAGACTCTCTACTGTTGCTCTTTTTAAGCTTTAAACGAAATGCCCAGTATTCTCTGATACGACCGACTACATCCGCCCGGACCATTGCGGACTCGGACATCTCACAAGCCGAGCCAGAATCATGAAAGATACGATGAACATCAATTACACTGCCTAATTTGGAAACACCCCCACCATTTAAAACTCCCTACTAACCACTCCCAACCTTCCCTGACCCAACTCGCCCTGCGAGAACGCCTGCCCGGTTTCTCGTGCCTTGTTCTTCCCCAAACTCCCCAAAGTTACTCAAAGCCTAATTAGCTTTAGGAATCGCAAACCTACAGTACCCACAAGACCCACAAAACCCCAACCCTTTGCTAAAACCACGTCAGTCACTACGAGCCCGATAGCCCTAAACTTCTAATCTGGTACAGGTTTCTATTTTTTAATTCTTTTTTTATCCACTTCCTCCTTTTTTTTTTTTTACCTGCTCTTTCCGTGTTTCGACGGATATGGCGTGCCGCCAGTCTGCCCACCAACGCAGGCTATGCTGTGGCTGCGAAACGCCAATGGCTGCAAAATAGGGCGCCTAGACAGCACAAAATCACGAAAGGAGAAGCAAAGGAGAACAGCAAACAGAAGACGAGAGCCACCAAAAAGAAGAAGAAGAGTGAAATCAAACAATGGCAGAAACACAAGTTCGTGGCTATGCCTGGTATTCTTTTTGCTCGTCTTCCACTTCCAAATCATGGCTTCCCCTGGGGCGCCTATTCGCAGTGGAATACCACTTCTCGCTTCTGGCCTGGACGCTTAACTATACCGACTGTGCCATGATTTACAAGAAAACCACCCTAAAAACACCTTTTTCTAGAAAGAAGTTTTTTTCTTCAGCGTACACAAACACGTACCAGGCAGCCCCAGCACCGGTTTCCCCTGACTTCGCCATGCTGTTTGCCTTTTTCCTTCCCAATCAGTATACCTTTTTTAGTTCCTACCCCAGGCACTGTGCACAACAGGCAGGCAGGCCTGCGCCATGCCTGTGGGATCCTCTAATCAATCAAACCACCTACCTTCCTCCACCCAACCCCTACCACTTTTTTCTTTTTTCCTTCAATAGATAAGACCTAGTTGGTTTTTCATTTTTATTCACGGCTGAGGTGTCATTTGTGGTTTTCCGCCTACTACTGTCTTTCCCTTGCCTCCCGGCGTTTCCGAGTCCCTTCCGTTTTTCCCTGAAACCCCTGCCATCCCTGCCATCCCTCCTGTGATGTCTGTGCTAGGCGCCATAACGTCTGAGGTCCACGACAACGTGTCAGCAGGAATCCACCCGTCGGTGCTGGCGCTTGTGGATGCTTTCCTTGCGTATTTGAAGGAACCCAGGTACCTGAACCCGCTAGGGTTATCCGATTTGGGCCTGTTATTTGCCAACTTTTATGCTGACCTCAATTCCTTGGTCATATACATATATACCCAGCTGAACCTGAACAAACGCCAGCTTTTGGCCAACCTGACGCTTTTCCAGAACGACTCCAAGACTTTTGATTACTTGGTGGCCTTGGCGAACTACTCCCCGCTGTCTATCAAGCGAGTCCGTCGCTCTGATCCTCATGCTTTATTCCAACTAAGGGTTTTCGCTTACTATAAGTTTATTACCATTGTGGATACCATTGAAAGGGCCCAGTATGATCTTTTTAACTCGAGTAGTCCGGGCGATAAGCTGACCTTGTTCGATAAGATCTTCCGTTTTGACGAGAAGGATATTCGGGCTCAGCAGCTCTGGACCGAGAAGATCAAGCTCCTCAAGAACTTGAATTTACCGTTGAGCTCCTTTTGTGAGTCCCACAATAAGGATGAAAGCGCCAAGTTGGACGAGTACTTCCTCACCTTGGACGCCTCCGAAAGCCTCACTTTGCATGATATCAAGAAGAACTTTAAACTCCTCAACCTTGTGAAAACCCCTTCCACGAAACTCAAATACTTGGTCAACACTCAGAAGTTAATTGTTCGTCTTTTGTCAAACTTTTACAATGATCCTACCAAGGTTAACAACGACATCTTACTCCCTGCCCTCATTTATATCATCATTTACCACCTCCCTGAAGATGTCCCCGAGATCCCTGAAATCGATAGCCCTCCTGAATCTTACGACTTATACCTTAACCTCACGTTTATCAAGAATTTCCTCAACGTTATTGACGCGTATAAGGTTGACGTGACCACCTTCACCCTCAACACCTCCTTGAGTTCCTACAAACCTACTGGCAAGAAGCGTCCCTTCTCCCGCGGCGAACGCAAGAATTCCAGCTCCAACCTTTACGATCTTATCAACTTGAAGGAGGCAAGCGAGAATGAATCCCCCCTTTCGGATGACAGTGATCCTATCTACGCGACTGCAGACCTTCAATCCGATAAGTCCTTGATTGAGCACATTCAGAAGAACTATTTGAACTTTGGCGAGTTGCAGTATTACCTTACCAACTTTGAAGCAGTCATTTACTTCTTGCTGAACTCTACGCTTGATGAGATCGTACCAGAAGGTTTCCTGATCCCGGAGTCTTTCAAGCAGAGTGAGTTGGTCAACAAACCTTTGCACAAGATACTTGATGACGAGTTAGGGCCTGTTCCTTCTATCGTGAAGACTGAAGTTGACGAGGAACAACTTTCCAAGACCCTTGACGAGGAACTTGATATCAACAGATCGCGCTCTGGCTCGTTGTTCAATACCATCTCTACTGCTGTCCAATCTTCGGTTAACCGTTCACGCTCGAACTCAGGAGCCATTAAGAGTGGTAAGGATAATGTTGTTCATGGCGACTTTGAATCATCGATTTACGGAGCACCGTTTTCGAACAACGAAGCATACGGATTTACCCGTATGCGGAATATATTGGGCAAACTTGGCTCTTCTGCTATCCAATTCCGCCAGGGGTTAGAAGAAGAGTTGAACCTGGGTGCCTTTGCTGGCTCAGACCTCCAGGTTAATGAAACTAGACAGAAGCGAGCCAGTACCCTTTTAGACAAGATTTCGCCAAACCAGTCGAGAACAAGGTCGGAATCACTCGATGCCACTGGTGGATCTTCAAACAACACCATTCATACGCATTCCCGCAAGCCAACATTTTCCCTGAAGTTTTCGACAGCTGCCTCAGAATTTATGACTAAGTTCAGCGCTGCCGCTAACAATCCCTCGGGACATGTCCAGGCGACTAACCCAGGGCATGTTTCAAACCTTTCCTTGCATTCCTTTGACGAACAGTCACCCTTTGAGGAGTCCAGGCCTGCTATTGGTGAACGTACTTCCAGTCTTCACACTATGGATAGATGGTTTAACAACTTTGCCAATGATGAGAATGGTGGAGCTGTTCATGAAAATACCACACTGAACCACCAGTCTTCTAGCAGTGCCGCAAGCAATGCTTTTACCAACAATGAAGATTCGGTGTTTAGCTCTACTGCGGAAGAATTGACGAAGTTCCAACACAGCGATTTTGATTCCTTGACTATTCAGGACTTGAAGCTCATGAAGAATTACTACGATCAGTTATGTTCCGAGTATATTGCTACCAAGACGGATTCAAAAACCAGCAATGAATATCTCCCCTTGGATACCAAAGATCAGCCCAGCATCTAAGACAGGCTTTTTCGCAGCCAGTGGGTATGTACTGCATCCAGTACCAATGGGGTTCCAGAAAAATCCGAGATAAGGCTATATAATACTGTGGAGATCTCGTGCTTCTTCTACAGCACTGGCTTTTAAGTATGGCTACTGTGATGTCTCCTACCCCGAATCAGCCTATTTTTGGGAAGAGGCGAGCCCGCGATGGTCTAGAACATGATCACAAAAGAGTGAGGCTAGATAGGTTGCTCTCCAAACTCTCCTTAGAGCAAGATGAGCCTCCTGCCAAGCGCACTCCACTGATTGAGCCAGACCTCGAGATCAATCCATTACTTGATTTTTCGGACGAAGATAAGAGACCAAAGAGCGGAATCGATGCCTACATTAGCGAAAAGTTGATTGCAAGTATGCAAGAGAGGGTCAAGGAAGGCCTCGCCGTGGGACGCTGGTACATCCCAGCGGGTATCGTGATATTGCATTTTCAACGATGGGTGCGTCGTCTTTTTAACTCTTTTATTAAAAGGTATAATGCTTCTCATCCTGATAAAGCGCCGGTCAGCCCGTTCAGAAGCTACAGCAAGATAGTCAAACTTGTGTGCTCACCTGATATGAACTTCAGTGTGGATGACCTACGGCAGATTTTGATGGATGAGAATCATCGAGAGCAAAGAGACATTGCACGGCGCAAGCTGAAGCGCGAAGATAAGAGACACATTGAAGAGATTAAGGAAGAAGAAGGCATTTTTGCAACCACGAGCTACACATACTGGGACCGGTTCGCCGAAGTGAGCCGTGACATCGATATGGATATCGAGCTGCTGTCGGCGGCTGTGTCTGACGGTCTGGACCTGGACATGATGGACATGTGACGTCCCCAAACTGCATAGGAAGTTATAGAATACGAGAAACGACAAAGACACGGTGAGTGTAGGAGCGCCAGAGGCATACACCATTTAAGTAGCGAGCATAGTGTAGACACCCGTGCCTCCGAACCCAAGTGAGTGAAAATCTACCAAAAAAACACTAAGACAAGCAGGTTTCCCCAGCTGCTCCTCAAAACCTCCATATATTAAAGAAACCATGTCTTTGGAACAGGAGCGGGACGCTCTTCCGAAAGAGGAAAGTGAAATCCGCAACGACGCTTCTGACGACAATTCGTCGGAAGGAGGTGACGATGTGATGGACGACTCCTCTGAAGAAGACGATGACGACAACGACGAAGAAGCCATGCAGAAAGTCAGAGAAGGGTTTATCGTGGACGATGACGAGGATGATGATTTAGCTGGACTGCGCAAGAAGCGTAGAAAGCACAAGCGTAAGAGAGAGAAGGAGAGGAGCCAAGCAGACCCCAACGATGCTCTTGACGACGACGATTTGGAGCTCTTGAGGGAGAACTCGGGCGCAGCGCCACTGAGACCATCACAGAACAAGTTTAAGCGTCTTAAAAGAGCTGCTCCAGAAGATGAGGACGGCGAAGACGGAGAGGCTGAAGAACCCTCGGCAGGAAAGCCTAGAGACAGACTTACAGATTTCTTCTCTGACGACGAAGGCGAGGCCGAAGAATTGGGCGGAGACGAAGATACCGCTCGTGCTGGTCGTGATGAGGGCAATATCTTGGATGAGTTTGAGGATTTCATTGAGGAGGACGAGTTTTCAGATGAAGAAGAAGCCAGAGCTCACAAGTTACAGCAGCAGAAGGAACGTGCCAAGCGGAAGGGTCCTAAGTTGGATACTCTGAAGCTTTCCAGTGTCGACCGAGAGAGTTTGCAGCAGTTGTTTGAAGTGTTCGGTAACGGTGCTGACTACGACTGGGCATTGGAGGCTCAGGATCTTGAGGAAGAGGGCAACAACGAGCAAGAGCCTACTGCATTGGACGAGGTCTTTGAGCACTCTGAGTTGAAGGATCGTATGCTTACAGAAGAGGATAACTTGATCCGTATCATTGACGTTCCTGAACGTTTCCAGAAGTACAGAAGTAACCTTAACTACTTGGACTTGGAAGGTGTCGAATTACAGCGTGAGAAGAGATGGATCGGTGATATTCTTTTCGCTGAAAAGCAGCAAACCTTCGATGGTCCACTCAAGGAGCCTTTCTACGAAGCTGTTGGAAAGGTGGTTGAGTTCATCTCCAAGGATAACTGGGAGGTTCCTTTCATTTGCGCCCACAGACGTGATTTCTTGATCTTCACCGAAGAAGTCCCCGAAGCTGATGGATCTGTCCGTAATGTTGTTCACAAGTTACTTTTTGAGGACGACTTGTGGCGTATCGTTCGTCTTGATATCGAGTACCACACTCTCTACGAGAAGAGACTCAACACAGAAAAAATAATCAACGACTTGAAACTCGATGACGACCTCGTCAAGGACATTCAGGCCATCGACACCATGGTGGGCATCCAAGACTTGCAAGACTACATCAACTTCACATACTCTGCTGAAATCAAAAAGCTAAGTGATAACAAGGAAGAGGAACAAGATGGCGAAGACGAGGACAGAAAGCAGGGCAAGAAGCATTCCAAGTACGCCATTTACGAACGTATCAGAGAGAACGTTTTGTACGACGCTGTCAAGGGTTACGGTATCTCTGCCAAGGAGTTTGGTGAAAACGTCCAGGACCAGTCACTCAAGAACTACGAGGTTCCTTACAGAATTCATGCCACTGATGACTCTTATGAGACTCCCGATGACATGATTGAGAGACTTGTCGAGGATGATGAAATCTTATTCAAAGACCCTAAAAATGCATTGAGCGCTGTCAGAAAGACATACGCCGAGGAGATTTTCCACAACCCCAAAATTAGATCTGAGGTGAGACAAGTCTACAAGAACTTTGCCTCTATTTCTGTGACATTGACCGAGAAGGGCCGTCTGAGCATCGACAATCACAGCCCATACGCAGACATCAAATACGCCAAAGGCTTCTCTCCTGCTGATTTGGTCAGTAAGCCTGATGTCTTGCTCAGAATGCTTAATGCCGAGGCTAACGGTTTGATCATCATCAAGGTCGAGACTTCTGACTATGATAGCTGGTTTCAATCTATTCTCAACTGTTTGACCTCCGATGGTACATCGGAAATTTCCGAGCAGTGGAACAAGGAGAGAGAAAGCACATTGGCTATGGCCTTTAAGCGTTTGACATCGATGGTTTCCATGAACACTAAGGAAGACTTGCGTCGTGAATGTGAGCGTCTCGTTGCTGCTGAGCTCAGAACCAGGTTCTTGTCCAAGGTTGACCAGGCCCCATTCACTCCTTTCGGATATGACAAAGGTACGAAGCCTAATGTCTTGGCTCTTTCTTTCGGTAAAGGTGACTTCGACAGTGCTGTTGTTGGTGCATTTGTCAAGGACACTGGCAGAATTAGCGACTACTTCAAGTCTGACAACAACCCTACCAGAGATAGAGAAGGTGGAGAAAGGTTCGCTGGTCAACTTAAGGAGTTTTTCGACACCAGACTTTACAACCATAAGCCAGACGTCATTGTTGTCTCCGGTTACAGCGCCAACACCAAGAGGCTTTATGACATTGTCAAGAACTTTGTTTCCAAATATGAAATTCTTTGCAATGTGGATGATCTTAATGATGCTGCAACTCCTCCACTTCTTCCAGTGATCTGGGGTCAGGATGAAACTGCCAGACTTTATCAAGGTTCCGAGAGGGCTCTTATAGAACTTTCAGACAAGCCCCCATTGGTTAAGTACTGTGTCGGTTTGGCCAAGTATGTCCAGAGTCCTTTATTGGAGTACGTTTCCCTTAAGGAAGATATCTTGTCATTGACTTTCTACGAACACCAGAACCTTCTTTCAGATGACGCTATCCACGAGGCATTCGATACCGTGTTTGTGGATATTGTGAACATGGTGGGTGTGGAAATCAACGAAGCTCTTCGTGACCCATACTACGCACAGCTTCTACCATTTGTCGCCGGTTTGGGTCCAAGAAAGGCCTCCGGTTTGATCAGAAATATTAGCTCGAAGCTTGGTACTTTGACCACCAGAAGTGATTTGATTGAGAATGAGCTCTCTACTGCCAACATTTTCTTCAACTGCTCGTCTTTCTTGAGTATACCATACGATGAGGGTGTTACTGTCATGGACTCTTCGATCGAGTTGCTAGATGCTACTCGTATTCATCCTGAAGACTACAGTTTGGCTAGAAAGATGGCTGCTGATGCTCTTGATTTGGATGAAGAAGATATGGCCCATATTGATGAACAGGGAGGTATCATTTACCAGTTGATGCAAGAAGGTGTGAACAAGGTTGATGACTTGAACTTGACAGCATTCGGTAAAGAGTTGGAATCTAAGTTTGGTAAGAAGAAGTACGCTACTCTTCAAAGTATCAAGGAGGAACTTGTGAACAACTTTGAAGAACTCAGGAGATCATTCCACTTGCTTGATCTCATTGAGGTCTTCCGCATGTTGACGGGTGAGACTGTCGAGAGTTTCAACAGAGGCACGATCTGTCCTGTTACTGTCAACCGTGTCGGTAAGAACTTCCGTGATGAGAATGCCAGAGTCAAATTCTTGCGTGTCTCCACGACGTCACTTATTTCTGGTACCGTTGAAGAGGGTCACATTTTGAAGAACTCTGATTTCCAACAAGGCCAAGTCATCCAGGTTGTCGTGTTGGACGTCAACTACGAGGCTTTCAGTGCTACCTTCAGTTCGCTTCCAGAGGACATTAAGAAAGCATCTGGTCCTAAGTTCCTTAAGGATCCTACCAAGTGGGACTTCCAGCAAGAGGAACTCGACAAGCAGAAGGAGAGAGCTAAGGAGAACGCCAAACTTGCTAAGACAAGGAACGTTCAGCATCCATTATTCCACAACTTCAACGCCAGACAGGCAGAGGAGTTCTTGGCTCCACAATCTGTTGGTGACTGTGTCATTCGTCCATCATCTAGAGGTCCTGAATACTTGACCGTCACATGGAAGGTGGCCAACAACTTGTTCCAGCATCTCAGTGTGAAAGAAATCAACCACGCTGGTGGTAAAGAGTACGTCGTTGAAGGTAAGAAATATGCCGATTTGGATCAGATGGTTTTCCAGCATGTCCAGGCAATTGCCAAGCACGTCAACGAAATGTGCCGTCATCCAAAATTCCGTGAAGGTACTCTTTCAGAAGTCCACGAGTGGTTGGAGTCTTATACGAAAGCCAACCCAAAGAACAGTGCTTACGTCTTCTGTTACGACCACAAGGCCCCAGGTTGGTTTTTGCTTCTATTTAAGGTCAACGTCAAGACGCCGGTGACTACGTGGCACGTCAAGACAGAATGCAACGGGTTTGTGTTGAAGGGGTTCTCGTACCCTAACATGATGAGATTATGTAATGGTTTCAAGCAGACATTCAAGAGTCTTGTCAATGATAAGTCGAGGGGCCACAGCCAGCCTTACGGCGGGTACGGCTACTAGGTTGGATCAAAAATTTCCTTCAAACTGTGTTATATATATAATTAAAAAGAATCATTCGAACTGACCTATATATGTATCTTTTCTTTCTAGGTTTACTGGTTGACCTTTCTAAGCTTGGAACGGTAACTGTCGCCGTCAACGTAAGTGCCCATCAACCAGCGGTCACCGCCATTGGAATCGGAGAATTGGTTTCTTGAGTGGAGCACTCTGCGGTTGTCGAAGATAACGCAGCTTCCTTCAGGCAGCTTCACCTCGTAAGTATTCTGTGGGTCATTAATGAAATCCTCGAAAAGCCTCATACCTCTCAAGAAGTCCTGCCAAAGCTGGGCATCTTCAGAAGTAGTGACATGGAATTCGAAAGGACCCTGGAAAGGTGGAGCATAATTAACCTCCTTGATTTGAGGCTCGCCAGTGGTGAAGTTTTTAACGAAGGGATCCTCCACAACGAGCGGGCGCAAGTAATAGTAATACTCGTTATTATTATTATAGTGATACGTGATTGGCACCTTCTTGAGCGCTTCATAGGCAGCCGGATCAGTATCACGAATGTGGTGGGCAGCAGCAAAAGAATCAGCAAAGATATTTTCACCACCCAAAGTAGTGTTTTGGATGAAATGCAAAAGTTGCAAACCTGGAGGCGACTCATAATAGAGCAAGTCCATATGCAATGGGAGGAACACGTTTGTGTTGGCAATGTTCTTAGCGTTCTTCTCGTTCTTCACATCAAAGAGAACACCGTAGAATGTCTTCTTGATGTAACCGAACCGAGACGCCAACTTCGCCACAGGCCATAAGTGTTCGTTTTCTGGTTTAATCGACCCGAGCTGTGGATCATTCTGTGGGTCTTCGACGTTCTCAATAAACGAAAGTCCATACTTGTTCAAGTTATTCAACACCTTCTTGAACACATCGTCCTTGGAAAAGTACCCATGATAGTCAACCTTGAGTTCATCCAAATTAGGCACAAGATCTTTGTTTCTCCAGTAAACCTTCTCTTCAGGGAAAAACTTACCCTGGAATCTACCCTTCACTGTCAGTGACTTTTCCAAGAAGGATTCCGGGTAGGTGGATTGAAGAGAGTTTGAGCCTTGCTGCCATTTAACAAAAAGAGCCTTCTCTCCATCCTTTTCACCAACATAAGGCTTTTCAGCAATACTGACGCCTTGGGATATACTGGCAGTTGTAAAGGACTTCTGACTGGTGGAAATGTCCACAGAATCCGGGGAAGTGCAAGAGTCTCTTAAAAAGACATTATCGAAAGAAACATCCTTGCCTCCGACATTAACTGTTACAGACTTGTTATCGTAAGCCTGAAGCGATAAACGACGGTGTGAAGTTAGACGTCGTGTGACTCTGGAAAGCATGGTTGTAGATGTGCTATTGGTGGAAGCTCGGTTGAAAGATTTGTGGGGTGATTCCGCGGTTGCAAAAAAAAAAAATATTGACACCCACGAGGTTCGAACTCGTGCCTCCGAAGAGACCAGGAATGTATGGTAAGGTGACCTTACCCTGGCGCCTTAGACCACTCGGCCAGAGTGCCAATTTGTGAGAGTATGAGACAGCAAGCAATATAGGTAAAACAGGCAAACAGGCCAAAAATAGTCAAAAATTTGAGTTAGAAGCTCAATTTTTTTACACTACATTATCATCCCAATCTAATCCATTTTCTATAACCTAAAGCGTGAAAAGAGACGTCCTTCTCTTACCAAATGGGTAGACAACCAACGCAGCAGCGAATAATCCCACAGAAATACCAATCGACACCTCCACCATCGTAGCACCGAAGCTCAAAGATGACGATGTAGTCTCACCATCACCAATGGCCCCTTTAGTGGCGTTCGTGATTCGATTGGCAGTGTCAACACCAGCCAATAACGTACTCTTGGATGCGATACCAGATGGCACTTGCACGAAGATGGCTGGAAGCATAGCACTCACAGCCATACCTCTTCCGACACGCGAGTACATATTTCCTAGGATACCAATGATGAAAGAACCAATGGCAGCTGTGAATTCTGTGACGTTCTGGAAATGCTTACCTGCGAAATATGTTCCCACATAGGCAGTACAAGAAATGAAAAGCATCACCGGTAATTGCCTGAAACGTGCTTGATTAATCAACCCAAGACACGTTGTAAAAAGGGGGACAAACAAAATTCTCCACTCGTGTCTCAATTCATGATTTGCAGTACACTGCGCTTGATCGGTGGCATTCAGGTCAACCCAACCGTATAAAGCTGCTCCAAGTGTAATACCAAAACCCAAAAATAGCGAATAAATAATCGCATAAAACATTCTTACAGAGCCTGCAACGATATTCTTCGATTGCAACTCTAGCGATCCACACAAAATAATATAACCCGGTAAAATCAACGCTAGTGACCCTTGCGCAATAGCACCGAAACAGAAGGTATCACCACCATTAGCAGAACCGATTCCTCTTGCAACAAAGGAGACAACAATCGACGATGTGACTTCGAACACAGAAGAATACAAATGTGACTTCGAAGATACAAAGAATTGCAAATACCCAACAATTGCACCAAGACCGAAGGAAATAGGCACATCAAGCCATCCACCACCGAAACCGAAAGTACACACAGAACATGATCCTAGGGCATAAAGGAATACACTTACCCAAGGAGGATATTGGTTTTTTCTTCTCAACAACTCTTCAAGCTTCCTTGTGGCCTCCTCCACACTGGTCAAATCATGGATCACATCCTTGTAAATCTTATGGGTATCCGAAAGCTTCGACAAGTTGAGACCCTGAGCACATCTGACCAAGTGAACTTCGGATGTTCTGGTTGCTGCGTCACCGAAAGCGATAAGCATTGTACCAGGGAAATAGACGAACTGGCCATCAATCTCAAGCACACGACTTGTCATGACCATATACTCTTCCAATCTATGGGTTGGAGCACCATACAACATGAGTGCACGACAGATTCTAATGATGAAACGCTGTCTTTGAAGAATATCGGCAATGTGAACAGTAATACGCAACTTCTGGTCCTTATTCTTCTTCAATTTCTTCCCTAGACGGTTGCTGCTGCTTTGCTTAGGTGCCTTTGGACGGGCATTTTGAAACGAGGGTAACTTAGCAGCATCTTCGTCGAAATCTTCATCATCTGAACCATTTCCCGGCTTTTCAGTCTTTTTCTTGAACTTATTGGCCAATCTCTTGGGGCCCAGTTTGATATTGTTCTTGAGCTGAGTAAAGTCATGTTGACTAACGTTCTTAGAATTGTACTCACTGTCATCAAACTGCTCATCAGCAAGCATGGTATTTGTGGAAGAGTTGAAGGAGGCAGTAGACTTGCTGGCTCCTTGGTTCTGGTATAATTTCAACAAGGATGAAAGCACACCAGCATGCACTTGTTTGGGAGGAGCAACGTAGTCATCACCACCGCCTTCGGCAAGAAGCAAGTCATCGTCCTGTAAATCATCATCTAAGTTGTCACGGAGCAAGTCAGGGTTGGGCTGGTAGAATGGATTATCAGCCGAATCGATAGTGGCTTGTCTCTTGTGGCTGCTACTTCTCTCTGGCTCCTTCGCCTTCTCCTCCTGTTCGTGATCCAAGGAGGAACCCTCCTGTAAATCAACATCGGTAAATTCATTCTTCTCCTCAGGGGTATCGAAAGCAACCCTGTTCATGCGCTTCGATTCCTTGAGCTCTGGGGCATGGATATCAATCAAATCCCTAGCAGCTTCATTAAGCTCGGCATAGTTTAAGTTTTGCATTTCTATGGCGTGGTCCTCTGCTTCACCACCCACTTCTTCCTCTTCATCTATGCCTGGGTGCTCACCAGCCCTAGAAGCTCCAGGCGCCAAGCCGCCTCCACTGAGGCCACCGCCGCCCATATTTAGCACTCTGCCAATAAATGTGTCTGAGCGAGAGGGGGTATCGGCACTATCAGCCTGATCTAGCAACAGCTGCCTTCTAAAGATGTTTCTGATACTGCTGCTCTTTCTCGAGTTACGAGATGTATGAGAAGACGTTCTTCTAACGTCAGCAAGGTCAACCTCGTGCGAGCCAGACCTTGAGTGGGTACTATTAGAGCCCTTGGATTGGCGAGAGCCAATGGAACTGCGTCCACGAGGAGGTGGTTTTCTATACTCCTTAGGATCCACCTCTTCTTCGTCATCCTCTTCATCAGAAGAATCCTCAATTTCCAAAGGCATGGCAGTTTCGTCATTATCGTCAGATTCGTCATCATCGTCATCGTCATTTCCACCTCTTTGTTCTGGCATCCTGAAAGCAAAGTTGGGAAGATCCTTAGCACCCTCCTCCTCACGAGCACGGGCCAAAGACGACATGGAGACCGAGTCCAGATCAGACAGCGACGAATCCACGTTGTTATGAGACGAAGTACTCACCATGGTGTTTCTATTATGTGGGACATCTTCGCCCAGGTACTTGACGTTTCTATTGGCATTGCCAGTAATCTTCTTCTTTGCCTTGACCAAGTTGGTTTTGGCGTTCTGCTTCTTATTGTTCTTCCGAAGCGATGCTAAGTTCACCGCAGGCACGTTAAAGTTATGCTGGAAGTGGGACTCGTCTTCCGACGACGACAGGTCCAGAGGTCTTGACATGTTTAGGTAAATACCATATAAAGTGAGGAAACCCTGCCCTTGATATATAATGGCAGCAAGGCCCTTGGGTGCCTGGCGCGCGCAGCCTATGGCTGCGAAAGCTAGAAAGCAGAAGTTACAGCAGAAGCTACATTAAAAGGGCAAGTTTAGATGGGAAAAGCGGTGGAGTTTCTGGAAATACACCATTTAGCAGCGTTGGAGTTTACTGGTTATTTATCGCTGTTCGTTCGAGTTTCTGGGTTGGGACAGATGACGGTGGCTGATTCAACCAGAGGCCAGGTTATGCAAGCTAAAAAAAAAAACGCATTTTCAGTGCAGAACTGGCTGCGAAAGCAAGCCCAGAGGAAGAAAGGATGAACAGGAAAGGGGAGGGAGATGTGGCACATTAGGGAGGAAAGAAGAAGTGGATGACTTGAGAAAAGAACAAGAACCAGGAAAGTACAATAGCCAAGGCAACAACGACGAGGCGACTTTCCCAGGAAACAACCAGTGGTGGCCTTTTTTTTTCCACCTGCTGTGCCTCACCGTTGGGGCTGCAAGCAACACTTAACAATCAGCCAAGTGAACCAGCCAAGAGGAAAGACGTTCTGGAAAAACCAAAAGCTTAATTCCATTGGTTGTTGGGGGTTTTCTGGAATTCACAAAATAAAAAATCCTGGTTTGTTCAGCTTCACAATGGAATTCGCCAGTGAATTAAGACATGGCTTATTGGATGGTGGAGCTAGACTCGCTCGGCACCTGTCGTCTAGCTTTTTCCGGCGCCGCAGATTTTCACACTTGCAGAGTCTGCAAATTTGCACAGTTGCAAATTCTCTCGTTGCTGTAGAACACCGGCATCTTCGGTGACACAGATGCCTTGGGAGAGGGTTTTTTTTCTAAAGTAAGTTTTCTTTTTTCTTCCCTAAAAAGCAGGAAAACTGCCTGTTTACATCTCCTGAGGCGGTCGTGAATAACCTTTGTAAGCCTCGTTGAAACGTGGATCTTTTCTCGCTAATAGGGCCAGATGATCCGTCCGGAACCAGAATGGCTGCAAGACGCCGCGAGCAAGAGCCATGCCAGTATGGTCAATATGTAAGGTGTGTTTGGGCAAAAGATCAATCGCCATACATTTGGGAAACTATAAACAACGGAGAATCTAGGAGTTGCCGATGCACTATACAAGGCGTTTCATTCTAGTTCTTCTACGGCTTCTACAGCTTCTACGACTTCTTCTACCTTCCCTTCTACGGCTCGCTATGTTCGTTGACGCCCCACCATGTGAACTGTTACCAACTCGCCAGGCCAACACCTTTCCTTGACGTCATTAGGTTCCCTGCCTCGCTGCAAGGCGCCTGTTTTTGGTTCTCTTCCCTTTTTTTTTTTTTTCGAGCCTCACGGTGCCTTCAACTCATTCACTCTCGCAACACGGCATTCTGAAACAAACCTGAAACTTGGCTGCTTCCTAGCGCGTCTTACTTGGGGCTACCTAACCGTTTCATTGGCAGAGCAATAGCGTTACCGTTTCTACTGGCCATTTGTCTTAAGCCTCATACGTGGGGGGACAAACGCACTTGAGATCAGATTATACCGGTTTTGTACGTTTTACGCGTTGGATCGTTCATGGTTAGTTGCTCTGCGCTGGGTAGTTTTCGTTGCACTAGTTGTGAAACGATGCCTCGGGTCAGTGTGTACCGAAAGTAGAACCTATGGAGATATGACGTTGTAGAATACAGCATGCATAACGTTCTACAAGCTTCATTTAAGAGCCCTGTTGAAAACCAACAGTGTGCCCATCTGAATCCGTTCATTAGCCTATCTAGGCGTCGGTGGCTCCTTCCTGGGCTCTCTCGACGCTCTCCTCCCATTGTACTCCACAGTACTCTCTCACGTATCCAACATGGTTCTCGTCCAAGCTGGGCATGTAGTCCTCTTCGTCTGTGTAAACCACGATCGTTCCCCAGGACATACCGTTCAAAATGTCGGCTACAGAGGCACCTTCTCCTTCGAGGTCCATGATGGCCTTAGGCATTAACTGTAGTTCGAATCTTCTTCTTGAAGATGGGTTGTATGCTGGGTCAGGAATTGTTTTGTCAGAAACCTGCTTGGCAACATCATCTTTGCCGCTGTAAAGTATAGGCTGACCATCCAAGTCGTACCGAAGCACTTGTGTTGGGTTATGGTTGACCACTGAAGTGAAGTTCTCGAAGAACTTGTCATCTAGCATCTTGGAGATTTGGTTTGTCTGTGAGTTGACTGCTGCAGAAGAAGAGCTGGATGACGAGAGTGTTCTCTCCTTTTTTCCGCCCTTGCTTGGTCCCTCTTCTTCCGTAGAAGTCTCTATCAAATGCTTATACTTCTCGAGCTCAGGTTCAAGAGTCACCTTCTTGAGTTTTTCTTTTTCTGTGAAAAGAATGTAGCCTGGGTACTCTGGCAAATTTGCACTTAATGGCTTCTTCACTGGAGCTGGAGGTTTAGCAGTCTTACTAGCCTCAGCATAACTCTTCTTACCATTTTTCTCGGGCTGTGGCTGCTCTTTCTTCTCAAACGGGTTTGAAGAGCCAAATGGGGAAGAGCTATTGAATGCATTAGAGTCACCAAATGGTTTCAGCGACTTGAATGGGTTATCATTAGTCTGGAAAGAGTTACCACCCTTGTCACTTGGCTTGGTGACATCGAACAAGTCCTTGGTCATCTCTATCTGGAACTTCTTCTTATCTTCCAACCGAAGCTTTTCATCCAAGGCCTTCTGTGCCTCCTCCTGTTGCTCTTCATAAATTTTCTGTGCAATAGCAGGGTCCTTGTTGATAGCACGAATGGCCTTGATGCTGCCCTTCTTTCTTGAGCACCGAGCGGTGTTCTTGCACGCAAAAACATATATTAATCTGTCATAGGCCTTGCCATCCAAAGGAGCATAAGCTTGGGCTAGTAAAGCCATTAGACTGCCACAGTTATCACATTTCAAGTCTTCTTCTTTGGGCTTAGACTCTGGATGGGGCCAGATGGGCTGCCCACCGATAAAGGTATCTTCAATTGTGGGGTACTCATCATCTTCACCAATTCCGATATCGACGAAGCCGAGGAAAACGTCTGATTTGGGAGAGTCAAACAAGTCCTCTTCGTCCGAGGAATATTCGTCGTGGCTTGACATGATGGGGTTATATCACTTTTTGATATCTGCGATGAGATCTTTTTCGTGCGAAGTGGGTGCAAAATTGTGATAACCAGAAGAGAACCAGTAACAAAAGATGCTTATATAAGGTGAAGCCAAATTTCTCTATTTTCATGTCTCCGTCTATTTGGTAGTCACTAAATGACTTTATACTATTTACAATCACAAGTAGCGCGGGATTTCGTGCTCCTCGTATGCTTCTATCTTGTCTCCTTCTTGGAACTTGTCCCAGTTGGCAAAAGCCAAACCACACTCGCTTCCCTTGGCAGCTTCTGAAATGTCTTGCTTAACATGCTTGAGCGATGAGAGGTTACCCTTGTAAATGACCTCTCCATCTCTCAAAACTCTGATGTTAGAAGATCTCTTTAAGATACCAGTATTGACCTTACAACCGGCAATCTTAATAACTGTCTTGTTCTTACCTGTAATCAGAAGAGCGGTCTTCAAGTCTGCCTCTGCAAGGACCTTAATCTCGATGTGGGGTTTCAACTTGGATGTCAACTCCAGAGTGACCTGCTCTATCAAACGGTAGATCACATTATGCTCAAAGATCTTCACACCAGCTCTGTCAGCCTTGACTTGAATCTGCTTGGGCACTTTCATGTTGAAACTCATGATGGTAGCACCAACAGTGGCAGCAGTTTCGACGTCAGAGTCAGTAGGGGCACCAGCATCATATGTAACCACCTTGGCTTTAACCTCGTCATTACCAAGGCCGTCAATACTCTCCTTGATAGCTTCAGCTGATCCATAGACATCTGACTTCACAATGTAAGTAACCACAGTTGTCTTGTTCTTGACCTCCTCCTCACTCATGAGTTCCAGGGGATCAAGGCCAGCCAACTTGTATTCATTAATCTTCTCCTGACGCTTGAGCTCGTTGAGTTCTTCCTGTCTCATCTCATTAATCTTCTCGATATCTTTAGACTGTTGAATGATATTGTTTCTCTCTTCTCTGTTTCTCACAACCTTACGGCACACTTTCTCTGAATCAGCTTGCAAGATTTGATCTCCAGCCTGAGGGAGATCCTTCCAACCCCAAATCTGAACAGGAGTCGATGGCCCTGCCATTTTTAATGTCTTACCATTCTCATCCTTCATGCCTCTCACTCTACAGTATGTGGTACCTGCAACCAAAAAGCTTCCTGGCTTTATCGTTCCTCGCTTTACCAATACTGTCGAGACATTGCCCAAACCCTTGATGACCTCACTTTCAATGACCCATCCTTCAGCTGGAACACCCTTTGGTTCAGCCTTGAACTCACTGAGTTCACTGAGAGTGATGACTGCTTCCTCGAGCTTGTCCATGTTCAAACCTGTCTTTCCACTAACTCTGACAGTCTGAGTTTCTCCACCGTAGTCTTCGATATCAATTTCATACCTGGACAAGTCAGCTAAAACCTTATCAATGTTAAGACCATGTTTGTCACACTTGTTAATTGCAACGATGATTGGTACACCAGACTTTTTGGCATGCTTGATGGCTTCAATCGTTTGCGGCATAACCGAATCATCAGCAGCGACCACAAGAATCACAATATCTGTAACTATAGCACCACGCTCTCTCATACTCAAGAAAGCAGCGTGACCAGGAGTGTCTAAGAATGTAATCTTCTTCTTTGAAATGGGCGTCGTCACAGAAAACGCACCAATGTGCTGGGTGATACCACCAAATTCGCCCTGAACCACCGAAGTCTTCCTTAAATGGTCCAAAATTGTGGTCTTACCGTGGTCCACATGTCCCATGATGGTAACAACTGGGGCCCTAGGTTCAAGAAACTTCTCGTTCTCTGGGGCTGGGAAAAGATCATAACCTGTTTCATCACTCATGGAGACGTCAAAACCAAACTCATCTGCGATAAGGGATGCATTCTCTTTGTCTAAGATAAAGTTATGGCTCATATTCTCGAAACCAAGCTCACTAAGCTTAGGAAGCATCTTAGAAAGCTGCACGCCCATGATAGTAGATAAGTTGGAAACTGACACGAAAGTTGGGATATTGATTTTGATGTTATCCTTTTTAACAGGTTTTTTATGAGTCTTCTTTTTCGTGACCGGAGCCTTTGCAGGTTCACTGCCACTCAGTTTCTTCATACGCTCTTGTAAGCGCTGCTTAATCTGATCGTATGTCTGGATCTTGCTAGTGGAAGCAGCCTCTTCTTCGTTCGAAGGCTTTTTGGGGATATCTGCCTGCTTCTTTGGAGGTTTTTCATGGGATCTGTTCTCTGTTCTGTTATCAGGTCTGTTATCATGTCTCCTCTGAGGCCTATTGTCTGATCTGTTATCGCTTCTGTTCTCATTTACATTCTCATTCCTGTTGTCGAATCTGTTCTGGTGTCTATTTTGAGGTCTTTTCTGGAACCTGTTTGGTCCAGTTGGTCCATTTGGTTTGTTCTTTTCACCGTAAAGCAAGGAGAAACGGTTTGGTCTTTTCCCACCCGAGGACTCTTCTGGCTTAGAAGCACCAGACGAGGTTCCGTTGCTCACTTTAGGTAGGTCTCGAAGCGAGCTGAGGCATCGCCTCAGGAGCATGCAGCTATAGGCTAGGTCTAGGCTCCTTAGTCTAAAGCTCATGGTGTGTTTCTTGTAGTCTATGAGTGTGAAAGAAGCGACTGCGATTTTTCACTATGTAGCTTGACTTGACTGCACAACTTACTACTACCGATGGGGCTATTTGATGGATGCTGTATATTTTGAATTCGAAGATATCGAGATGCTTTCTATATTTATTTCATTTTTTTAACTTTTATGTGTGCTTTCGTTGATTTCTTTTTTCCATGCAACCGAGGAGACATGTCAAGGCCATTGGGCATGGACTGCGACGTGAGCTTTACTCACATCTGTAATCACCATTGGAGGCGACGTAGCCCATGAACTTACTCTCGTTAAGCGTGGCAATGAGGTCATCGATTTCCCTGAAGTTTTCATCGTTGCATGCAAAGTTACGATGTCTGTTGGACATGATGTGCTCATCAAAGCTGTCATACTTGACTCGACAGTTCTCGCAATAACCAGGCTTCAATTCACGCTCCCTCTCTCGCTCGCGAGAATCGGTTTTCTGCATGTGTTTCTTCATGAATATACGCCTTTTGAGATTGTTCAAGTTCTTCGATGGGACTTGTGAGACGGCAGGTCCAAGACCATTGCCTTGGTGAGCATGCTGTTGGGCAGCGCTGTTAAGCACAGAATCCATAGAAATAGATTGAGCGTTAGAGGCGCCATTGTATCCGGATGCAACAACGTCGTAAAACTTGGAGTTTGACTGCGATACAGAATTATTAAATGGTTGCATGACAGAGGAATTTCTCATCAATCCCGCAGGAGCTTTGAAGTTGAAGTCATGATGCGTATCAACGTTTATCTCGTCGTCTTCGGGGTTGGTTGCTTCTCCATCAGAATGGTGTCATTATCATTGTCGTCAGCGTTACCCTCTTTCGACTCAGCGCTACAGGTCTCGTCGACTACCGTATTGTCGGTAGCCTCTGCGGAATCTGTGCTTGTGCTGGTTTCTGTGAGAGCAGATGAGTTTATGGTGATCTTGTCACGAGCATAACCTATGATGACGTCAGTAACTTTCTTTAGAAGATCTCTGTAGTCCTTAGTAGCGTCAAACTTCTGTATCCTGCGCAACTTCTTTCTCTCCAGATTATCTGATGTGTCGGGAATGAACGGACACTTTCCGTCAAGCGTGTAGTAAAATGAAGGATAGTTTTCGCCAGACCATTCACGGACGGCTATGGGGCGCACGGCTTGGGACAAGTCATAAATGTAGAGAAAGTTCTTCTCCAAGTAGTACAAATCTTCTCTCTTTGCATTTGGATCTCTATCAGCTGAGCCAAAGATCTTTTCTTCTTTAAGAAGATTAGATAAGTTACCTGTGCGCTCATGGGATCCGGAGTCGGACACACCCAAGTTCTTGAGGAATCTGAATACCTTATCGTAGTCCCAGACCTTGATCTTAAGGCTCACGGCGTCATGGAATATGTCATTATTAGGGTAGGATTTTGAGGTGCTGAATTGACGTCGACTGACAATAATGCTGACATCTCTATCGTAGAAAGGCACAATTTCACAACCTACCAGTCTCAAAGCACGCTGTGCTCTCTTTTGCTCGTTATGCTGGGTTTGGTTGTTAGAATCACAGCCTTGTGTATCAAAGTAGACCACGGATTCACGCATGATCTTACGCCAGGAGTCCTGCCAGCTTTTGAGCTCGTCCCCGACGAGTCTAGCTGACTTAGCAGCAGCGGAAGCCAGGCCGCTGACTATAGACTTGGAATCTTCTGGTTTACGTTGTTTTTTCAGCAACAGCTCATTCGAGCCGTCTTCTTCTGCACCCTCTTGTTTCTCGACAGTGACTTCTGTACGCTTAACCACTTCCACAACATCCTCACGTTCTAGCTTTTGGACCGCAGATGGTGCCTGTTTAACCTTAGGCTTGATGCTTGCCGGCAGTGGGACATTCTGGTTGGTTTCTGCCAACGGCACACGCTTGGCCTGTGACATGGCAGTATATGATCTCTTTTTGTTTGTTCTATCCATCTTAAAGGTGCATTGTTGACTTGACAGAATTGAGGAATTGGCAGATGTAAATTATAATATGCAAGGACTTATGGACCCAAGGAATGCAATGAAATGATCAGTTAGAAGAAATTAGGTGCCCTAGTGGTGGATGTTTGGGCTGGTTGGTGTGTTAGTGGTAGGAGCAAAACACGGAAGATTCGCGTCGTGAGAAGCTTGGGTAGAAAAAAAAAAAAAAAAAAAAAAGAAAAAGCCAGTAGGATCGCAACGCTGTGCACGCTACTGTTTACATTTGCAACCGCAAGAGAAAGACCGTGAGGAAGGTAACAAAGAGGGAGCAATGTGGCTGATAGGAATGGGTTTGGGTAGGCGAGACATGCTTTTTTGAACTGGGGTAGTATCATATGGAAGATGGAATGAGGGAGGTTTTGGGTTACTGGTAGGTGGTGATTAAGGTTGGCTGCGAAATGCCCTGGCTGCGAAAGGGCTAAAGAATGGGACATAGGGCTGGAGGAGTTGGAAGGTGTAGAAGTGGAATGGGATGGAATGTGGCGGATCTGAAGTGTGGGAGAGGGCTTGAAGATAATGAAATTGAATGGCTGTCTTCTAGTAGTTTTGGGATGCTGGAGAATACAAGCTGGGTAGAGGAGGTGAGCTATAGAGGAAGGAGACAAACGGTGGATATCTTGGTTGGGCAATTGGGTGAAGAATTTGGCACATCTTTTAAATAGAGCCTGGATTAAAAAGAACCTGAATTAGGTTGCAGATATAGACTCTTTCTACTTTGTTCTTCCACCGCTGGTGCAATGAATCGAGGTATGTCTGCCTCTAATGAGGACTTCAGAGGCTCTGGAAGAGAAGGATGTCCATTTACTCCTGGTCTTTTCATTATCGCTAAATCTGACATCTTTCTCTTCCTTGAATCTTCTTTACATCTCCCAACCTATTTGTGGCCATTTTTATTGAATTGATGCACTTTCATTGGATCTCTTTTCTTCCACATTTTGCAACCATTCTGCACTTTTTAGCTGTAGATTGGAATACAGTCAAACCAACACAAATTTCTCATGGCCAACAAAAATCAGAAACTTCATTTAAGACCGTGCCAATGTAACGAATCTATTTTCTGCCTTTGAAAATACCCCTACAGATTCTTTAACCTTGACTGGACTTCAAGACCACCATATAATGGCCTTCTTAGTAGATACCAATACGAGCAACACACTGAACCTCCCCGACGAAGAAGCACATAATAAAGCTAAATAACCTAAAACAGCCAAAGTTACCCCTTAACCGTCGAAACCTTATATTAATAATTCCCCTCCTCACATATCGTTCATTGACCAATCGATCACATTCCCTTCTTTGGGTGCACCTTATCTACTACTTCGCACATTTCATATAAACTTCACATCTACATGTTACAGCCAAAACACATATCACAGACGCTTTCGAGCGTGCTATCAGCACAAGGGCAGGGCCCAATTTCTGCATCGCTCTTGTCTAACAAGGGTCTTCCGTTATCAACAGTTTCGGTGCCAAACTTGGACATCTCTTCAGACAATCTCAAAGTGTTCTCGCTATTGGCGATCAATGCTTTCCACCAACAGGCCAAGGCCAGGAACGCAGAATTGGACGACTGGACTGTCATGGATGTGGATGGAAACCTCAGGACTATGGTCAAGCGATTCTCCACGGAAAAAGGTGTGAAGAACCTGTTGTATGTGGTGATCTTCTACCTCAGCAACTACGAGGACGCCAGAGCGAAAGCACAGCTAGACGTGCTTACGAAAACGTTGGAGTCGGAACTACAAGGCTACGTGGCAGCGTAAGACTCAGGATGCTATTATGCTAAACAAAAAATATGGGTAGTAATCACGGGAAGTAGGAGCATGAGAATAAAATCAAATTGCGACCATCAGATAGTAGACGCAATGGAGAAGCAAAGACATGAGTGGGTTCGTATAGATGCATTAGGCTCGTAGGAGCGAGAAACAAACACCGGTCTTCTTGTCGATTCTGGGATTAGCAACGACTGATCGACGAAGGCACCGGTGGTAGGACAGCAGAAGCTGCTGGGTGGGAATGCTATTAGGTTTATTTCACCACCATGTCCACGTCGCTCTCTTCCTCTTCAACGTCATCTTCAACGTCCTCCATGTCATCCATGAGGCTCTCCTCGTCAAAGCTCTCTTCCTCGCTATCGTACCAGAAGTCTTCATCAACAGGCTCTTGTTCTGCGTCCTTGGCCGTGCCGTTGGCACCGCCGTAAGCATGAACCTCAGACTCGGGCACGACAAAGCCCTCGGGGATGTCGCCCTTGGACCTTGTCACTTCTTGCATCACCTTCTTCTTGTAAGCGTCAGGACTCTTCCTCAACTCGACCGAGGCGTCAATGTTGGCAGGAGACAGCACGTTTGGGTCTTCTAAGAGCGAAACGATCGAAATCAACACCGACTCCACCGTTTGCGCAGGCGACCACGTCTCGCTGTCGGGCTCATCCGACGTTGGGTCACCACCCTGGTGGAGAATGGAAATGCACAATCTGCCGTCACGATAAACGTTAGGGTGGTAGATAGCCGGGGTGAAGCGGAAGGTAGGTGGCGAGAAGGGGAAATCAGCAGGGAAACGCATCTGGCCCTTGAAGAAACCGCCATGGTACATGGACTCCTTGTTAAGCACCATGATGCCGATATTCCACAAGAAGATGTTATCGTCGTCAAGTTCAATGTGGAACGAGGGAATACCTTTCTTGGGGTCGGTCAAGTCTCTGAACTGCCGCTGGAGAATCGCTGCTGCTGACTTGGAACTCATGATGTTATGGGAAATGGGTGTATGTGATATGGTGGTTATGGTGAGTGTTGATAAAAATCTTGAAAAAGAAGACAGACCAAAAACACTGGAATGAAGCCGAAACCGCTGATTATTATTGTATTAGACGGGCCCGCTGGAGTCTTTAGCGTAGGTTTATTTAAATCTGAAAATTAAAGCTTGCGTTTTCAGCGATGCTGGTGGTGGGGAAAGAGAAAGATGGATGGGTAGGTAAGGAAACTGGAGGGCCTCAGTGCGAGGCGGTTTTGGTTTTTCTTTTTTCCTGTGGTGGTGCCGCAGCCTATTTCTTTTCCTGCGACTCACCTGTGAACGTTGCTACTAGGAGACACAAATGGGAGGGGGAAGAATAGAGGGAATTGGAAATTCCATTGACTAGGGGCTTCCAAGTTGTAGATTCCGATTATGAACAATAAAAGTGGTTTATTGGGGGAAATGGGTGGAAAACGTGGAGTTGTGGGCTGAAGTCACGTGACCACGGTAATCTGCTTACAAACGTGGAGTTCCATAGCTACGGTGCAGAAGAAGGTCAAAGACGGTTGTAGACGTTTTGGACGTTTTATGAGTAATCTTTTCCGATACCAAGTGTTTTGGTTAAACCAGACCTGCTGGGTGAGGCTGCTGGGTGTGTTTGTTTTGGGACAGGAATGCTAACCAGGATCTGCGGCAGAGCCCCAGGAAAAGAAGTGGAGGTGGCCGAGGAAGGCAGTCTCCGAAAGGAACTAAACCCAAAGTCCCATAACCAACATCTACATTCTATTCCAACTTCTTCCACCACCAAAACAGTCTATTTGGATCCGGGGATCCGGGTTGCGCACCGGTTGGCCCCCACGGTTATGGCTACCAGCGTGGAGCGTGAAAAAAGCGAAAAAAAGTGTAACAAAGAGCCCAAGTGGGTGCGAAAACGTACGGTGATTAGGGTAAAATAACCACAGCAAGCGTGGAGTCAGGTAGGCTCCCAGAGGTACAACCGGCTAAGTGATAATAGGACAGAAGGGGAGGAAGGAGGTTTGGGAAGTTTTGGGAAGTTTTGGGAAGTTTTGGGAAGTTTTGGGAAGTTTTGGAATCTGGAGTTTTTATGTTTCTTGTTTTCTTTTCTTTTTTTTTTTTATTTCTTTGTTTTCGTTAAATGTAAGTATCGCTACTGTAGTTGTTGAATGTCTGTTCAAGGCCAGTTTGGGTTGTCGGTTGAGGGCTGGGACACTGGCTGGGGAAGCTTCTCAGTATACGAAGTGCTCGTCTAGTGTACATTCTAGTCACGTAAAAAGGTTAAACAGAGACCCCCAAGTGTGCAGTAAAAGAAGAAAAGTGGGTAAGAAGGGTATGGATGTTGGTTGCTTTTGTGAATGATGGTTTTTGGTTAATTGGTTTTGGGAGTTGGGTAGTTGGTGGGTGGTGGTGCTGGACTGGCTGGGTAGGCCCCACTGTTTGTTATCGCACTGGGTTGCGTATTTATAGGTATGGAGCCAGAATGCGCTCGGCAAGTGCCAGTAGGCGCCAAGGGAAGCTAGGGAATAGGTAATAGGGGAATGGGTGAATAGAAAATATGGAAATATTGCTACTTGGGAGGTAAAGAATAGGCTTGTGAGGTTGTTGGTGGGTGGAGGCTGGAGAAGGTTTGGGTGCTGCAGTTTGCAGCCACATATCTCTCCTACAGTGTTATCTGGTACTGTGTTGGAAGTAGACCTTGAGGTATTTAGAAGTTGTTAGTGAAAGTACTAAAAGCTCTACAAATAGTATTCTAAGCATGTAAATTCATGTAAATGATCTTCTAAAGCGTTTGTCTAGTATCTGCTTCTTTCTGCTACATCGTGCATTTGGGTGTATGCTCTTACAGTGCCTACAATGTCACGTCTAGGTCAGTTCTTTCCACCATTTTTCATTCTTTTCTTTTTTTTTTATTTTTCTTCTTCTTCTATCTCTCTTCCCTTCCTGTCCACCATCCTCGCCCTTTGTCAACAGACATTAGCAGGCTAGCATGCCTTGGTGTCTCCCCACTCTATGCTATTGGGAATGGTTGCGAAAAATGGAAGGTCCCCGCCTGACCGGGCCATGTCGACCAGAAATCACCAAAAGTCATTCCAAACCAGGTGGCATGAAAAAGCCAACATTGCCGTTCCTTCAATATACCAACCTTGTAGAATGCCACAAATTTATGTCCCCCTACACCTGTAAATGCCTCACTGATCTAGCGTTATCAGTCGCAGGCTGTGGTAGAGCAGTCCATAATCTTTCCAAAAACCCTGGAAAGCTAGCGAAAAATAGAGAAACGGTAGTAACTTAGTAGAATTCTTTAATAAATACCAGAAAATCACCTCTTCTTGCTGGTAGCTTCGGTTTTCTGGCATTTTCCCTGCTCTCACGTGCTGTTGCTGACATTCGCTCCGGCATTTGGCCGCTATCTATCTGGACCGCTATCAGACACGATCTACTACCTTTGATAACCATGGACATTGAAGAACAAATTGAAAAGGCTGAGAAGTTGGACTCCCCTTCGTTGGTTGGGTCGTCCATCCGGTCGGCCGACGATCTGGCTCACCAGAATTACATCCACCCAGAGAAGTACAAGGGTCGTTCTAAAAGCAAGCCCAAGAAACATTCCATCTTGAACTCGTCAATTGGCGCGTCATTGGATGATTTGATCAGTGAAGGTGCTTTGTTGGGCTCTGAGGAAGACTTTGATAAGTTTTTGGACGATTCTGGCCACGTCAAGTCGAATGCCAGGTATGCTCCACAAGAGAAATCGGCCAAGGATAAGATTGACGGTGAAGACGAGTCTCCAGTAGAGTCCCCAGAAGATTCTCCAGAGGAGAAATCTTCAAGCAAAGCTATTGAGCCTCAGGTTAAGTTGGACAACTCACAAGAACCTGAAAGTGTCCCTATTTCGGCCCTGTCGACTGTAGAAGGCACTGCTGGGGACATAGATTCCAAGGCTAGCTCGATCTACGACAATGACAACTACTCTGCTCCCAATTTGTCTGAGTACCAGCTTGATCATCAGATCGCTGACCATTCTGACTTGTTGAGCTCAGTTAAGTCGTACGACCTTAGCAAGTTGCCTTCTTCCTCCGATAGAGAGCGCTCCAAGAGCAATATCTTGGCCGAATCACCTGCTCGTGTGCCTAGCAATTCTAGAGCATCCCCAGCAAGAAAGACCGCTACGTTCGCTAAGAGTTTGGACTATGGTGAGAATGCCAACGTAAGGCTGTCGGATTCGTTACACACGCCTTACTTTGCCTCGTACGAGCGTTCGCCAAGTAGGTCCTCCAGATCAGGCTTCAGAGATAAGTCTTCGGAAAGAGGTTCCAGATCGACGTCTTCTCCTACGACGAACCCTCACTTGGCTCGTGGTGACACTTATAAAAGTACCCATGCTGAAACTCCACTCAAATATGAGCGTCCTGCTGACTTTGATGTGGATGAGGAGGATAGCAGAGCTACCAGACAATCCAGACCTACCATGGGTGAGTCCATTGCTGCTGCTGAAGCTAGTTCGCAACAACAGAATCTCAGGGAGTTTCATGGCGAGGAAGGTATCACCAGGGATCCATCGTTAGTGACCACTGGTGACTACACAAACTTCAATGTCGATTCCTCAAGTAATCGTTATGATGACTATTTGTCCTCAGTGCGTTCTGAATCGTCTACCAACTATTTGAGGAGTATTTCGAGATCAAGATCCAGACAACCTAAGAAGAACTCTACAAGTGAGATCAACGAGAAGAATGATGCCAACCCAGAGGAGCTTGCCCATGAGGGTGCGTTGATAAGCGATGACCCCTTTGACCAAGTAGAGAACTTCGATAACGTCATGAAAAACGTGGTAAGTCCCTCGAGACAGCAAGATACTGCTAATTTGATAAGTAAGGAAGAGAAAGTTCCTGAAGTCGAAGAGCCAATTGAAGAGGAATCGGAGAAAGCCCCAGTGTCTGATATCCCTGCTGATGAGAAGGAAAGCGAAGCCAAGGAACAACTCATTGCTGAGGCGGCTCCTACAGTTTCGGCAAAGGACATCCATGTCGACCCTTCAGAGGCTGATAACGAGGTACATCACGACTTTGTCTCAGAGAACAAAGAAGTAGAAGATGATTCTTTATCGAAGTCCGAACAGCAAGATACCGAGGAGCTCGAGGAGCCTATCGTGGACGAGTCTGCTGAAGAGAAAATCAAAGAGGCTAAAGAGCAACTAATTGCTGAAGAGGCACCTACTGTTACAGCTGCTGATATCAAGATCAACAAGGATGACAAGGAAGATGTTAAAGAGGCTGCTGGCAGCGACCACGAAGAACTCAGCGATCTTCCATCGAAAGACGTCCCATCGAAAGACGTCCCATCGAAAGACGTCCCATCGAAAGACGTCGACGAAGATGCCAGTCTCAGCAATGTGACGGCCGCAGAAACTTCTGCCCTGGCCGATCTGACCGATGCCCCTGTTTCTAAATCTGTTGAAGAAAGTATCGCTGATGAGCCAGATGCCACAGATCCTAGCGAGTCTCAAGAACCAAAGTCGGCCGAAGACGAGTCAACGAAGGAACAAGAGAATCAAGAGGAGGAGGAGGAAAAGGCAGAGGAAGAGGAAAAAGCAGAGGAAGAGGAAAAAGCAGAGGAAGAAGAAAAGCCAAATTTAATTTCTGAGCCAGTTGCTAACGTTCCTGAAACCGAAGAAGCTAAGGACATTAAAGCAGAAGAAAAACTGGTTCCAGATGAAGAAGATAACAAGCCTAGTCTCGTCGCTGAGGATGAAGTTGATGTAACAGAGCCTGAAGCTACTGAGGACAGGGGTCTTCATGAATCTGTTGACGAAGAGGGCAATGCTGTGGAAGACAAGGAGGAAACTGTCATCTCGAAAGGACTTGAGACTGATGAACACGGCGCTAAGGTTCCGGAAATTGACTTTGAAGAAGAAAAGCAGGAAGATATCGCACCTGAATCCGAAGCTGCCACAGACAAGCCTTCTCTTATAAGTGAAACTGCCAATGACGACAAAGAGCTTGAAGCAGAGGATGTCGAAGCCGTCGAAGCAACAACCGAGCCTGAAGAAGTTGACAAGGGAAACACCGATGACGCTAAGGACGACTCCGAAGAGGCCAAGGCAGAGAAAGACATCAAAGCGGAAGAACCTGAAGCGACAGAAACCAAGCCAGCCTCCGAATCTGATGCCGAGGCCGATGTAACAGAAGGTGAGAAGGTTGGTGACTCCAAGGATGAAGAGGAAACGGTGGTTGCCAAGGATGCACCAGAAACGGAAGAAGAAGTAGTGGAAGTGAAGAACGACGACGAGCCTTCTGATGAGCAACAGGCTAAGGCGACTGCTCTTGTTGCCGACGAGGAAAAGGACACACCCAAGGGTAATGGCGATGAAAGCTTCGAGGAAGTTACTAAGGAAAGTGAGGTCGAAGAAGCACCTGAAGAGTCGACTGAGCAGACAGATGAAGATGCCACTGAAGCTCCCGAGAGTAAAGAAAGGGAGCTTAAAGAAGAAACCCTGGAGAAGAGTACGCCTCAAAGTGCCAGCAAAGGATGGTTCGGCCTGATCAAGGAAGGTATTGGTGCCGTCGTTGGCGGAGCAGCCGTTGCCGAAAGCCAGCCTAGCAATGACGACGAGTTTGACGTGTCGCCAGAGGAGTTGCGTAAGCACCTCAAAGAGCAGCCAGTGTACATTTTCACGTCGCTCGCTGGAGGCATGCAAATCATGCAAAGGACGAACCGTCTCACGACCATCTTGCAGGCCAACGGCGTGAAGTTCGAATACAGAGATTTGGGCACAGACGAGGAGGCTAAGAAGCTCTGGAGAAGATACGCGCTGGGTAAGACGCTACCAGGAGTGGTCAGAGGCGATGACTTCATCGGCAACTGGCAAGAGATTGACGAGCTCAACGAAGAGTACTTGCTCCAACAAAGGCTCTGGGAAGAACTTTAAGCGGGAAAGCCAGTCTTTGTGACACGTTCGGAAGGCCCAAGAGATTTACTAGGACCAATTTGCAGCAATCGAATACTACATGTGAAGGCATCGGACCTGCACGCGAAGCTGATTTACGAGGCTCGCATACGATTTCTAGCGCACGGTAGGCATGTAAGCGAGTGACGTGGCGTGTGGTACATCAGAACACCACACTGTGGGTGCAAAATGCCCTTTCCCAGTGTCAGACGACCTCCTGGTATGTTTGCCAGGTGGCAGCAAAAAGAAGGCTCAATTGCCAATACCAGCATGACGTCTATGAATAGCATGTATGAATGTCGTAAATGTAATTTTTCATGGCAAAACCAACGAGGGGAACGACAATGTCGCTACCCGAGAGGTTCCCTCAACTGGTCACAATCCACAACCCATAAGTAAGTCAAGGAGAAAACGTCTTTTTTTTTTTTAAAAAAAAAAAAACCTTCACTTCCTCTCCAATTACGTCAATTCATTTTCCCGTCTCACAAACCCCCAAAAAATAAGTACGTCGTCACCGTGACGACATCCACGTAAGAGAGGTTTCTGGTTGGGCGCTTGTGGCCCGTTTGCCTGCAGTACACAGCCATGGCTACTTCTCACCAAATTTCCAGATCTCAGAACCACTATCCTCCCTCTGTTTCTGGACTCCTGATAGGTCTTTGCCATATACCGTTGACCTTCCTTTTGAATTACTTAAAGAGCACCACGTTGCCTTTAAAGCTGAGCTATTGAAAAAAAGAGAAAAAAAAATACGTTAACTTGTCTTCTAAGATTCGGAAAGTGCATCTCCTCACACCCTTCCGTTTTATCGTCGCCTTAGAATCTCCCGCTGCTTATACTCTATAAGCATTGCCCATCTGTGTGAAACCTGAAAAATTTTTTAAAACCCCCTGTTTACGCTTGCTGATATCATGTCGACTCCAGCTGAAATCATTGCCGCTCGTGTCAATGGTACTTATGTTTCCGAGGAGCCTAAGCCTGTGAAGAAAGTTTCGAAGGAACCTGTTTCCAAAGAGACTGCTTTCCCTGTGCTTGGCGGCCGCCAGAGCTCTCCTGATGTTGCTGGTATTACCAACACCAATACCCCATGGGGCCCTGGTGTGAATGGTAATGGAAAAGCCTCTTCTGCTGCTGCTGTGTTGAATGCTACTTCTGCTAGTTCGTCTCCTTCTCCTGCTCCTAAGTCTGCTTTCAAGGGCACTACTGTCCAGGAAGCATTTTCTTTGGACGCTGATGACCAATTGAACGTGGCTCGTGCTGAATTCATCAAGATCATGACTGCTATTAAGGAAGAGACCAACGCCAATGTCGAGTGTACTATTTCTCAGCATACCAAGAAGAGAACTTTTTTGATTAGCGGTACTCCTGAGAACGTGAAAGCGGCTAAACGTCTTGTGATTAAGAAATTGACCAAGCCTGTGGTTGTGACCTTTGACATTCCTGCCAAGGTGAGATCCAGAGTCATTGGTGCTCAAGGTAAGAATTTGAAGCCTATTATCCAGGAGAACCAGGTTAGAATCGATATTGCCAACGACTCTGAGGAATCTCCATCCCCAGAACCTGAGGACGAAGACGACATCTACGCTAGAACTGTTCCTGTTACCATTGAGGGCGATGCCGAGAGCACCAAGCGTGCTAAAACTGCTATTATGGCCATCGTCAAGGAAGAGACGAAGAACTTGTCAATTAAAATTACTGTTAGTGAGTTTGTCAAGCCTTTCGTTGCCAAGGCTGCTGCTCCAATCGAATCGGAATACTCCGGCCTTGAGTTTATTTTCCCCACCTGGGATGCCCCTTCTACCAGCGTGATCATCACCGGTGACAGAGAGGCAGCTTTGGAGGCTCGTGACAAGATAAAGGATATTGTCGCTGCATTGGAGGCCAAGCTCACTGTCCTTTCTGTGCCAATTCCCCAGGTCAAGCACCAATTCTTGCCTATCAAGGAAATCATTGAGGAGGACAATGTTTTGATCCAATTGCCTGGCGAGGGGGAAACTGACGTCAAGTTCATTGGCGAGAAGAGCGTGCTCAGACTTGCCCAGGAGAGAGCCAGACTTACTACTTCCCAATACAAAGTCGAGGTCTTGGATATGAGCAAAGCCCACAAAGGCAACCTTCCACATGTAAGAGCAGTTGCTGCCTTGTTGAAAAAGAGGGATGATTTCAATAAGATTGCATCTGCCCATGACGTGGTCATCAACCCACCTAAACACGAATTCTTGATTGAAGAGGGCAACACATCTCTTCCAATTGAGATTGTTGTCAAAACAAATGATATTGAAACCACTAGACAGGCAAGAAAGGAGATTGTTGCTTTGGTTAACAAGTTTACTCCTGAAAAGGCGAAAGTTATCGATGATATCGACAGCTTTTTGATTCCAAGAGCTCCTGCCTACCTTGACTTAAAAGTGCCCGAGCTTAAGGTCGAATATGTTACTCTTGGTGATCGAATTGTGTTGTTCGATGTTTCAGAGGCCGAAGAAAGCGACGACTTTGATGTAGAGGGCTCCTCGGTGGACAATTTGGGTGAAGTCTATAGAAGCTTGGATGAATTGAGAGATATGCAAGGTTCCATATCCACCGTTGTCATGAATGCCCATAAAAGGACACAGAATCTTGTTTTCGGACGGAATAGGGCAACTTTAAGGTTGTTGTTGAAAGAAGTTGATCCAGACTCCGTTGAGGTGAAAGAAAGATGGAATGGGCTGGAGCATACTGACAATGCCCTCTATATTCATGGTTTGACATCTTCAGTGGAGAAGATTAAAAAGGGAATTGAAAAGGTTTACGACGAGGACTTTGAAAATCCAAATTACAGCATCGATTTGAACATACCGATCTTCGTGATGCCAAAGATTATTGGAAAGGGAGGTTCTTCCATCCAAGCCATCAGGGCCGAATATGGTGTTGACATCGTCTTTTTAGATGAGGGTAGATCTGTTGATTTGTCGGACAAGACAGCGAAGACTATTGTCTCTGTCGCCGGTAACAAACTTAACGTTGATGCTGCTGCTGATCACCTCGCTAAGTTAGCAAAGAGGCTAGCCGACGAGACTCTCGCTAGGGTCAGAGTGGAGTCACAATACCACAGGCAAATAGCTGGTCCCGGCTTTATTTACATGAACAGATTACAGGATAAGTACGGTGTTTCCATCAGGTTTCCAAACGACAAGTATCTGAAGCATGACGACGCTCCAGCTTCGAAGGACGAGATTACCATCAGAGGACCATCTAGAAGTGTTGCCAAAGCCGAAGAGGAACTTAAAGAATTGTACTCCTTTGAAAAGGAAAACGGCCACAAGCAGTCAATCAAGATCCCAACCAAGGCTATTGCTAGAGTTATTGGTAAGAGCGGTGAGACAATCAAAGATATCTCGGATGGGTTTGGTGTTCAATATCATTTCAACAGAGACAAGGATGCAGAGGCAGCTCAAGGATTTGCTGAGGTTGAACTCACTGGTTCTAGGACCGCATTGAAGGAAGCATCTAAGAAGATTGCCGAGATCGTCTACGAGGCGGAGAACTTTATCACTGTGACCATAAAGGTACCTCGTGTATACCATCGTAACTTGGTTGGTCCCGGTGGTTCTTACATGAGAGAGATCATTGCAAACGCCGGAGGTGAGGGTGTTTCAAGACAGCAGTTTGGACGTTTGTTGAATATTCCAGACGAGGGATCCGAATCTGAAGAAATTGTCTCTTCTGGTGAGAAGAGTATTGTGAATAAGATTGTGAAGCAGATTAAGGATATTGTCGCTAAGAGAGAGGCATGTGTTGAAGAGGTCGTTGAGATTCCGAGGTCTAAACACAGAAACCTCGTTGGTCCAAATGGAAGCGTTCGTCTTGGATTGGAAAAAGAACTCGACGTCAACATCTGGATTCCTAGAGCCCACGAGAACCTGAACCAGATCAAGGTTACGGGCTTGCCAGAGAACATTGAGAAGACGAAGGAGAAGTTTGCCGAATTGACCCGCGACAGTTGGAATGAAGTCATTTCTGTTCCAGGCTCTCTACACGGATTAGTTTCTGAAAAGGCAGCTCTCTTCAAAATATTTAAGAATACGTACAGCGTGGACGTTTGGCACGGCAACATGGCAACAAAGGCATCCCAAATTAGTGCCGATTGTATCCCCACCCCACCTGAGGGAGCTGTGGCTGGCGAGGAGGACGAAGGCCCATACAAGTTCACCACTACATTGTTGGAGAAGCCCAAGAAGGATGTCGTCATCCCATGGAGATTAGTGGGAGACGAGACCGCCACAGCTAAGGTGGCCGAGATAATTAAGGAACGCTTGGAGAAGGCCAAGGCGGCTACTCACAGTGGATGGTTTTACCCCAAGAACCGCAAGAATCTTTTTAACAAAGTCTTGGGAGCGCAAGGCCGCAACGTGAGGGAGCTTCGCGAGAAAACGGGAGCATTCATCACCGTGCCAAGATCCAGTGATAGTAGCGATTTTATCTACGTGGTGGGAACCGAGGAGAGCTTGAAAAAGGCAGAAGAAGCCCTTGCCAAATTGGTCTAACCACCCCCCAACCCCGAAGGCATTTATTTTAGCACCCATGCATAAATTGCAAATAGTTTACAAAAATACATACATACGAGAAATGAGGCTTTTTTTGTGGCACTCGTCGTAGCCCATATATAATGGTTGCGAAAAAGTTTGGGGTACAATAGCACCCTAAGCGAGATGTATTTTTTCTCGTGCGCACCAGTTTAGACAATAGTCCCTGTTGAAGGCTAAGAAGAAGAAAAAAAATAACTAGCAGTAGAAGTCACGTGAAATGACACTACCATCAAGCGTCACCAGACCGGTCACAAACACTTGAAAAGAGGAAAAACGGGCGGGCCTGTCAAAACCGGCAAGTCCGATAAGTAGAAAAAAACAACGAATAAAAGCAGAGCATTTCAATTAATCACCCCATGTACCCCGCTGTACATGTAACCCGAACCAAACTGTGGCTATCTATTAATGATTAATCGCCAAGGTGTGGATGGGAAAGAAAGGGCAAAATTGCAACGACAGAGAAGAGCCTGCATGACGAGAACCGAGGTCCGAGGGCGCAGAAAAAAAGAGGTTTTTCCGGGCGTGTTTGATGCGGCGAAAGGTACGTCACGTGATCACCTAATACTTAACTCACTGCAATCCGAGGGCGTTCCCGGGCATGCAGTTGAGGCGATCTTCGCTGAGGCTGCAATTGGTGCTACTAAGGCATTTCTTTTTCACTTCCACACTTGTGACTATATATCCTCTTCCTGACCCGGTTCCCACTCCCCTAACAACTTTTTGTCAAAACCATGCCTGAGTCAGAAATCAGAAACGAAGTCGAAGGCAATTCCTTCAAAAAGGATTCCGAGGGCAATTCTTTCATCAAGAACTCTAATGAGATCAGCTCTCTTCAAGACACTGAGCACGATGCCGCTGTGGTGAACATTGACCAAAACAAGAAAGAAATCGGTATAATATCGTCCATTTTCCTTGTCACGAATAGAATCATCGGTGCCGGTGTTTTCTCCACCGCTTCCACCATTTTGGAGCTTTCGGGCTCCGTCGGTACTTCCTTGATTATGTGGGTGGTTGGCTCCATCATTGCTTTTACTGGTCTTCTAACCTATATGGAGTTGGGATCTGCTATTCCAAGAAATGGTGGTGAGAAGAACTACTTGGAATACATTTACAGGAAGCCAAAGTTTTTCGTCACGGCCATGTACGCTTCATATGTTTTCTTCCTCGGTTGGGCTGCTGGTAACTCTATTGTCACCGGTGAGTTTTTGCTTAACGCTGCTGGTACCGAGGTTACCCAGTGGAACTCCAGAGCTATTGGTATTGGTGTGATTACTTTCGCTTTCTTGGTCAACGGTCTTAACGTCAAGGCCGGTTTGTTCTTGGCCAACATTCTTGGTGTTTTCAAGGTGGTTATCATTCTTTTCATCTCCATCACCGGCTGGGTCGCCTTGGGCGGTGGTATCAAGAACGACGAGTTCCAAGACCCAAAGAACTTTGACGATGCTTTCAGCGGTACCACACCAACTGGTTTCGGTATTGTCAACGCCTTGTACAACATTATTTGGTCTTACGTCGGTTACTCCAACGCCAACTACGCTTTGGGTGAAATCAAGAACCCAGTCAGAACCTTGAAGATCGCCGCTCCAACCGCTTTGCTTACCATCACCATTCTTTACATGTTGGTCAACGTTGCTTACTACGCTGTTGTGCCTGCTGACGAGATCCGTAACTCGGGTAGAATCGTCGCTTCCGCTTTCTTCAGATACGCTTTCGGTAAGGAAGCCGAGAAGGCTGCTTCTGTCTTCGTCGCCCTCTCTACTTTGGGTAACGTCTTGTCTGTTATCTTCTCCCAAGGTAGAATTATCCAGCAGTTGGGTCGTGAGGGTAGTTTGCCATTCTCCAGATTCTTTGCCACCCAAAAGCCTTTCAACACTCCATTTGTTGGTCTTCTCCAGCACTGGGTTGTCTGTATTGTCACCATCGTGGCCCCACCACCAGGTGATGCTTACAACTTTGTCTTGAACTTGATTTCCTACCCATTGAACGTTGTCAACACTTTCGTTGCATTGGGTTTGTTGTGGCTCAAGTGGAACAGTTACAGAGGTAACGCTCACTGGAAGGCTCCTATCACTTGCCCATGGCCTGTTACTGCTTTCTTCTTCCTTTCTTCCTTGTACTTGATTGCTGCTCCATACATTCCTCCAAGTGATGGCCAGACCGTCTACCAGGACTTGCCTTACTGGATTCATCCTGTTGTCACCTGGGGTGTCTTCGCCGTTGGTGCTATCTACTGGCTTGCATGGACCAAGATTATTCCACACATCTTTGGCTACACCTTGGAGGCAAAGGAAATCTTGGGTGAAGATGGTTTCTGGAGAAACAAGTTCTTCAAGATTCCTCACGGTGAGGTCGTCGAAGAGCCAGAAATTAAGGAAGATTGAGTGGTATCTCGAGGAACCTTACTTGGTGCTAAAAACAAAAACAAAAACAATTTCACTTCTTAATAGCCTTCTTTGGTGCATATTTATTTTAGACATTATAGAGCTAATTTCGTTATAATATTTTGGCTGCGAAAATCATGTAGTTTGGAAAACACAAAACTGAACCGGAAAAATTATTGAAAGGGTCCAATTTATTTCTTTATTTTGCCCAAATGAAAATCCGTACCGAATATTTTTTTTTTTTTTTTTCATCTTACTGAATATTCTGTGTACTGTCCAGACAAAGAGCTTGTGCCTAGTAAGTGAAAAGTCCTGTACACCCGTGCACCATCAAGAAACCTTAGACTGAGAAAAATTCACCACTTCGAACTCGATCTTTGAAAGCCCTAATGCCAGTTAAAGCTATACCCAAAGTCTCCTTGGCCCGTAACGGTATTGGAGCATTCGTGAGACCTTGTTATAAGGTTACCCTCCAGTACTGTAACTGGGGTGGTTCTTCCCAAGGCATGAGAGACTTCTTGACCCAAGAGAAGACATCCTTGGCCAAATTTGCATCTGAATTCAAAGATGTCTTTTTCGAAATAAAACAGCAGAATGGTCATCCCCAGCTACTTCTTCATTTCAACAACGGCAAAAAGCAGTCTGTTGATGTGAGAAACCAGAGCGTGTCTGAAATCAGCAAGAAGCTCTGGGAGAGCGTTCAGCAGAGTGGAAACGACCGTTTCAAATTCAACCAGAAGGTTATGTCTAATAACGAGTCCGTCAGAGGTATCTGGTCTCCCTTGCATGTGGCCAAGGAGAACAGACACAAGATTTAGGTGTGGAGAACATGTACATAGAAATAGCATACTAAAGGGAAGGTATTTGTAGATTGGGATTGAAGCGATGCATTTCGAGACTTTCAGTGGCAACACTAGATATTCATCAGATAATGCCATATTTTAACGTTTTGGATTGCGTCATTAAGAGGAACTTAAGATATAGTGTTCTGTAAGACAGGTAGAGAAAAAGCGCCAAAGCTAAAGCATTCAAGAGGTGTTAGACGCTCCGGTAGACAGGCCAATTTACATGGGAAGCGGAAGCGGGCTCAAAGTAAAACCAGGCCACTTAACGAAGAGTAATATCAAGTAGTGATGACTTGACAGTACAAGAGAGATGGAAAACACAATATTCTAGAACAAAAATTGAAGCTTATAGTACCAAACTTGTGAAAGCGATCAAATATCATTGTTGAGTTGGTTCCTAATCGTTTGGTTTATTTAATCTAAGGTTGACCCCATCATTGGTATGGCCTCTACTATGGCCTATGCTTGCCTCATAAGGACCACTTGAAAAATTTCAATCTTCTCTTCCCTTGAGAATCGATATCCTTAAAATAAATGAAGAGCAACTACTTCTTCGGTTCATCTCCAAGGCACATTTTTTTTTTTTTTTCTTCCTCATCTTCATAGACTTAGCCAACTCTTATACTTCACCAGTACTCAAGCTATTCGCAGCCAAAAAAGTCCGTGTTCTTACTTAACCTCCAGGACTACCAAAAAGTTGCAAAAGACCAGAAAAATCCAAAAGCCATATAAAAACTTTCCCGAAGCCTTTAAATTGTCAGCGTCACTCAGCTTTCCCTCTACCACCAAAAACTTCCCGTTTACCATCCAAATCACGTCTCCAGGCGGCAATTTTCCAAATGGCTGCAAAATAGAAGCCTAAGGCAAAACACAGCTTCTGGAAGGCACGAGCGGCTCACCAATGACGTGAAAAACAGCAAATAAAGAAACCTAACGAGGATCAAATAACAGCTCAAGAAACATCCTCAAAGAAAAACAACCGAAATCATAATATTTTCCACTTACTCATACCCTCTTCAGACCTCCTACTCCCTCTACAGTATGCCATTGTAGAGTCAAAGTCTCCAAGATGACCCAAAATGGCAATGAGTCGCCGCGGTTATGGGTCGTGGTTGCCTGCCATTTTGGAGACGGTTGCCATCGGAGTAGCAGAAAAGCAGCAAGTGCGCGCGAGAAGTCTCACAGTTAAGCAGGGGCCCTCGCCTTCTCCTGACGTTACAGGCGCGCTTATCTCTCTCGCCTGCCATTATCGGCGAGGTGAGCCATACCACCATTAACCTACTATGGAAGAGTTTTCATGAAGAGTGTTTATTTTAGTGTTTATAACTACCAACTACTTTTTCTTCAAAGCTATCACACTATGTGCTCCGAACCTTTAAACTACAAAGCATACCAGCAGGTGCTCAACCTAGGGTGCGAGAAGAAGACTAAGGCTACCAAGATGAGAGAGCCTAAACCTACCAGTTCTAAGAGAAGAACCAAGACGGGTTGTATGACCTGTCGTCGCAGAAAGAAGAAGTGTGACGAACACAAGACCGGCGGCAAGTGCCAGGCTTGTATTAGAAACTTTTTGGATTGTCACTGGCCTGGTGATAATGAGGAAGTGAAGAGCGAGGAAAACACGTCCTCCGAGGTTTCCGTTCCAGCATCTCCAGAAACTCCAAAGAGTCTACCAGTTTCGGATAAGGGTGCTGATGCTTATCCATCTCCAGTGATGTCTCCAAAATCGGAGACTGCCGAGGAGCCAACCACTAACTGCATGGATATCAAGTGTTTGACCTTGCCTCCAATTAAGGGTAAGACCGCCAAGGTGACAAAGCCCGAAACGAAGAAGAAGAGCCAGCCAAAGAAGGCTCAGGAAGCTAAATTTTTTATTGCATCTTTCGACTCTGGAAAGTCTCTTTGTCAGATCAAGAGTTAACGGGGCTAGCAGGTGCTAGCAGGACCAGGAGGCCTGGTCCAGGTAATGTATATTATGGGTAATGAAAAGGTTATACGGTTTTCCAATAGTGTAGAGAATACAGTGACGCCACTAGGAAGAGGTCTTCCATGGCTACCAGGCGCATAGAAGCCGCAAACGTTAACTGAAGGGAGGACTAAACCCTTAGCGGCATCTTGTTGCTTCTACTTCTCGTGTGATACGTAAGTGGGTTGCTCCAGCTGACTCACCCCCACATCACTACATGAGAGAGCTAATAGCAGCTACGAGGGTATGCCACCACAACTCGGAAATTAATATCGAGCGAATTAATTGCCGGGAACCGTAGGGGATTGGCTATAAGCCATGAATTTTGTATGAGACACATTTGCATGGGAAAAATTTTGTTTTGTGGGAGGTATTCGTGCATTTTGTGGGAGGTATTCTGCTTTTGGATATTCCTCTATGATGGTGTTGTTGCTAGAAGGACCCTTTGCGCCGTGGCCAAAAGCCACAGAAACACTTTTAATTTGCTAAAGTACGGTACTTACCTAACAAAGGTACCGCTACGTTTCAACTACCACAAAACATCTTCCCAACCTTTCCGTGAAAATTCCTTCCCCCTATGTCTTGGTGTTTACTCGGCAGGTACGGTAAGAGTATCTGCGCGGGGCCTGACACAGCTTATTAAGACACTAACGAGGCTCAGTTTTGTGCTACCGAAAAAGATAGCGTAACTTTTCTTCGACCGGGAATTCTGGGGATGCGTTTGCCGTGACCAGACCAGGTTTCCAAGCCTTGATTATCAATAGGAAGGTCTTACAATACCTGACTAAGCAGTCTATTGTATGGCTCATTCTGGGATGCTATGCCAGATCTGACAAATGTGTTGAAAGTATCCCCCGGAAGACAAAAGCAAACCGCAAAAGGTTGAAAGTCCGATTACGGACATCCTAGCGGCATGTTTCTGATCTAGGCATGGGCCAAGCCGGCTCAGATAAGCAGCCGACCTGCGGTCAAGGAGCAAGGAAGGATGGGAAAAAGGTGAGAAGAATGGTTGCAAAAAACGAGCCTCAGATTTGGCCTCCTCACGTGATCTCGCTTTGCCTGCCGTCCAGGCGTCCATGGTGCGTTCACAGATAACGGTGGGAAAAGAGGTAAGTGGTGGTTTAAATGGGACGCTTGAAGTAGCGAAAATTGGAACCCACCAAGTGAACCTTGACGTTTAAGTCTATCCATATGGTCCTTCCCAAATAGGCATCTTTCCATCGGGGAACAAACAGCCCAGGCAGCTTAAGTGTGGCTTCTGGGGCAGTTATGGTCCCACGCAGGACGTGCATTCGCTACGTTTTTGTTGCAAAACTGGCCAAACTGTGGCGACCTTGGTAAGACTGCCTTGTGTGTCACAAGCAACAAGGCCAATGGGTATAAAGGTAGGCCCAGTAGCCTTGGAAAATTTTTTTGTTCCTTATCTTTTACATCTCTAAATATGGTTGCTCAACTGAAGACTTTTGGCGATTTCGATACTCACTTCAACAAGGACACTGATGAGATCACCGCTGATGGTGTCTTGACTGTCTCCAAGGAAGGCAGAGCTAAGTCTCACTACCCAGACTTCTTGCCTCAGTGGGACCCAAACCAGAAGTTTCCTCCTTTGAAATTTTTCAAGCACGAGGACCCTGGTCTTAGAGCTGACCCTAGCTTCCCAAACCTTCTTCCAAAGGATGGTGAGCAGAAGGTCAAGAGAGTTACCCCAAAGTTGGGTACTCAGATCACTGGCGTCCAGTTGTCGCTGTTGGACAACAAGGGAAAGGACGAGTTGGCTTTGCTTGTTGCCCAGAGAGGTGTTGTGATCTTCAGAGAACAGGACTTTGCTGAGCACGGTCCTGCTTTCGCTACCAACTTCGGTAAGCACTTCGGTAGATTGCACATCCACCCAACCTCTGGTGCTCCAAAGGACCACCCAGAGTTGCACATCACCTACAGAAGAGCAAACCCAACTGAGTTCGACAGAGCTTTCTCCGAGAGAGTCAACGCTATCACTTGGCACTCGGATGTCTCTTACGAGCTCCAGCCTCCAGGCGTTACCTTCTTCTCCGTTTTGGAGGGTCCGGATTCCGGTGGAGACACCATCTTTGCTGATTCTGTCGAGGCCTACAAGAGATTGTCACCAGAGTTCCAAAAGAGATTGGCTGGGTTGCACGTTTTGCACACCTCTGGCGACCAGGCTCTGAGCTCTAGAAGAGCTGGTGGTGTCGAGAGAAGAAAGCCAGTTTCTCACATCCACCCATTGATCAGAACCCATCCTGTTACCAAGGAGAAGGTTATTTTCTTGAACAGACCATTCTCTAGAAGAATCGTTGAGTTGAAGCAGGAAGAGTCTGACTACTTGTTGAACTTCTTGTACAACCACATTGAGTTGGCCCACGACTTGCAGTTGAGAGCCAGCTGGGAGCCAAACACCGTTGTTGTCTGGGACAACAGAAGAGTGTCTCACTCCGCTGTTATCGACTGGGACGAGCCAATTTCCAGACACGCCTTCAGAATTACTCCACAGGCTGAGAGACCAGTTGAGGATTTGAAGGATTTGAACAAGGAGGAATTGGAACTCGGGGATGTGGTTGAGGCTTTCTCAAACTTAAAATAGGCGATTTACAGGTAAGAAAATTAAAAAGGTAATGAATACATGAAAACTATTAATCTATGACTATTGTAAACAAGAAAATTCGTAATCGGCTCGGTGATAAAGCCAAAAATCATGTTATCTTTAAAATCTAGATTCACTCCGTTTCCCCTGGGCCGAAATATCGTTCGATTTGCGCCAAAGTATGGCGTCTTACACGTGAAGAGCTGTCTATTCTGTTGTTCCTGGAGTAATGTGGCTCGTTTTGCAACCACATAAGAACACAGCAATTTACCGTAGATTATTGTAGCCACCCCACATTCTAAGACCATGGTTGACTTTGAAAGAATTAAAAACGCAGATTTCGATATCCACTTCCACCAAGACACTGACGAGATCGAGGAGGATGGTACCTTGATCGTTAACAGACAGAATGCTGCTAACTCTAAGTACCCAGATTTCTTGCCAACTTGGAACCCAACTGAAAAATATCCCCCACTTAAATTTTTCAAGCATGAGGACCCTGGCTTGAGAGCTGATCCTGAGTTGCGTAACCTTTTCCCTGAGGATAAGGCCTTCAAGACCAAGAACATCACCCCTAAGTTGGGTACTGAGGTTCACGGTATTCAGTTGTCTGAGCTTAGCGATGCTGCTAAGGATGACTTGGCCCTTTACGTTGCCAAGAGAGGTGTTGTAGTCTTCAGAGACCAGGACTGGGCATCCAAGGGTCCAAAGTTCATTACTGACTTTGCCAGACATTACGGTAGGTTGCACATCCATCCTACCTCTGGAGCACCCAAAGGTTTCCCTGAATTACACATTACTTACAGAAGAGCCGACCCTAATGAATTCGAGAGAACCTTCCAACACAAGAACAATAATGTCGACTGGCATTCGGATGTCTCTTATGAACTTCAGCCATCTGGTACTACTTTCTTCGCTGTCTTAGAAGGCCCAGATGCCGGTGGTGATACTATCTTTGCCAACACTGTGGAAGCTTACAAAAGATTGTCGCCTGAGTTCCAGCAAAGATTGGAGGGATTGCACGCTTTACACTCTTCTCTTAACCAAGCCCAAAACTCCGCTGGACACGGAGGTGTTCAAAGAAGAGATCCTGTGGAGCATGTGCACCCATTGATTAGAGTTCACCCTGTCACCAAGGAGAAGCTTATTTTTGTCAACAAGCCCTTCACCAGAAGAATTGTTGAGTTAAAGCAAGAGGAATCTGACCATTTGTTGGACTTCTTGTATCATCACATTGAGCTGGCTCATGACTTGCAATTGAGAGGCCGCTGGGAGCCAAACACTGTGGTTGTCTGGGACAACAGAAGCACAGTTCACTCTCCAGTTATTGATTGGGATTCTCCAGTGTCTAGACATGCTGTGAGAGTTACTCCTCAGGCTGAAAGGCCAGTGGCTGACTTGGCTGACTTGAACAAACCAGAGCCTAGTCTCGGTGATGTTGAGGAGAGCCTTGATAAGTTCTAGTGCCAAAATAAAAAAACCAAAATTGTTGCTTGCTTTTAATTCTTAGATCAGATTCTTTGTTTAACCAATATATCTTTATTATTACACATATTTAAAAAACACTTTTATTTCTCAATGTTTAGGCATGGTCCAACAAGTAGTTGGTGGCAGCTTCCACATTCCAATTTTCTTTTTGCAAAGCATCAGTAACGACACCTTCCTCGAAGCCCATACCGACAAGTTCCTGGATGGCAAGGTCCTTGGATGGGTCTGTTTGCGTTGTACTTTCAGGAACTGGAGCCGCCTGGCTAGGGCCAGCATTACCAAATCCAGCAAACAATTGCTCCCATTCGTCGTTGGTTTCAGGCTTTGAAGCTCCACCGGCTTGAGCGAAAGATGGCTGACCTGGAGCAGCAGCGATATCATCAGCACCAGTGAAATGATTGTCGATAGAGAAGTCACCTTCACCTCCGTCAAAGTCTTCCCCTTGATCGGCATGTGCTGCTTGCAAGTCATCAAACTCATCGTCAAAACCATCAAGGCCTTGACCATTCTCTTGAGCTGCAGGCTTAAGGTCGTCCTCGAACTCGTCAAATTCGTCCCTGCCTCCAGCCTGAGCACCAGAGTTCAAGTGGTCTACAGCATCGTCGAATCTGTCATCGGGCTCATCATCCGAAGAGCTCTCATCAATTTCAAGCTCACGGATTGGAGGGAATTCGTCGTCATCAGCATGGCCAGGTCTCACATCATCTTGACTTTCAGTTGACTGAATATGGCTCTGGGCCAAAGGATGTGTTGGACCTTCAGGACTTTGACGTGGTTCCAAGCCTCTAGCCTCATCTGCGTTCACAATCTCGAACAGTTCCACGCCAGAAGAGATGCGCTCACCTTCGCTCGACTCTTGTCCTTCAGGTTCTTTCTGAGATCTTGGAACTTGAGAAGCGGCTGGAGAGACTGGGACTTCTCCACTCAAAGTTTCACGCTCACTGACATCCTCAATGTTATCGTCACGAACAGACATTGACGGATTGTTCTGGATGCTTGAGGTCAACGAATCTGTGCGTTGAACACCAACAAGAACATTTGGCATACCAACCATGCTACCCACCACACCAGCAGAAGAAGACTGGAACTGGTAGTCAGAACTATTAGGTGAAGTGACAGGTGTTTCACTTCTTTCACTGTCATCGGTTCTCTTGTAGTAGTCGGTTGCAACAGAAGAGGGTGCCGTGCGGTTTGTGCTTCCACTATCGTATGGCACTTCTGGGAACTTGTCTTTGATGTCATCCATATCAGGGAACTTTACTTCTGCGGAATCGATTTGCTTTTGACCAACGTCTTCGTGCTCTGCTGCATTGAAGTCATCGACGCCTGTCATATCTTGGGCAGGAGTTTCCTTGACTTCATCAACGAGGGCACCGACAGAGGGCTCCTCATTACCTGGCATCACCTCTGTTTGCTGTGTGGCTTCGTTGGCGGCTTCGTGGGTAGCCTCGGCAGTGGTATCAGCAGAGGAGTCATTGAGATGATCTAATGAACCTGGAATGACTTGAGCAGGTGAGAATTGATGAACGTTAGAGTCTTGACTTGGAAGAGGACTGTTGAATTCTTTTGGTTCGTCCTGCTTTTCCTCAGAATTGCCACCCAAAGCATGAGCGCCAGCAACACCTGCGCCAATGGCAGCTCCAGCAGCAGCAGTGACAGCGGCACCGATGCCGAAATTGGAACCAGAAGATTGCGATACACCATGCTCTCTGATATCATCATGCTTAGTCTGGAGACTCTTGGCTTCTTGCTGCAAATCGCTATCCTGCTTTTCGAGGTTAGCTTGTTCTTCTTGTAAACGGCGCGTGCTAGCCTCAAACTCTGAAATCTTCTGCTTTATTTCATCGACTTTGACCAAAGACACTTGTACTTGAGACTTTTTGACATTCACATCATTAGAGAGCTTCTTGTTCTCAGTTGTCTTAGCTTCCAATGTCTTTTCAACCTCAACAATCTCTGCATTCAAGCTTCCTAGCTTCTCTCTTAAAGAACTGTTAGTCTTTTGCAATTCCTCAACAGCAACTTGCTTCTCGTGCAATTCGCCCGATACGTTGTTGAGTTTAGCCTCAGAAATTGATGCCTCAGATCTCAATGCCTCTGTCTCTTCTCTAGCGTTTTGTAAAGTGGCTTCAACTTGCTCGACTTGCTTAACTTCATTCGCATAAGAAGCCCTCAAGGTCTTCAATTTATTGTCAATCTCCAGTTTGATTGCCAAAATACGGGTTAATTCTTGGTCTGCTCTAGTTTTCTTCTCATGCAAGTTAGAAGTTTGGTTCGTCAATGATCTGACCTGGTTTGAAATGTTGGCAATATCAGTGTTGGCCTGGGATAATTGACCAGACACCTCTGAGTCCGCCAAAAGATCAGGGTTAGCAGGGCCTGCGGGTTGATTAGAATGCTGTTGAGGAATAGGCTGCTGAGGGGTAGGCTGTTGAGAGGCAGGACTTGCAACACGCTCGGTTGAGAAGAAATTCGATTCCTGACCGGCAGGTTCTGCACCTCTCTTTGGTGGAGGTGGAGGAACTGACCTCAAAGCCTCGTAATCAACTGACTTTTGAGAGTCCTGGTGTTGGGACTGGGATGGATATTGACCAGTCGTCTGAGCCTGAGCAGGGGCCTGCGGAGGAGCTGGTGTCTCCTTAGGAGTAGGCGCCGGGCTTGCTGGAGACAGTGGAACATCATCTCCAATTAAGCTTGGAGGTTCGGGTGCCTGTTGTTGCTTTGGCTGCTGCTGGGAAAGAAGAGACTGGCCAAATGTAGATGTAGGCTTGAAAGAAGATGTCAATTGTTTGCGCACCTTTGGTAATTCAGAAGCAGTCAAGTCGCTTGAGCTTGTACGCTGCTCCAAGGCTGGCTTTGCTGGTGGTGCAGGCGATGAAGAACCAAAAATGTCAGCCAACTCATCCATTGAGGACTTGTTCTTAGCAGGAGTTACTGGCGCATTACCCTGGTCATACGAGTATGGGTTAGCAGCAGACTGCTCTGGTTTAGCTTGAGCCTGCTTTTGCTGGGGTGGCTGAGGCTGTTGGGAGCTAGCCTGTTGCCCAGACAAAGACTTGATCAAAGCATCGGGGACCACATTAGGCAATGGAAGGCCAGAGCGCTTGCGGTTAACGAGGAACAAAGCAATGGAGAACTCGAGCTTGGTAAAGATACCAGTGTTCTGAATGTCGGACAAGTCCCAAATAGTAGCGAGATCCTGCTGTCCCAATCTAGAAGTCATAAGAAAGTTAGCAACCTGGTCCGGAGTCAATTGACCTGACTTCTGCTTATCCAAATTGTCAAACATAGAGTCAAACATTTGTTTCTGTTGAGAAGTCACGGTCCATTCGGAAGACTCAGAAGAAGGTGGATGTCTGATAGTAGACAGCTGCGAGCTCACAGATGCCTGAGAGACTTGACGGGAACCCTGGGATTCGGCCAGTCTAGCGGAATCAACCGATTGCCATACAACTTCAGGCAAGAAGGGAGGCAAGTTCTTAATGTTGCCACTAAGCAAGCCGTGAATCAAATGCATAGCCACAACAAAAGCAGGCAAGTCCAAAGAGCCCTTATTGTTCACATCCACGAGACCCCAGATCTGGCCCAAAGTAGCCGTTGGCAACTTGGCCTTCATCAAAATATCCTTAGCAGCATTACCATTCAAAGGAACCAGCTCGGAACCGGTGGTTTTAACGAACATCTGCTTGAATCTCTCATAGTCAGCATGAGACACTGGGCCGATTGGGTCCAGAGGCTGTAATTGCTGGGTGGCAGTGTTCTGAGGAATAAGAGAGCTGGGCTGGGTGTGAAGCAAGGAGCTGCTGGTCAGCTGAGGGGCCAATTGGGAAGGACTTGGAGAGGCTGGGTTAGGACTAGCAAACTTGGGCAATGGACCAGGCTGGTCGGCAAGCCCGGCCGATGGGAATTGACCAGCTTGGGTATAACCAATTAATCTCATAGCATAGCAAAAGCCAAACTGGGTCAAGAAACCAACATTGTTGTGATCAGCAAGCTGCCAGATTTCGCCCAAAATGTTTGGAGGCAAACCAGTTTTTTCAAACGTCGTTCTGGCCTTTTCACCAGTCACAATACCCTTACCTTCTGGGTCCAACGACTTGAACAACTGGGAGTAGAGTTTCTTCTCCTCTTGGGTGAGACCCACCTTAAACGACGGTTCTGAGGGTTAGTATAATGCCAGGTTGACCAAAATAGCTGTTGTACATACGAGAAGTGCTCATGGTGGGATTACAACGTTGAAGACGAAGTTGTGGATCTGGAACCGAGATAGGAGCACGGTTATGGCCTCGCACACCGGTACCTCTCTAACGGTTCCAGCTGGTATTGCTACTAGTAGAGGAAGGGAAGTGTAATGGGAAAGAGGGGAAGAGAAGGGTGATAAAGATTTGGAGTGGTTTTAGGAAGTGTCGAATTTAAGGTTGTAATGGGTATTTTTAAGTTTCGGTAGTTCCCCTGGTTGGTACTGGTACGTGGATCTACCATATATGTGTGTGGTGGGTATAGAAAGGAAGGAACAAGAAAAGGAAGAAAAGTTTTGGAAAAGAAATATAAGAAGGTTGAAAACTATTGAAATTCATCATGGCAACGGATTATGTTTTTCTTTCTAACTGTACTACGAAGGAAGGGTAGACTGTGGTGGTTAATGTACTTCTGTCTGGTATTTAGCAGCCATTTACATACTGGCATGTCTCCACCATAATATGACTTGAAATGATTGGAGAAGAGAATTTCAATGGCATGTCATGACTGACTCTAATGATGATGTACCTGTTTAAAAGAAATTCAGTTTTTGTGGTTATGAACAGTCACTGTCCATCGCTACCTGTACTTATGTCTTCTACAACTATGGCTAATCAGGCTGCAAACAGGCAAATCAAACCAGCTCTATCCCAGATTTTACATCTCCTTCATTCAGTCCAAAACATCCAAAATTTCAACTTTTCATTATAACCATCTCTTGAAGAGCTCCAGGATTACAGGCTCTACTGGGGCTGCCTCGGACCCGTGCACCACACCAAAGCTACTCATCGCAGTAAATTTTCAGAAATTTCCTACTCTGCATAACCCATATTAAAGATGAACAGAGGTAGAGGCGGCTTTAGAAACCAGCGTGGTGGCCGTGGAGGCTTCTCCCAGCCGCAAGGTCCACCAGAGTCCGTGTTGGAAATGGGCTCTTTCTTGCACACTTGTGAAGGTGACATTGTCTGTCGTTCCATCAACACCAAGATCCCATACTTCAATGCCCCTATATATTTGGAGAACAAGACCCAGATCGGTAAAGTCGACGAGATCTTGGGTCCATTGAACGAGGTTTTTTTCACCATCAAGCCATCTGAGGGTGTCCAGGCCAAGTCTTTCAAGGACGGTGACAAGTTCTTCATTTCCCCAGATAAGCTACTCCCCTTGGAGAGATTCTTGCCTAAGCCTAAGGAGGTCGGTCCTAAGCCTAAGAGAAAGGCTGGTGGTGCTGGCGGTGCCGGTGCTGCTCGTGGCGGTCGTGGCGGTTTCGGTGGCCGCGGTGGAGCTCGTGGTGGCTTCGGTGGCCGTGGAGGCAGAGGAGGCAGCTTTGGAGCCCGTGGAGGTTCTAGAGGTGGATTCGGCGGCGGCCGTGGAGGTGCCAGAGGTGGTTTCGGTGGTCGTGGAGGTGGCCGTGGCGGTTTTGGTGGCGGTGACCGTGGCCGTGGCCGTTACTAAACCTGATAGGAACACTCGCTGGTCATTTTTTACCCCTACTTTGCATCTCGCTTAAATAAATCTGTACTTTAATATCATACTCAACGTGAAGCTACGGAACGATAGCATACTCCGAAATTATGTTTGTCTATACTATACACGGATCCCACGCCTGGTTCTCTTCCTTCTTTCCTTGTTAGCTTGCGAAGTAACGACATCCTCGTTAACAACAGCCTGTGGAGCTTCAATAAGACTGCAACTTTCAAGAATAGCATACCTTATTTCCCTGTAGCCCATCTTTTTAGTGAGGAGCTTGTTGGTTTGTGAATTGTTAAACAACAAGCGAGGCATTGATGCAAGGTCTCTGAGGCCAGTTCCATTCACCAAATCGTTGTAGTACGAAAGAACTTTAGAGTTGCCTTCCCTAGTCATTTCAAAGCCCCCAAGGCGACCATCAATGTCGTTCTTTGCAGATTTAATCTTGAATTTGGGGAACTCCCTCAGTACGATTTCATCGACTTTTGTGAATATGATCTCAAACGGAGTTCCTAGCTCCACGAGGGTATCTATAAGCATGGAGTCTTCTTCTTGAAATCCAATTTTACTATCCACAAGGAGGAACACTCTTCGTAGGAGGGACCTATTACGAATATAGTCAAGTACAACCTCACCTTGCTTCACTTCACCATACTCACCGTAGCCAGGACTATCAATAATACGAAGCTTTCCACCAACATTAAAACTATTCAAGCATTTAGTGAAACCAGCACGTCGACTCACAAAAGCCAAATGACCCTCTTTCTTGTTCCTCTCGCTTTTGAATAATGTATTCACCATGGTCGACTTTCCAGCATTCGTATGGCCCAAAAGCAAGATCTCAGGCAAAGGTCGAAGCACTTCGGCCGAGTATCCGTAAGTAGACCTCTGTTTCTCCAAATTATCGTGGTACTCTGTTCTTTGGTAAGGCTCTATGCGAGCGAGTTTCTCTTGGTGCTCATTTTGCAACCGGTTGATCTTGATATCAGGAATATCCTCATATTTGGCACAAGTCCATTCATGCTTAGGTGTATGTTTAGCAAAGAACAGATCTGCTTTGGTGAGCTGGGCATTGCTTGGCTTGCCATACTCTTTGTAGCGAAAGTAGTTGTTAAGGTCGTTAGGCGTATACACCAAGCTAGAAGCATCAGCAGGCGGGAGATCTTTGGGTTTGGGTTTCTTCTGATGCACAGGAACCGATGCCGGTTTGGGGATAGACGAAACGAGATAATTGACCGAGGCCAAAGATCGTTTAGATAGTAGCATGTAGTTGATAAATGGTACTGTGAGGTTGCGAAAAGTTGAGATGCTCATCGAGACAAGGTTCCCTACAAAGAGACAAAAATAAATAAACTTTGACCGAAGTGATTTCGACAGAATCAGTGATACCGAACCCTTCTTACTTAATTCGTATAAATATAGATTGTAGTAGAAATTGCCCCATCACCGGTCCAATCGGCCCCACACTAGGCTGCGCACACATCTAGGTGCACCCATATTCATCCCTAAGGCACCACCTACTACTCCTTTCTTTCCACCACACACGCCAGGAATGGTCAGGGTACCAGTGTTAATCTGTATGTTGCATTGTGAGTTGATTGTGTTGAGCGTTTACTAACAGCAGTGTTTTGTATCACACTCGTTGTGGCTGCATATCTAGGGTTTGGGCAGGTACACATTAAGCATGATAAGGCAGTCCACTTTCTTACATTCTTCACATTGACGGTGGAACTGTGGTTCCTTTGGGATAGACTTTCGCTTAGGTTTATCGCGTACCTTGTGATGTTGCTCATTGCAGTTGTGCTGGAGTTTGTTCAAAACACAGTGAACCCGAGCAGGATCTTTGATGTCCAGGATATATACGCCAATATCGCTGGTCTGATAATGGCTTTCGTGGGATGCATGTTGCTTCAGCAATTGAAAAGAAAGGATAGGCGGAAAAGACGGACGGCGATTGAGTTGGAGATGCAGCCCCCTACCAGGGCTATTACGCCAGGGTCTGAAGACGAGATTGACGGCTTTGTCAACGTGAGGTCCCCAGAAATGGTATAGCGTCAAGGAATGTTCCGGGATGTTTGCTCAGGGATAATATTCAGAATGGTCTATTCGAGGTTTTACTGGATTGCCGTGTGGACCCTCGGGTGATTGATAAAGGGCTTCTCCGGAGACATTTCTTTTAAGCGAGAGAAGATCTCTGGTTGCCTGACGAAGACTAGGATCTATTCTGAAAATCAGAGCAAGATGAACCATGGGATGGTTTTGCCAACCATGTTCCTTGATACCTTCAGCATAGCCTTACATGGTGTACCCCCCAAAAGCGCTACGAGGACATTCGCTATCGCCAAATAAAAGCGCTATACAAATTTGCCTGAACCCAGGAATAATTGTTTAGGTCGTTTTCTACTGAGAAGCTGATGCTGGCTGCCTACTTAGATGGTCCACCACCCACATGGACCCTTCGTATCATCTACTGCAAGAACTTCAGCACCTCTAACCCCAGAAACTCTATTTCAAATAGCATGCATAAGAGAAAGAATCTGCTCCACAGAGGAACTCCTTCCACCTCGCCTTTGTTGTCCATTGTAGTATCTCTACAGACATCAATTGTATCATACAACCACATGGAATGCGCCTGTGAGACATGGCTGCAAAATATGCGCCTCGCAAGCGAACAAGTCGGAACACAAAAGTAAACAAAACTCGGCGGTCCAGCAAACTTACCTGGACTGGCTCATTTAAGTCCCTCCAAACAAAAAAAAAAAACAAAAGTTCCTCTGTTCTCTTCCAGTTTTCAGCCCTTATCAGATGCAAGTGAAGCCTGTATTTATTTATGTATCCTGATGCAGGTAACAGGTCCATCTGCGGTACGAGAATTCTGGCTCAAGCCACTTAGTTGTTATTTTGGAAAGCACGCAGAAGGTAAGAAAAAGTTGAAAAACAACAAAAAACCACCCAGTAAGGATATCTGACGCTTTCCAGATCTCCACGACACCACAAAGTTAATTTTTTGTTACCCTTTTGGACCAGGCGAACCGGAACACGTGACTCTCGTTGCTACTAACAATATTGCTGAGATCTACCCTTCCAGTTCTGGCTGTGCAAGAAATAAATAATTAGATAACACTTCAATTCTGTGCCCAAAGTACAATGCCTCCAGTTGCAAGTCGACCTGAACAAGATAAAGGCGGCCCGCTCGAGGCTGAAGATGTTCTTAGAAACAACAGCTTCTCAGGAAGGAAATCTAAACAACCTCCCAGCAACAGAAGAGCTTCCCTGGAGTCCCCTACAATCATTGGAAATGCGTTTAATTTTTTCAGAAGAGGGCAAGACCCACAAGAACAAAGATACCTTAGTGACGAAGAACAGGAGAGGTACGATGCCCCTTACCGAGGCGAGCCGGTTGCTGATGAAGAACCAGCAGCGCCTGAAGACCTAGCACCAGAGGAACAAGTCCAGGATGTGCAGCTGCCAGAAGATGGCATTGAACGTCCCCCAGTGGGAGAGCTGCCAGGTGCCTCGAGGTCGACGATATTTCGCCCCAACTTTTTCGGAAGAAACACTACTGAAGGTCCTAGTAGTGGTAAGACCGTGGAGGGAGCTTTGGAAGACGGCAGAGGTCCAGGAAGCCGGCCCAGAGGTATTTTCACGATTTTCAGAAAGAAGAATAAGGACCGGGACCGTCGAGCCAGTGCGTTGGACGTCGAAGATGACGCGCCTGAAGATGACAGTGAAGCAGAGACCAGAGAACGTGCTATGCTTTTGTTGCATTCATTGGGTCTTGGTACTCCTGCTATAAACTTGCTTGCATCGTGTCTTTGTGAAGATGAATACGGAATTGCTAGAGCACCACTTCTTCTTACGCTTTTGGGGTTGAAAGTGAACGATACATCTACAACTCCATTGAAGCGAAATAGAAGGTTCCGCATTGACCTCGAGTACGGCGTGGCGCCTCGTCGTTTCAAATGGTCTGTCGAGAGAAACGCGAAAGACTTGTTATATTTGCATTCTAGGTTGAAGTTACAGGCTATTAGAGGTTCAATTAGATCGGATGAGCTTCCCAGATACCCTGTTCCACCCGTGTTCAGGAGAAACGACCGTTATTTAATGAGACAAACGAATAAAAGGGCAGCTACCAGACAAGACGATCCTCATTTATCCGCTGGACGTGATCGTCTGGACCCACAGACCCCCAATGCCGACGAACGTTCTATTTTCAGTGGTGGCACGTTCCGCAACCGTCTCTCAGCTATACGGTCTCACATGAGTGTTGCATCTTCATCCTCATTAGAAGAAGCCACTCCTGAGCAGTTACAAATCTTCCTGAAGGTTAACCAAAGGTATGTCGGCGACGTTCAGAAATATTTATACGACTTGATTGCTCTTGTTGCATTGCGTCCACAGTCTAACAGACTTTTCCAGTTTTTCGAAGTCTCCCCTATATCATCGCTTTTAAGTTATGAGACGGGATATGCTGGAAAACAAGGTGTTGTTCATATCGGTGGCACGACCAAATCGCAAGGTTGGAGAGTCGGGCATTTCAAGGCGAATGATTTGAAGGGTATGATTGATAGACGTTCTGAGAAATGGCTTTTAGTCAGAAACTCCTACGTCACATATGTGTCTGACATCAACTCCACGACGCCACTTGAAGTGTTCTTGTTGGACAGCAAGATTAAGATCCATCACAAAGGTCCTGGCTACGGCCAGCAAGAAAAGGGTTCCGATTCTGAATCTGACTACGAAGATAACTCAGTCAGGATGGTGAGCGATGCAGTTACTTCCAATCATGTCCATCGTAATGTGTTCAAGCATCTCAAAATTGTCCTCGAAAACTCAGAAAGAAAGTTAGTGTTGATTCCCAAGTCAACAAGAGAACAAAAGCTTTGGTTGCATTCGCTTGATAAAATGATCAAGGAATCTGTCTGGAGTCAGCCTAATCGCTTCCAGTCGTTTGCTCCAGTAAGAAAAAACAGTTACGCCCAATGGTTCGTGGATGCCAGAGACTACTTCTGGGCCGTTTCGTCGGCCATAGAAATGGCTAAGGATACAATCTTCATTCATGACTGGTGGCTCTCACCAGAGCTTTACTTGCGAAGACCTGCCAACGGTAATCAACAATTTAGAATTGATAGATTGCTTGAAAGAAAAGCTTCGCAGGGTGTTAAGATTTTCGTCATTATCTACAGAAACGTCGGCACAACCATTCCTATCGATTCGCTTTACACGAAGCATTCCATCCTTTCCCTCAACCAAGAAAACATCCATGTGATCAGATCTCCTAATCAGCTTCTTCAGAATACTTACTTCTGGGCCCATCACGAAAAGATTTGTATCATTGACCAGACTATGGCATTCATGGGTGGTATCGATCTTTGTTATGGTAGATACGACACTCCTGACCATGTTCTTACTGATGACACTGTTGTTGACTTTGCCCACCTTGACTCGGAAACTTTGACGCAAGAAGAGTTTGAAACCTTCAACATCTTCCCAGGTAAGGATTACTCCAATACTCGTGTCAAAGATTTCTCAAACTTAGACAAGCCTTACGAGAGCATGTACGACCGTAATGTGGTTCCTCGTATGCCATGGCACGATATCCACATGTGTACCCTGGGTCAACCAGCAAGAGATTTGTCTCGTCATTACGTCCAACGTTGGAATTATCTTGTCAGACAAAAGCGTCCTTCCAGACTCACGCCTCTCTTGACCCCTCCTCCTGATTTGACCGAGGAAGAAGTCCAAGAAATGGGCCTTAACGGCAGTTGCGAAGTGCAAATACTCCGTTCAGCTGGTAATTGGTCTTTGGGTCTTAAGGAGCACGAACAAAGTATTCAGGACGCTTACCTTAAGTTGATTGAATTGTCTGAGCATTTCGTGTATATCGAGAACCAGTTTTTCGTCACTTCCTGTTTGATTGAAGGAACTGTGATCGAGAACCGTATCGGTGATGCTTTGGTGGAAAGAATCATTCGTGCTTTTAACGAAGGAAAGCAATGGAAGGCCATCATTTTGATTCCTCTTGTGCCAGGCTTTGAGTCTTCTGTTGACAAACCAGATGGTTCTTCAGTCAGAGTCGTTATGCAATGTCAGTACATGTCTATCTCTCGTGGACCATCATGTTTGTTTGCAAAGCTCAGAAAGTATGGTATCGATCCTGATAATTACATTCAGTTCTTCTCGTTGAGAAAATGGGGAAGCATCGGTCGCGATAGAAGCCTTGTTACTGAACAGTTGTACATCCACGCTAAAACCATGGTTGTCGATGACAGACACGCCATCATTGGAAGTGCCAACATTAATGAAAGATCTATGCGTGGTCACAGAGACTCGGAAGTTGCTGCTATGGTTCGTGACCGTGAAACCATTACTTCAACCATGAATGGAGAGAAGTACGTGGTTGGTAAGTTCCCTCATACTCTTCGTTTAAGATTGATGAGAGAGCACCTTGGTATTGGTGTGGATATCCTTGACGTTGTGGAGAGAAAGTTTGACAAATACGAGAAGTTTGCTAAAACGCAAGAAGGTCTCGAGGCTTGTACCAACGATTTCAAGAAACAAGTCAACAGGGAAATTTCGGCCGTTGTCGAACTTGCAAGTCGTGAAATCTTGAACCAACCTTTTGGAACTGCAAGATGGAAAGCTCACCGCAAACGTTTCGGTCTCTCAACAAAGGTGCCACCTGTTCCTGATGACATTAAATACGAAGATGGTCCAAAACCTATGTTGTTACCCCTTTCATTTAACAACAGAACTGGCCCACATGAAGCCAATAAGGGTATCAGAGATAAGAAGAAGCATTCATATGATGCTCGTGTCCAACACAGTGATGATCATAAGAAGGATGTGTACGGTGTTGGTGTTGACAAGTATAGAACACGCCTTGGTCAGAAGGCTCGTCTTGACAGTGCTCGCTTTATTCGTGACTTGGCAAAGAATGTGTTTGACAAGATGCCAGAAGCACAATTCTTACCTGATCTTGAGAATGTGAAGGATTTCCTCGAGCTGGATGACTATGAATACTCTAAGGAGTTGGATGAGGAAAACGAGGATCTTCTTACGGAACGGAACAGAGAAAGGTGGGTTTTGTTGAAGAGAATCGCGTACTTACAGCGTATTGCAGCTAAGGAAGCTCAACAACTGGCCGTGGAGCGCCAGAAGCGTATTGCAGCTGGTCTTCCAGCCAGTGTCTACGATTTTGGTGGCGATAACACTACGAAGCAGAACAGTAAGTCGGTGTCACCTGGAAAAGAAAGCTCAAACGAAGAAGGTATTGTTGAAGCTGTTGAACTTCCTACTAAGAAAGCTGAAGCCTCCCCTATTGAAGATATCGAAAACGGGAACGAAAATGAGCAGGTGAACGATTATGTGCCTGTTGTTAGTTTGGACGAACAACAGCTTAAAGAGCAGATGCGCCAGATTAATGTACCTGGTGTTGAGAATATCTCTGGCTTCATCGATCCATATGGCTTCGAAGATCCTTTGGATCCAGACTTCTATGAGGATATTTGGTTCGAGAATGCCAGAAGAAACACAGAGATCTTTAGGCTTGTTTTCCATTGCCAGCCTGATGATGAGGTTATTTCATGGAAAGACTACAAGCACTTCATGAAGCTCGAGAAAGCATTCAAGGTTGCCCAAGAGACGGAAGCACGTAACAGAAAAGAGAAGTTCCGTTTCGAAGAGGATGACTCAACCGACGTTGACCCAGAACAAACCGAGCAGAGGCCAAACCACGGCCGCAGAAGCAGCCAAACCACAATTTTCATGAACGAACTTCACAATGAAGGTGGCAGTGGTATCTTTGGTGATATACCATCCTCTAACAACAGCAGTACCAGTGAACTTGCAAAGAGCGCCAATGGTAAGCTGAAGTTCAAGGTCAATGACAAGATTGACGAGGGTGACGAAGAGGCCGATGAAAAGTTCTTGGATGCTGACGACCGTAAGAATGGAACAGCAACAGGAGCTGATGCAGATGGAGAAGATGGCGATGACGAAGAAGAAGACTCCTCTGAAGTTTCTGGTAACCAACAGGAAGTCAAAGAGAAGGCCAAGATGAGACAAAAGGAAGCCACAAGAATCAACAGAAAGAGAAGAGCAGGTACCTTCAGCGCCAGAAGAAAGGCCCATGCTGGAGAGAAGATCTATGACAGAGAGTCTGCAGAAAGACTTCTTAATGAGATCCATGGCCATCTTGTGCTTTTCCCAGCCGACTGGCTTGCCAGAGAGCTCGAAGGAGACAACTGGTTCTTCAACACCGACAGAATTCCTCCGATTGAAATTTACGATTAAGCTTTGTTACGAAAAAAAGAAAACAAAAAATAATATATATATATATTTGGGTGGTGATTAATACTCCCCTCTGTAACTTAGACTGGTGTGCATGGAAGTAGGGGAACCATGAAGCACTAGTTGATACGCGAGTATCTTTTCACCTCACAGTAACCCCAACCTCCGCTCCATGTTCTTACAAATCCTATCTGTGATAGGAACAATCGTGGGTTTCCTCTTCTTGGTGCTCTCCATAGCATCAGGGCTCTACTACATTTCAGAATTGGTTGAAGAACACACAGAACCAACTAAGAGGCTCCTCAGAAGGTTAATATATGGAGTCATGGCCACGCTATTTTTATTGCTAATGTTCGATGGTTTCCCTTTCAAGCTCACCCTTTTCTCCATCTTCACCTACTGGGTGTACTTGCAGAACCTCGAGAAGTTCCCTTATGTCCAATTGACATCCCCCATCTTCCTCGCGTCGTGCGTGTTGGTGGTTGCCAACCATTTCCTATGGTACGACCACTTCCACAATCCTTACATTCCACTGATTGAAGAGCGGTTGCTGCCATCATATGTTCCTCCACGGATCCCGACTTTTGTCGAGGTGTGCTCCTTTTTCGGCTTGTGCGTTTGGTTTGTGCCTTTCGCCTTGTTCGTGTCTTTGAGCGCCAACGATAACTTACTACCCCAGCATAGCGCTATCCCCGAGACGAGACAGAAGAAGAAGGTTGGTTTGGCTAAGCTTGTGGTGGCCACCGCTAGAGAATACGTCTATGCTGTCAGCAGAAAACTCGGCTACGAATTAGATCCCCATTATGGCACCATCGTGTAAATACTTTCTAAATGCAAGATTATTTCACTTATCTACCTTTAATATTATTTTCTCGTTGAACTACCTATTTGTTCAAAAAGTCCTTGACCGGTGGACCAATGTGGTCCAAACTTAACAAAAACGTATCGTGGCCGTAGTTGCTGATGTTGTTGCCTAGTTCAAAGTATTGAACATTGTCTCTGTCGCCTTCAAAAGAATTGAGCACCTCGGCAATTTCACGCTGCTGCCAAACTGGGAATAAGATATCCGATTCAACGCCAATAACCAAGAATTCCTTATGGGCGATGTGCTCAAATCCCTTTTTCAAATCCTCGAGAGCCTGCTCTGGTGTGGTTGTTGCTTTGTTGATTTTCTCCTGGTATGGCGTTTGCGGAACGCTTTCCAAAGTGTCAATATCCTGGTTGAAATACCTTTTCTCCGCTTCTTGTCTGTTCTTTTCTGCTTTCGTGACGCTTCTGTGGCCGAGATCGAACATATCCATTGCCTTCAGAACATATAGAAGCGAATTGGCATCATATTCCAAACAGAACTTTTCTCCTTGATGATCCAAGTAAGTTTCCACTAAGAAGTCAGCACAGAAAGCAGCTGGTTTCGTATCGTCAGCTCTGTTTCTACCGAAACGAGATTCCCACTCTGGTCCGGAACGGTAAGTAACAGTAGCGATCTCACGAGCAAGCTTCATGCCAATATGGGGAGGAACACCATTATAATAGAAGCCACGCTTCCAGTTCGGATCACTCATCAAGACTTGTCTCTGACAGTGACGCAATGCAATAGAGTATGGGTGGGATCTGGCGCAACCCGATATGCTGACAATTTTTTCAACCTCATCAGGAAATTCACTAGCATACGCCAAAGATTGCATGCCTCCCATTGAAGCACCAACAGATGCATGTAGTTTCTTTACGCCAAACTGATTCTGTACCAACTCTCTTTGAGCTCTTACCATATCGTTCACTGATAGTATAGGAAAGCTAGTAGCATAGAAGTCCTTGGTAGCAGGATCACGAGAAGAAGGCCCCGTCGATCCATAGCAGCCACCCAACACGTTCGTACACACCACAAAGTACTTATCGGTATCAATATACTTTCCAGGCCCAATGAAATTTTCCCACCATCCAGGCTTAGTATTCTTTGGCTGCGACCTAGCATGCGAGGAAGCAGAAAGACCAGTATGAATTAATATTAAGTTATCCTTCTCTGGAGATAGTTTACCCCACGTTTCATAAGCAATTTCGTATTCTGGCAAGTACCCGCCGTTATCCAAAAAAATCGGTTTCTTGCTCTTGAACACTTCAAAACCTGTGGAGACAAACGAGTAAGAAGGCTCTGGCCCACCTTCAAGCGACGTCAGTTCTGCTGCACAAGCAGAAGACGACTTGGTATTCAATTGTTCTGTTTTTCTTTCCAAAGCATCAAGACATGGGAATTTTAGCTGTGGATTCGACGACCTAATACCTTGTTCTGTAGGCTTGCGAAGAGCTCGATGTGTGGAGAAATTGCAGGATGTGGGTTTTGCCAATTTGGCGAATATGGTTTTGCCTTGTAGCTGGTTAGGGGCTCTAAATGGTAGAGCGGCCCGCATAGTTGAATGGTAGAAACTTGGAAAGTGAAGTCGATGTGTTGAAGGTCCACACTCGAATCAGCAATTTGTCAGCTGGAAAGGTGCCTGGCAAACAATTAGCCGAATCTGATGCTTAGTCACGTGATATTAGGTCTGCTTCATTACCAAATTGACAGGCTCGAGGCTTATCGTACTGCAGGAAGCCAGTAGTGGTGAATCTGGAGCCACCAGGAAAGGTCGAGTTTTGGCCCATAGTGCTATGATTGATGTTGTGAATAGTAGAATTAGGTTAAAAAAAGGTTAGATAGTTTATTTCGTGGTCTTTTTGAAGGAAAATTGTAGGTTTAACGTACTACACGGATGGCTGCAAAATAACGGCAGAAACAGACTACAATGAAAATTAATCAAGGAGAATGAAATATCCTTCTCTTTTTTCCTATTCCTAATATAGGTCTAATTTCGAATACACTAGTAACTCTCGAATTGTCACTTTGTGCGTGACTCCTTTGAGAAGTGGACCATGCCTCCACTGACACAGCATAATCTGTAGTGCTACACATGGAATACAAGTATACCAAAAACTTAGTTATATTTCACATATACTTGGATTCTTTAATTAATTCTCAAGATGCTAATAGCCTAGGATAGAATAGGTGTACGCTTCTAGTGTAGCCTTTCTATTGGGGCTACTCTTCCAGTGGCTGCGAAATGGTACTATCCACTTACATGGTCTATACTCCTTACTAGTAAAGATTCAAAATCAAGACAAAAAAGACAAAAACGATAGAGCAGCCCAAATAGTTTAAACGACTTCATTTCAATAAAACACTCCCTTTTCTGACTTCCCTTGACCTGCTTGTTTCTTCACCTTCATTGGCTACCAGTGCCCAGAATGGACTGCACTGACAAGGCGATAAGTAGGAGCCACAAAAGTAACTACCACCACCATGGACCTACCTCCCCAATTGGCAAGGGAACCGCCTTTAAAGCTTACCCATGCTGCTGCAGGTATTTTTCCTGTGATTTTCTTGGTCACCTGGCCTTTGTGGTACATTTGCAGCGAATATAAGCTGTACATTACCAAGAACGTTGTCCTAGCGTTTCTCAACTACTTTTTCATCCAACAGTATGGCTACCTACTTTTCACTATTGCATATCTAAGCCAGGGGGTGTTTTATGTGGATGGACAGACTCAGCAGAAAGATAAGATTTATCTGTTGATGTTTAAGTACGGTGTGATTACATTACTAGGAATGGTGTTTCATGGCGGCTTCTTGAGCTTTCTGTTGGTAGAAATGGTGAACAAGGCTACAGGAGGGTACTGCGAGGGTGGAACGACTAAAACGACCATGTCACAGTGTTCTGCTAATCCTGATCTTCAGTGGATCGATGGGTTTGATATCTCGAGCCATTATTACTTCTTACTGAGTCTGGTGATTTTACTTCTAAACAACCTACTAAACAATGCTACTGAGCTGGCTGATATCGAGGCTCAGGTTGAAGAGGAGCCCAAGCTGGGGCTAATTTTGAAAGCAAGAAAGGTTGTCACATACTTGACATCGCTTCTTATATCCATTTGGATGTTTGAGTTTGTTATTACCAGTTTGTTTTTCCATACCCCATTCGAAAGGTTTATGGGCCTTGTGGGTTGCCCAGCAGCATTATTCACCATTCTGTTCAGTGATAGATTGTTCAGTCAAAGAACAGACTACGAAGATCCCTACACTCCTTAATCATACCAGGCGTACATTAAACGCTTTCAGCGAGGTCTTCCAGCGTACGTTGAAATGTCAGATACTCTAGCATCTAAATCCTTAATTTGAACTCCCTTATCCCCCCTCTGTAAATCTGTAGTCAGGCAAACTCTATTCTGCAGTAAAAACGGATGGATCGAACTTCACCACCATAGCAGTGACATTATCTGTCGTGGCATTGTCAATGGCTAGCTGACATAGCTTCTTGGCTGCTTTAGCAGGATCAATGGGTTCGTTATTTTGTTGTTGTTGCTTGAAAATGTCACTCACATACTTGCATGCGTGGTTGTCGCTTATAACATCCCACACACCATCGCAAGCCAATATTAGGAATTCGTCTTCTGGGGTAACCTCTGTAGAAGTGGTAAATGGCTTCCCTGTTACTAGGTTCTTGATGTATGAATCACCTAGAGATCTCGTAATGGCTAAAACGCCATTTACTCTATTCTTAACGATGAGCCCTCCGTTGTTTCTCACACGGTCTATTTCACTCAGGTCTGATGCTTTATGGTCATAAGTCAACCTGTAAGCCTTACCGGCTCGGTAGATTACAATTCGCAGGTCACCCACATTAGCAGTGTATAACATTCGTTTGTGTTGTGGCCCAGGAACAAAGTCAAACTTCTTGCTTGGCTTTTGAGATTCCAGTTTGCCCAGCGCCAGCAGTTGGTCGTTTGATTCCCAACGCAAGATGGCCACCGCAGCGGTCGAACCAGCAGATCCGCTGCCTTCTTCCTCAATAAGCTCATCTGCTTTCACAAACACATTATGGAACACATCCTTCACGTCACATAAACTTGCAGGCGAAGCACCCAGGCCGCAGTTGGCGCCAGCCTCTTTTGCTAGTATTTCCTGTTCAATCAAAGTATGCAAATTGTTGCCACACCAGCGGGCTGTCGATTTACCAGCGTGCCCGTCGAAAATGGCAAAATACCCCCAGTCGAGCTTTTCAGCAAAGTTGGCAACATATGTGTGTACATCCTCCATTTTGGCCCTATAGGTAGCATTCCTATTCTCAGCCACGCCCACCTTGAAAGAAAGCCCACTGAACGTGTCCTGCTGGTCGTCCGAAGACGCCAGCTTGTTGTGTTGCTCCAGGTTAGAAGACAAGGCAGCATTGGATGGCTGTTGATCTGCTGGAGCCTTCTCCTCAGACAGCACCATTGTGATATTTGTGCTTGCTGTGTTGGACAGGGGAAAAAACGAAGTTTGGAGTTATTAATAGCACAGTTGAAGCAGCAGCACAGTATGTAGTGGGGCAGGTCAATGTCTAAGGCTGAAGTGTTACAGGTGGTTAGTGGTTGGTTGGTGGTGATGAAAAACGGAGGCAGAAAATGGTAGTGCTTAGAGGTACAGGTGCGTTTCATAGAGACCCTTGTGGAGGGGATTGTGAGGAAAAAGGCATGAATGAAAAGTGCCTAATGGGGTATAAAGAAAAGGACGAGGTGGCTTTTTTTTTTTATATATTGAAGGTGTATTTTTAAAAGAAGGCTAAGCTGGTCATTCAACGCTTTTTTATAGGAAAAAGGTCGGTTTTTTATAGTGGGTTTCCGATTTCCTAGGGGGAATTGGTGTTTGGAGTGTGATTCTTCATAAGCGCCTAAAGACTTGCTCGCGACTCATTGCCTATTTGTGCACTTTCTTGGAGGAACTGAGCCATGGCTGGGGATCTACGAAAGGTACAATAAAAGGGAAGAAAATGAAGAAAAATGAACGAGAAGTGTCGCTTATTAAAGTTTGGGATTGGCAAGATTATCGTTTCTGGCGGGATGCTATTTTGAGTAATATATAGGGTATGTCTATTGTTAGGTACTTTTTTTTTTTGCTAATTACGTACATTTGACAGCCTCCTGCGTTATTCACTGCACCAGCCAGGTTTTACCGTAAATTCAGCTACTTTGGTTTTTTTTCATGAAGTAGGGGCTTAATCGGTCGTTAGGCTAATGAGGCGTGTCGTGGTGTTTCCATTGAACAAGCCAGGAAAGAATGGCTATGTTAGACCCAAAGGAGGAATAAAAAGCTGCTTTGCCCAGAATGATGGTCTATGTTTCTACAAGCACTGGTGGTTTCGTCATTCGAGAATGTGTATATTCGTAAGTACAATGGCACTTACCAAGCAATCTTCGCCAAGGGTCCATGTGGATACTTTCTGTTGCACCATTTTCTTAATTCATCATAGGTCAACACTAAAGCTCCAAAGCCAATGGCAATGAAATAGTACTCCACAGGTACTTGGGCAGTATCCAACGAAGAGTTGATCGCTGGTATGTAGTTGACAATGAACGTAACACCAAGGGCCAAGGGAATCACAACGAAAAGGTACTTATTCTTCATAGGCGAATGCTGGAAGATACTGAGGTACCTTGTTCTCATGGCAAACAAATTGAAAAGCTGCATGATCACCAAATTGACAAAGTAGATTGAAGACGACATGTTGATGTAATCTTCAACATGTGGTAAGTCTTCATAGGTGCCATAGCTCAATGAAAAGTCTGAGAACTTGTAACCTCTTCTGGTGAGATTGAGGAAAGCCACGATAAACGACGTGAAACAGTAGTACGTACCAATGGTGAAGTACGAGTGTAGGAACAATTTCCAGTCGACCAACTTCTCTTTGGTGATGCTTCTTGGCTTCTTCTGTAACAAGTTTCTCTCATTGGACTCATAGGCCAAAATGATAGCACCAGTACAATCAGTGATACAACAGATGATGATCATCAAGAAAGACAGTAGCATCTGGGGCATTCCAAAAATAACATTCATCAACACTGGCCAAAGCTCAGCGTATGTACCTGCTGGAAGCAAATAGCCGATTGTCTTTCTCAAGTTTTCAAACACCAACCTTCCGTATTTGAGGGCATCAATAATTGAATTGAATAATTCGTCTTCGGCTCCAGTATTGTTCATCAAGATAATATCAGAAGCTTCCTTGGCAATGTCGGAAGCGTCAATGAGAGATATGCCAATATCAGCTTGCTTCAATGAAGGACTATCATTGATACCGTCACCAGTCATACCAATGATGTGCTTATGCTTTTGAAACTGTTTGATGATCATAAGCTTCTGCTCTGGAGTGGTTCTAGTGAACACCAACTCCTCATATCGAATAATACGGGCCCACTCTTCATCAGTCAAGGTATTCAAATCACTTCCAATGATACTGACCGCTCTAGGAATTGGTGAAGTGTCGTCTGGATCACCTTTTGCAGTATTTGCAACCACATCTTGATACGTATCCACATTCCCTGTGACAATTCCAACTTGCTTGGCAATGGATAAACCTGTAAGTTCAAAGTCACCAGTAATCATCACAATCTTCACGCCAGCATCCCTCAACTTTCCAAGAACAACATCAATGTTCTTTCTTGGGGGATCTTCAATTCCAAGCAACCCGACTAACGTCATACCGTCAGAGATCTCTTCCCTCAACTTCTCAGTAGCTTCAAATCTATCCGTGAAATCAATAGTCGAAGGCTTGACCATCTTGGAGGCAAGCATAATCACTCTCTTGCCTTCTCTAGACCATTTTTGTTGGATCTTTTTAACGTTCGTAAGCATTTCAAAATCAATGTCTCCGACTGCGACGCCATCTTCACCACTCCTTTGAAGCATGCTCGTACAGTTTCCCAAAAGGATATCAGGAGCTCCCTTGACGGTCAACAAAGAATAACTCTCTTCTGCTCCAATAGGAAGATCAATACCAATCTGCGACCACGACTTTTCAGAAAGCTGATACGAAGAGTTTGCATCCAAAAGATTAGCCATATACTTATCCTTGGAGTTGAAGGCAATCTGGAACCTTGAACTCCATTTCTGTTCAAGTTCCCATCTTGGGGTGATTGCATCAACATATTGAAAAACAGCTTTATCCGTAGCGTTACCATTAAGTGTGCCATCTTTAGAAGTAGTGGTATCGTTGCACAAGCTGCAAATGGTAAGAAAGTGGTTTGTCAATGCATCAGGATCATCGTCTTCTGAGCTTTCAAACTTCAGTCCGCCAACAGCAGTTTCTTCGTTACCTTTAAAGATGTCAGTCACAGTCATGTTGGTTTTTGTCAAAGTGCCTGTCTTGTCAAAGCACAAGACGCTCACAGACCCCAAGGTTTCCACTGTAGATAACGTTTTACACAAGATCTTGCTCTTTCTCATTTGGGTAGCAGTGATAATCAAACAGGTAGTCAAGGCGATTGGTAAACCTTCTGGGATGAAAGCAACAGCCACGGCCACGATATCAACAATAAGTCCAGACACGGTAAGCCAGCCATTGTGGTCCTTATTCAACCAAGTACACCAAAGGATAATGATTATAATGACAAGAGTCACAATAATGGAGGAAGTCATAAACACAAAACGTAAGATCTCCCATTGCATTGGCGTTAGACCCTTTTTTGGTTTGGATGTCAATTTAGCAATGGTACCAAAAATAGTATTATCGCCTGTTGCCACAACAATACCTTTTCCTGATCCACTAACCACAAATGTACCTTGCATGGCAATACAATTACTTTCAAGGTAATTTGAATGAGGAGGGTCTGAACGAGCTGTAGCAGGTGTAGCATTAGACTCACCGGTTAAGATGGACCTATCGAAAGCCAACTCAGGGGATGCTTCCACGATTCTGACATCTGCTGGAACCTTCACGCCCGTACCAAATCTAATGATATCGCCAGGAACAAGAAGCTTTGAATCCACCTGCTCAGTGCTTCCTTCACGAACAACCAATGTCTCAATAGGAATCATATTATGAATCGAGTCCATGACACGAGAGCTAGAAAAATCCTGAAAAAAGTTAAACATGGCCTGGAACATAAACACGAAAAGCAAAATGATTCCAAGGATAAGATTGGATACCGCTGGATCTGGATTACCCAATGGCTTCCAACTGATGATACACAAAATACCACCAGTCAACAACAACACACCAAACCCTCCAAAGAAGTACATGAATATTTTCTTCAATAAACGACTTGGAGGTTTTGACTGAACATTAAAGCCAAACTCTTTCCGCCTGATGCTCAGTTGAGGTCCACTCAAACCGTAGGTCATATCGGTACCGAAATCAACCACAAGCTTCTCTGGATCATCTGTATGGTAATTAATCCCAGCGAACTTGCTAGTGGTTGGGTCAAGCTCATTCTGAGTCAAAGACGTATTCTCCACATCATGAGAGATGGTCTTGAAAACCGTAGGAAGCACCACATCTGGCTGCACCCTCTCTCTGATCGTGAACAAGTCATCGTCTCTGCTAAGACTATGAAACGATAACCTTCTGCGAGCTCTGCCCGGAACAGAAACACCGTCAGCTCTTTCACCATCAGCAAACCGAATACGGTCAGTATCTGTCTTATCGTTCGCAAAGCTCAACGCAGACTCGTCGTCCTTCGTGAACGACGTTTCCGTAGACACAGTGTTCGACAAATATTCGTTTTTATCACTCATAAGAAAATATCCAGAGAAATTAATTAATCTACGATGTCCACCTTCCAGCTTATATACTTGCCCCAGGCGTCGCCAGGCCAAACACGATCTACTCACCACTGTCCACAGAAGCGACACGCCAATCCACCAAACAGGCCCTCTGGCACGAGCAAACACTCCAAACAGAGCCCAGAAAGGAAACCACAAGAAAAATCGCTCACCTCCAGCCAAACCAGTCTACCAGCTGAAAGCCCATACATTTTGCAGCCAATTTGGCAGGTGCGCCGCATGCTAGTGTCAAGGCCCCAATCCTTATTTGAGCGAAAAGGCGCAATGCGCGATTTTCCAAGGGTACCCCCTTGTGTTTGGCCAAACATGAATGGCACAGCGAGACATACAATTTCGAGCAAATGACCAATCGAATAAATGCCTCAGTGGCGAGTTTGGAAAATGACAATCATGGGGCGTAAAGAAAAATAGGGTCTTCCACGTTTCCGCTGGAACTGGAGGATGTAGTAGATGGCTGGGAGAGAGAAGTAAGGAAGAGGTACTCTTTCGCACAGCCTGATGGCCAGGAAGACAGTCAAGGCCAGTGAAACCACTGAAATGTTGTATTTGAATCTTTTGGGAACTTGTATTTACTATGTGTTCTTCTTAATAACTTCAATGTTAATCTACTTTTTTTTTCTGCTTCGTTTGAGCGATTTGTTGGTGGTTGACGACGTTTGAGGCGGTGGCTTTTCGCAGCCATTAGCCGTTCGTACTTGGATGTTCCAGTTAGATTTATTGGATGAAAGATGGTGTGGGCGTAGCATGGTAGAATTTTTGAGGCATTTTGTAAAAGAGGAAGTTTTGGTTGGTTAGGCTGGTTTGGATTGGCGGTGACGTAGGCGGCAGGCTGTATTAGGTTCTGTTTGGGTATGCGGTTAGGACTGGTTGATGGAGATTGGTGGATGAAAGAAGGCAATGTGGGCATTTTCAGCTGACGCTGTACCATGGTAGTTTTGGGTAGTCCAAGGGGGTTCACGAGCTGTAAATTTTTTCTGGTTTTTTGGAATTGGAATTGGCGTATACTATAAAGTTTACTTAGAAACGACGGAGGGTAATGGTGAGTAACATCTAAAGCGTCCATGGAAGTACAAGAGAACTCCATGAGTTACAAATAGCTTAATATTTGTTTTAATAACGAGAATATACCCTCGAGAGAAGATGATTGGGGGAGGCGCTTTGGTTAAAGATATACGGCTTTTTCCGTACCTCGAGGAAGAATACGGAGAGCTAGGTAAAGAATTGGTACCTAAAAGCTGACCAGAGAAGGTTCCTGAACACTTTTTGGCAAACCTAGGCAGGGGTAGTTATACCATTCACTGATTATGTCATTTTCTTGTGTTCTATGATAAAGGTACTTCATTAGGTACCAAGAGGTCAACCGAACATTCACAGATTGCTAATGCAAAGAACTTCTTCGCTATTTCAAATATAAGGTTCTTTTCGATATTTACAATGATCCAATATTCCATTGCTATTGTCACCACCACAGCACCTGCTTACCACCAGCTTATCAACCGGTCCTCATACCTTAAATAAGGTTCCACCTACATGTCAACCACCACACCGACACTGTCAGCAATCAGAATAAGGACCCCAGCCAACCACTTCCCTCCATAGCCTTCTCTCTATAGTTACATTACAGAACTCCAACGCTCTGGTTACTGGAGACCACCTCCACCACTACTCCACCAACGGTGCCTACCCCACACTACTTCAACACACCAAAACTTTCCAAAACATGGAGAAACCCGAATCCATTTTCCCGAACTTCCCACGTCTAACTGTCTTGTGCACATATTATTTCGTCCACCATCTGCAATGACAGTGACACTCTGAAACAGCCGAGGATCCCCATACTATGGCTGCGAATGGGGAAGTCCAGCTCCAGTCCCTCCCATCCACCACAGTAGACAATGCCCGGGACCCCAGCGCCAGCCAATCAAAACCACCCATTTAACTCACCCTTCCTTATTGAAAAAGTCTATTTCCTCCCCACCCTCGCAAGAAACCGTTACCACCCACCTTCCCTATATCCCACCATTGGTCCGGTTCCCATACTAGGTAAAATTCCAGTGCGCACCTCCCAAGTAGAAAATAGCTCGACCTCCAACGTGTGGGTTATAAAAGATACATATTCGCGCTCCCTGGAGGATCCCACTATTGCCACACTTACTGTTGAAATGCCTGAAGTGCCTTTGCCATACGAGCCCAAGAGCGAGCCAATTAAGGAAGAGGTGCCTTACAATGGCGTTACTTTCTTTACTACCACCTGGAAAGTGCCTGAAAACGTCACTTATAAGGGTAAAATCATCTATGTCCATGGCTTCTGTGAGCACTCGAACATTTACACTCAGTTCTTTGACGACTTGAGCCAGAATGGTTATGAGGTGTTTTTCTTTGACCAGAGAGGAGCTGGTGACACGTCTCCAGGTAAGGAGGCCGGTAAGACGGACGAGTTCCATACATTTGATGATTTGGACTTTATGATAAAGAGAAACTTGGATGCTAGGGAGGACAAGGACGAGAAGTTCATCTTGGGCGGTCACTCTATGGGTGGCGGTATCTCTTTGAACTATGCTATCCACGGTAAATATAAGGATAACTTCAAGGGTCTTTTTGTTTCTGGACCTTTGGTCACCTTGCATGCTAAGACCACGCCTAATATCATCCTTAGAACCTTGCAGCCGGTTATCAACCGTCTTTTGCCAACCTTCAAGATCGACTCCAACTTGAGATACGACTTCATTACCTCCAACGAGGGCTGGAAGAAGTTTATCATGGACCACGATAAGAGGTTGGTCGGTACCGTTAGACAGTTCAACGATATGTTTGAACGTGGCTTGAGATTGCTCCAGAAGGACCATGTGGCCAAGTTCAGCCCAGATATCAAGTTATTGGTATTGCACGGTGACAAGGATTACATCAACGATCCCAATGGCTCCAAGAAGTTCTTTGCTTTGCTTCCAGACACTGTGGATAAGAAGTTTGTGGAGGTGAAGGATGGCCTTCACTCCCTCTTCATCGAGAGAAAGGAATTGTACGACGATGTGTTCGACAACGTGTTGACTTTCTTAAACTCCACTGTCTAAATTGGTAGTATCTAGAGTTTGTATTTTTTTTTTCGTTGTTTTATATTAATTATGCTAATAGGATCGGAAGATGCGTCTATGACACTCTAACCTGGGGTGAGGCCCTCTAAGCGCATACGTCGTGCGCATTCGTTTACACAACCTCCCTGGACCGTGAAGGTCCATTCGAGCATCTACCAACCGTTTTGTTCCAGATTTGCAACCATCCAGAAGAAACCCCATTCCCAACTCTGACCACTCCTCGGCCTACCGAATCCACCCTTTCAAACTCACGCGTTCTCACCACTTCCATCCTGGCGTGTTTGACGATCTCCTGATGCCTACTTTCTACGCAAGCTCTAAAAGTCATCTGATGCTGAATGCACCCATCGCTTGAAAGTCCCCATTAATTTGATACCCACTTCGTTCTTTACCACCCCACGAGAAATGGGATATACGATCAAGCAAAAAATTGAAATCTGCCTCCAGTCGGAGGCGAACCCACATATGACCCAGAGTGAGCTCGCTCTGTGGGCGAAGGAAAAATATGGTTCACTGAAGCCGCCGTCACAAACGACGATATCTCGAATATTGAGCTCCAAATCAGAAATTCTCGGCTCTAAGGAGTCCGACTTTGCCTTGGTCAGAAGAAGAAAACAGTCCAATCCGCTACTACGAAAGATCCTTACTGAGTGGATCACCCAGGCGCTATGGGAGTCGATCCCAATCACAACTCCTATTATCCAGCTGACAGCCAATGCTATATGGACGCGACTTCGTGCTGACTCCAAGGACGGTAACGGCGTGTTTAATCATAAATGGTGTAACCACTTTGTGAAGAAGCTTAATATCAACTTGGAGGGTTCTCCACAGGCGATCCAGGAGAACTTGGGGAAGAAACTTGATAATGTATGGCGTTTGGATGAAAAACTAGAATTGAAGCAGTTTATTAAGGATCTCGTCAGTCATCACAATTACTCGCCAAAGGATTTGTTCACCGTGGACGAGTTCCAATTATTTCATGCATTGCCCTTGGACCAGATCTTTGATATATCGTCGATCGATAAGGGCTTGAAACAGAGCGGCACATCTTCTGAGAATATGCTTACTATCATGCTTGGATGTAATATCGACGGATCCGAGAAACTTACTCCATTGGTGGTTTCCCGTCAAGATAAGTTTGATGTTTCTGCCAGTTCCCATGCAGCTCTCAGGTCCCATAGTGGCTCCCTCACAACACAAACCTTAATGAACAAATTGGACGAGGTCTACCAAATTTCATACCGTTCCAATAATAATAAGTGGATCACTTCTAGCATGTTCCAGGATTACCTTCTAACTTTGGACCACAAGATCGAGAATAGCACTCCAGAGAGACAAATTGTTATTTTCTTGGATAACAGTTCATCACATCGGATTATTAATCTCGAGTTTAAGCATATCAGACTTGTGTATATGGAGAATGCCTCCAAACACAGGAATCCTTATGGAGGTTCATTCAATGGAGTCAAATTTGACTACTTACCAATGAGTTTTGGAATTGTCGAAGAATTCAAGATCTTGTACAGGTTACAGCAGTATCTTGATATGATCAATAAGCAGCGTTCTAATAGCGGGAAGGATAGTCGTTCATCTTCATTGGCCCTGCCTGTGAGTTTGGATAGTTTCAAGACTCCATCCGTCATGAGCGAATCTGCAGAAGTGTTAGCAGAGTCAGATTATCAGGTTCCATTCATAAAAGTTATAGAATGGATCAAAAGGGCTTGGGATTCCATTAGTGCAGAGAAGATCTTTTTAAGTTGGAGGAGTACCTACTTGATGAACTTCAAGCAGCCATGGCCCGCTTCTGACCCTAAAATTGTTGAGGATGCACTGACAGCCCTTTCCCCATTCGCTAATGTTTTGAAAGAATACAATGCTTCAAAGAGCTACGACAAACTTCGGGAGATCATGAAGTACCTTAACGTTGTCATTCCATGGGAAATTGATGAGCTCTTGGGCTTGGTCAATGAGAGAAGTAAGGTCAGCTTGAATTATGTCTCGATTGAAGAGATTATTGGCAGTTGTGTTGCTGCTTCTCAGGACGATCCAGAAGAACAAGAAATGGCAAATGGTGATACTACGCATACACCACTTGCAGCTGGATGGTTTAATGAAGAGACCTCAGCACAGCTAGCAGATACACTGTTCCCTGCAGAATCAGCAAGCCCCATGACAACGCAAGCAAAGCTTCCTGACTCGAATATGAACATGTCCCCTTCACCCTTCAACTCAGCAGCTGTGGGAAGAGGCCCTATGATGTACCATGCCAACCAAGTTTCCCAGCAGTACACCCCAAACAACCAAATGACCAACCAGTCGTCCACAAGACAAGAGCAGTATGGTCAGGATTACTCTGGAGGTAGTCCTTCCACAATGAGTGCATTGCTTCTTGCGACTAACGTTGCCAGACCACCAGACCAAGCATTTTCCCCATTACCACTTCCAAAAGGCGAGATAAGTCTTCCTCCGGTGAGCAGAATGGACATGGGCGGGTACCAAGGTCCATTTGAGCGGAAACACAGACTTAATAGCGTTGAGCTTGAACCGCTCCACCCAGACAGAAAGCGCCAAAACTATAATCAACCCATGGCTTCTCCATTATACGGCAACGGGCTTCCACCGTCTACGCCGTATTATCCGTCGCTTCCTGAACAAATTCCCAACGAAGGCATTTCACATATAAGAAGACCCAACGAGCCACGGCTTCCTTCGGTGGGCCGGAGGTTCCGTGAAAACATCAGGGAAGGCACCAACAACGGCGAGTTGATTGGATTGCTCAACAAAGTGATCTCTGCTTCAAAGAACGACGGCATTACTCTTCTGGAGCATGCCCTAGAAGAAATCAGAGAGAACTTGTCGAAAATGCAGCATAAACAGGAGCACGATGGAGAGCTTCGCAACTAACCACCACCATCATCTACATAGCATCATAATATAATCTGGTAATTCGCTATGTACATCAACAAGAAAAAAAGAAGAACAAAATTAACCCAAAAACCACATAGTCTAATTTTCATCTTCCGTGATCCCCAACTCTCTGGCTTTAGCCTCTAAGCGCTCACGCTTCTCAGCCCTGGCTTTTCTAATCCTAGCCACCTCTGCCTGGATCTCATGAGGTTCCTTAGGAATCTGGTTAAGCGTCAGTGGATCTGGCCAAAACCCAGGCAAGTTGAACTTCTTATCAGAGTCAATACCTACCCAGTACATGAGGGCGATTGGTGATAAAAGACAGAACCCAAACTGCTGTTAGTACCAAAAACAAAAATGAAACAAAAAACCCTACCATACCTTGAACGTCTCAAGCTGCGTTCTCGTGATGCCACCGGCAAACCTCCTGTAATGATACAACACCATGGCTGTGGAAATGAATAGTAGTATACGAAGAATCACCTTATTTCTGGGGAGGTCTTCGCAGTCGCACCTCTGGAGTTTCGTCTGGCACACTGGGGGAAACCTGATTTCTCTACATACTCTGTCGCAGCCAAACACTTCATACCATTAGTACGGGTTAAGGAAAATGTCTGGGTATACGCAAATTGAGGCTGACGAGACGGTTGGAGCCAATCCGTATGGATCTGGGAATAATCTGACGGTGCCTCCTGTTTCTGGGAATATGGCACCTGCTCCTGCTGAGGGTACTGGCGCTGGAGGTGAAGAATGGCTGTGGTCGAGGAGACTTAAGGAATCTTCCCATCCGGTGGCGTTGATGTTTTATATTGTGTTCAGGTTGTCGCCAATTTTCACTTATATTTTTGGTAACATGATCATTTCGATCTTTATCAGCCAGAATAGGTTCATTCTTCACTTTATTGTGCTTACGCTTCTCGTGTCGGCAGACTTCTGGAACTTGAAGAATATCTCGGGCAGATTATTGGTGGGATTGCGTTGGTGGAACGAAACAACCAAGAAAGAGGGTTCTACAAACTTTGAAAACGTGTGGGTGTTTGAGTCGGCTGACCCAGAGAGGTATATTAATCCAATCGACTCGAAAGTGTTTTGGACGTTATTATACGCGCAGCCGGTGGCATGGGCCGTGCTAGCTATAATGGCCGTGTTGAAGTTCGAGTTGTTGTACCTTGTTTTGATCGTCATTAGCTTGTCGTTATCACTCACCAATGCCATGGCATTCACCAAGTGCGACAAGTTCGGCAAGGCCAACAACTTGGCCACTGATATCTTCTCCAGAACCACCGGTGGAATCTGGAAGAGGTTCAATCCGTTCTCTTCATAATTATTGCGCATTAACAGATTCACGAAGCCATTTCAAGTGTTCTAATTTCTTTTGGAGCGTCGTAAACGGTTGTTTGGCCCACGCTGAATCCGGCACCAAGTCTGTTTCCTTAACAAGTCTATGCTTACCCTGAGGAGAATCAATAAGAATAGCGAGGGCCTCGAACTCAGACGAGAATTGCTCGAATTCCTTTTCGTCTATCTCGATTCCACGGATCATATCGCTGTAATATGTCTGCGACATTTGCTGAGACCGCTTGGCCACAATTCTCAAAATCAACTCGTTAACCACCATGGTCACCTGGTTGTCGTTTTCCACCTTTATGACCGAGTCTCTCAATCCTTCCACCTCGACATCCGTGTCCATATTTTGTAAGATAGTTATAGGATTATAAAAGGAACTTGACTGATCATCTGCGAGCTCTATCAATGCCTTGATGAATTCTGGCCTGGAGTAGGAATGCTGCAAAAGCATGTTCCATGTGTCTTCGTCGTTTTGAATCTTTGCAAATCGGATGGCCCTCCTAGGATCATTGAGCTGTTCCATAATCAATTGCATGGCCTTTCTGTTCTCGCCCACTTTACCAAGCAAATACACTAACTCCTCAGTCAATGCATTTCTCTCGCAAATGTCGATTGCTTTTGAGATATCATAGTTGTCGTGGGATGTTAGGAATGGAAGAAGCTTAGCACGATCATACTGTCCATATAATTGAACACGCACATCTTCGAAGCTTTTGACGATCAACTCATCGATACTCACCAACTCTTCAATGTAGAAGTAGTTGATGATGTCAATGTGGTTTTCAAACATGGTTTGAATAACAGTTGCAGGAGAAATCTCGTGCCTTGCATCGACCAAGATATCAATCACATCATGTAACTTGGAGCCGACTTTTTGCACTGGTAACCTTTCCAAATCAGAAGGATCATTAAACCTGAATCGAATATACTGAGGTATATCCGAAACGTAAAAGGGCAATATATGGTTCGATGCTAAGAAGCTGAATATGTTTGGGTCTTCTAATTTCACAAAATGAGACACAGCCTTGCGAGGATTATATGATCTCTCGTAAAGAGAACACAACTGTTTCCTCAACTTAGTATCATCTTCATGCTGTTCAAGGTAAGACTCAATTTTCTCGGCTGTAGAGCCAAAGTCGTATAGGTCAAGGTCCCACTTGTTGATGAGTTCGTAGAATTTCTCATTGGATGGAAGTTGATCAACCCAGTAGTTTAAAATATCCGAGAAAAGGTGCTTTGGAAGATTCCATCTCGTATCAGCTGGTACCACAGGCGTAATCTCCTCAACATGACCTGCTTTAATGAAAATAGAGATCCACTGACTCCATTGCGAGGAAACTTCCCTCACAAATGCTTCCTTATCTTCAATAGACAGCGCAACAGATGTTTTCGTACCCAATGTACTTTTTGTATCTCCCATGGGAAACTCACTCGGATCGATGTGGAAAATCTTCACAAGCATTTCAGCAGCATGAGACCAATTCTCCTGCTTTATGAGACTATCGATGTACCAGACACCAAACTTGAGTCTTTTGACGGGTTGGACAATGTGTTGACTCATTTCCCATGCTTCCAAGAACATCAGTCTATCGAGGTACCACTGTAATCTATCATCTAGCTGGATCTGTTCAGCAATAATCGCGTCTCTTGCGCTCATGATGAAATAACGAACGGATCTCTCACCGATGTGCTTCCCGAGATGATAGTCATTGAGGCCGAGGTTCTCGGTGAAGTTAAAACCTATCTCCTCTTCATGAACTGTAGAGCCATCGATCGAGCTGACAAGCTTTATATCCGGGTTCTGGACTTTAATGCTTCCAGTTTCCTCGTCCCTCTCAGGTTGGTTGTAAACAAGCACAATCCAAAGATCATCCTTGAAACTACCAATACCTGAAATCAAGAAGTCCATCTTGTAGACATGTTCGACTTCAACTTTCTTTTCATTGGCTGCACGAAACGAAAGCGACGGCGCTGATGGTAAGTATCTGCTCCTAATCGACGTACCAGCGCCAGAACCACCACTACCCTTGACAGACACCTTCAACGACCAAATGTAGTTACCCCATGCAATTAACAACATATTAGTTTCAGGAAAACAAACTCTTGGCCAGTATAAATCACTGCGGAAGGAGTCAGAAGGTTTTGAAATTGTAGTAATCACCTGTTTCGTAGTGATATGATAAATAGTAATACCTTTATCATTCATCCATAGAAGCAAGTCATCGATAGCTTGTATGCCCACAATTGTGCCATTATCTTCATCTAAAACCAACTCAGATCTCTGATCGAGCCACGATTTATATGAATAAACCACCTTCCCACTCATTCCACCATATATGAACGATCGGTTCTTCAGGTAATTCTTATCTAGAACAACAGCATGAACAGGCCTCTTATAGTCAAACATTACAATATCATTAGCGTCTGCAACCGATCCAATCACTATAGTTCCATCCATGGAGCCACTGGCGAAGAATGCACCATCAGTATATAAGGAAAGTACAGATGCCTTATGTGCTCTGAATGATCGTAGGATAGTAAAGTCTGGCTTCGTAAGAAGAATAAACCCCGTATGGGTTCCAAATATAAACACGTTTTCATGGAAGTACAGACTAGAAATGGGATCTTTCTTGAAGAATGATGGCGGTAGTGAGCTGAGACGAGTATACTTAAGGATTGGTGGTTCATCCTCTTCGTCCTCTTCCTCAGACAGTTCTTGGTCTCGTAGCTCCTCCAGAGTTCCATCTTTATGAGTTCCGTTTTCAGCAGTGTTCACTGGTTCCTCTGTCTCCTCTGTGGTTGTGTTCTTATCCTGGTCATTCTCGTCTGAATCTGAGTCCAGGGGTTCTATTATAGTATCATCATTAATATCCGTATCTGAGCTTCTTTCTCGGTCACTAGTGCCCCTAGACTCCCGTCGTCCTTCCCATTGGGGACAATTGGCAGTGCCATGGTTGTTTTTGTGGTGTAGGAAGATGACCTTATTGATAGTGCTCCATACAAAGTTCTGTGAGTACTGCAAATAGAGGTGGTGCTGCTCAGTAACCGAGACAAGGTATTTTATACTACTTGGAATTCATCATGCCCACTGCAAGTAAGGGTGTACTTGTTCAATGTGACCCATCTATAAGAGCTTTGATTTTGCAGCTTGATCTGAAGAACAGGGGCATTGTGCTTGAGGAGTTGGACAACACCCATCTCATGATCAAACAAGATATGGTTCAGTATGTAAAGGAAGAGTTGAACCGTCTTTTGTCCAAGAATATATACGATCCCATTGACGGGATGAAGCCATAAGATTGGACTTATTGGGCTTCGTTTTCCATTTTGTCGAGCTCATCGAGAATGTTCTCGTTAAGTTTCACACTCAGCTCGGCTTCCTCAGCCTGAAAAACTCCAGAAACGGTATCATTCAAGAAGTTGAAGAAAGCATCTGGCTCCATGACTTCACCCATTTCGTCTGTCTTGAGCTGGCCCTTGGACAATCTCTGTTCGAGTCCATCATAAAACTTCTCGTATGAACTGAAGATAAACTTCGAGACTTGGTCAATAAGGAACCTGATAACCTCATTATCGTCAATGTAGGCCTTGACCTGGCCATGCGTCTTTGGAACTTGCATAATTATATTGTCATTGAAAGCCACGAGTACATCTTTGAGCGGCGTCTTCTCATCACGTAATGGGGCGCAGATAGCATCTGAACATTCAGCCACCCAAGCAGTTACCGTGTTGCTTAATTCAGACTCGGCTTCTTCATTTGCATCTATCAAGTTATTAATAACTTGGGGAGCAGAACGTTTCACAAGTTCGAGCAATCCGCCTTGTTCACTCACTTTGACTTGAAGTTCACCGCTTCTGAATGTCTTGATCAATTCGGTGATACCACTTGTAAAATCAAGCGCCGTCTCAGCACGAACATATTGCGTATCGAAATTAGTTAGCTGAGTTCTGAGAACCATCAAGTTCTTGAAATAGAATAACTTTGCATCCAAACTCCCTAGATGAGCTTTTGCCAATGGCATGGCTCCATTCTTCAACATGGAAATACAACTGTGCACAATGTAGTGGGCCATATCATCAAAGACCATAGTGCTTATCAAGTCGTAGATATTTGAGAGAATGGTCAAGGCCTTACCAACAGGCGTGTATGCATCTGGGAAAAGGTTCTCCTCCACTTCATCAAGAATGGAATCGGCACGGCTTCTTTGCCGACTTGAAGATCTCCTTCTTCCAAGTCTCAAGTCTTCTGCCTTAGGCTTATAACGTAAGAGCTTGTTGTCAATGTAGTTTTGAATACGGAATATAAGACGAGACTGGGAAATGCTCAACATAGGTTCAAAGAGCTCACCGTACTCGATCTTAGCATCAGGCATAGCACTAACAACTGAGGTTTCCTCATCGAATTCGTAATAGGAGGTAAGCAAGTTTGTGAGCTTGCATAATTCTCCAATGTTTTGTTCCCGAAGCACCTTGTTTCTGACTTCATCGTATAATGGATCTAGAAGATCCTTGTAGAAGGAGTTAAGTTCTTCAGTGAAGAATTTATGCAGACTAGAGTCCCATTCTTCAAATGGGAAGTGTTTTATGAACAAGTTGTACTCCTTCTCCAAGATCTTTTTGAACCACGAGATGGACTTCTGGCTATGGAGAACCAAATCTTCAGAATCGTCGACCACTCTGTTATGGTTGATATTCTGGTGTACTAGCTGGACTCTCATGCGGAAGTAACTGGAAAGAACATCGGTGACCAAACCTCTATATTCCTTGTGAGATGCACTCTGTCTAACAATTTGGCCGATCAACGTAGGGAAGCTAGAAGGCTCTGGTTCCTTAGAAAGCTCACTGATGAACTCACTGTATAAGATGATATCCCAGGATAAACTTTTGAGATTGTCGCCGTGTGTTTTAGCAAGGGCTTCTTCGCCTCTCTTTCTGATATGGTCAATCAAGTAATTACGGACCAAGGTCAAGCCTCGAGTCATGCATTGACGGTAGCGAATGATGTACACTTCGCTATCCTTGTAGTCTCCATGAGAGCCCAAGAACTCTAAACACTCTTGCAATTGGACAAGCATGGTAGTGATTCTTCCGGTACGAACAATGGAGTTACCTGAACTAACCAACTTCTTGCTGATTTTTTCAAGCGGTTCAAATATTTTAAGAACATGGTCCATTTGCTGAGCCTTTGCTTCAAGTTCTTCTTGCTTTTGCAATAGACCAGTGGCCTGAGAAGCAAAGTCGGAGGTCTCTTTTGAAACCTTATCATATTGGAACATTAGGCTATTAAGGGACGTAAGAATGAATTGGTTTTCATCAATGAGATTGTCTATCTGGTTGACATTCAAGTTACAGTCTTTTTGGAATTGCAAAATCAAGTCATCGTTATAATCGTTGACGCTGTCAATTAGCTGCGAATCCAACACCGTGTTGTAATTGAGAGCATCTAAGCACTTCGTCCAGAGTGCATCTCTCTCCTCCTCTGAAAAAGGATACGTGGGCGTTTCAGGAGCAACATCAATCTTCACATTTACTCCAACGGTCAATGACTTGGATCTTCCACGTTTCAGTGGAACCAATACGTGGTGCGACTGGCCCTTTGGAAGAGTTGGGTTATGGATGCTTTTCGTTTCAGACGAATCATTATCCAAGTTCTCCTGAGAATAAGCAGGTACCTCAGATGCCACTTTCTGGACCAATGATTTGGATCTGCCCCGGGCCATTGTACTAGTGAAAGGTTACTGGATCTGTATAAAACATCCAGTAGTGAGATGTTGATAATCGCGTAGCACAGTACAGGAAGCACACGTCTTGGAGAAGAAAACGAGACACCATGAGGGACCCTAGGGAGGCTCAAGATGATGTATATTTGACAGAAGATTCAGACGATGCACTTGCTGATTTGGAGAAGGAGTTTGAGTTGAAAAAACAGAAGTTGATTGCAGAACGAGCACGGATCAAGCAGGAATCAAAGAACAGGCCCCAGGTCAATGTGGAACGGTCACCGTCACCACAACGAAAGAAATTAAGGGCAGATTATTTTCAGCAGAGAGTTCAGGTGAAGCCAGAGCCGGTGGGTGACCAGGAAGTTCGTGGGAGACTGGGGGAACAAGGGACACATGGAATTTTCAGAGTGAAGCCAATGCCAAAGCCAGAAGCGCCAAAGAGCGAGTTTGCATCGCGTCTTCTGGCGATGAAGACGGAGCAGGGGCCTAAAGGAGACTTGAGTGAACGAATTTTCGAATTTGAAAACGTTCCCGAAGTGCTTCCATTTGATACCATGCCAGGCGAATATGACGAATTCACAGGAATTGAGCTCAAAAGCCGAAGATTACCACACAACATTCTCCTTGACCTACTACATCCGATCAAAGTGCTCGGAATCACGAAGCTTCTTGCCAAAGTGGTGGCGCCGAAATTCGAAGAGCCCAACTACGTCAACTGGTGCTTTGTTGGGATGATTGTTTACAAAGGGCAACCGAAACAGGCACTGAATGGCCACAAGTTTCTCCAACTCAAAGTTGGGGACTTTGTGCATACAGTTGACGTGATGCTTTTTGGGTCAGCGTTTGAACGATTCTGGAAACTACAGCTTGGGGAGATCGTCGTGATCCTTAATCCACGGGTAAAGAAGTTTCAGGGCAAGTTTAACATGTCAGTAGCAGAAGATTTGCAGAGCATTGTTGAGATTGGCAGCGCCAGGCACTTTGGGTATTGTGAGTCGACAAACAAAAACGCCACCAGATGCAAGCATGTGGTGGACTTATCACAGACCAAGCTCTGCAGCTACCACGAGGAAGAAAAGTATCGAGCGCAAGCGTCGCGAATGGAACTTCAAGGCAGTGTGAAATTGAAGGATCCACGCAGCACCAGGAGAGGGGCGAAACGAGACAAGTATTACAAGAAAGGACAGCGAGAGTGGGTCGATTGGAAAGACTTGCCGGGGTATCAACTGTTTGAGCCAAGCGGTACTGAACTCAATCCAGTGTACAAAGGCAGTCAAGGGTTTGACGAGAAAAAATTCGACCGCCCAGTTGCCAATGCGCAAAAAGAGCGTTTAAAGGAAGCCTCCAACGCCAGACTCAGGCTCGAGGAACAGCTTCGTGCGACAGTGGCGCCAGCGCGAGCCAAACAGCTCCAAACACTTGGAATCCTAAGCAGCAGTAAAAAAGAGGGGAACAACTTTCATAAGACAACGTCCGGAGTTGCCGCCGCGTGCCGGCGCCCTGATGCCGGTTCCGTTGAATGTACAGCGGTTAATGACAGCCCCAGTGGAGAGTCTGGGTCGACGACCAAGGTTGGGCAGCAGAGCCTCCGCAAACTAATCAACGGAATGGGGTTTGACCCTACTGGCGCGGAAGCCACAAAACCAGCGAGCAATGGTGTGTGGGTACAGGAGCTCCAGCAGCTTAGTCGCCAGAAGAAGGTTAGTTTGGCCCCATCGCGCGAAGACAGACGCAGGCAAGCTACCAAATGGAGAAACACTACTAAGGAGCTTAGGGCACATGCTGGCGGAGCGGAGGAAGTCAGTGATGATGAGTTGGAAATCTCTTTTGCTTCTGAAAAAGACAAGATTGCCTATAAGAGCCTAGCACAATAGAGGATCTTCGAGCATCGAATGTTATCCTCGCTTACATGGAACAAAAAAATGTCTTTCTTTGGGTGGGTTTGTCTTTTTTAGCCCTATCTTCCAACAAAGCATTCCACAAAGCACATGGAAGCAAACGGCTCTCTTTCTCAAGCATATGAATGTGATAACAAACCCTTTGTTTTATACAAAAAAATGAGCATCTATATGCCTAACCCCACTCCCTTGTGGTGGCCTGGTATTGGCCGTGCGCATCCCCCTGCACTTGTTAAGCAGAGAAGGAATAAAAAAAAAAAAAAAAAAATTGTCGTCACCCACCCCATGTGAAAATTTCCCCGCCTTGAGGGAGGAGCAGGTTTGGGGCCCCTACAGGTGACAAACCAGCCTTGTGGGTGTGGGGCCAAAAAAATCTTATAAAGCAGCTCCGCTCGCTGTGCAGTTGGGGACTCTTGCTGTTTGGCATTTACCTTCGTTAACTTATATTCAAATTATGTCTTTTGTGGCCGAAGCCGTTGAGGCGGTTAAACCTCATATTGCAAAATGGTATACTATTGTGTTTGCAACCATTCTACTTTACATTGTTCACCGTCAGATCAGAGTCTACAGAATCTCCAAGAAGTTTGGCTGTCAAGACACTGAGGCTCTTCATGCTCCATTCTTTGGTATTCCAGTTGTAGTTGATGCTCTCCAGAGTATTAACAATGGTACCATCTTGGAGATGATTGGCAGGAGATTCAACGAACTCAAGAATGACACTTGCCATCTTAAGGTGGGTGGTATCAGAATTTTGTTCACTTTCCAGCCCGAGAACTATAAGGCCATTTTGGCCAACCAGTTTAACGACTTTGCCTTGGGTAAGAGACACTCTCACTTTTTGCCCTTGCTTGGTGATGGTATCTTTACTTTGGACTTCCATGGTTGGAAGAACTCGAGAGCCATGTTGAGACCTCAGTTCTCCAGAGAACAGATTGCTCATGTTAGAACTTTGGAACCTCACGTGCAGACTCTTGCTTCCCACATCAGAAAGGCCCAGGGCCAGACTTTTGACATTCAGGACTTGTTTTTCAAGTTTACCGTTGACACTGCTACTGAAATTCTTTTTGGTGAGTCTGTCTACTGTTTGAGAGATGGCACTGTTCCAGAGCAGCCTCCTCATGACCTTTTCCCAGAGAGAGCTGAATTTGGTGATGCTTTTAACCTTACCCAGAGAGTCCTTGCCATGAGATCTTACTCTCAGGTTTTCTACCGCTTTGTTGATGGCATCAAGTTCCGTTCTGCTTGTAGGAAGGTTCACAGATTTGCTCAGTACTATGTCCAGAAGGCTCTCGCTGCTCCTCAGGAGGAGATTGAACGTAAGGCTACCAAGGGTTACACTTTCTTGTACGAGTTGGTTAAGCAGACTAGAGACCCTAAGGTGTTGCAGGACCAGTTGTTGAACATTATGGTTGCTGGTAGAGACACCACTGCTGGTTTGTTGTCTTTCACTTTGTTCGAGTTGTCTAGAAACCCAGAAGTTTACGAGAGATTGAAGCAGGAAGTCTTGGTTCAGTTCGGTGAGGGTACTCCAGAGGATATCGCTAACATTTCCTTTGAGTCTCTCAAGAAGTGCGAGTACTTGAAGTGGGTTCTTAACGAAGTTTGAGAATGTACCCATCGGTGCCAATGAACTTCAGAGATGCCACCAAGGACACTGTTCTTCCTACTGGTGGTGGTCCAGATGGTACCGCCCCAGTCTTTGTGGCCAAGGGCACCACTGTTGCATACTCTGTGTACTACACTCACAGAGATACTAAATTCTATGGTAAGGATGCTAATGAGTTCAAGCCAGAGAGATGGGCCGAGAACCAGAAACTCGGTTGGGCTTACTTGCCATTCAACGGTGGTCCAAGAATCTGCTTGGGTCAACAGTTTGCACTTACTGAAGCATCTTATGTTGTTGTCAGATTGATTCAGATGTTCCCTAATTTGGTCTCTTCCTACGAGGGCGAATACCCACCAAAGAAGATGTTGCATCTCACCTTGTCCATGTATGACGGTGTTCCAGTGAAAATGACTTAAACTCTGAACTAAGGCCAATGCCGTGCATTTGCCGCTTACATATTTATACATGTCGTTCACTGGCATCAATTGATAGATTCAATATAGGTTATATGGGTGAAAATATATGTAGATGATTATGAAGATTTGTTGCCTGGGGATCAAGGGGTATTTCGAGTTATCTCGGAAGGGGTGGCACCCCTTAACCCGGCCGACTAGCTATTTACACCAATTTTTATTGGATTCTAGATTTGTAAGTAGGCTGGCGGCCCTACATGATGCAGAGGTATTAGGTATCACAAAACGCCCAAAATTAATAAACTTTTTCCGCTGCTGGCCCCCCTCAAATTGCGTTCCAAGATCCGTAGCATCCAACCGAAATATTCCATTTGGCTGTAGTTAAATTAATGTCCTCGTTGGCGGCTATTTTTGCTTTATTGGTTGCTGATATTGGTGAAATTGGTCTCTGTGAACGGCAACATGTGAATTTTGTTCGTTCTAACGGATAACGGTTCGTAATAGCACAAAATAAAATTACAAGAGCAAAAACGGCTATTTTGGATAAGAAATCATGGGTATATTTTATTAGACAACATATGTTGATGGTTAGTAGGAGCCCTTTCATGATTCCATTCTTACCCCACTCAAGGTGAGACAATTAGCGGTTACAATATTTACTTGCTTTTGACGTCACCGTTTTATCCCAAACAGTAAAATACCCCATCTTTTGCAAAAACAAGCAATATCATGGTGTAACCATTGCACTAGCTAATTTGCTGGTTGCGAGGGGTCCAACAGGGTCCCCCAACGGCCCACCCAGGCTTTAAAAAAATTCCCAAAAATAGCCCAAACCCCAAATTACAACCTTCCAAATCCTATCCAACAGTTTTTACGTTATAAAATTATGCTAAACTGAAACTAAACCGAAAAGTCCTTTTGCTTACTCTAGGCCCAGGCTTACTGGCCCCAGCGCGCCTAGTTACCTATTTTCCACCTCCAGCTCTTCTCATCGCATACTGATGGACACCAAAAGACCCAAGCTTGAACCCTCTACCATGAAGATCTGTACCCATCTGGGCCTGTTCCACGCCGATGAGGCTTTGGCCATTTACATGTTGAGACTTTTGCCTAAATTCAGGGATGCTCAGCTTGTGAGGTCGAGAAACCCAGCTGACTGGGAAGCTTCAGACATTGTTGTTGATGTTGGTGGAAAGTACGATGGCGGCCACAAGTGGTTTGACCACCACCAGCGTGAGTTCAACGAGACTTTTTCGTCTAAATACGCCACCAAGCTCTCCAGTGCTGGTTTGATCTATAAGCACTTTGGTCCAGATATCATCCAGGAGACTCTTAAGCTCCAGAGCCCATCTACCGTGGACTTGCTTTACCAGAAGGTGTACAAGGAGTTCATTGAGGCTGTGGATGCCAATGATAACGGTATCAACAACTATTCCAGTGATGCCGAGAAGAAGTTCAACGATAAGAACTTGACTCTTCCTGCCATCGTCAGTCAGTTGAACCCTAGATGGAACGTCAACCCTACCGATAAGGACTACGACGAGGCTTTTGAGAAGGCTAGCGATTTGATGGGTACGTGTTTCGTCAACCTTCTTAAGGGTTACGGTGAATCCTGGTTGCCTGCTAGAGATATCGTGGAAGCTGCTTTCGACAGCCGTTTCGATATCCACCCAAGCGGTGAGATTATTGTCCTCGAACAGTTCTGCCCTTGGAAAGAGCACTTGTACTCTATTGAGAAGGAGAAGAACGCTCAGGGTGTCATCAAGTTTGTGCTTTTCTCTGACCTGAGCTCGAAATGGCGTATTTCCACGGTGTCTGTGACATCGACCAGTTTCGAGTTCCGTTTCGGTCTTCCTGAGCCATGGCGTGGTGTTAGAGACGAGGAACTTTCCAAGTTGACCGGCGTCCCAGGTTGTATCTTCGTTCATGCCGCTGGTTTCATTGGTGGCTGCGAAACCAAGGAGGGTGTCTTACAGCTTGCTAAGTTGGCATTGGAGAAGAAGTAAATATCTGTATGTATGTAAACTACCTTAGTTACCGTCCAACAAAGGAGCGCCTTCCTCGGAGGTTGGCTCCTTGGTGATCTTACCAGTAACACCGGCGACAAAACTCAAGATGAGAAGAAGACCGGCAATGATAAAAGCGAAGATCCATTGCAATGCAAAGGTCTTGGTAAGGATTTGGTTCAAGCCCAAACCGAACATCAAAGCACTCGAACTCAAGCCAATTGCATAATCGTTAAAGGCAACAATGAAGAAGGTTGGCACGAACAAGAACAACCAAATAAGAATATTGGCAATAATTCTACCAACGAACTTATGCACATGGAACAAAACAGCACCATTCCAGAACACGGCAAACATCAACCATGACCAAGGCAATGCAACTGTGGGCCAGTGGATCAAGACCCATGTAGACAATGGTCTGATTTTGTATGTCTTGTGGGCAAAGTACAAGTAGGTGATGTTGGCAAAGTTAGCCAAGAGCACAAGCTCGGACCAGAAAAAGTGTCTGTTGACAAAAAGCAAGGTCCATACGAAAACACCCAAGTTGAAGCCAGTAAAGTGCCAACCAATCTGCTTGGTGATGGCAGTTCTTGAGGCAGTCAAGGAATTGGCAGACTCCACTGAAGGCACAAAGATTTGCACCACAAACGAAATCTGCAAAAAGAACAACACAAGCCAGTACACTAAAGTGACTATAATGTTACCAGAGAACGGAGTGTCGGCAACATGGTAAGGGTTATTGGAGTCAGAGGGAGAACGTCCCACGAAGTAACGAATACTGACGAACGCAGCGAGCACCCAGGACACAATTGTAGACCATTTATGGACCACAAGGTCATTAGCAGAAACAGAAGCCATGATGGAGGTGGAAAGAAAAAAAGAGGACAAGAAAAGTCTTTTTTAGAGTCGAAAAATGGTTTCACTTATAAACGACGCCACTTTCACCTTTTTTTTGGTCTCGAAGCCCATGGTTTGCTAGTACTATGGCTGCGAAAGCAAGCATCAGGCCTCGTAAAGGGGCTCCTAATGCAGGTGCATGCCCCATGACCCCCCTAAAGTGGATCACCTAAGACACCCCTCAAGGAAAGGCTAATTGTTGAGGCCCAATTGTCTAGGGTAGAGAATTTAAGGAGGGCAAGTCACGCACGGAAGTGACGGCAGTGGTTTTCAGTTCGTTGGGGAGGGGTGTTCCGACTTCGTTTACGTACGTGCTGTTGCATGTACGAGCTACTACTACACAGTTTGTTTCACCTCGCATAGTTTGCTTGTATTTTGCAACCACTAGCAAGTACCTCTATATGACTTCTTGTGCTTGTAATGTCCCGTGCCTTCCTTGTCCAAGAGTTTGGTTTGGGCCTTCTTCTTGTCAATGACACCGTCAGAGGCAATACTAAGCAACAACTCGTGGATCATCTCTTTCCTGGCGGCCTCGTTCTCGGCGCCCTTCTTGCTAACGATATCCATCACAGTATCGTGAGCCTTGAGAAGCAACTCGGTGCTCTCGGTAATGCTCTGGATGAGCTTTTCTAACAAGTTCAAGTTACAAGAAGGTCTAATCACAGCACGCAAAATCTCCTTGTCGTGCTCATCTGGACTCAAGTTGTAGTTTGGCACAATGAAGCCCTTGTTTCTCAACAACACTGAGATCATGGCTTGAGGAATTCCAGGGTACTTGTTTCTGAATTCCTCACTGAATCTAAAGGCAACGACCGGCAAGCCTGGGCGGTAACCTTGGTTGGCAACTGCAACCTTGCCCAACTTCAGGTTATCGTTCTTGTTAAGAGTGAAGATCCTCTTAGACTCCTCCTCGTCCAATGGCCTGTGAATCACGGAGAGGACCTCATAGTAGCCACTCTCTTCTAAGTATCTCGACAACAACCGCGTGTTTTGGATGCAGCTATCAAAGATCTTGGTGTAGCCTTCTCTGCCAAACGCCAAAAAGTTATAGTATTGGTGCAACACAGGGAAGCCGGGTCTAGAGAAGTTCAAACTGAAGGTTTCTTCAACACCACCCAAGTAGTCCAACTTGAACCTCAATTGCTCAGGCAAGTATTCGCTATGTTTCCAGATGATCCAGCCCAAACCAGCAGTGGTCAAGCCGAACTTGTGGCCAGAAGTGTTGATCGATACAACACGAGGTACAGCAAAATCCCATTTTAAGTTTGGATAGACAAAAGGTGCCACAAAGCCTCCAGAAGCTGCATCAACATGGATCTTGACATCAAGACCCTTCTCCTTCTCAATTTCGTCCAAGATGGCATTCACTTTCTCCACAGACTCAAAGTTACCGGTATAGGTAGAACCCAAGATAACGAAAATACCAATTGTGTTCTCGTCAACTTGCTCCTTGATCTTCAGAACATCAAGAACATGCTCAGAGCCTTCATTGATGTGAATTGTTCTATTCTCCACATCAAAGTATCTGGCAAACTTCTCCAAAGCAACTTGGGCAATAGACGACATGATAATATTAGGGTTTTCAGTCGACTTGCCCTCTGCCTTTCTCTTCTCCTGCCATCTCTTCTTCAATGCCAAGCCACCCAACAAGACAGCCTCGGAAGAACCGGTGGTAGACGTACCGATGGTATCCGTAGTACCATCCTTGTTCTTAGGAGCGTGCCAAAGATCGGACAAAATGCTCATACACCGAGCCTGGTGCTCGAGTAACGAAGGGTACTCATCATTATCAGCCAAGTTCTTCGAGATATTGTCACAGATCAACTTCAATGGGTTGGGCTCCACTGCAGTATTGACAAACGAAGCCATGTTCAACGTAGGCGTACCGTCAAGACTCAATTCTTCCTCCATGTACTTAAGAACCAAGTCCAGGTTGCTGGACTTAGTTGGGATCTGGTGCTTTGGCACTGGGTTATTGGAAGAGTAGTTAAAGATGTACTCATCCCTATCAGACACTGGGGTCTTGGTGGCTAATTTCAAGAGCCTGTGCTCCAATTGCTCAGCGTCAACGTGTTTAGAAAGAGTCATAATTAGTGTAAACAACAAATTCTACAGAAAGGAAAATAAGGGGGAAATCCAAGCAATATATACTCTGTGGCTGCTCCAAACCAAAAGCGCAAGCATGGAAGTACTAGCCAGTGGGATGCATTAAAATCGGCTACCGGCAGTATTGGGGGTGTATGCGCAGAGGGGGCCCCACAGGGTGGTGGTGGCCTGACGGTACAAAACCAAGACTTATTGGCAGGGCCTATGCATGGAGAACCCAAAACGGGTACAATTGTAATTAATAGTTAACAAGGGTGGCTCCGCCTGGAAAAGCAATTATTGTTAATCTTAACATGGGGATTATGCACTGGGAACAATTGATATGCGAGCTACATTTTTGACGTATTGAGGGAAAATGCAAAAAGCTGTCAAAATGCGGCATGGAAGTCCGAATGGGAATGGGACTTGAGAAGTTGGGTTAGAATTTGAGAAGTTCCTCAATGAGGTTATTTGCTCTTGGCACTTTGGTTTTCTTGAAGCTTTTTGGTTTGTGGAAGCGCAAAGCAGAGAAGGAGTCGGTAGAGCAAGCTAGAAATAGCCGATCTCACTGAGGTTTGTGTGGTTATGTAGTAGGACACACAAGGGGTTCAGGGATCCCTGTAGAGCCAGAACGTGGTTGCGAGGAGTTTTAACAGAGTCAAGGGGGAAAATGGATGAAGCTATGGGACTTAATTTAAGCTTTAGCATTATACTTTATCTGTCACTACATGTCTGGTGGCCCAGTAGAACCAGGCAAGAAAGCCTCCAGCCTCAAAGCCATTAGAAGCGTACAAAACCAACGGTCCCGGGTTGTTCGGCTTCCTTCCAAGTCGGCAGCGGTAGATTCGGGTCAAGCCTCCATCTCGGGCGCCGCTTTGGACCGAGAATGAAAGATCTCGCCGGCTCGCTTGTCTGTAACGGTTATTGCGAAAGTGAGGAAGGTAATTTAAGAATACGGCGAGTTCGGACAGCCAACTGGCAGCACTGCCCTGGAGATTTATCCCTAGTGGGACAAAGACAAGCAGTCACGTTTAAACGTTTTGCCCTACTTTCGTTGACTCTAAAGTTGATCTAGCCATAGTGATGCCCTCAGAGCGCTCAGCCTCATCCCAGTACCACACCAACACTACTACACCGCTAACATACCCTACTTGGTCAATTTCTTCCACACTCTATAACTTCATCCTCCCGAACCCTACCCTCCACCCAACCAACTTCACCTCCCTTGTCTCTATATCTACCCCTATCTACTTGCACTGCCCACCTGGTACCATTGTTGAGGCTTTTTCGCAGCCAGCAGACATATGGCACGGCGCCGTATTGCCCTGTGCGTTTCATTTCCAGGAACAGACCCGGAAACACGTAAAAAACACGTATAATCATGATAAACAAAAACCACCAGAAAACAGTAACAGATCTTCCCAGCGTGGAGCCAACCGAGTTCTATGTCCCCCTCACCATCAATACTTTCTGCTCAACCACTCCACCAACCACAGTCGTCTACTACCTCTTCCAGCCCCTTGTTCTTGTTTTCTTCCACAATGTCATCTGACGCCTAACTCTGTTCACGGAAGCTTACTGGTTGGATGTCCAGGGCAACACAGCTCCAGCTTCGATAAGCCTCACCGTATTCAGGAACCACGTCGCAGCCAGCGCCTGTCAGAGGCATAACAATCAGCAGGTGCCGGCAATTTGCAACCGCCTCGTAAATGGAGGTAAACAAAAAAGTCAAAAAAAGAAGAAGAAGAAGAAATGGCAGAGTTTAATGTTAAAGTATATTGTAAGGGGAACAAGTGTTTGGGAAGGGATTGTTTCTCCTTTTTTAGTGTTGTGTTGGTCGGGCAATGTATTTTTATCTTTTTTTTCTACTGTACTGCTTCTTTTTTGTAACCTCGCCATAGTCTCTCTTTTTGCTTTTTGACCTGCCGCGTTTTTCGTTGATCGATGGCGACTGCACACACCCGCCCTACGTGGTTCTCACACTTAATAGGACACAACACGCTCTGTTTTTTTATTTTTTTTTTTTGTTGGACTTTTCTACCTCACAATCTTCAAAAGGTCTTTACGTTTATATTAACCTAATCACCCACCCTGCCTTCAGTGTATGGGAATTCTTCTGTTTTATCTTATTGGCCAGATTGTATATTTATTGAAAAAGAAGATGGAAAAATCCGCCCCAGCCGCTGGCTCCTCCTACGGTGCTAACAATGCCCAATCACTCACCAACTCGGGACCTTTGTCCATTGCCTGCTACTGTTTTGCGTCTATCTTGATGACCCTTACAAACAAGTACGTGCTTTCGAAGGACTTTAGCTTCAACTTTTTGCTTTTGGCTGTCCAGGGCATGACGTGTACTGCTATCATTGCTACCTTGAAGGCATTGAACATCATCACTTACCGTCCATTCAACAAGGAGGAGGCTAAGAAGTGGTTGCCAATTGTCTTCTTGCTTGTGGCCATGATTTACACCGGTTCCAAGGCCATCAAGGGCTTGTCTATCCCAGTGTACACCATCTTTAAGAACTTGACCATTATCTTGATTGCATACGGTGAGGTCTTGTGGTTTGGCGGTAAGGTCACCACAATGGTCTTGGGTTCTTTCCTTTTGATGGTTCTTTCTTCCGTCTTGGCTTGTTACGGTGACACCTCTGCCCTGAGAAGCGCAGAGGATGTCGCTTCCATGTACCACGGCTACTTCTGGATGTTTGCCAACTGTTTCGCCAGTGCCGCTTTCGTCTTGATCATGAGAATTAGAATTAAGTTGACCAACTTTAAGGATTTCGACACTACCTACTACAACAACTTGTTGTCGATTCCAATCTTGCTCGTGGCTACCTTTGTCTTAGAGGACTGGTCTCCAGAGAACATTGCCAAGAACTTCCCCCCAGAGACTAGAAACGCCACCATTACAGCCATGGTTCTCTCGGGTGCTTCTACTGTGGCCATTTCATACTGTTCAGCCTGGTGTGTGAGAGTCACTTCCTCCACCACCTACTCTATGGTCGGCGCTTTGAATAAGTTGCCAATTGCATTGTCCGGGTTGGTCTTTTTCGACGCCGCCGTCAACTTCTGGTCCGTCTCTTCCATCTTTGTGGGTTTCGTGTCTGGTTTGGTCTATGCCGTTGCCAAGCAGAAACAGCTGAAGGATAGCGCCCAGCAATTGCCTACCACTTCCAAATAAGGGAACACAGATCATTTCGCATTTCGTTAACACAGCTTATAGAACATTTTTTAAGCATCTTTGTAGATTATTTCTCGAATAAATGTATCTTAGCATCTACTCAGTAAGTTGCGGCCTGCACAACCCAGTGATGAACCTCATAGAAAAACACATTACATATAGTCAAGCACTGAGGGAAAAAAAAAGCTACCACCTTCAACCACTTAAACAAACCTAAAGAAAATGGCTGAAAACAGTTTGGAGACCATCTCTCAATACTTGAAAGAGTCCCTTAATCCAAATCATGCCAAACAAGCCGAATCGCATTTGAGATCAATTGAATCTCAACCTCACTTCGCCATCAACTTGCTCCATACGGTAGCTTCTACAAACTTGGAGCCTGCTGTGAGGCTTGCCGCTGCTCTTTTCTTGAAGAATTTGGTGAAGAGAAAGTGGGTCAACGAAGATGGCGAGTATATGTTGTTCAATGACGATGTTCAATACTTAAAACTGGAGATCTTGAATGTCATGATCAAGCTTCCAAACAACTTACAGATCCAGCTAGGTGAAACCATATCTATTATTGCTGAGCTGGACTTCCCACACAATTGGTCGAATCTTATTGATGATCTCGTTGCTAAGTTGTCTCCCGATGATTTTGTTTTGAACAGAGGTATCTTGCTTGTGGCACACTCCATCTTCAAGAAATGGAGACCATTATTCCGTTCAGATGAGCTCTTCTTGGAAATCAAGATGGTTTTGGACAAGTTTGCACAACCGTTTATGGCTCTCTTATCAAAGACTGACGAACTTATCACAGAGGCTGTGGCCCAGAACAATTCCGCTTCCGTTACCATCTACTTGGAATGCTTGTTATTGCTTGTTCAAATTTACTATGATCTTAACTGTCAGGATATTCCTGAATTTTTTGAAGATAATCTTAACACCGGTATGGGTATACTACACAAATATTTGGGCTTCCTGTCTAACCTCGTTGGCGACTCCAGTGACGATGAGGATGTCGATGTCTTGATTAAGGTCAAGACAGCTATAATCGAATTGTTGTCTCTCCATGTCACAAGATACGCTGAAGAGTTCGACCCATTGATTCCAAATTTTATTACCTCCGTTTGGGAACTTATCAACGTATATGTCACCCAGCAACCAAAATTCGACCTTTTGGCTGTGAATGCATTGGCATTCTTGACCTCCATCACAAAGATTGTGAAATATCAGACATACTTCAACAACGAACAAGCGATCAATGAAATCATTGAAAAGATTATTCTCCCGAATATCGCATTCAGAGAAGTTGACGAGGAGACCTTCGAGGATGAGCCTATCTCCTTTGTCAGATCAGACTTGGAAGGATCCGATTTTGATTCCAGAAGAAAGTCCTCCACCGATTTCTTAAGAGAGTTGAAGGATGTCAACACTGAGCTTTTGACCAGCACTGTCATGTCATATGTCAACCGTTTCTTATCACACGATGACTGGAGAAACAGGGACATTGCGATCTACTTGTTCACTTCGTTAGCCGCTAAGGGCTCTGTTACTAATATTGGTGTTACATCCACAAACATGCTCGTGGATGTGGTTAAGTTCTTCACCGATAACATTGCATCATACTTGACTGGCGATGCTACTCCAATCTTGAAAGTCGACGCCATCAAATATATCATGACTTTCAGAAATCAATTGACAAAGGATCAGCTCCTTACTACCTTACCGCTTTTGGTTGATCATTTGAAGCACTCCAATGTGGTGGTTTACACATATGCTGCTATCACTGTTGACAAATTATTGACGATGACCAGCTTTTCCGATTCCAAGCACACCCCTGTATTTAACAAGCTGGATATCCAACCTTTCGTCAATGATTTGTTGAGCAACTTGTTCACCCTTATTCTTTCCAACTCTGCCCCAGAGAAACTTTCAGAAAATGATTTCCTAGTCAGAGCTGTCATGAAAGTTTTGAACACAGCCGAGGATGTTGTGGAAGAGAGTTTTAAGTTGACCATCATTGAACAATTGCTTAAGATCTTAAGCATCATCGCAAAGAACCCCGCTAACCCCAGATTCACCCACTATATTTTCGAAAGTTTGGGTCTCTTAATCAAATACGGCGGCGGTAAAGATGATACGAGAATTAAAAAGTACACATCCTTGATTTTACCAGCTTTGTTAAATATACTTGGTGAAGACGTCCAAGAGTTTGTGCCATATACATTCCAAATCTTGGCTTACCTACTCGAAAACTTCCTGAAGGCTTCGCCTATTCCCGATGAGTACAAAACGCTTGTCAAACCACTCTTGTCACCTGCTGTTTGGGAATTCCGTGGTAATGTTCCTGGTATTACTAGATTGCTTGTTGCAATTATGGCTCACGACTCTACAGCAATTGCATCGAACTCTCAGGAGCTTGTCCCATTACTCGGAGTATTCCAAAAACTAGTTGCATCGAGGGCCAACGATACTTATGGCTTTGACTTGTTACAAGGCATCTTCTTATATTTCCCAATGGATTTGATTTCAGTTCATTTGAATCAAGTCGCAGTTCTTCTATTGACAAGATTGAAGACTTCTAGAACAGAGAAATATATCAAGCGTTTTGTCGTCTTCTTGATGTCGCTATGCTGCATTCCATTGAACGACACCCTCCATGCCAAAACGCAAAGTCAAATCAATTCAGGATTTGTCATTAATCTTATAGAGTCAGTTCAGCAGGGAGTGTTCCAGCAAATCACAACAAGTTTCATCTTACCCACAACCGAAGAATTTGCAAATTTGCAAGACAAAAAGATTGCCACATTGGGCTTATCACAGTTGATTGTCTCCGAGCAATTCACACAAGGACAATTCAAAGGTTTACTTCAACCAACAGTGGAGCAACTTTGTAAGAACTTGACTCTCTTGTCAGGCATTCTGAAGGGTACTAATGTTGCGGAGAACACCATCACTGGTGGACCCAACGCAGCTAGTGTCGCAATTAATGAAATTGACCTTGAGAGTGCCGCTTATGGTTCCAACTTCTCTAGAATTGTCTCGATTCTGTTGAAACCTTTCGATCCTGTCCCTCACGTCCAGAATGAAGATTTTAAGCAAATCAGGTTCCTTGCTGTTGCAAACATTAAGCGAGTAGGAGAAATTGGTGCTTTGAATCAGTTAAGTGACTCGGCTCAAGCAGTTGTTGCTGATGCCTCATAGTGGTCAACTTATTTTTTATTAAAATTACATGAACAAACGAATAGGAAGAAACGTCTAGGGAGAAATGAAATAGAACCATCGCCAAACCCATTATAGGTACTCGTAAAACAGTAGTCACTTTTTGTTGTCGGTGAGGATGACATCACCTAGCAGCTTTTGAAGCTCTCTTATGCCAATTAATGACTGTTACACTTAATTACCAGGCTCGCTGATGAGATTCTGGAAGATAGACTCCCCAACGTCTTTTTGCTCCACAGCTGAATGTTCAGTGGTAGCAGGGGAGGAGTGCTGAGTGTTGGCAGAAGAGCCGGATTCGGAAGTGTCACTTTTCTTTTGGGCGTCAGAGCCATTTGGCTTGGAATCTCCATCATCAGAGTTCTCCATGCTCTTCATCTTTTCCAATCTCTCCTTCTCAGCAATTTCAGCAGCTGTCAAGAAACGGCCACCTTGACCACGAGGACGTCTCATGGCATGCTTGTGCCTTGACTCGTGCAAGTATGGCTTTCTGGTTCTTGCAATCTTAAGCGTTTCCTCCAACTTGGCTCTGGCGATACGCCTCTTCAATATCCTGTGATACTGCTTAGCATTCACGTAGAACGGCTGCTCAGCAGGCTGATCCATTGGAGGCTGTGGAGGCATATGTGGCTGGGGTATCTGAGTGGGAGCAGGTCTTGGAGCAGCTTCTGGGATGACAGGAGCACCAGCGGTGATAGGTTCCTGCTGATAGTATTCATGATGAGGAGATTCGTTAGCATCGTAAGGTGGATGGGAGTTACCATTTTCGGCCTGGTAGAACTGCGGACGTTCGTGCTGGTCTATCTGGTTGTTGATAATGGCATGTTGTGGGACATGCGAGTTATAGTAAGTTTGGGGAAGCTGGTCGGCGTAATAAGCCCCTGGCTCTTGGTGTAGAGATGTCATTATGGAGCAAAACAGTGCCAGACTATTGCATTAACAGGGACAAGATGTCGGTGGATTGTAGAGCCTGAAGCAAAACCGGGTTTCTGAAGAAAGAGACGCTGAACTCTATATACTCTAGAGGAAAAATAGGATTTCGCACGCATCACCGTGTAAATCCAGATGTGCTGCCCTACCATGCAGGTCCTGCTATATCTAGACCTGACTGCCTGAGTCCGATCTCGGTATGGCAACGGTAAAAAGGTCAGGCAAGCAAGGTAGTGGAAAAAGGAAGGTTGGGTTAAATTTTGATTCTTTTGTTTTCCCTGGGAGTTTTTTGCTGTTTTGTAATTTTTCATGTTTTTCAGATTTTTCAGATAACTTTTTTTTTTTTTTTTTTTTTTTTTTCAGATCTCTTCACTATGGGCCCACCAAGGTACCACACAGACTACACCCATCACACTCATATTCCCCAAAATGCTAGTATTCTTATTCCTGTCTATTTACCTTCTGATTTCCTTTACTTCTGCGGAAACGTATCCCCAAGATCCATCTGGCGTGCTATGTAGCTTCGAATGAGATCTCGATTCACCTTACCCTCACCGTACACATCTTCGTCTTCTTCTTCCTCTTCCACACAGTCCTGCTGCATGGCTATTCTTTGCAAGAAGTAGTTCTTGCCTTTTCGATTTTCGTGTAGTATTCCAGCTTTGGGCTTAGAGATACGGTATTCGTCTTGCTGCGGCGCCCCACTATGTGCGAGTTGGACTGGCTGCGAAATCTGTGGTACCCCAGATTCTAGTGTCTCCTGGGCTGGGATGGTTTCTAGAAGCTTACTTGTTGCAAGGTCGTATGGTTCAGATAAGCGTCGGCGGATCTGGTTGTGTGGTTGTTGGGTTTCTTGTGTTTGTAGCAGATGAGTCAACGATGCGGGATCCACAGTAGTAGCCAATACTTGTTGCTCTGGCTTTGGAGGACTTGAGGAACTGGGGGTCTCTGAAGGTGGATCTTGCAGCTTCTTCTGTTTTTCAGGTGTTTGTCGTAGCGTTTTGCTTTCAACCACATGTTCTGGCCATGTACATTGCAACTCATTTGTGTTACAGTTTCTGCACTGTGGATACAGAGACTCGTCACACTTCTTCTTCCGCTTTCGGCAAGTGAAGCACCCGTTCCTAGAACGCTTCCTTGACCTCTTTTCCATCACAGACAGACAGACCTTGAAGTGGTTTCAGAGTAAAACTTTTCCCTGGTGAAGTTTTTCCCAAAGAGGCAAGTGCACACCGCGCTTAATTTTCCACATCAGAGTCAGACCACCAGAGATCGCTAAGAGCCGGATAACAAGATATGTATGGCCAAGACAGAAGACCTTTATGTGACGACGAAATGTTAGACATTATAGAGCAGGTTGTTCTGAAGGTACTTCCAGTAACTACTACAACACTTGGCTCCATATTCCAACGGCTTAGTTGAACAGGTCAGAATTCTCCAATTAGCGAAGCTCTCAAATCCACTTTACAAAGAAATCTTTGATCTGCTGGTTTCTTCAAATCTAGCAGATTTACAAGATGTGCAACTTTCATCACTAGTCTAGCTTACTATGGATGCTACATACTTAGCGAGTGCAGAATCGCGACTAACAATTTCTAACCACCAGCTCACCAAACAGCTATGGATAAGCGAAAAGGACTGACAGCGTCAGTCTCATCTCAATCTTCTGCATCAGCAATGCTGGTAGCAAGTATTCCAACAATGCAGAAGCTTATAGAGTTCTCTGTGGATGATGTGTTTGCACGTTATACTGTTCCTCAAGTGCAAAGGCTACATAAGGACTACCATCAAGATATCACCAAGGCAAAGGACGAGCTTCATTTGTTGGTTGGTGGTAAATACAGAGACTTGATTCGAATTGCTGAAGAGATTGATACGATGAGTGTCACTGCTCACAAGATAGACAATACGTTGGCTGACTTGTCTTTTCAGTCCTCTAACTACGTTGCATTTGGCAACAACAAGTTTTCCAAGTTTGATTCTGATTTAAGGAAACAAAATGTCAAGACTGCTCGTGAACAGTCCAAGAGGACTATTCTTAACAATGTTATCAACAATGAACTTATTGGGTATGACTTGAAGCTCCAGACCGACTCTCTCAAACGGACGCAGTCTTTGGTCCACCTTGCAAAGATATACTACACAATCGAAAAGCTTTTTGGCAATATACTTCTATCCGAAGACCACAGCGTCACGAGCTATGCTAAGCTCAAGCGTAACTTCGTGTCCTATCTAGAGAAGAAGCTTGCACTTTATACATTCACAGGTGATGCGGTTACGAATAACTCTCTTCTGGGTCTTGAGGACGTAATCCAGAAAACCGAAAACAAACAATGGCTCGAGGATGAATCTTTTGATTTCTTGAGTGAAGAGTTTGACGATGATGACTACCAATACGCTGATACCGAATCTTCCCGAAGTGACACATTGACGAGCGCTTCCAGTATACCCATAGTCAACTACATCCTTGCTTACATTATTGTCAATCATGATGGTGAAGAGACCAATTCATTGCAGTCAATTACCTCAAAGATCATAAACCTCAAATGGGCTCACTTGAGTTCTATTACGAAGGATGCCTTGCAACATCCTAATGCATCCAATATTAATTTCTACAAACTTTTCCGATTTATCGAGTCTGCTGCAATTTGTATAAATGATTACCTTGTCAACGACGGCGAAATCAAAACTCGTCTCAAGCAATTGAAAACGTGGAATGCCTCACAGCTTATTGGCTTTCACCATTGGTTCGAAGAAGACGAGATACACTTTGACATTCAGATGGATGCTACAGGATCTCCAAGCTACGAAGAATCACTCCAGTCTTACTACGATGACAGTCGTAACTTGCTTACTTCCTTTGTGTCTTCCTTGTTTGAAGCAAACCAACAGACTGAAACAGCTGCATCTGGGACTGTTATATTTTCCATCCTCTACAACCTTATGTCTGGAGCAAGTAAGGTAGGGGGTTTGGCCAACTATGAAGAAAGAGAATGCTACATTTCAAGCAGCATTTTCACAAATGAATTCATGTCTACTTCTATTAAATCAGCATTCAGAGGCTTCCACGAGGCTTCGCAAAGACATATACATACACTCACAGAGGGTGATGCATCGATATTACTGTCATTGAAGAGTCTGATGGCTGCATCGGAATCGGATGGTTGCCACAATGATGATTTTTTCTCGGATGAAATCATAAGTTCCATGGACGAAGATATCGAGACATATTTGACGAATATTCTGCGCCTCGGATCATACAAGACTGTCAGTCTTGAGCAGTCACATAATGGCTTACGTACCTGGCTCCGTGCCATGAAAACGATCTTGCTGGAAACCAAATCGTCAGATAATAATGTCATTGGCAAGATGCAGCGTCTTGTCGCCAAGCTGGGCCTGGATTCTTCCGTGAAGTCACAAAGCACAGCTCTTTCCGAAAGTGTCAGCAAAGGTAACGACACCATTACTAAGGATCTTGTTGCACAGTTCGACATTTTTGTCACAGACCTCACAGGCATGCTTAAAGACAATCAGGGAAAAGATGTTATCTTTGGCATACTAAGCCTAGTACTAGAGTTGAAAGACTTCATCTTCAGAGTCTTTCAGAAAGACACTGGTTCGATTGTCTCACGCATTGACTCCTTGTTGGCTGATCTTTACAACAAGGCCCTTTCATCTGCATTGAACTCAAAAATGGATGAAGATTCAGTTGGCGATCATCTTATTTCATCTATTAGAGCAGCTAATGTTAATGAATCTGCTGACTTGCCATCTAGAGCTGATCCTTCAGTGCACTCAATCTTGTTCGGCTTTGTGGAAGAGCTCCTTGACCTGGACCAGTTCCAACAACAGAGAGTGATCTCATATTTCACTAACAAGCATATCAAGGATATTTTCGCCAAAGAAAAGACAAAGCTTTTGTTAAGCGTGATTGACAAGGCTCTTGAGTATCCTGAGACTACGAAATCCAATGCTGAAACATTATCATCCGAGTCACCTAAGGATAATGATGAAGAACTTGAGCAAAATGGGTCGTCCAATAAATCTGCGGGAGAGAAGAAGTTACCCTCCTCACAAGTACAACAGACGCTCGCCAACATCATATTTGTGCTTAACTTTACGAGGACTCTGACCGTGAAAGCTGGCGACGATGCCATCCAGTCATACTTGAGCAAGCTCAATGATAAGGCTGAGCTGCCTATAGAGACTTCAAGCATAGAGATAATAGCGAGAGGAGTAAGCGAACAGTTTAAAGCTAGCAAAGATTTGTTCCTTCCCTTGCTGGCAACCTAGTTGTCTATAGATACTAATACAAATAAATTTTTGCCCCACCATCTGCCAAGTCTTTGAGTACCTCTATAGTCTCTTGAATATGCCATATGTTTTGAAGCTTTTGATCGAGATAAGAATTGTCCACGAGCACAATCTTAACCTCATCCTTGGACAAACCCAGTTCTTCAGCAGCCAACACCTTGGCAAGTCTACCTGGGGTGCAGCAAAGAACACGAGACCAAGTGGTAGATACAAGCTTAAGGTCAACATGAAGCTTGTTCTTGTTAATGAGTTTAAGAGATGATCCTGGAATTTCTCGAAGAGCACGGTGCACATCGCAGGCTCTAATGGCGGACATAGACATAATGGCAATGAACTTACGCTCTTCCTTAGCATCTCCATTAGATGCCTTCTGTTCTCCAGAGTCTTTGCCTTTCTTGTTCTTCTTATCCTTCTTATTCTTACTGTTCTTCTTGCCTGGAGTTGTAGAAGGAAGCATATTGCCGAACCTGTTGTTGATAAACTTTGACAAGTTATCAAGTGTACGTGGCTCATCAAATTCAGCAGATGATCTGAAATCGGTCTTCTTGAGGTAAAGTTCAGACAACTCTAGCGCTGAGAGCTCGGTATTCCTTTTCCTAATAACGTCGTTAACATAGTCACTTATAACATCCGTAGAAGATTCAGTAGACAAGTCTTTTTTTCTTTGAATATCCATATCCATCTTAATCTTCTTCTTTTCCTGTAATTTAGGATTCTTGGTTCTCTTCTTTGAGTTTTCCTTAGGACTGGTCTCATCTTCTGAGGCATCTCCTTCTCCACCATTGCTTGCAACGATCAGCTCATCCTTAACAGGTACTGTTTCCGAATCCGAAAAATCAACCTCATATTCAAGCCCGTCGTCTAATTCGTCTCCAGCCATTTCTTTAGGTGTATATGGTAGTTCGATGAGATGAGTTACTAGCCTTATCAGATCTGCGCGAAACGAGATGAGTATAGATGGTCCTTAACTACTAGGCATGTTTTCTCGAGTAGCCCGCCTACGTATCCCCAAGAGAAGCATAACAATAAATGCCGAGCTATCAAGGAAACTAGAAAGTGCTCAGCATCATCCTGTGATCGTTGTTGGCGGTGGACACGCTGGATGTGAAGCGGCCACTGGATCGGCTCGTGCTGGTACGCCCACCACCCTTATTACACCTCAGATAAATAAAATAGGAACAGCATCATGTAACCCGTCCATGGGTGGTATTGGAAAGGGAACTTTGCTACGAGAAGTGGACGCTTTAGATGGTGTGGCACCAAAAGTCACGGATAAGGCTGGTATACATTTCACTATACTTAATGCGTCTAAGGGAGCAGCGGTCCAAGGCCCAAGAGCCCAGATCGACAGAAAGATATATCTTGAAGAAATGCAGAAGGTGATATTAAATTATAAGAACCTTAATGTGCTTGAAGCACTGGTGGAGGATATCATCATATCACCATCAGAGGTCAGTAACGATAACCAAGGCAGATCCTATGGAACTGTTAAAGGTGTGTGTCTTAACGATGGTACTGTTTTAAGCTGTGATGGTGTTGTGATTACAACGGGAACGTTCCTTGGTGGCGAGATCCATATAGGTATGGAAGTGTTTCCGTCTGGAAGAATGGGTGAAGATGCCACTTTTGGTTTATCAAAAACACTCAACGAAGCTGGGTTCAGTCTTGGAAGGTTGAAGACTGGAACACCACCACGTCTTTCTTCAAAAACTATAGACTATTCCAATTTGGCTCCTCAAAACTCGGAAAATCCACCACAACCCATGTCTTTCATGAATGAGAAAGTGGCGCTTCAGGATCAACTAGTTCAGTGCCATCAGACATTTACAAATCCCGAATTCCACGACCTTGTGGCAAAAAATCTTGATAAAACTATTCACATTCGTGAGACGGTCAAAGGGCCTCGTTACTGCCCATCGATCGAATCGAAGATAATCAGGTTCCCTCTGAAGACGTCTCATATAGTTTGGCTCGAGCCGGAGGGATTAGACACTGATATTGTATACCCCAACGGTATCTCATGTACATTACCGGCTGAGCTCCAGGAGCAAATGGTAAGACTTCTCCCTGGGTGTGCTAACGTTACTATGGTTCAGCCTGGTTACGGTGTGGAGTATGACTATGTCGACCCTAGAGAACTTAAGAGAACTCTTGAAACAAAGTTGGTTCATGGGCTCTATCTTGCAGGTCAAATTAATGGTACCACTGGGTATGAAGAGGCTGCCGCTCAAGGATGTGTTGCGGGTATCAACGCTGGACTTGCACTGGCAAACAAGCCTCCTTTGGAACTTTACCGGTCTGATGGATACACGGGTGTTGTAATTGACGACCTTATCACAAAGGGAGTCGAGGAACCTTATAGGATGTTTACTTCCCGGTCGGAATTTCGTTTTACAATGCGTGCGGACAATGCCGACCAGAGACTCACTATGAAAGGCTATGAGGCCGGTGTTGTCGGTGAGGAGAGATTTCAGCACTTTTCCAAAGAAATTGACCAATACAATAAGATTAGGTCCTTTTTGAAGGGTATCGAATTGTCAGGAGCTCGCTGGGCACCTGTTCTTGGCAACCTCGCTGATAAGGTCAACAAGAAGACAATGGTGGACGGTTGGAAATTGTTGTCATATCACGATGTGACTCTTGACCACATTTTACCCAATCTTCCCAAGGTCGTTCTTGGAGGGGCTCTTCCAGAGTATTTCGATAACTTATCAAGATGGCAAAAGCAGAGGATAGACGTGGAAAGTCGCTATGAGCCATGGCTCAAGAGAGAAGAACGCCATATTCGTGCATTTGAAGCAGATGAGAATTTGCTCCTCCCAGAGAATTACATCTACACCAACACAGGTAAACTCAAGCTTTCCAACGAAGCTTGCCTGATGCTCAACATGGTTCAACCCAAGACAATTGGCCAAGCCAGAAGAATACAGGGTGTTACACCGGCTGCAATTTTCGAGCTTTATAAATTAGTGCACCAAAAGCAGACACTTTCAGGAAATGAGAAATCGTCCGCTCAAGAGGTGCACTTGTAAATAGCATTAAAAGTATTTAATAATCGTCATCATTGTCATCAAGAGACACCTCAGTCTCAGAATTAGTTTCCAGCTTTTGAATCTCGCTGAATGAAGCAGTATCTTGTGCTAGGTCTTCGGTCTTGTCCTCGCCATTCTTCAAGAGCTCCATCTGCTTGAGTTTCTTTATCGTCGATTGCTGCAAACTGTTATCTAAAGAAACAAGTGTCTCCAATGGAAATAGGTCATGAGCGAGTTTAGCCACTCTCTTCATCTCGGACGTGGAAAATGATGGCATCTTCACACGATTTAGGTATAATACAGCATCTTGAATGGCAATACGCTCAGAGCCCCTATGCTCAGCATAGGCTTTCAAAGTTGACATGGTTTGTTGGAGGAAATCGTTTGAGCTTTTCAAAACCACCTGTAATAGGGCCGGTGGTAATCTGTTGATCTTCGGCTTTTTCTTGCTGATCCAGCCGGACCTGAATGGTCTGGTAAGTGACTCACAGTACTAACCATCCCCTTCAAGAGGTATTTGGGGATTGGTAATGCATTCGCCGAACGAGTCCGTTTCGTGCCGCTCGCAACAGTGATACGACGGTTACTGGACTGCTTTGACGTTCCCTTAGCTTCTCTTGGTTGGTCGTCATCACTCAATGAAAGACCAGGCTGTAGCTGAAGGGCAGGGTTATCTTCTAGATCGTCGTTGTCTATAGTGAAATGACCCAGAATGATTCCTTGATCTGAAGATGGATGCTGGGGAATATCATCGAAATCATCTTGGAAATTCATGGGTTGCGGCGATTCATGCTTCTCGGGAATTATCAGCATTGAGTCTAGCTGGGAAGCGTCGAACCTGTTGGCATCATCGTATTCGTAGGTTTCATACTCTGGGGTTTTCTGTAAGTCTAAAGATGGCCGATGGGCCCTTCTGGGTCTAGTCAATTCAGGGGCTTTGTAGTCACCCTCACTAGATTCCTCGTCATCGGTGTGAATTGCATTTTCATTCACAGCAAGCGGTTCAGCTAATTTGATATTGAGCTCGTTGGGAGATTGTTGGTTATCTGTGAACTCCGGTAGTCCTTGGATAGTATTCTCAATGACAAACTTTGATGTGGAGATAATATCGTTGACACCTTGAAGGTCATTCTCAACGTCTTCGGGAGATTCATTTTCAAACATTGATGATCGTTTCCTGCTTTCTAGAATACGCTCAAGGTAAGACTTGAAGGCCGGCTTCTTTTCTGGCTTAGGAACTGCAGCTTTAGGCGTGCCAACAGGCGACGGGCTCACTTGTTCGACCGTCAGTGGAGGCGATTTCATTGCATCGTCAGAAGGCAACGGCAAGGAGTAGTCGAATTCACTATACCGCGTGTGGTCCTGAGGACTCAAGGAATGTAGCCGGTGTTCATGATCTAGCGCCTGGAAAACCTTCTCACTTTCATACTCAGGCGGCGCATGGTGCTGGTCATGTAGCAATGCTCTGGAGAAGTTTCGAAGAAAGTCTTTGGTGATGGAGCCGTGGTAGCCGGAGACATATGTAGCACCCGTAGAGGAACGTCTCTTACGTCTCACCGTGAGATGATCACTCAAACGACGAGAGCGTGGGGTCGATAGAACCGACTCATGACGTGAATTAGGTCCTGAACTGCGTCTGGACAGGTGTATCAGGGAATGCTGGGACAAACCGGACTGCCGGCGGCTAGTGTCTGGCCTTTGTGAATGTGGAGCATCTGGAGTTTTCCAAGTTGGAGGCCGTCCCAACACCAGCGTAAGATCATCAGGCGGAAGCGTAACAAAACTAAGTCGTGAGCGGGCACTCAGCGGTACCAGCAAAGATGTGTTTGTTGGAGGTCTTGTTCGTAGGGGAGTGGAAGGTTCGGTGCGAGCATGCTGCTGCTCCCTGGGCGGCGGCAGCAGAGGCATTTGGAAAATAATATATTTATGGAGTCAGAAAGAAATTGATTCACAAGTACGGAAATATCTCTTGATATATAGTGGCGCTTTGTTGTATCAGGGTATGTAGGAGAAACGCATATGTGATGAGAGAGTATGTTTTGATTAGGGTAGCGACGTGCAGTAGCTGTTGATGTCTCAGTTGCAGGGCGCATGGATACGAGACGAGAAGAGAGAATGTGAATATCGTCAAAGGACTGGGGGCTGGCCGATGAACAAAGTTTAATTAGTATTTTGGTCATTAATAGTCCCGGTATGTTTATCCCTGGGTTGGTTTAGACTTCTTCTTTTGCTATCACCTCGGGTATCTAAGAATCTGCGTGGTTGCTATTCTGAAACCAGGGCGTTGAACGGCGTTGACTCTGGTGCGGTAACAAGGACACACAAAGAGGCAGCGAGATAAGAAAGCATAAAGATGAAACAGAAGCAAACTGGAAATGTTTCATACACAAGCGACAATGGCAGAATTCCCCTGTTTATTTTATTTTCTTTTATTTTCTTGTCAAGTATGTTGAGTACTGGACTGTCTGTGCCATTGTGGTCGAGACACCTCCAAGCGAGATTTGCAGCCATTGGCGGGGTGGCCTCGACGAAGCCACAGACGAAAAAGGTAAAAAATGGATTCGTCATTGTTAGAGGTAATGTAGGTATTTGACAGCGGTGCATTGATCCCACGGCTTTCTTCGGCTTATGTTTATTGGTATAAAAAAAACTGGACAAGGGTCCTCGCACATGCGTGCTTTTGACTAACGCTTACCACCATGACTCGTCTAAGTATGCGTCTGCCCCCAGATCACAATGGATTGGTGTTGCTGCCAATTAAGGATACGAAATGCATTTAAAAATCCCGAAACCCCCTAGGAAATTCTTGCCGTGTGACATTCCATTGACAAAAAAAAAAAGTAAAATAAAAATGGGTTCCGTTCCAGATTTCCATGACTTCCACACTTCAGGGTCTCAGAATGGCTGCAAACCAGCAGATCTCAACTGGTTACCCGACTCTTCAGCCCTTCAGCCCTTGTAAGCATGACAAATAAAAGCCAGCCAGATGGATTTCGTTATCGGCAAGGCTCGGGGCCGATCGGTTCTTCCGTTATTCAAATTGTAAAACCGTTCCCTCTCGTCACAGCTTCTTCTTCTTGCAGGGGCCTGTTTCAAGTTCTCATATCGATCCCGCCGATCGCTTTCTCTCTTGCGGGCTTGTGCCAGCTTAATGTTTAACGCTTCAAACCGTTCTCTCTTGTCACAGCTTCTCTTCCGTGCTGGAGGGAGCCCAATGTCCCTGTAAACGCCGTGCTTCTTCTCAGCCATGGTTCATGAGGGTTATGGTGGCACGAACGTGGATTCTTCGCCATTTATAGGTGGTTTTTGCTCTTCTTCTGGGCCAGCAGGTTTAAATGGGATCTTGGCTGGAGTCTTGTGCGCTTTCATTCGCTCAGCGTTTGGGACAATGGGGGTTGTCCATATCGTTAGGCAATTCTTGGCGGGGTCCAAAAGTGGTTTTGAGTGTGTTTTCGGGATATTGTGGTATTCTACCGATATTATTTAGATAGCCCGTATTAAGCAACTGTGGACCCTCTTTGCCGCTTCACAGGGGGGATGTGACTCTAATTCCAAGCTGCTATAGGTTTTGATGGACCCTGTTGACCAAAATGCTAGGCATGTCCCGTATACGCACCGAGGACTCGGACTGAAAAATCAGCTTTCCGTGAACCAGACTCGGTCGAACCATTTTTTACATTTTCTTGCGTTCCAAGCAATCTTCCATATCTACTTTTCTTCATTAGAACACCTACTAATACCTCTATCCCTCTCTTACTGACCTTTATCATGGCAGCCTATGGCCTGGAGTGTATGGCCGCACCCAGACACCGCACTTGCTACTACAACACAATTATCATCTCCTCTAGATAAGCTAGCCATGGAGACACCTTCACATGGAGACAGCCTTTTGACGGCTCTAGTGGCCGGCTGTTCGTCAGCAGGTTTTGCAGCATTTGTCACTTTCCCGCTTGATTTCTTCAAAACAATGCACCAGTTGGATAACTCTGCGCAATTGAAGAAGTTCAATGCGCCTGGCTTCCAGCCGTCGGCAATCAACCATATCATGAAAGGTAGCAGTGCTTTGGTGACGGGGAATGTCATGAAAAACTTCACCCGTCTCTTGCTGTACAATTGGGCTTCGAATTTCATGGCCATGGAGTCAAGAAACGATACCAAGAGGACTAGTGCTCCCCGTGTGGTCATTGCCGGTGCCATGAGTGCTACGATGGAAACTGTGTTGATTATTCCAACAGAAAGAATCAAGATCACAATGATCCAGAACCAGATCTTGGCCAATGAGATTGCCCACTTCCCAGAAAAGAACATAGACATCACTGGTGTTGAAAAGCAGCATCATAAACTGGTCCAGAGCATCTTCTCCAGACAATATGTCTCTCCACACGCCTACTACACCACTGGTCTTCTTTCACAGCTCAAGTCTGGTAAAAGCGGTCAGAAATTCCTGTCAGCACATGCTGTTAGATCACCATCTGCTCTTGACGCTCTCAAAACAGAGTTTAACAAGACTCCAGCATTGACCCTTCTAAGCACTATTCGTCAAATGTATGCCCTTCAAGGCATTCAGGGCTTCTTTTCAGGTACATTCATCACATTTGCTCGTCAGATCGGTTCGTCAGCAGCCTGGTTCTCGACATACAATGCTACCAGACAATTAATAGACCCACACAACAAGCAATCGGATGAGCAAAACTGGTTCAAGTTCCAGCACTCTGCCTGGCAGCTGATAGGTCTCCATTGTATATCTGCAGCTGCGGTTATTGCTCTTACCCAGCCTCTTGATGTTATCAAGACTAACATTCAATCGAAGAACGGCAGCATGCTTTACAAGGACTCGCTTTCCACCGCTTACAAGTTGGTGCTTAGAAAGGGCTTCAAAAGTTTGTTTTCGGGTGCCGTTCCTCGTGGTATAAAAATTGGTATCAATGGAAGTATCACCGCTTTCTTCTATGGCTGGATTGACAATGGCATCACCACACTTGCTACGAAAACGGTGTTTACCGATTAGTTCATGCATTTTCAATATAGACTGGCAAGAGGATTTCACCACTCTTGTGTTTCACTCCATTGAAGTTTTTTGCCAATAGAGACCCTGCTGAACTCGGTTGGCTGAAGGCTACCTCGTTTGGTTTTAGGGTAAGGCCATGCACCAGATATTTGCATACTGCCTCTAATAGATGATTTCCGAGCCCTAGACGTCTCCATTTGGGAGCAATCCAGATCCTCGAGATACCTAAGCGGATCAGTTGGTTAACTTGACGAGGAACAATCTCTTGTGTCCTAAAGACCATCCATTTCCCTTGGTGTTGCACGTCAGAGATGGGTTCTGTCACGCAAAGACCAACAGCCAAACCCTTTACAAGAACCACAAAGGCGTATCCGGGGATGGACTCTTGTGTTTGGTTCTTCCATGCATTATTAGACGGTGGGGCATCGAGCTCTTTGTTAACGAACTCTAGTAGCTTCTCAACACGCGCTACTTCTGAAGCGATGCCACCATCAACCCGTATTATTTCAAAAACAGAATCTTTCGCTTCTTGTCTTAACCGTAGTTTCTTGAGTACCCTCGACTTCAGACCCCATTTGATGCCATTCACAAAGCCCACATGGTACTTTTGGTGAACTTCCTTGTCCTTCTTGAGGTACGCGTAATAGGCCATTCCACATAGCTTGCATGTCGTAGCGTTTGTGCTAGACCCACCAGGGAAGCTCAATATACTCTGTGATTTCCGAGAAGGTTCATTTCCTGCCATGAAACGATCCCAATTCTAAGCTAGCCAAAGTTTAAGCAGTTTCAAATGGAATGGGAAAATGAGGTGGTGCAGGATTCACGAAAATCTCCGGGCCCCAGGTTTTTGGTATTCCCCAGAAAATTTCGCTTGACATCACCACCACTATACAATGGCTTCCAGATACGCCAACCTCCTTCCAGTGAATGGAAAATGGAAACAGCAAGTTACCGATTACTTAACCGAGGACGTTCCTTCTTTTGATTATGGTGCTTTTGTCGTTGGAGACAAACAGGAAACAGCTTCCTTGTATATGAAGGGCGAGGGCTTGATCAGTGGTGTTCCATTCGCTGCTGAAGTGTTCAAGCAATGTGAGCTCGAGGTGGAATGGCATTATAAGGAAGGCCAATACGTGTCAGAAAACGATTTGGCTAAACTGAACGGAAAGATCGTTGTAGCTACTGTCAGTGGTCCTGCTAACAAGATTCTCCTTGCAGAGAGAACAGCACTTAACTTGTTGGCTAGATCTTCCGGCATTGCTACCCAGTCTCACGTTACCAAGAAGCTTGCTGATGAGTCTGGCTACAATGGCCTTATTGCAGGAACAAGAAAGACTACCCCAGGTCTCAGACAACTTGAAAAGTACTCTATGCTAGTGGGAGGAGTGGATGCTCATAGATACGATCTTAGTTCTATGGTCATGCTTAAGGATAACCACATTGCTTCTACTGGAAGTATTACTGAGGCTGTCAAGAGTGCAAGATCGGTCTGTGGTTTTGCCGTGAAGGTCGAGGTTGAAGTTAGCACAGAGAACGATGCAAAGGAGGCTATCGATGCTGGCGCCGATGTCATCATGTTGGACAATTTCAGCGGCCCAGACTTGCAAAAGGTTGCTCAGAGTTTGAAGAAGCATTACGAGGGTTCAAACAAGAGCTTTTTGTTGGAATGCTCTGGTGGCTTGACATTGCAAAACTTGAGTACATACTTGTGCAACGACATTGACATTTATTCGACGTCGTCCATCCACCAGGGATGCAAGATTGTGGACTTTTCCTTGAAAATTAATGCCTGATCACCGAATCGATGATATGCTTTTAAGCTCAATACTTTCAAACCCCGTGTTGAACCCCAACACGTCATTTACGTTATCTAGAACTTTAGAGGTTGTAGGATCGAATTCCACGAGGTTCTCTTCGTCTGTCTCCTCAATAGAAATGCCATCAAGCGAATCAGCTCGGCGTAGCGATGTAGGTAGTTCACCAAATGAGTGATTATTCAACAGAATACCCGAAACACTAGTGAATCCAGAAGCAACACTTTGTTGCTTAAGAGCTTTGTCTGCTGCTGGTTCATAAACCATCAGCGAATGTGACTTTTTACCTAGACACCTAACAGCCCGAATATGTGAATCTTTTCCGTCCTGGTGGTTGGCCAATACGATGATCCGAACAACAAAACATTTCAAGAGCCCATCGGCTCTAACACCATTAAAGACAATATGGGACCAGCCAATTGGTTTTTCTAGTTTCACCACACAAACGTCAGTCAAGTCCCAAATCGATCCGCCCGCCATCACCTTAATTTTCAGCGGTGTATACGATTCGTCCAACTGGTAGTTGGTGAATATGCAAATGCGCTCCAAAGACACTTTCTTGGAGAATTGAAGGGTGATAGAATGAGGGTGACTAAGCTGTCCACCATCATTAGTCTGATGTTCCATGTTGTTTCCTGAACTTCCATCAGATTGCCAATATAGATCAGGAGTGTCAGCTCTCAACTGGGGGATACCGTACCCCTTCTTGAACGACGAAAGTTTCCACGTCGCTAGTGGAGAAAGATCTAGAAGCTGAAGATCTTCAAGGTCCTTCTGACCATTCTTATAATATGTATGCTGCTGTTGTTCTAAGGATGGAGGTTCATGGGAGACTTCTGCCTGGCTATTATCCTGATATCCTTCGTGCTCTGTTGATCTGATGTTATGTTCTAGAACGTCGTCATAGCTATCAAAAGGCATTTCTCGTTCCATTATGGAGGAACTTATAACAAGAATTGCCAGACTTTGGAGGGATCAGCTTGCAAAGGTAGAAATAGCTGAGACTGATCTTTGAACAATAACGCGGCTACACTACTCGCACTAGCAGTTGATGGGAGGACTACCACCAGACTTACACTATATTTTCTCCATGTTTATGTGAATTGTAAAAGAAAGTATGTACGTTATAATTTACTAGAGTTCAATTTCGGTGTGTTTGTCGGATTTCTTGCTTTCCTCTGTCGTAGAGGCGGTCGTTTCATCCTTGGCTTCTGGGACTTCTGTGGTTGAAGAGGCTTCCTCTTCCTTAGACGGACTCTCCTCGGCAGGTTCATCAGCTTGCACAGTCTTGGTCTCTTCGGTCTTGGAGCTGTCATCAATCAAAGTTTCTTTTGGGAGCTCAACGGAGCTTTCCATGTTGACGAGCTTGGTATTACTGCTAGAAGCAGCCCTAGTGGAGAAGCATCTCCTGGACGTGCGAGAGGCTGCTTTCTAGGAACCCTCTGTGGTGTAAATGCAGTTTGGAATTTGTCAACATTAGGAATGCTGTATCTCTTCAAGGCTCTTCTCTTCAAGGCTTCAATGTAAGTAATCTTACCCTTAAGCTCAGCACCAAACTCGGTACCTTCACGGTCCAAGAATGCAAGTTCGCCATTGCCTTCGTCTTCGTCACCAATCATGTAGTCATCGTTCTGGGCACTGTCCAAGAAACCGTTATCGGCGTTAGATTCAGACTGGTCGATTTGGTAGTTGCCGACCTCCAAGTCGGTTATGAATTGGAATAAGAACTCCTGTAAGTTGGTTGCAATGACAATCTTGGTGTCGAAATCACGACCGTACAAGATTATTTGACCACGCAAACCAGCAGGGCCTGGGGCCAAGTCAAGGCCGATCAAATTACCACATGGGTCTTTGACGAGGGGAACCCACCCGCGGTGAATGTAGTAGGACTGAACGGCATTAACAGGAACGGACTTCTGGTGAGCAAGGAAGCTGTTTAATTGTTTTTCATTTTGAGAAAAGGAGGCCGAAGTGGACTCTTCAGGCAAGCTCTTCTGGTGGTTGACGGCAATAACCTGCTTCTCAATTCTTTCAGCCACCTTAGCCCACACAGCGTACTCCTCCATAATGCTCTCCATATCTAAGAGGCTTAGGCCCATAATCAAGCCGGTTGGTTTACCGCCACGAAACTGGCCGTCGTGAAGCTTCAAAAACTGACGAACCTCTACGGGCAAAGGTCCAATAGCCAAGTCTCTCTCGAACTCATTCAAGTCAGCAGTGGAGGCGCCATCGTTCAAACTGTCCTCCAACTCGGGGTATTCTTCTTCCAACCATTTCTCAATCCTTTCCCATAAAGCATCAACCGAAGGCAAAGGTGGGAGACCGTCACGGTTCAAGGTCTGCATTTGCACGTCACTGCCAGTTTGGTTGATCAAATTGGTCGACAGCGACCTCAACCCAGGTCTGTAGCCGGTAACGTTGGTCGTTGAAGCCGTACGGGAACCAACAAGCGAGTGGCTCAGCGAGTTATTCAAATCAGCTAATCTTGCAGTGGAAGAAGTGGGATCAACAGAACCACCAGCGGTGGAATTCTTATAAGGTGACCCATAACTGGCGTAGTGGTCGTCTGTGGTGACAGAGTGCCAGAAGGACTTGACGCTATCGAAAAACCCCATACTTAAGGCGTGTTGATGGGTATTGAGTAACTTATACACGAGTGTCTGGGGGTAAAACGGTGTGGTATATCAAGGCGGTGATACGTTCTTTGTGTTTCTCGCGGTAGCTTCTCTTGATTTTTGCATGAATACGGTCAGGAGGTTTGTGCAGGCCGGAGACTTTCGCAGCCAATATAGGGAGTGAGGGAGGCAGTGACTCGAGAGGTGAAGAGGCACGTTTGTGGTATAAGAGGGGCTTTTTCGAGGAGAAGGGGGAAGAAGTATACTTCAATTTACTTAAAGTTGTTTCCACTCAAGGTTCGTTTATTATGGCATTTTTTTAGCCTCTTTGGAAGACGTGTCTCGTTGAGTGTTCAGTATGGGACCCTCTTTTCTTGTCTCGCCGCGCCTCTTGACAGATACCAAAACAGCAAGCAAAGGCGGTTTTCACTGGGCAAAACATTGGGTATTTTTGGCAGGACAAGAAAACTAGTAGGGGAATGGTGCTTTAGCCTGCTAAAGCATTTGGTGGTGGTTGGAATTCTTCATATTTAGCGAAAGTGGGTTATATTAATGGCTGCAAAATATTCCTTGGTGGTGGTGTGATGTTTAAATTCTCTATATTGACTGTACCTACTGGGTACCACGGGACGACAAGTAGCCTGCGACCTCCTCTCCAAAGTATTCCTCAAGAAGTGGTCTATGGTTCTTGAAGTCGAGATTGGTGATTGCCACACTGGCTTGCACCAAGTCATAATTAATTCTCTCGTTGACCTTGGAGTCATGCTTGTAGTCAGGATGCCTCAAGACGAAGTTCCTGAGGAAACGTGCAATGGTAGGGATCTTTCCAGAAGCCCTGCCGCTGATGAGTTTCAAGTAGTTTCTGATGAGTTCTAATTCTTTTGCAAACTGCCGGCTCTTGCAATGGTGGCTCTTGTTCTGCCAATTGGCAGGGATAAGATCAGTGGCTATCAATTTCACCACAAGCTTGATGAGACCTGGGAAGGTGTCCAGACCGTCTATGAGCTCCAGAGCACTAAGTTTCACGTCATTACAAGCATCATCCTCGATGGTGCCGTTTTCACTCACGTCATTGTTCACTTCAACGTAGCCATTGAGGTAAACTCCATTATCATCAAAAAGATCGTTCCCATCATTGACAAAACGGTCAAACCATGTGAGGTCGTACCCCTTGAAGTCCTCGTTGTTAAGACGCCACTTGGATGGATTCCTGAACCAAAACTTGGCATCTGTCGAAGCATCAACTCCATGAGCAATCTTCATGTTCTTATCAACCTTCGAAATTGGAGTGTAGAAATTAGGGTTGAACTTGAGAATAGCCTTGCTGACCAACGTGGTGAAAACGGAGAAGGCAGCGTTCTCAAAATCTGTAAGCTGAATCTCGAGTGGTCTGAACTCAACTCTCCAACCAGGCTTCTGAGAAAGATTCTCGGCTTCCGGATATAAAGCCGGTGGCTTGAATCTCAATGTCTGCCAGTTTGTGGATTGAAGGTTCTCGAAGTGATCATTGTCTAGCGTGTTGTCCTGATTGACTCTCTCGCTGAAAATAACGAGAGGATCTCTAATAAAAAGATGAGCAAAGTGATGAGCCAAGAGTGGGTCAAAGTACTTTGTCGATGCGAGCTTGTCGTAAACCTTCTTGTTCACTGGCGAGTAAATGTCGTTGTAGGAATTATTGAAGTATGGCTCGTCGTGGTAGCCATGGTCTCCCAAGTATGTATCGATCGACTCGTATCTTGACTTTGGAACCTTCTGTATAGGCTTACCATCGAGTGTTTTGATGGTGGTGTCACCATACTTGTTAATTATGTGATCACCATTTACACCTGGGCCACCTCCAAGCTTCTCAAAGTGCTCTTTAACTTCGCTGGTAACATCCAATCCACCAAAGAAGTCAGATCCTTTGTAAGGTTTAATGTCACGCTCCAAGAATGTTCTATCGTCAACAGCCCCGCTGATGACATTCCAGCGAACATCCTGGTTAACTAAAAATCCTTTGAAGATAGGAGCAGCGGCCGATACAGCCATGAGGATTGGTGTGAGTGGTGCCAAAGCGTCATACAAGTACCTCGCTTGGTGAATGTCTGATGGCTGCACCGTTATCTGAAGACAGGATGAGCCCATACCGAATCCCATAGAGTCCATGTACACATGTCCAGGCTGAGAAGCACCAATGAAAGGCTCTTCATCCGATGGAAACAAGTCACGCTTAGGAATGCTATCGTCGATGAGCTTTGTATGAATGTCTGGATAAATTGGCAAATTAATAGCAACCTTGTGGCCTCTTCTCTTCCTGATATTTGCTGTAAGCGTAGGAAACCTGACATGTCTATTTATTATTTCGTCAGGTAAGAAGAGCGACTGGGAAGCTGGGCCAATAGGTTTCGCCTTGGGTGAGGTAAACTCACCACATCCCATGCGAGGATAAGTAGTCAAGGTCAATGGAATAATGTTCAGGGGAAGCTCCGACTGGGAAACCTCTCGCCTTTTCACCATGTTCTCCTCAACATATACATAATCCTCAAGGGAAGTACCGTCGTATGGTCTAAGAGGTGTGGCTTCAATCATGTATCTACCGTACTCCGGATGGAACGATACGTTATTGTCCACTGCCTTGCCTGAAATTTCAGGTTTCTCTGGATCGTTCAAGTCGTCAAGAATATGGTCTTTATCAATGGACAAACGGGCAGTCTTCTTGGAGGCATCGATATCCACCAACATATATTCAACTTCATCGCCCCAGTAAAAATGGTCCTTCAGCCTCGTAGAATGCTGGCGAAAAATGTTAATAAGCTGCTCGATACCGTTATCACGAACATGCTCGTTATGTTTCTTCAGCTCGTGCCAGTCCAAGGGCGTTCCAAGCGATAGCAAACCCATGTTGAAGAGTAATTAAAGCCTGAAAAAGGTGTGGCTGGAAAGAAGTTCGTTGAGGAAGCAAATGTGACTCTGGATGGTGCACACTTATAAAGCTGTCCTATCGACAGCAGAATTCCCTGGGAAAATAACAAAGTTTGAAAGCTTGAAATAGAGCTGATTTGCTTTGGAAAACTAACACAACCGGTTCGTGTGGAATATTAATAAGCGTAGGAGTGCGTACAAAATTTTGCACCATCGAGGCAATGAAGCAAGAGGCACTCGCGACATTCGGTTCCCAATTTCGAAGATAACGCCGAGGCGTAAGACAGCATGAGCCGCAAATAACCGGCTTTATTGGATGGTACAAGTGGAGAAGTAAAAGTATTTGTAAAACTTCTTCAAGCTACGGAAAGCTATCCAAATCGGTTCAACATATGTAAGCATGACTCTACTTGTTCAGGTACCACTTGGATGGGGCCCGCATCGCAAGGTATCAGATGTCATTGCTGGATCAGGGCATTAAACGCCACGCGGGCCATACTCGTTTCAGAATTGTGGTTTAAATTGAGCTTTTAATGCCGTTTGGACCAGGAAGAATTGGAGTGGGTTTTGTGTTCAGAATATACGTAGGCTTACTGTCTTTCGCAGGATGTAAGACAGTAAGTATAGTGCCCAACACCAGTGCGGTCTTACAGAAGTGGCATATTTGGACTTACTACAATCATACAAGGCAATTTCCGAAGATACTTGGCTTAATACCAGGAAGGCTTGGCTTTTATTACGATAAAGCCCTTTTGTCTAAGCGTTTTGCAGCCAAAGATGCCTGCCAGATGCCCATACATTAACTCCTGGTACATCCAGCATCACGCAATTGATTAGATCAGTGGTACCACTTCAAAGCTTATATAGGAGTGGTTTACTACCTCCATAATCAGGTGAATGACCCAAAGTCTCCTCCAAGTTCCTTCCTTCGAAGATGCAATAGCACGTGACTCCAGTTGCTTCCATCGCCTGTTGTGGTAAATTCATAGATAACCTTGCGAGCATCACCTGTGCTGCGACATCACCAGTGTTGGTGGTTGCAAATGTGGCTAATGCTTTGAAATGGTATTGGGTGGTCTGCCAATAATAAACTCGTTTTCTTTATGGCTCTGAAAGTGGTCAGGAGTCATTTCTGTACTTCGTAGCTTGCACATCAAAACGGTTGTTATCGTGAGTGCTTAGTACAGGCGCTGATCTTTGAAAGCTTAACAAGAAGTAGGAGTTTGATTGGAACACCAACATAAAGAAAGCTAAATGATATTTACACTGTAACTTCTGTCGCTTAGGTCTAAGTCCATGAACACTTCTTGAGTGTTTCTCTATTATACATACTAACATAAACGGCCTATTACTTAGTAGAGCTTGCCAATGTTGTTAACGATACAGCCAGCATCGTCACCCTTTCTTGCGCCCAAGTCACCAATGACAACGGCATCCTCACCAGCTTGCTTAAGCTCGCTGAGGACAGAGTCAACCTTATCTTGCTCCACGATAAGGACCATACCGATACCGAGGTTGAAGGTCTTCAACAAGTCCTCGTATGGAACTCTGCCCTGCTTGCCGAACCACTTGAAGATCTCGGCAACTTCCCATTTGCTCATGTCAACACGGGCTTGCAAGTGCTTTGGCAAAGCACGAGGAATGTTCTCAACCAAACCACCACCAGTGATGTGAGCCATTCCGAGAAGCAAGTCCTTCTGGATGGTTGGCAACAATTGCTTGACGTAAATCTTGGTAGGAACCAAAAGCTCCTCACCGATGGTCTTACCCTCACTCCATGGAGCTTGGCTGGTGTACTTAAGGCCAGCCTTGTCGATAATGTGACGAACGAGAGAGAAACCGTTGGAGTGGACACCGTCAGACTTCAAACCGATCAAAACATTGCCCTCCTTCATAGCAGACACCTTAGGCAAGATCCTGTCCTTGTGAACGGCACCGACGGCAGTACCGTTAGTGTCGTAGTGGCCAACATCGTACATACCTGGCATTTCACTGGTTTCACCACCAACCAAGGCACAGCCAGCAGTCACACATCCGTCAGCGACACCGCTAACGAACTTGGCAGCAACCTCAACATCAAGCTTACCAGTAGCGAAATAGTCAAGGAAGATCAATGGCTCAGCACCCTGGACAACCAAGTCGTTGACGTTCATGGCAACCAAGTCAATACCAACGGTGTCATGGACATCCATGATCTGAGCGATTCTCAATTTGGTACCAACACCATCAGTGGCGGCAACCAACAAGGTGTCCTCACCGGCGAAACCAGCAGCCTTCAAGTCAAACAAACCACCGAAACCACCAATGTCAGAGTCGGCGCCCTTTCTAGCGGTAGACTTGACCTTGGCCTTGATCTGCTCAACCAACAAATTACCGTTGTCAACTGAAACACCAGCCTCGGCGTAAGTAGAGCCACCAGCAGTGGCATCAGCGTCTCTGAAAGCACGGTGAGCGATATCGGTTCTGTTGTACTTCTTGTTGAAGGAAACACACTCAACACCAACGTAAGCCTTGTCCACAGACTCTCTCAAGGTGGAGGCAGTAGCAGTAGCAGCAATAACACGGCCACCAGCAGTGACAACCTTACCATCCTTTTCAGCAGTACCTGCGTGGAAAATGTAAGTGTCTTCTGGGGTGTCCTTGATGCTGATCTCGTCACCCTTTCCGTAGGCATCTGGGTAACCACCAGCAGCCATGACAACAGTAGTAGAGTAAGTGTTAGGCTTGGTCTTAATGGAAACGGAGTCCAATCTGTGCTCGGCGGCGGCCAACATAACCTCAGCCAAGTCAGTGTCAGCGGTCAACAATGGCAAGACAGTTTGAGTCTCTGGGTCACCAAATCTGACATTGTACTCCAAAACCTTTGGCTCCTTCGATGGGCTCAACATGATACCAGTGAACAAAACACCGCACATTGGGAAACCATCCTTTCTCATACCATCAATGGTTGGCTTGATGATTTGTTCATCGATCTTGCTCAAGACCTGAGGGGTTGCAATTGGGGCAGGAGCGTAAGCACCCATACCACCAGTGTTAAGACCAGTGTCACCGTTACCAGCTCTCTTGTGGTCCTGAGAAGTTGGCAAGTTGAAGAAAGAGTAACCATCGGTGATGGTCAAGATGGACAATTCGTCACCTTCAAGGTACTCCTCAATGACGATCTCGTCACCAGCAGCACCAAAGTTCTTGGCCACCATGATCTCGTCAAGACCAGCCAAGGCCTCTTCCTTGGTCTCTGGAATCAACACACCTTTACCAGCAGCGATACCATCGGCCTTCAAAACGATCTTGTAGTCAACATCCTTGATGTGCTGTCTAGCAGCGTCGACATCAGTAAAGTTCTTAAACTGGGCAGTAGGAATGCTGTGCTTATCCATGAACAGCTTGGAGAAAGCCTTGGAGCCCTCCATGGTAGCAGCTTTGGCGCTGGGACCGAACACGGGAATGCCAACCTTGGAGAAAACAGTAGAAATACCGTCAACCAATGGCTGCTCTGGGCCAGGCACAACCAAGCCAATGTTCTTCTCCAAAGCGAACTTCTGAAGACCATCAAAGTGCTTAGGAGAACCAGACAACTCAGGAACGTTCACCACCTTATCGTCAGAGGTAGAAGTACCTCCATTACCTGGAGCGACGTAGATTTTCAGCACCAAAGGGGATTGGGCCAATCTCCAGGAGATAGCGTGTTCTCTACCACCGTTACCGACGACAAGAACGTTCAAGGACATTTTAATTTTTGAAATGTGGGTTTCTGTTTGAAGAAGTGAGAAGGTGAGTGCGATTATGGGGAAGAGATGAGGAAGCTCTCAATGTGCATGGGTGAATTTTTTCGCTACTAATAAAACTCTTGACTCCGATTGCACGCAGGTTTTTTGCAACCACGCCTATTGAACGTTGCAAGGCAGTAGCGTAATGCTATGATACTGGAAGAGAGAGGTTTAAAAGAAGAATACGAATTGTATGATGATTTCATGGAATAGAAAGAAAAAAAGTTGGTTAAATTGGATTTGATTTTACTAAACGTGTTGTTTCTGCGATTCGTGATATTTTCTGCCACTTGCATCCATAATATGGTAACTGCCATCAGAATCTGAATTCATGGCTTTTTTCAAAATATAAAAATACGAATTAAATGAATGTGAATGAACCAAGGAAGTGAACTGAACTAAATAGCCGTAATTTTGATTTGTCTAAGTAATTATTCTCTTTACTGTCATTGTTGTACCACGTTAAATGATACAAAGAGCAGAACCAACTCTTCATACTAACATCTACTATCTCTTCGTGATTCGTGTTATATTGATGCAAGCCTTGCTTGTTTATATGTACAGGTTAGATTAGATTGCAACATCACCAGAACCAACAATCCCCTCAAATTTGTAGTTGTCCTCGCTAGGAGTCTTGATTTCGTCACCCTGCTCGTTGACTGGGGTGTACAAGTAGTAAGACAACAATGCATTGACCACAGCTCTTGTCTTGGCCTCGTTCAAGGAAGCACCAACGCCCTCTCCCAACTTGTTGCCACCAGAGAATGCACCAGCCACAAAGATAGCGTGGGTGGACAATCTACCGGTTTCGGCAATTAATCTGATTTCTAGAGGATCCTCAAGACCCAACTTGTCACACAACCTCGTCAATTCTCTAGTAGGTTTGCTGAACTGGAACATTTCATGCAATGGAATCTTTCTAGACAAAATGTGGGACTGAATGAATTTTTTAGCAGCTTCTTCGCCAGCGTGAGTGTACATACCACCAACGATGGATCTAACAGCGTGGACGTAAGCCTCTTCTTCCTGTGTCAAATATGTCTTTGAGTTTTCGTCATAGAGGCCCAACTTGGCTTGCTTGTACTCTTTTATACCCTCTTCCTGTGGAACGTCCTTGGCCTCTTCAGACAAGAAACGCAATCTTCCGTATGTGATGAACTCTGGCTCACTGGCGAGGTACTTTTCCAACTTTGTCTTGACATCAGTCTCGATACCCCAAGAGCGACCGATCTCAGCTAAACTGTATGGACCCATGTATGCGTTGGTTGCTTCGTTGTGAACAGGCAATGGAAGTCTAGGGTAGTTCATCAACAAGTGTTCGCTGACGTAGTATGCTAGTAAGTTCCGGCCAAGGATGCTCAAGCCGTAGTTGTTAGCCAAACCAGTGCTCTTGTCACAGTTCAAGGCTTGCGACAACGTCGACAAGGTATAGGACTCTGGTAAACGTAATCTGTGATGCAAAGCAACCAATGAAGGAGATTGCTGGGCGGTGGATTCAGGAAGTCTATGGGTGAAGATGTTGGCTTTGTAGGATCCGTAGTCTGTGAGTGAATTGTAGGATGTGTCCAAAGACTCGTCCAACTTCAGAACGTGGTAAGAAGCCTGCGGGAGACGAGCAGTACGGACAAGGCGAGGCGCCATCCGAAGACTACTTTTCGATAAGAGCCTCAACATTGTTTTGGGTATTGATGACTTGAAGGATTTGACTTTTTCACCGTGAAGCGTAGTAGTAAATTTTTTCGTTGTGGCTTATGTGCACGACACTTTCAACAAGACATCTTGATGGAACAACAGATGGCATTGAATAAAGTACTGTTACAATAAGAGACAGATATGATTGCATTTGAAATAATCTAGCAAAGTATACGTTTTCAATGATGCTACTAAATTGGTGGTACTCTCATCGAGGCTGTAGTTTCCAACGTTAGAGCCGTTTCATTAGTGAAATTGATATTTTAAACCAACAAAGGTCGAGCTTCCCTTTCGCTGGACCAATTATCTTCATTTTTTCACTTGAATAAGTCTATTTATGTTGTTTGCTTGCCTGGAGTCTAAGCTTTGGCCCATCATAATGGTGTGCGCGCACCGAAAAGTTCCACCAACCATATTCTCATAATTCCTCTTACACATTACCATCGCCTTAACAGCTTCCCTGAACCAAACATGGCACACGCTCCTCCTTTGAACGTCTATGCCGTTGGGGCTATGTCCTCCGTGTTCCTCATTTATGCATGGATCAAGTCCCCAATTAAATACAAGTGGACTGCTGAGAACAGAATCAGTCCAAAGGCCGACTTGGCTTGGAGAAACAGTGCTCAGAAATGGCTCGACAACAACAACTAAAGGTTTCCCGGATTTGCATGTACATTACGTTTAGAATAAATATTTCATGAACCTATGTGTAGAGACTTACCCGATCTTGACGGACGCTAGCGGGATAGCGTTCTTAGTATCGCCATATTGTAGTTTGACCAAGTCACTTTCTAGTTTAAGGAAACACCAAAGCCACCTTCTGACAATTTCAAGAAATTCAAGCAAAGCGTATCCCAAGGATAAGAAATCAAGTCCAAACAAGAAGTTTCCAACCTTGTTCTTGAGACCTAATCTCACCTCAGTTTCCTTGATAACAAAGAGTTTGAGAACCCAGATAAACCGAAGCACAAAATCAAGTCCTATGATGGTGAAGTATGCAATGGTGTTATTGTAAACCAACTTGTTTGGCTCACGTAAAAGGACCCAATGGGAGCCTCTTCTGTGCAACAAGATGTCGAACATGCTAAAGCCCCAATCCATTTTCACGTCCCAGAAAAACAGGTATGATGCACTGATGGTAGACAAAAAGTACCACCAGCGATTAAGAACGTTCAATTGAGCGGAAACATCAGCATCTTCGGTGAGCTGGGTCATCTTGAGCTTAATGAGTAAATTGATGATCACAGGACCGAGACTCATGGAGTACTTCAAGAAGTTAAACAAGTGCTGTCTCTGCTTGGTTATCAGGTATTCATACCAACATTGTTTCATACGAATAAGCGCTGGCATTGAAAGCATAAAGGTTTCGAGCTCAGCGTTATAGTTCAGCTCTGTAGGAATGTATGTCTTCCAAACAAACATACCCCAATCGTTAATAACTTTGGCGTAAGAAATCAAGGAATCCGATAGGAGGATATCGTTTGTTCTCATAGTCGACGAATTGATATCGCCAAAAAGAATTCGCTTAACCGTAGTGTTTATGCGGACGGTTGCAATCGTGCCCCGTTGTAGGAAGAATCTATAAAGTGTGTGTATCATGAGTATTGTTGGCAGAACAGCCCGGAAGAACCAGAACGCTTTCGAGTCGTCGTCAACGAAAAGCGCCGAACACCAGTAAAAGAAGAGCCCACTCACGTTAGCCAATAATGTAACCTTGATGTTACGGTTTATGCCATTGACCAAGTGCTGGTTCTCTGAAAGGTCTGCCACAGACGACGTAGCAAACTCACCATAGTTGGCTTCGTCAATATATGATATCGAAGGGTACTTATGTGGAGAATAGGAAAGGTTGAGCAACGCCAACACGTTTATGCCATGGACCTTATAACAGTACCACACGAGTGTATACCAAAGGTGGATACCGAATTGGACCAATAGAAGGATCCTGAAAGGAAGTGGGATAATGTCGTTTAACTTAAGGTCGTCGAATGACATCTTGAGGATGCTGCCGCTAAGGGGAGCCGGTTGTTATTGAGTAGTTCGAATAAGGCTGTAGTTCGTTACCGGGGCGCAAGATCTAAGTCGCGAGTAGGTACATAGTGTGCGCTCCAGAGGTATCACGCCAAGAATGGCATAACAGGTTACAAAGTTTAAAGGTCAACTACGGTAGAGGAAAAGATTACACAGGCTGGGGAAAAGGGTAGGAAAAGGCTTCAGTACTGAGTAAGTTTGATAATCACTAAGATATTTCATGATTAGCATGGAAAGTCATCATCAGCCCCAATTACTCCATTCAATGAAACATTGTAATTTGCACTAGCTGTTAGTAGAAGCTCATAATGAGTTCGTGCTATAAATACGATCAGAATTTTCAGTGTGTTTGGCTATTTGTCGAATCGGTCATAGTCCTGAAAAGGAGCCTCCGTCTGGGGCGACAGCTAGTCATCACGGTATTTTGGCACGAATAAACAAAAGTGAATGAAACATACACTTATACACAATTCTAGAGATACCAAAGGCACCTGTAAAAGTGTGGATACGTTGCAAATCCAGAAAGAAAAGTTGGTAACTGGTGAGTGTTATACATTTTTTTTTTTTCCAAAACAACTCTCGATGCGATTCTCATCGCCATACATGCGACTCCAGTTACCCGCACTAACAGATACCCAGGTCTAGTATCCAGAGGTGGACTCTGCTACCTTATATGGGTGAATTGAAGTCGCTGAATGTAATTTTTACTTCCTTAATAATTATATGTATGTGGTGTTTTGTTCTATGTTAATGAGCGAACTAGCTGCTAGCAGCCGAGGGAGGTATTACTGTTCTTATCAATCTGCCCCATTACTTTTGCATAGCCTGTCTACGGCTCTTGAGCTTGCTGATCTTCTGTCTCATGTTGTTGTCCTTTCTCTCGGCCTTGGTCAAGTATCTGAACTTCTTCTTCTTCTGCTGCTTTGGCTTGGGCTTTTCCACGCCACAAAGCTTAGCGTAGTCCTTGGCTCTCTTGATAGAGCCTTCGAGCACCTCGTCCGACTTATCTAAGTTGACATTGTTAGCCTTGGCCAACGCTTCTATGCTTCTGTTGGTAATGGCAGTTGTGTAAGGATTATCGAGCGACTCGATGGTAACCTCAGTCTCTTTGTCGACCACAGCATCGCCAAGGTAGTTCTTGTTGTCAGCCTTGAAAACCTGCTTCCTCAGTAGGATACCCTTGACAGGTTCCTCATCTTCTTCACCTTCTTCAACAGCATCTTCAGCGACCTCTTCTTTATTGTCCTCTTCAAATCCCGTCCATTCATCGTCTGACTCTTTTGCATTTACTTCGGCTTTCCCATTCGGCGTGGCTTCGACTTCTTCCTTATCAAGTACTGGTTCAAGAAGCTCTCGCAGCTCTCTGAGCTGTTTGAGTTGTTCCTCGAACTTATTCTTCTCGTCCTCACGTAGCTGCTTTCTTTCCTCGATTCTTGCCTTTCTTTCCTGCTCCTTGTGGTAGGCTTGAGCCTTCTTCTGACGCTCCACCTTACGCTTGTGGAAACCAGTCAAGAACTCTTCACGAGCTTGTTTGTCAAAAACAACTTCCTCAACACCATATTTCTTCGCTTGTTTCTGCTGGTATTTCTTACCACCAGTTAATATATCTCTGTTAGTCTTCGTTACCATATTGTAGGATGAGTGAGTATCTGTCTCCAGACTTTCCGATGAGCATCTGCTATGTGCGAAAATAATCAGACCTCTCGGAACATCAACCAACAACCACACTATAAATGGAGAACGTTGAAGAAGTGAGAGATTTGGCCTTGGGTCTTCAGGATTCGGTCAAGGAATTAGAAGTGGCTTTGCTGCCATTAGTTGGTGAATCTTTGGATGAGCTTATAAAGAAATGCAAGCTGCCGAAGGAGGAGGCAGAGTTCCTTACCAACTACCTATATTGCACGGTCTCCATCGTGTTTGCATACCTCAAGGCTCTGGGTGTCAATACCGATGGACATCCAATTATGAGGGAGCTCGACAGAGTCAAGGCGTCTATGAAGAAATTGAAGGATCTTGATACAGCTGACCAGAAGGCAGAGGATACTGACACCAAGAGTAAGGAGGAAGCTGCACAATATATTCAAAGAACATTGGGTGGTGCCTCAGGAGGTGCTGCTGCCAGTAATAGCATGAAGTCGCCAGCCATTTCGGCGTCGAACTTCCAAGGAAAGCATACCAAGTTTAAGGATGAGGATAATGACGACTCTGACGAAGAACTACAACAGAAGCCCGTGGAAGGTACCCTGAAGAAAGAAACAACAGAGAGTATAGCGCCCCGTTCAAACGCTCCAACCGGTCCAAAAGTTACTGAGAACCAGAATAAGAAGGAAGCACCACGCCCAAAGGGAAGGAATCAGCCAAAGGGTAATCCAAAGGGTCAATCGAAAAACCAACAGAAGAATAACCAAGGCAAGGTAAGTAAACCACAGCCACAGAGAAAGAAAGGAAAAGCGGGGAAGAAATAGAGCTCTACTACTATGTATCATAATTCATGAGGCGGTCTTTTATTTAATGTACAATCCCTAAGTTGCCGAATAGAAACTCTCAAAGATATGTTCGTCTTTGATTCCTTCATCAGCGACAACTCTATAAGTTTCCATGAGAAGCTTTGGGAACTTGTTGTTGAAGTAAGAATAGAACCCGGTTGGAAGTGGACTCATTTGCACCTGTAGTTCAGGAGGCATATCATTGAAATGATGGTATTTGTTACGCAAGGCACGCAAAAGATCCATGAGTTTATCCGTGTTGTACTTGCGATACTTGCCCAAGTTATCAATGAATTCTTGATCAAACCTGGCGAGCCAGTCGCCTTGATGAACAGTTTGTCCAGCTTCCTCCAAACTAAGTAAAAGCGGGCTTGGTGGATCTCTCCTCTCAATTTCGAACCTGTCGCTGACCTTGAGAAGAAATTCTAACTTCTTATTGTAAGTCCAGAAGTATGGGTGTCTCATAATCAAAGAAGTATCAGGTCTGGTTTTGGGGTTGAATGATATCATCGAAGCGATCAAGTGAGTGGCCTCGACCCAATCGTGTGGGCAATGCTGCTTTAATGCAGACAAGTCATACTCTCCTCTCACTATGTTACCTTCTCTTAAGTACCGATCACCAAAAGGATGACCGCCACCAGTCAAAATGTAATAGAAAACACAACCGAGCGAAAAGATATCAATTGCCTTCGTGAGACGCTTGCCTGAACCATTGGCCGGCCCATTACCATCCTTGATCGAGTGTTTCGACGTAGAATTGAGCGAAGACACAGTGTCTGGGGAGATTTCCATGAGGTCATGATGCAAAAGTAATTCAGGGGCTCTCCAGCCCGATGTTCCGGAGGCTGCATGCTGAGTGGTAGCTCTGAAAGATGATTGATCCGCATCAAGTTTCTTACACAATCCAAAATCGGATATGAGTAGTCTGAAAGCTGCGACAGTCTTTGAATGCTTCTTTCTTGTAGAATCACCAACCAAGATGTTTTGTGGTTTTATATCACGATGAACAATCTTGAGGGAATGCAAGTAGTGAAGCCCACTTACAAGCTGGAGCAACACCTCATTCTTAAGATGATGGTCGAGCTTCAATGCAGCTTTATCAAGCTTGGGCTTCTCAACGAGATCTTCGAGGGAACAAACACATAATTCAAGGGCAATGTACAAGAACTTCTCAGACTCACTAGACTGTGAACAGAAGTACCTCACAACATTTGGATGGTCATCACTTTCCTGTAGAAGGCGAACTTCATGATTAGCTATGTCGTAGAAATCAAGAAGCATCCGCTTCACTGCGACCGGTCTGTTCTCAAATGTTCCTTCGTATACAACGGTACCATGTGAGCCATACCCCAATATCTTATCTGAGATGATCAAGTTATTGTCGATCTGCAACTTTTTGTTTGTGTTGTTCCTCTTGCTGAACTGCTTCACAAGAGACTTGGTAGGGATAGGTTCTGCATCCTCAACACTCGACTCATCACTTGCAACTTGAGTGTTCTCAGAAGCTTCATCTTTAGGATCCTCTTCATCTTTGCTCTCAGCGTTCTTTTTGCCTTTACCTCCTCTTTTGCCTCCTCTGCTTCCTCTTTTTCTTTTCTTCTTGGTTATTGTGTTAGACTCTCCATCAGCAATGGCGGATCCATCATTAGCGGCCTCACCAGGCACAACTTCATGAGTGTCCTCATCTGTGATGATCTTCACTTTCTTCTTCGGGCTCTCTTCAGTGGTTGGTTCCTTCTTCAAGTCTTGAGTCTCCTGTGTAGCGTCAGTCAGTTCGACGGGAATTTGGGGAAGGGGCTTTTCTTCGGGTTCCTCCACAACCTTGAGGGCTTTAGGGTCTTGTAAATTGATTTCAAGGTCGTTCACCTTCTCGGCCAAAGCAATGTCCTTACCTTTGTTGAACTGTATGAAGCCGTTGAGTTTCCCGGCAGAGAAAAGAACCAAAAGCAAGATACAAAGGACCACAACGTCCTCAGCTATACGTCTGAAAAATGAAAGTGTATGGCGTGGATCAGACTGAGGGATTGCAACGTCAGCGTCAGAGCGACTAGCCGGTAAGCCCGTTGGATAGTTTCTGTCGTTGGCCATAAGTTCCTTGCGTCTTTCGTCTATTGTTGCCAATCCTTGACCGGGATCATCGTTAGTTTGTGGGAAAAGAATACCATCGATCATATGAGGTACTTGCTTCAGCTCTTTTTCAACACCAGTCGAGCCATCTGAGCCATCACCAATACCCAAATATTCCTCCTTACGGAATTGCAGATGCGGTTGGTACATCGAGTCAGGCGAAAGGAGGTTTATCTTATGGACACCGTTAATGAATGGTTCAACATCTTCTCGACTAACATTAAGACGAGAGAGGAAGTCCTGGGTTTGGCGATCCAATGTACCGGTAGCGAATTGGTAAAGGGCCATTTGATATTGAGCAATTGGAGCAGATTTAAGTAGTGTTGGGTAATTGCGGAAGCTCATGGCAAACCATTCCTTTCCATTTGCAGTTCTGTTAACAAAACAAAGGTCGTTATTGGCAGCCTCTTTTTGGGCATCATCAAGTTGCTGGAGATCATTCAAAACCTTGAGTGGATGAGGCAACGTCACATACTGGTTGAGGTTTTCTTCGTTGTTGAAAACATCAAAAACATTGACAGCTAAGGAAGGCAATCTGCAGATCCACTGAGGCGTGCCGCTCCCCTTGTTGATGGCTAGTAACGATTTATCGTGGAAAGGAGTAAAGTAAAGATCGTCAATTGACTGACCGTTTTGCATGATCAAGTCATTGTCAATGTTATTGGGGCCCCAAGACGAGTAAGTGATGTTCCAGACCACGCTGGAATCATACTTGTAGTGGACCAGCAACTCATAGGTCGTCTTTCCGAGCATGATAGTATTTTCATCCAGGTCTGGCCTGAAGTTTGGAGACTTGTAAAGATTGGGAGCCGGACAACTTTCGTCAGCTGACCCAAACTGGTTCAACACTTCGCCTGTCTTCATGTTGATTGTGTATAACGACGTCTTTCGAACGCCAGTATAGATTTTATTATCTCCACTTAAAGAGAATGGAGCCTCCATCACCAAGTTCTTGATCGACGTAGGTAGTTTATTTAGGCCATATTGTGGCGTGAAATAATACAAGGACCCATCCTGGTAAGGCTCAACAAGCCATAGTAGGTTTGTATTGTTCTCGGGATCTTTTCTTGGGAACTTGTTCCTTGAAACACGCACGAGTGGCTCGTCTAGCGGTAGCGTCCAGAGGAAAGCACCAGTGTGTCTCTCTACCGCATGCAAATTGCCATCAATGTCGCTGACCAAGAGCAAATCTGTGAGTTTCCAGTCCTGGAGCGATCGTAAATCCAACGGAAGGATATTTTTATTCTTGACTTCACTCAATAACGGTCTTCCATTGTCGTCACCGGCTGCTTCTTGCGACACTGCTTCTCCGAATACCGCCGGCAACACCGCAGTGAAGTAGGCAAACAAAAACGCTAGTAGAAAGAACGGATTTAGCTTCATGGTAGATCAATCAAGGCTAGCAATGCAAATTGTGGGATGGGAAATAAAAAATGGGAAGTTGAAAGTTTTGTCCCACCAAAGTCAGATGTAGAGCTAACCTCCAATGGAGCCCTGGGCAAAGACAAAATACCGGGGACGGGAAACGAAGTGAAAATTGGGGAAAAAAAGAAAACGAACTGGTCCTTTGATATCACTCAGGATACAATTTGTAGTTGTGGCAGGGATAGGGAGCTTTTGGAAGCAAGGTGAAAAAAAGGACGATGTTTGTCGATTGAAGATGAGATTGTGAAGGAGGAATTAGAATCAGGCAGTGGGGTTCGATAGAAGAGTGCGTCTTAATTTTTTTTTTTCTGCCTACCTGCCTTACTTATTATCTCCCTCGCACTTTCTTAGCTCCTTCTCGCAGAAGCCTATAGATGTCTCGTGACGGCGTTGGGTGCAAAATTTCTTGTCTGCTATAACAAGAGCATTAGGAAGAGGAATACAAATTATGCTTTATGCTAAATATCGTATTTTACATTACCTTCATTAATTGCTTGGTTATTGTATCAGTCGCTCATGCGATGGTAGAGTTCGTCTACTCTCTGCTTCGTGAGCTTCACATTCTCTTCAAACTCTTGTGAAGCGTATTCATCTGCAAAGTGAGAACGGTGGTCGGATTTGCTGAAGTTAGGGATTTTGCCCAGACTTCTCAGGTTGATCCAGCTCCAGACGCGTGCTTCCTTCACCATTCGGTTCTGTTTGTCGTTGATGTATCTTTCCTGGCTCGGCATAACGTAGAAATTGTTATTACCGAACTTGAGAAGCCTGGCAGACCCGTCTGCATCGTTCATGACAGGAGTCTTGTCGCTTGACCCTCCGAACAAGAAGACGAGAATCCAGGTGTAGATTAGCGAGCCAAACACTAGAATAATTCCTCCAAGTAAAGCATCGCTGACTGGGAGTCCCAATGGTACCGACTTACCAATGGTTTCGGCGAGTTGCGTAAGTTGTTCGACAAGAGTGGGCTCCTTTGCTGGCTCTTGTGCTTGCTCCTGCTCTTGAGGCGCCAGTTTCTTTGATTTGGATCTCTTTCTCTTTTTCTTTGAACCGCCTTGACCATTCTCGATAATATCCGTTACGGATTCCGTGAGACTCTTCATTGATTCTTTCTGACCATCAATACTTCCTCTTTCGATCGCACCCTTGACCCATGACTTTCCCGACCATTCAATGGAAGTCACCACATGCATTTTTGTCGAGTTATCTTCGCCCCATGAGAGAAGCATGGTTGTAACGATTTTGAAGACATTACCCAGCGGCACGTCTGGTGTCTGGGTAACCTGCTCGATATGAATATATTTGGAAAAGTCACAATGGACTAATCTGTCAGTGATGTTACACTTTGTGTTCTTGGGGCCAATTGGGCCGCTCAACGGCTTCAGGTAGACATACTTTCTCTCCTTCTTCTTTTGGGAGAGCTCGGTGATTTTATCTTTCTCGATGTCGTAGTTCTTTTGGTCCTCCAAGATTCTGATGTAATTGTTGGTGTCAGGACCAAAAAGTATGCTGAAAACAACTCCTGGTGGAGCTTTGAAGGTATGATCAAGAATGAACACGTCGTTACTTTCATCTTCTCTATCGGCTTTGGTTGGTTCATGCTCGGCTGGACCGGGATTTGTTAGCCCTTTAAAGTCTCCTCCTCCTTCTTCACTACCTTTTGGCAGATCTTCCTCTCCATCTTCCCCTTCGTCAGAACCTTTCTTACTTTCTCCCTCGTCATTATCGCCATCCTCATCATCGTTTTTACCTTTGGTTGAGGAGCGTTCTCTATTACCTTCACCCTCTTCATCTGATCCGTTAGCTTCTTCTCCGTCATCGTCGTCTCCATCATCTTCTCCATCACTGTTCTCTTCATCACTGTCATAAGAACCCTCGGACCCCATTGCTGTCCTGTTGCTTACTCGTGATGCGCTGCGAGCACGACCGTTGCTCTTGTGGTCATTCTTGCCCAGAAGAACATCATGCCAAACTCTAGTAATTTGAACGAATGTAGTATCTCTAGAAATGAATGTAGCGAAGACATATTTTTGGTGAAGCGTACGAATGATCATACCATTAGGAAAAAGCACAGCAGTAGACTTCTTTTCGATCTGAATGACTTCTTGGAGAGGAATAACAAGATGAGTTACCCACCCCAAGATATTAGAATTAAAACAAATGTAATTTTGAGTAAGGTACATCTTACCTTGCACCAAGATATCTTTGGATAAAGCACATGAGTAGTCAGCAATAAGGCGTTCGGATTGCGGGATCTTCCGGAAATTATGATGAAACTCTTTATTCTTCTTTGAGCTTGCAAAGCTTATGTCTGAAGATTCTAGCATTTTGTCCAATTCCTGATTGGACTCTTCTGTTTCTTGTATAGACAGCTCTTCATCGACACTTTGATGGGATGACAATTCTGAACCTCTTCTTTTGCGTTTCACAACTTTTGAATCATCATTTCCCAGAACAGCCAACACGTCGGGATCTTTACCACCATCATTGCCGCTGATGGCTAACAGTGGAACATCCAGGTTCCCTATGGACGATTTACCATCAAAGTGCAGAAGCTGTAAGTCGCCGTTACCCATGGTATTTATAGGCGAGTCGTGAACAGGCTCGAAGTGGACGTTTGAAGTCGATAGACGAGGCAAAGCAGGAAACTTAACAGCAACACTGCTTCCGTCGTTATCGTGAGAATTACCCAAAGACAAGTTACTGTGGTCGTTATGACTATGCGTGGACGTTCTAGAAGTAGGATTCGACAGCGCTTGGGACTTCAGGTTGGGTTTTTGTAGGTGTTTAGACTGTCTTTTGGAAACAGTCGGCAGGCTCTGGCGAGTGTCTTCGCCCTCCTCGTCACTCATCACCATATTAGCGACATTGTGGGCGGCAGAGAGAAACGATGACAAAAAGCCATTGCTGCCATGCTTGCTTGAAAGCTTCTCAGCGGTTTCCGTCAGAGACATGGAGAGTCTTCAAAGTGACCACTTGGTTGGCTGTGGATGAATATGAATTTGCCGAAGTTACCGCTCGGAATAGAAGATCGCCAATTGAGACAAACAGGTGGAACAACAGATAACAAACTGAAACACAATTGTTATAAACGCTGGGGTAGTGGTCTGGTCACCAGCAACTTTGGATTTGTGCTACTCTGGGAGCTTAATGAGTGTGTGCCCAGAATAGAGTACGTAATGTGAAATGCAGGCAATTCTGATAGCAGTGATGGGGAGAGGTTGCGAAATTTTGTTTTAGCCGAGATACTTGTATTGTGCGAGTAGGGGACCCTTTGGGCGGGAGCAAGTAACATACATTGTGGTACTAAGAAATGAAATGTTGGGGAAGCAAGTTTAGAGTTTATAAAGAGGGCGTGGTGGGACATGTAATAGGTCATGTTCTTGATCTCGGGCCGGTCAGTCTAAAGTATGCATGAGGGTAATCCACTGTATCAAGAGTGAGGCTTACAACTGGGGTCCGTGTCGGCTTAACACAAGTACTTTTTTTCATTTGTAAAGAAACATGTTTTTCGAAATAAAAGCGGTAACGCAAAGAAATCAATAAGGTATTGGGAAGGCGGCAGTATCAGCCAGTTTAGGCGAAAAGCTCACCCAAGTAATTCTGGACGTTCTTGGCCTGCTTGTAAGAAGCATCGTAGTCAATGGAGAACACAGAGATTGGAGTCTTACACTTTTGGTGCTTGATAACCCAAGCCTCAGATGGCAAGTCACAGTCACCAAAGACACACTCAGTTGGAGCCTCGAAGAAACCGTCGGCGTACTTGACCTTACCGTCAGCGTACTTCAAGTTGGAGGCTGGAGAGTCCTCACCGGACAAACGAGCGAATTGCCATTCTGGGTCAAGACAGCTCTCATCCTCGTCACCGACCTTTGGAAGGTTGACGTTAAGACCAGTGGTCTTTGGCAAAACTCTTGGGCGAGACTCAGAGTCGGTGAACAAACGGTCAACAAGCTCAACAACCTTCTTACCGTAGATAACTGGGGTAAAGGTCTCGTCATCGAGTCTGTCCTCATCGTCCTTGTAGAAAGAGTTGTTGGTGTTGGAGCCAGAGAAGGCAATGGCTGGGTATCCTCTAAGCACGGAAGCGTAAGTAGCACCAATAGTACCAGACAAGGTGTACATACCTGGAGACAAGTTAAGACCTTCGTTAGGACCAGCAACGACCAAGTCGACGGTCTTGTTGTCAAAGTACTGAGGAATGACGTAGTTCAAACCGAAAGCAACACAAGAGGCTGGAGTACCGTTGAAGTACCAGATGCTCTGGTCCTCGTCCTCGTGGCCCCAAGATGGAGAGCCAGCTGGTGGGTAAGAGAACTCACCGTTGGTCTCCAAAGTCTCGGAAGTTGGCACAGCGAACTGACCACCGAAACCAGATCTCTGCAGCACTGGAGCGACCATGATCACCTCGTAGCCGGCGTTCTTGAGGGCAGTGTAGGTGGCACGAATGTTGGTGGCGGCCCAGCCGTCATCGTTGGTAAGCAAGATAGTCTTGTTGGTCAGAGGTTCATCGTCTCTCTTAGCCAATGGGGCAGCGAGGACAGAAGAAGCAGCAACGAAGGCGCTAGCGATGGTGGAGAACTTCATGTGGAAAAGTTTGTAGAGGTTGAAGATGAGAAAAAGAAGCAAGGAAGTGGGAATTTCCCAGCCTTATATACCCCAATTCTGAAGATCCATCGGGTGCCCCAGATGCCCATCTAGCAAAGTGGCTGCAACTTTCACGAGTGCATACTTGATGCGAGCCTGCTGCATGGCCCTGTCATCATGCACACTCGTCGCTCAATCCGGCGAGGTAATTAAAAAACGTGGGTATTATTGTCGTCTCCTTTTTGGCTGCGAAAAGGGAATAAACGGGCTGAAGGTGGAAAAAGAAAACGGGTTTTTTTATAGTTTAGTTCTTTGAGGTCCTTCTTTGTCGTGGTGTAGAGAACACTCTGGTGGAGAAACACCATCAAGAGATTTGTGTTACCTTAGATGATTGCCATGTACTGGTTTATTACACTAACGTAGGTGCCTGGAGAAAAACATCCTAATAAAGATCGTCCTCTAACGCAAGTAAAGCCGGGGTATTGCCAAGAATATAGAAGTTCCGCTTGAAAGATGCCGGTAACCGTCAAGCCCCAAGTTGTTCCGGTGCCTTCGACTGGCAACGAGGCAGGCACAGTCCCCAGAGAATGAGCCAGACAATTGCCGGTATTCGAGCCCAGGTACAATTGACTATGAAAAGCGCTTTGGAGAAGGTACAATTGGTATTTCGTATAATAGGCATGGAGTAGTCCAAAAAGGGAGGTGCTCGAGGACACATCTAGAGCCCCACATAGGCGTCTGTGCTTGACCATCAACTAGACCTCATTCGACAAGAAATCAACAATAATACTTTTGCTATAGCGTCACCGGCATGACACGTGGACTACGGGTGGTCTGTACCTTGATAATGCCTTATTCTTGGTTCTGAAATTGTATAGCCATGCCATTGATGCCCTGCGGCTGCTAATCCTATGGTTATTCGACAATATACCGCCTGGGGCTGCAAACCTGACCACTCATGTGCCGCTTAGAGCCCCTCCGAAATATATTCACCCAGAGCCGAAGCACATCTGCCGGATATGCATCTAACCCAGTAACAGATTAGGGCGCTTAAAGGTACTTCTTGCAGGGCATGAGGTACCAACGTGCTCAGGTGTAATGATACTAAAACGGATGAAAGCATAATCCAAAAAGGCACTTGCACTGCATTTTGAGGCATTTCCTTGGTAACTGTTGATTAAAAGGGGGATTTGCATTCCATTGGACCAATCTGAGGTGTTGGTGTGGTTCAGGGTTTGTCGCCTGGCCCAATTGAACATGAATTAGGAGGCTGCGGGGCTGCAGCCTCTTCCAGATGACGACGAAGGGCCCATGGAATAAATTCCCACTTCTTCTTTTGTGGGCTTTTCTGATTTTGTGGCATTGACAAAATGGGTGCAAAATTGGGTACACTTGGTGACTGACCGAGGGTATACTGGTCCAGGAACGCTTGCTCAGCACAGCGGGCTTTTCACGGGTCTAAGTATTTTAAAAAAAAAAAAAAAAAAACGAATTGATCACATTGACTTTTTGTTTTAGCACTTCCTTTTTTTCCCACTTATCTGGTTCAGCCATGGAAAAGTGTACATCTTACCTACAAAGACCGCTTGGCTGCTAACAAGGACAGAATCACAGGAAGTGTTGGGTCAAAGAGATAAGAGGGAAGTATAATCGCATAGACATTGTATAGTTTACGCTTTACTTTTTTCTTCATGAAATGTCGCAATCGCGTGGATGTCGATAAACAACACCATAAAGCAACAATTGGTCTATATACCCACATTCTTTCCACCCTTCACACTCCATGTGTTCCCGTCATGGTCTTGTCAATGCGTTTGGGGCACTAGTGTGGGGGAGCTTGAGAACTAGTGATAGTCACATGACGAGGGCCTCGGTTTCGCGGTCCCCCATAATCCATGTTCACGGTGAGCCCAACCTCTTAAGAACACACAACAGTTGACTTCTTCTCAGCACGGCTTCATAGGCAAAGACTTCCATCAACCAAATATGCCTGTGTTCCCGACGTTGGCGGCGTTCTTTCGCCGTCATAAGAGAAAGATCCTCTGGACTTCCGCGGTGGGCTTTTCAGTGTACTTCCTTGTGAACCAGTTCATCATCAAGAAGTTCCGTAACTTCCAGAATTCTTTGAAGCAAGAGCTTTTTGTTAAAGAGCAGATAAGACGTCGTTTTATCCAGACCCAGCAAGATTGCTACTTGACCATATTGGCCTTGTTGCCAGTGTTAACTCAGCCTGTGCTCAACTTTTTGCCTACTGAGGCGATCACCCTGGCTCTCAAGAGAAAGAAGAACGTCAATAAGGAAATGAGCGATTCATTAACCACTGAGAACTTGATGGCTCATTCCAACCAGGACAATGCCGCATCGACTTCGGATTTGCTGGTTTTCTTATCCAAGTCCAAACTCGAATTGTGGCACGACTTGAAGGTTAAGTCCATCTCCAGAATCCTTGCGCTCATCTACTCCGCTGCTGGCTTGCTTTTGCTTACTCGTCTCCAGCTCAACATCTTAGCTCGTAAGGCGTATCTTGAGCTGGCAATTGTGATGGCGGGAGGTTCTGTGCCGCAAAACTCCCAATCCTCATTTGACTACTTTATTGAGCAAAGTTATCTCTCCTTGAGTTGGTGGCTCCTTAACCATGGTTGGATGCGCATGGCCAACGGACTTGAAAGCCTCGTGGAGAGCAAGTTCAAGGAGATAACGCCTAAGACCGAATTGTCTGTGGATACCTTCACCCAAATGCTCGCTGAAATTAACGCCGGAGTCATTGCCGATGGCCAGCTCGTGAAGAACCTTCTTTTCCCAACCGAATATGATAACTTGATCGAGACCCTTATGAACACCAACCCAGAGCTCGTCAATGAACTCGAAAATCAAGACTCCAACCTCGTGAAGCTCATCAATGAAACCAACTTCATCATAGCGAACGACTTCACCTTGCATGTATTCTCTCTGCTTGTGAGAAACGGTGTGGACACATTGGGCGACAGCATCTCCGTTGCTCTCAACCCTGAAAACGTTCCCGGAAGATTACATAAGCTCGCTACCTTTTTGGCGCAGTTGTCAGTCCAGTCTAGTGTGATCTGCGATCCACAGAACGCCGAAGAGGAAGGAGAAGTCACTGGAAACATCTACATCAACAACTTTAACGACTTAGACGAACTTGATGAGTTCAGCGCCAGTATCTATTCAAACTTTGAATAATTCTCGTTTTCATGATATATATATATTACATTTGACATCCCTTGTAGACCCAAACTGTCAAAAGAGTGCATGGTGTGTAAGCATCTGCGATTTATCGCAAGTGCGGGTGTACAGCATAAGTTACGTAACTTGTTAACACTACCAGTTTAAAACACACTATGCCTAAAGTTGTTATTATTTCCTCTGATGAAGAGAGGTTCCCGGTCGACGTGGAGGTTGCCACCAAGTCTGTCCTTATCAAGAACATGATTTCTGACTTGAAGCCAGACTTGGAAGAAGACGACGAGGACTTCGAGATCCCTACTCCAAACGTCAGAGCCAACGTTTTGGCCAAGGTATTGGAGTGGTGTGAACATCACAAGAACACCATCTTCCCAGATGACGACGATGAAGATGCCAGAAAGTCTGCTCCTGTCCACTCGTGGGACAGAAACTTCTTGAAGGTTGACCAGGAGATGTTGTACGAGATCATTTTGGCTGCCAATTACTTGAATATCAGACCATTATTGGATGCTGGATGTAAGATCATTGCTGAAATGATCAAGCACAAGTCTCCAGAGGAGTTGAGGAAGACATTCAACATTGTCAACGACTTCAGTCCTGAAGAGGAAGCTGCCATCAGAAAGGAGAACGAATGGGCTGAGGACAGGTGAGTGACGAATGCTGGAATCCGTTTATGAAAGAAATTAGCAATTATGTTGGCAATTCGTCTAGGGATAGCATGCCTGCCAAGGCATACCACTAGTAGAATCCAGTACCAGGAACATAACACATAAAGAAATATACAAGAAAAGAAAGACCCATTTAGTAAGATCAATTATGACAGTCTCTACCTCCAGCCAGACATTATATCCTTAAGTATTACACTGTCTATCTCTGTACCCGTAAAACAGCCGTGCAGGTCCCAGCCTGGTTCAAATTCGCAGTCGATGTTTCGCAGACAAAGTTTCGCAGTCACAGTTGCAAACGACCTACAACAGGCACTATGGAGCACCTGGAGCCTGTGGTAAAATCGGAAACGGATAACTCGCATGTGGCGACTCCTCCGGCTGATGTGGAGGATAAGCCTGAGGTTTCCGTTCCTGAGAATTCAACCGTTCAAGTGCCCGAGGGTCCTTTTGAGCCGAGCACCATACTTGACCTTCCAGGCATGTCCCTGGACAAGTTGGCAATTATTGAAGGGCAACTAGCTAGTGAATTTGCCTCTCTTTCGAAAGATTTCGTTGACGCCCGAGCCGCAAGAACTGATTATTTGCTTAAAATTATAGACAAGCTGATTTCGGCTGCTGAGAAATATGACCGTGAGTGGAGCAAGATTTACGGCAAGGAGACGAAAGATATTGAAAAAGTTATAGCTGCGCCAGAGCATTACTTGTTAGGCTTATCGAGGGAAAAGTATAGTGATGACAACTTGAACACGGTTTTATCACTGATTGTGGCTCCTAGGGACCTAGACGACATTGCAGCACGTAATGACCAGCTTCCGTTTGCCAAATACTTTAAAAAGATCTCTGAGCCTTACGAAGCTCAGCTTAATGCTCTGCGGAACCATTACGATTATCAAAACTCCTTGATTAATAATAATGTCGAAAGATACCAAGAGATTATCTGGGAACAATATCTTCAAGATATGCTTGATCGCCGCAGCGATCTTATAGACAAAACGCACCAGCAGCTCACTCAGCTCTACGAAGAATATTATGGGGTACAGGGGAATAGAATGGCGGCAAAAGATTGGAACTTCTACTACAGGTCGGTGGTATCTACCCATGAGATGGGTGAATCTGACCCTAATCTGCAAGCTAGACTAAAGCGTGAAAACATCGATTCCTATTATGATATTGACAATCGCTATTTCAAAAAGAATAAGATCCAGTTGACAAAGACCAAGTTGGATGCACTCGATGAGTGGAAAGAATTCGAGGCTCAGCAGCGGAGCCGTACCATACCTCAATGTGAAAAGGCCAAAGTCAAGCTCACCACCTGTGAAGGTCTTTCGCAAGATGAAGTTGATGACGATATTTTGGCCCTACGTAGCAGCAGGCTGCACGGAAATGCCGTGAAGAGCGTTGAAACGCCAAACACAAAGACTGTGGGTGATACCAGTACTTCTGTTAATCAGGAACATGAATTACATTCACCTGTTAAGAAGGAAGCAACCATACCACATGCATAGCTTAATTGGAAGTCTTATAGACATTTTACTCCTTTTCAAGCAAAATACTGGCATTTTTGAGCCCTGCTGCGCCAATCGCCTCGTCAAGAGACTCTATCAATTTTGGCTTACCCACACTCGAAATTGTAAACCTATCCGACAGGCTTATGCCGTAGGTCGACTCATCAGCATCAGCGAGCACTTGCTTCAACCATTGAAAGATAGTGAGCACAGTATCGTTTTCAAAATCGAATTTATGAATGAGACGTTTACCATTAGGAAACCTAAACTGTATTCTTGTAACCGAACCAGAAGTAGGCTCTGTATGGCTTTGGGCCAGTATGCTCTCAAAGGTGTCCTTCTCTTCGGCTGGCTCAGCAGCTGCCTCGTCTTCATCGATTGCAATTGCATCGTCTGCGCTCTTACCCTTATTCTCAACAGCTGATTGTCTCATGGCGAATTCTATCTGCTGCTCCTCGGACATAGCATCGGGATCAAATTTGACTTCGTGCTTGACATGTGGGTTATTAGAGTTTGGATTAAGAGAGAACTTTTCTAAGAAGAGTTCCACGTCCGCGAGCCATTCTTCTGCATCCGGGACTTCACCATCCTTCCATTTGTGAACTCTTTCACCTGTCATAGGATCGAGAATAGATATGTGGGGGAAACCATCTAGATGATAAAAGTTCACGTAGGACTCACCATTGACAGAGTCATTTTGGAATTGGAGGAAGATGAAGTTCTCCTTCACGCAATGCTTGATCTCCGGCTTAGACCAAAAGTCTCTATTCAACACCTGACATTGAAACTCACTCTGATCTTGAATATTCATGAGAATCCATTTCTTCTCGGCCCTACCTTTCTGTTTGGCACCATCTAGATTCGTACGTTCGATGAGGTCGAAAGGTGGCTTGAAGAGTTGAGCGAGCCTCCTTTGGGTTGATGTGAGATCATTCATCCTATCTTGACGGACTCTGGACCTCCTATTTCTTGGTGGTGATGTTTCACGGTCTAGGTCTATCACTTCATCGTCGTCATCTTCATCGTCATCATGCAACTCCACCACTTGAGGTTCATCTGAATCATCAGCGTCATCAAATTCATCCATATCATCCTCTTCTTCGAAGCGCTGGTTGAACACTCCAACCCTTCCACGACCAAACATATCATTGATTCTATCCACTGGGTTCTGCATTCCAGCCATATCTGACCAGGAATCCATCAACGTCTCGTGACGGTGAACATTGGCATCTGCTTCTCTAACATTTTCCTGATATGCTTCTTGTTGTAGTCTTTGGGCAATATCTTCATCGTTCGAGCTGCCACCGCCGCCTCCAGAAGTACCACTGGCGCCTCCAGGACCATTTGCACCCGACTCCATGAAGAGCTGGACAGCATATTCAATATTGTTTCCGGTTAAATCCAAAAATCTTTTGGCAGTAGCCTCATCTTCTGTACCTGTAAATGCAAGGAATGTGGCTATATCGTTATCCATGGTGGGCAATTGTGATAAAGCTTGATGATGTTAACCTGAAAGGGAGCGATCGTCATAGTGGACCTGGCTGTGGACTGCAGACGGCAATGTTCTGTGGCAACGCCAGCAAGCAGTGAAATGCATTGAAATTAGGTATTTGGCTGTGATATATGATTTTGGTAGTAAAGTTCCAGACTTCGAATAAAACGACACTATCCTTCAGGGGAATGGTACTTTTAAGGGTGAATGTCCTCTTGGGATGGTTGCGAATGGAGTCTAACCCACTACGCATGCCCAGAGATAACCACACAATAGATGTTCCCAAACTTCCAGCAAGTTCTACGACTAATTTCTTGAATTTTGGAGAGAGAAAGTAGAGGCTTTCAAAAGAATTGACTTTCAAGTTTGTAGGATTTTTGTATGATTTTATAATGGTAAATGTCTCTATTTGCAGACCAAGTTGGTGGAGCCCACCGATTCATACTGTTTTCGCAACCACAGCATAACTATACAAAAGACGGTAAACTTAGTAAAAAGCAAAGAAAAACAAAAAACACTATATTCTAAAAACCTAATTGCTACACCCTTTTGACCCCCAATTCATCCCTTTCTGCCGCTTCCCAAACAGAAAAGTTGCCTTTTCTTGGTATCGTCCCCTCGTAGCAAGTGGGCCCTACTATGTACTTGCCCCAGACTTTCCATCTCACTCACACCCGTGCCTCCACAATGACTAACGACATTGTCGTAGTGCGATCAGTGTCACGATCCGATACTGAGACTTGATATATACGTTTAGAAGCTTCTTCAGCAGTAGTACAGTTGAGTTTTTCCCCAGTTGATAACAGCGTGTGTTTGACCAACCGGCCAGAGCACCACCGATCCCTGTGAAAAACCTTTTGGAGTGTTCGACTGACCACCTCAATTCTGCTCGATTGGCTTCCCACATACCTCAGTTCCAGCATCTCGAAGTGCTAGTCACCTCGCTCATTCATCACAATCAGCATCTGCCTTTACCACGGTAACTCATACGACTGGTTCGACGATTTACGACTTCAGTTTACCTGGTGATCCATCATAATATAGCAAAAGCGCAAAAAAATTTATAACATCCATAAACATTCTCGTTGATTTTATGCAATCCGCTCATTCACCCATAACTGACTCGATTTAATACACTTGAGTAACTTACTTCGCTTCTATGGAACAGTATAATCGATACGACCGCGGTGATCTTTTAAAAGATCGATATCTCAAGGTTGCTGATATTAGCGAAGGTTCCTATGGCTTGGTTTCGCTAGCAAAAGATACCACTCTCGACGATAAGTTAGTGGCTGTCAAGTTCATTTTCCCCATAGACTATAAGCGGACGAAGGAGTTAAAGGAACTCTCCAAAACAGGAAGAGCAACTTCTTCGCCAGCTAAGCTTAGATCAAACGCCGCTGCGGTCGAGAGCCAGCCATCTCACAATTCAACATTGAAAGCACTTTATGAAGAAACTAATAAGGAAATCCGCATTCACCAAATTCTTGGTGTTCACGACAACATAACGAACTTAATTGACTATTTCGAGTCCTATCTCGTGCTTGAGTACTGTCCCAGAGGTGATTTGTATGAGGCTGTCCAGAATGGCCTTGGCCCCAGCACCTCTCAAGATATAAAGGATGTATTCAGCCAGGTACTCGATGCTTTGGCTTTCTGTCATTCCAACTCTGTCTACCACAGAGATTTGAAGCCAGAGAATATTTTAATTGACCGTGACTGGTCGATCAAGATTTGTGATTGGGGACTTGCGACGACTCAGCGTGTTATTACAAACAAAGCAGAGTTTGATATTGGGTCGGAGCGTTATATGGCTCCAGAGCTCTTTGACACTGAACAAGAATCTTACGATGCCGCCAAAGTTGACTTGTGGTCCGTTGGCGTGATTCTTCTTACTCTTGTCTTTCATAAGAACCCATTCCAGGTCGCCAATTACACCGATAAGCGCTTTCTTCAATTTTCGGCGAATAGAGAAGCGCTTTTCGATTTCTTTAGCAGCATGACTGGGGAAATGTTCAGTACATTGAGATTCTGCTTGAACATTGACCCAACGAACAGAGACCTAGACAGCTTGAGACATGAACTTGAAAATCTCAAGTATTTTACCATTGATGAGGAGTACTGGGCTGAGCATTCTGATGAAGAGGATAATGGCTATGAAGAGGATTACTATGAGGAGAGTGCACCTCCGACGCAACAAGCAACAGAACCCGAGGAACTCCTTGAGTCAGAATCAGACGACGAAATGTTCAAGTTTGATACAGAAGCGAAAGAGATGCCTCCGCCAGAAGCTCTTGTTGCCTCTCCGAAGGTGGACAACGGTCCTCACATAGTCATTGACGATGACATTAAGTTACTTGAGTCTGCTTCTGAGACTAGTACAGCGTTCGAAACTGAGTCACTCCAGAGAGATGATAGCATGCCTTACAATCGCCGTGCAGATGCTCTTTTGTCTCCAGCAGTGGGTGCTCGTCCTATACCTATCACCGCTGGTCAACGACTTATCAGGAACACTAGAAAGCCTTTCGGAGTTGCATCATATAACAAGGGGGCTTTCAGTACAAGAAATGGATTCAGCCATCATGGTAACAGTGGAAGCGTCACCACTGGAAGTTTTGGAGCCAGATTCCGTCGTGAGGATTTCTTCACGCCAAGAAGTGTATTCAATCACTATATGGATAAGTACGGAGAACAACGTGAATCTGAGAGATCAGAGAAGGATAAGAAAAGACGGTGGAAGCGTGGACGCAGAAAGCAGTCATGGAAGCGAGCTAACGGTCACGATAGCCATCGTAACGGGCATCAGAATCGCCTTGGATCCAAACGGCAGACTCATATGTCAAACCATTCCCACAATGACACCGGTCGCCGGAAGCATGCTCCAGTGAAGAGACGTATTAGACCAGAGACGGCGCAGTCACCCCTGTTACAACCGCAAGGTACTGTGCGTACCAACGGCAAGTATGTTCCTCCTAACTTAAGATCGCCCCATTCGAAGGCTGCAGAAAACTTAGCTGAAGATGTCGACAGCTTGCACTTGAATGATGATCCTGTGTTCCTGCTTGAAGGTGACTTCAATACCACCTCGAACGGCCATTTATCCACTCACGAAGTTAAGAATAGCGAGCTGGCTAATGGATCAAAGAAACCATTGTTCGCTTCCTCTTTTGCACAGGTGCCAGAAACAAACACTGGGATTCGTTCGAAGACACAAATGAACGGCAGTGACAAGGGAAAGTATATCCCTCCATTCCGGAGAGGTTCTCACACCGGTGCGATTCATCTAGGAAACGTGAAGCCAGTCAATGGATTTAACAATGGTTCTCACCATGCATCAGCACAGGGACTGACCTATTTGCATGATCGTGCTGACGATGGCACGATCAAAAGACGCTCATTTCAACCTGGCGTCAGCTCCTTGTACGCCAATTTTAAGGATTTGCATGAAACCTCTAAAAGCGTACCTGGGAGAAACTGGTTCCATGAAAGCATGAAATGGTCTGACTATGACTAGATATCTAGTTGTCAGTCTGTTTTTGTTTACTAGAACCATGTATAGCACGGAATGGTATTGTCAACTGCCATACCATATCTGGTGCTCAACGATATAGAAAAGCTCATTGATAATTTACGAATGATACGAATTTTCAAATAATATTAATGTTCTCTATTCTGTGATCACTTGGCAAAGCTTTAAAGCTGATCCCGCAAACCACCAATAATCCTTGAAAGATTGGAGCCTTTCTAGACAACGTTTGATCATTTGATCATAATAGTCTTTAAAAGATGTCTTTTCAGATTCTGTTCCATGATGAGTATTTAACTCGAGCTGAAGTAATGCAACGACATGAAGCACAGCGTGAACCATCACGATGTGATGCAAAATTGGGGACTTGTCTAGAATATCTAGAACCAAGGAAGACGTCCGATGCATCTGATCTATGGTTGTCTCTAATTCTTTATCAAATGCTATGTTCAATGCTGTATTATGAAGCAGCAATGCCACTGAATCTATACCTTTTCTTAAATAAAGCAAGCAAAGGTATGCATGGGTTACTTTTAAAAAGCAAGTCTTCTCAGGATCATTTGGGATATCAGGAGCGGTCCAGTCCTCAAGATCTTTCTGTAATTCCGAATCATCAGATCGATTGGGCGGCGGCCTATATAATGCTGATTGAATTCGATCAATTAAAAGGCAAAGCTCAAACCATGCATTAAAAAGAGTGAAGTCTTTTTCGCCTTCGGGGCCTTCCTCGAAATCATTAATGCTCAATCTCTCCACAAAGAAGTCATGTACGTTGAATATCATTTCTCGACCACTTGTCGCTGACACTTGGCGGTCACAACAAAAAGTGGTCCATAGTAAGCGTTTGACTAATGCACGTTGAAATGTTTGATCGCCTTTGGGGAAAGGGAACCTAACCGCTTCCTCAGAATGGCCCATATTAGTTATGGCAAGCTCACCACACAAGTTACAAGCTTTAGCCACAAACTCTTTCGAAGATGTATCTCCTTCCATACCTTCTTCATGACTTGAAAGCAAGACATAGGCCTGAATAAGTACAACTTTGTTAGTCTCAACTAACTCGAGTAATTTGCAACGATTATATAAAACTGCAAGCCTCTCTCGAAGATATTCACGAGGTATAGATTTGTCAAACCTCGTCGCTGCCAAAAAGATAGAATTGAGGAGGATAAGAGGCTGGTCCTTGAAGTCATCCCTCATACTTCTGTCGACTACTGGGTAGAACGGATAAAGATGGTCGAAGAAAAGCCCCACCAATCTCTTTTGTTCAGCGATGCTTGGTAATGCAAAGGCGTTCTCGCTCTCCAAGTACTTATCAAGGTTGGGATTAACACGGACAGCACTTTTTGCTTCTCCTCTCCATGGATAGTAAAGCCCATACGCGTCTCCATCAAAGCACAAGACAGAGTCTTTACTGAGAAATGATGCTAATGGCTGTGTAGCGCATACGAACTGTGGTTTCCTTTGGTCCCGATCTCTGAACATCTTGACAAACGCATCCTCATCCAGATGATCATAATGTTTCTGGTTTGTGACAGTAACTTCTGCCTTATCCCATTCGCAAGCTAGTCCAGTCTGACTACATCTGATGCAAGTATTCTCTCCATTGATCACCTCGCATCTTCTCTTTTTAGACCGGCAAGACAAACATGCGTTGTAAGCACGCTATTGTTAGTTGAAAAACTTTCTCTTTCTGTAAATGACATACCTCCCTCTTCTTGATAGGAAACAGGGTCACTAAGAAGCTCATGATGTTGTCGGCCAGCTTAGAAACGGGTGGGATACCTATATTGGAGCGCGGGCGGGTTACCGGATTGGGACACATGTGGAGAGTGTGGGGCAGATCATGTATGCCGTCAGAACGGTTGCAAAATAGAAGCTCGATGGCCCCAGCGGTAATATAAATAGGCGTCTTGTTCCCAGGATATTCTATATCAACAAGCTTCATAATTCATCATGCCATCTGCAACTACCCAAATACGCCACTTCGACCTTTCCAAGGCCACAGTGAGACCTGAAGGAGATATCTCTACCGCGTTCAACTCTTTCGGTAAAGGCGAGACTTACGACAACTCGTTTTGGGCCGACATCAAAAAATCTTTGATCAAAGACCCAGTTGCTTTCAAGGAGAGCTGGTTGAGGCTCAAGGATGCCTATGCCAAAGGTCTCGAGGAAATCAAGGAGAAGGGAAGTGATGTGATTCCTTCTGTTACTTTGGACGAATTATCTGACATGGACAAGACCAAGAAAGACGAAATCTTGAAGAGAGGGTGCGTCGTTATCAGAGGTGTCATTCCTGAAGACGAAGCTGCTGGATATAAGGATGAGGTTCTCGAGTATGCCGAAAAGAACCCAACGACCAAGGGTTTCCCACAGCATGCTAAGGTGGTCTACGAGCTTTACTGGTCCAAGCCACAGGTCAAAGCTAGAGCACACCCAAACTTGAGAAAGGCTACCAGATTTATGAACGGTTTGTTTTATGCTGATCCAGATGCCAAGGTGCTTCTTGACCAGAACGTTTCCTACGCAGACAGATTGCGTATCAGACAACCAGGAGACGCTTTGTTCTCCCTTGGTCCTCACGCTGACGGTGGTTCGCTCGAAAGATGGGAAGACGAAGCCTTCCGTGCCTGCTACACTCCAATCTTTGAAGGTAGATGGGAGGACTACGATCCAAATGATGCTACTCACAGAATCGATGTCAATATGGACAAATATGCATCCAATGGTACTTGCAACATCTTCCGTGCTTACCAAGGCTGGTTAGCTGTTTCCAAAGTTGCACCAAAAGAGGGAAGCATTCTCTTCGGTCCATTAGTCAAGGAGGCTACTGCTTACTGGATGATGAGTCCATTCTTTGACGAGGACGACAACCTTCTTCTTGACTCCTCCTTGCCAGGTACATTCCCAGGTAAAAGTCAGGAGTTCAACAACGAGACCCACCCTGGCCTCAGATTGGATGATTTGATGGTACCCGTGCCAGCAGTTCGTCCTGGCGACATGGTGTTCTGGCACTGTGACTTGATCCATGCCGTGGATTCAGTCCATCAAGGTACCCAAGATTCCTCTGTATTTTACATCCCTTCAGCGCCATTGTGCAACATCAACGTGAAGTATGCCGCTGTTCAACGTGAATCTTTCTTGAAGGGTCTTGCTGGACCTGATTTCCCTGGTTTCCCAAATGTCGTTGCCGAGACCAAGCACGTCGGAAGAGCTACCCCCGAAGATGTTGAAGCCACTGGAGGTATCGAGGCCCTTCAAGAACTTGGCCTTGCTCCATTCAGTGCCGATAACCTTACGCCCGGCCAAGCAGCCATTGTCAAAGATGCTAACGATTTATTGTTTGAATGAAAAAGTTTATGATTTATAGTGAAAATGAAAAGTGCTCAGAAATTTGCACCCAAAACTGTAGATAGCGTTCAGGTCCCAATCGGCCAAGGAAGGAATTTACCGCTGGTGCGTAGCGCTTATGTCGCTTACTCAGCTCTTCCCCGAATAGAAGCAGCCTTATCTAAGGCGAAAAGTACTAAATCTTCCACCAAATTCTGAACGCTTTTCGTCTAAGTTTCATCCCGTAGTAAGCCTCTATACTGCCATTCATCCCCTATTGAGCTTAACTCCATTGGTTTATCCGCACCTGCCAAAAGTGTGGGTTTCCTCTAGGCACCACTCGCATTTTGACAATGCGCATTAGTATGGCGTACAATCTCCCCACTATATAAAGCGGGCCGGCTGCAACTCTGGACGAAACGATAGGTATATTTTTCCATTCTTTCCTTATAAATTCAACTACACATATTACATCATGCCTGAGTCTATCTTTGTTTCGGGAGCCACTGGCTTCATCGCCCAGCACTTGGTTAAGCTTTTGCTCGAGAAAGGTTACAAGGTTGTTGGAACTGTTAGATCTGAAGCCAAGGGCGACCATTTGTCTAAGTTGCTCAACTCGCCAAACTTCACTTATGAGATTGTGTCAGACATTGAGCCTGAGGGAGCTTTTGACGAGGCTTTGAAGAAGCATCCAGAAGTTACTGTGTTCTTGCACACCGCCTCTCCATTCCACTTTAAGGCTACCAACGCGGAGGAGGAGTTGCTTAAACCCGCCGTCAATGGTACCAAGAATGCTTTGAAGGCAATTGAGAAGTATGGTCCCCAGATCAAGAAGGTGGTTGTTACTTCTTCGTACGCTGCCATCTCTACTGCTGAGAAAGAAACCGACAATACTCACACCAACACCGAGGAATCCTGGAACGAGATTTCTTGGGACGAAGCTAAGAAAGACCCTTACGCTGGTTACCGTGGATCTAAGAAGTTCGCCGAGAAGGCTGCCTGGGATTACGTGGCTGCTGAGAAGCCAAAGTTTGTTATCAACTACGTGAACCCATCGTTCGTCTTTGGCCCTCAGGCTTTCGATTCTGAGCTCAAGGATAACTTGAACACTTCTTCTGAGATTCTCAACGGCTTCTTGAAGATGAAGCCAGATTCCAAGATTCCAGGCACCAGAGGTGGCTTTGTCGACGTTAGAGATGTTGCCAAGGCTCATGTAGTTGCTTTCGAGAAGAACATTTCTAACGAAAGATTGTTACTCAATGCTGGTAGATTCGCTGCTCAGGACATCCTTGACATCTTGAACGAGAAATTCTCTTCTTTGAAGGGCCAGATTCCTGTGGGTACGCCAGGCGCCGGTCAGGCGGTCAACGACAAGATGTGCAAGATCGTCAATGACAAGACCAAGCAGATCTTGGGCTTCCAAATGATTGACTTGGAGACCACTGTCTACGAATCTGTTAAACAGATACTTGACGCCAAGGCCAAACTTTAAATACCTATATAAATGTATGTACTGAATATTTCGAAATGGTTGCAAAATCACTGTCACCTGCACAGATCTTGCGACCTTATTATGGTACTCATTGGTCTCAACCTTTTAGCATCCAACATAGATGCCCTCCAAAAACCCTATATCGTCTCTTTCGGAGGATTTAATAAAAGATTTAAACCATTATGGACCAGTGACTGCAATAAAACTTCATGAAAATTACATCCTCGTAGGCTATGGGCCTATACTTAAGATCTTCAACCGCGATGAGCGTGATGAGCTAGTTTTCAGTCGTCAGATCTTCAAGAGAAACAAAATCCACAGCATAGCAGTGAAAGGAAATAAGATTGCATTGGCCGGTGCTCGTTCGTTTTCTATCGTGGAGCCATTCAGCAATACACCCATTGAGGAGAAAGCCATCAATGAATGGATCATCGCGGTCGAGTTCGTTTCGGTGGAAAGAGTCTTGCTTTTGACATCCCACAACGAGGTCCTTGACATTGATATCTCCGAAGAGTCTTCGTATAGATTGGTTCTGAAGATTCACTGCAACGAAAAGTCTATCCTTTACAGCGGCTCCATTCGTGTCCTCGACGACTCTACGGTGTACGTCGCAGCAGGTACAGTTATGAATGGTGTGATAATATGGAGCCTATTCGATAGAAAGATTATTCATAACTTGACTGACCATGAAGGCTCCATATTTGGTGTTAAAGTCGATCCCACTGGCAAGTACATCATTTCGTGCTCAGACGATCGGTCTGTCAAGCTCTACTCTTTCGAAGGAGAGCTCTTAGCAAGCGGCTGGGGCCACGGATCCAGAATTTGGTCTTTGGAATTCTGTAATGTTGAGGATGGTGGTGTTCGTATCTTTTCCGCTGGTGAAGATTGCTCTGTCCGTATTTGGGAGTACCGTGGTGAACCAACCTTAGAGCAGGTCTCCCTTTATGATCACTTCCATTCAGGTAAGCATATCTGGTCTGGTGACGTGGGCAAGGATGAAGAAGCTATTTTTGTTACCGGTGGAGCAGATGGAAAAGTTAGAGCAGAAAAATTGGTCAACAACAATAAACAGAGCCTATCGTTGGACAGTATTCTGAAGACCACCGATATCACGTTCGAACCCAAGGATGTCATAAAATCATTTGGTGTTCTTCAAGGAATTGGTTACACTATTATACGAACCTCAAAGGGTGTGCTACTCCTCAATGATCATCATACCGGGAACTGGAGCAGGCCCCATGTTAATGGCATCGCTCAAGAGCAGTTGGCTTCGTTCTCGATCCTCAAAACCTTTGAAGATGTAAGTGCATTTACCCTTATTTCCAGTAGCGGTGATATCATCGTTATCGGATTTGACATTGAAAGACAGCCTTACTATGTTGTCAGAAATGACTCGAGCACTTCTCCAAGAAAGATCATCAATGCCTTGGGAGCATCTATTCCAAACAGTTCGCTCTCCTTGCTACTCAATTCGCCCATCCCAACAGAGCCCATGGAGGTTGTGACATTCACAGTTGAAGATAGCATATTACAAATGCAAAACTCTGTTAGTCTTGAAAAACCTGATCCAAGAACCTTCATACCCACTTCATTCTATGTCGATTTTATCAATAACTGGATCTTTGTTGGCTCGAGACATGCTAATTTTGCTTTATACGATGGAAGTCTTGAAGCTCAGTCTTCGCATATACTTTCGAAGAAGTTGTGTGCTGGAGACACAATCACCGCCATCGAAGCTGTTCAATGCAATGATGGAGCATCAGTTGCCCTTGTGACTTTACGTGATGGAATCTACATGTTCCTAGCTGTTAATCAATCACAATCGGGGTTGGAGTGTTCAACGATTCTCAGAAATAAAATCACTAGAAGTATCGAAGGCGGCTTTATGAAAGACGGCCACCTAATATTATACGGCTTCAGCTCTTCTTGTTTTTACCTTTGGGACGAGACTAAACAGATTGAGATTTCAAAGGAGTTTTGTGGAGGTGGCCATAGACACTGGGATGTCAGCAAACTGCTCACGGAACTCCAACTTATTTTTGCATACATGAGCCAAAGTACCCTTAACTTGGTTGAGTTGAGATCAAGCTGGGATCGCTCAAATGGTCTTTTAGTGGAAGGCACACACGGCAGAGAGATCCGTGATGTGGCAATATTAGATACATTGGAATCCGATGGAAGTCGGATATTCGCCAGTGCTTCCGAAGATGCAACGGTAAAGATAGGAAAGCTCGACAAAAATGGGTCATTAAACTATCGTTGGACAATGAATAATCATATTTCAGGCTTACAGAGGGTTGGCTTCTTGAACTCTGAATTCCTAGCTAGTTCTGCGGCGAACGAGGAGCTTATTATCTGGAAAGTGACTCGACTCAATGATGGTCTCCTTGCTGTCAACGAGGAAAGCAGAATCCAAACTACGGAAGAACATCCTGATTTGCGTATAATGGACTTTGCCTCTACAGAGACACAGAATGGCTTCTGGATCGCCACCGCCTATTCAAATTCCATGATAAAGATATTTTTCTACGAAAAAACTAGTCAAGTGCTCCAGGAACGTGCTCTGATTCCTTATGGAACTGTCTGCGTTCTCAACATATGCCTTGTTGAATTTCAGGAAGCAACTTACGTCATGACGGGAACATCAGATGGAAACCTAACCCTTTGGGAAGTTACTAACTTGTTTAATGGTGAGAATCAGACGACATTTGAGCCTATAATCAAACAACAACTTCATCAAAGTGGTGTTAAGGCCATACAGACAATTCTCATGGCGAATGACTCGTTCAAGATCATTACGGGAGGCGATGACAATTCCATGATAAGCTCAAATTTACGATTCGAGAATGGCACAATTTCCTTGACCACTACATGTTTCGTCGAAAAGGCAGCGTCTGCAACTATCACGTCCATCTCCGGAGCATCAGACTCAAGGATCTTGGTCACTTCCGTTGATCAGATTGTCCGTGTTTGGGATACCCAAAACGACTCGCTTGAATGTATCTGCGCGAAGTACACCACCGTTGCTGACACGGGTTGCAGCGACTCAACTGTTATAGATGGCATCAATATTGGCATAGTCGCTGGCGCTGGGCTTAGCACAGTGACGTGGATTTAGTCATACAAAGAAAAAAATACATAGGATAATTTATTATAATTCGTCAATCTATAGTAACATTGAATTAAAGCTTCAACAACCTCAAGTTGAAGACAGTATCGTTAATGTTCTGCTCCTCATTGATGATGACCGACTCCTCAGATGCATTCGTGAAAGAAGCCAATGGGCTGTGGGAGCATTTCTGCAACATTTCGCCGTTAACCTTGATGACATCATCGAAGTTGATGGTGTCCTTGACCAACTCGTACTCAACGTTCACGTCATCGGTAGCGTTCAAGCCAGCCTTCTTACGCAATCTCTGGATACGGTTGATCAACTCTCTAGCCAAACCTTCACTTTGCAATTCAGCATAAGCGTTGGTGTCCAAGATGATCAAGACATCTCTGTCAGATCTGGATTCATGGCCAGATGATGATTCTTTCTCTGGCAAACCTCTCTGGACCTGCAAGTCCTCAGAAACCAAATCAATACCATCAACGGTAAGCTTACCGGTCTCAGAGAACTTCTTGACGTCCTCAGAGGAAACGTTAGGCAAAGCAGCCTTAACCTTCTTAGCGTCCTTCTTCAACTTCTTACCAAGAACTGGCCAGTCAGCGACAGCCTTGTATTCCACACCGTAGGCAGACTCATCGTCAGTGATAACGATATTTCTGACGTTCAATTCCTCAAGAATGTAGCCCTTCAAAGACTCAATATCCTTCAAGTAGGAAGCGTCAGAATGCAAAATGACCAACTCCTTCAATGGTGTCTTCAAAGAGATCATCTTCTTCTCTCTAATGTTTCTTCCCAAGTCGATAACCTTCTGCATTCTCGAGACGGCAACCTCAATTTCGGAGTCGAACAATTCTTCCCTCACTTCTGGGTAGGCCAAGAAATGAACAGATCCAGTGTCCTTGATCTTAGGGTTAACGGAGAAGTTCTCCAAGTCCTGAGTGGAGAAGAAAGGCTTCAATCTCTGGTAAATACCATCAGCCAAGAAAGGAGTGAATGGAGCCATGAGTCTAGACAAGATGAACAAAGCCTCAGCCAAAGTGTTGAGAGCCTTTCTAGTGTCCTCCAAGCCGTCACCACTGTAACCCTTGATACGACGACGGTTGAATCTGATGTACCAGTTAGTCAAGTTGTCGATCAATGCCAACAACTTAGGAACAACAGTGTACAATCTGTAGCTTCTCATTTCCTCGTGAATGAACTTAACCAAAGACTGAATAGAAGCCAACAACCATTTGTCCATGACGTTAGAAGAGGTCAAAGAAGAGTCGTAAACAAAATCGTGACCGTTCTCCTTCTTGTAAACTTCAGCGGAGTCCTTCAAGAACTTGAAAGAGTTGTACCATGGCAACAAGACAGAGGAGACGACTTCTCTGACACCCTCTTCCTTGAATTTCAAAGTCTCAGCTCTCAACACAGGAGAGTTGATCAAGTACAATCTCAAAGCATCGGCACCATACTTCTGCAACACAATGCTTGGATCAGGGTAGTTCTTCAAACGCTTAGACATCTTCTTACCGTCACTGGCAAGAACGATACCAGAGACAATGACGTTTTGGTATGGTGCAGTGTTAAACAAGTGAGTACCCAAAACAGTAAGGGTGTAGAACCAACCTCTAGTTTGGTCCAAACCCTCTGAGATGAAGTTAGCTGGGAATGCATCGTGGAAAGACTCCTTCTTCTCGAATGGGTAGTGCTTAGAAGCATAAGGCATAGAACCAGACTCGAACCAACAATCGAAGACTTCTTCAATTCTCTTCAAGTTACCCTTACCTTTACTGGAAGGAATAGTAATGTTGTCAATGCTTTCTCTGTGGATGTCAGTAATGTCATCACGGCCGGACAATTTCTTCAATTCCTCAATGGAGCCCACGCAGACGACTTCCTCGAAGTCATCACTCACCCACAATGGGATTGGAGTACCCCAATATCTATTTCTGGAAATGTTCCAGTCTCTAGCGTTAGAGATCCAGTTAGAGAATCTCTTTTCCTTAATATTGGAAGGAACCCAGTTAGTCTTCTCCACATTCAGCAACATTTGTGGAATGACATCAGTGACACGAACGAACCAAGCTGGGACAGTTCTGTACAACAAAGGAGTATCAGATCTCCAACAGAATGGGTACGAGTGATTGATTTGAGTGGCAAGCAAGATTCTACCGTTCTCAGTCAACTTCTTGATGATCAACTTGTCGGCATCCTTGACGTAAATACCAGCGAAGTCGCTCACGGCGTCAGTGAACTTACCGTTGTCATCCACAGGGTTTGGTGGAGTACGCTTTTCGTTGATGATACCAGCTTCAGTAGCAGCAGCAAAATCGGCTTCACCAAAAGCTGGAGACTGGTGAACAATACCAGTACCAGAGTCGTCAGTAACATAGTCAGCTAAGATGACTCTGAAGCCGTGATCCTTGAAAGAGTCGTAGAAGTAATCAAAGATTGGCTTATACTTGAGACCTGCCAAGTCCTTACCCTTAACCTTTCCGACAACCTTGTACTTGGCAGCAGCTGGCTTCTTGTACAAGGTCTTGATCAACTGCTCCAACAAAATGTAGGTTCTCTGTTTCTCCTCATCGAAAATCTTAACGTAATCGAAGTCAGGATGAACAGCAAGAGCGATGTTAGAAGGCAAAGTCCATGGGGTAGTGGTCCATGCAACCAACCAAGTGTTCTCATCATCGACCAAAGGGAAACCAATGGTAAGAGCTGGGTCGTTAACGTCCTTATAGTTCTGCTGAGCTTCGAAGTTAGACAAAGGAGTAGTACATCCAGTAGAATATGGCATGACTCTCAAGCCTCTGTAGACAGCATCTTTCTGGAACAATTCCTTGAAGGCCCACCAGACAGATTCCATGAACTCTGGGTACAAAGTCTTGTAATCGTTGTCCATATCGATCCAACGACCCAAACGACGGATGGTCTGTCTCCACTCATCAGCGTATCTCATGACAATGGAACGACATTCAGCATTGTACTTATCGATACCCATGTTCATGACATCGTCTTTACCGGTGATACCCAATTTTTTGTCAATCTCGTGCTCAACTGGCAATCCGTGGGTGTCCCAACCGAAACGTCTCTCGACGTGGTGACCGTTCATGGTAGCATAACGAGGAATGATATCCTTAACGGTAGAGGCCAAGATATGACCGTAATGAGGAGTACCGGTTGCAAATGGAGGACCATCGAAAAAGGCGAAAGGCGGGAGGTCTTTGGTCAAGTCAAGCGTTCTTTTGAACGCGTCGACCTTGTCCCACTGTTCGATAACCTTTTCCTCCTCCTTGGAGAAGTTGAAAAACGTATTTTCTTCAGCCATTAGTGTGGTTGAATCAGGCAGAGATCTGGGTTAAATGTACTCACAGATTACTCACAAAATTTTTCAAGAGGCACGGATGTGTCACCAGAAGGTTATGGCTGCAAATGACTCAGAAGAGGTAAGGGGAGGTTTTCTGTTATGCAAAGTGAAGTTGAGTCAATTAAAAACTATAGGGGCGGATATAAGGGTTCATGTTCAAATTTATAGTTTTCTTCAAGGGTGGTAATGCCCATATGCGTCATTGAGACATCACGAGTGAACGGCTGACGTGAATGACCTTTGGGTTTGTCAGCAAAAAAATTCGACTATTGCAAACCTGAAGGCAATTACATGGGTTTGGTTTCCTTCAATTTGCATTAATTTGAGTTCTTTTGTCTTCTTTGTGTCCTCTGTATTGGTTTCTCTCGATATATATATGTTCGCATCTCTATCTAAAAACGTAACTAACTATGGTGCATTAACTCATATGTCATATAAACAAGTCTTCTACAACGAACTACGGCGATGCTTCAATGGGAATGTGCCTGATAAACTATTAGTGGCCCTCTCGGGAGGAGTCGACTCCATGTGCTTGACTTATCTACTAGCTGATTACAAACGTACATACCAGCCTCTGCTAGACATCCATGCATTAACCATAGACCATGGCTACCGAAATGAATCAACCCAAGAAGCCAAAGAGGTCGGGGAACAAGTCAGCCAGTGGGGGATAAAGCACCAGATAAAGAAGCTTGACTATGGGAGGAACTTGAATGAAATCACGAATTTCGAGGAAGTGGCTAGGACCCTTCGGTATGAAGCATTCCAGGATTCATGTCATAATCTAGGCATAGGGTCAATACTTGTGGCGCATAATCTTGATGATCAGATCGAGACTTTTCTCCAAAGACTTCAAATGAACTCAACTTTGTTTGGCTTGGCTAGTCTAAAAGGTCGTTCGCCCTTTCCATCTAAACCTAGAGGACCGGTAGAGAGAATGCCTCCTCTTACAGTCTGCCGGCCAGTTTTACTGTTGAGCAAGCCTGAGATAATACAGGTTTGTCAAAAAAACCAGGTCAATTGGTTTGAAGATAAGACAAATGCAGACCCAACCGTGACGAAGCGTAACTGGTTACGGCATCACTTACCTAATATTGATGACAAGAAGCATCCTTTGTCAAGAGAGCAGCTACTTCGAAGTATCAATGACATTGGAAATACTAGAGAAGTGTTAGAAAGTCACATTGATAAGTTGGACAAGTACATCAGGACTTACGGAAACTTCAAATTCGATAAGGCACAAGCTGCGATTAGTTTCACTGTGCCTTTGTCCTTCTGGTCCAAGCTCCATGAGTCTGTCGCTGGTCGCTGGCTCTATAACTTAATGTATCCTATCTCATCTTCCGATAACTATCATTGGTCTTATGCCAAAATCGAACGCTTGGCTATACCAAGGATAAACGAGTTCTTGACGTCCCCATCTAATAACAAACTATCCTTAACTTATTTGAATGTGAAGCTTGACATTGAGAGTGCTGACCATGATACATTGAACATTCAGCTATCTAGGCAACCTACGGAGCGCAGGTTGAGGGCAGCTTCTACAATCGACCTCCACTTGACAGAATCCCCGCTGGAATGGGTTCTCTTTAATAACATCTGGTGGCTTTCAATAAGTGATAAAAAAGCCAGAAAGGTACGCATAGAACAATACAATTCAAGCATGAAAGCCAAGTTGTCTAAAACATTTCCAAAGGTTCGCAGAGTTAGTCGTGGGATTCCAATCGTTATTAACGATACTAATGATGAAGTACTCGCCTTACCAACTCTTGGAAGTACTGTTCCGGGTGTCAATGTTGAATGGTATGTAAAAGCAGCGAGCAATGCCGAATGAGAGAAATGAAGATTTTATATTAATTCAATTATTATATGTATATATTTCAGAATCTTATCAAAAAAGGGAAGTAGGTATAGTACATTTGCAGTCGCGGGCTGGACTACCAACTTTGAATTTCCTGCACCAAAACAAACGACCTTTGAACATAAAGCACTATAGAACATAACACATACAACCCATTTGTCATCGCCGCCAGACCATGTCGTTCATCAATTTACACGATAGGACACACCTGGCTGGCCCCACACCGAAATACACCGGTGGCCAAACCGGAACCCCGAGAAGCAAAAGCAAAGCAAAGAATGTTAACCTTCTGACCCAGCAGTTCAAGCTAGCCCACCAGAGGGTAAGTCTTGATGTTGACCTCGTACATCAGAAAATCAATGGATTCACCGAACTAACGTTGGTCCCTACTAGCAATACACTCCGAGCCATTAAGCTTGATGCTAGGGAGATGAATATTAAAGAAGTATACATCAATGGTACGAAGTTGGTCAACTTTATCCACAATGACTTGCTATACATCAATGATCCAGAAAAGTTTGACAATTGTATAGATGCTGGCTCTGTTAACATATGGGATGTATTCTCTGAAAAATTTACAATCCATCAGCACCATCTACTAAGGCAAAAGCTCAATTACATATTCGGAGAGTTCGAGGATGACCAGTTTGATCCTATGGGCTCACTTGACCTCGGAAATACGGAGGAGCTTATAGTTGGCCTACCGGACAATTTCAAATTCCAATCAGCAGACAGACATTCGGCACATACACCAGCGTCACTGATACCGACAGGCTTAACGCCTCTACATCTGCGTAACAAGAACACACAAAGCGATTCATATGCTCCTATTCAGCTTGGTATCGAATACGAGGTGAAAAATCCTAATAACGGAGTCAATTTTGCTTGTCTCGAAGATGACAGAAAGCTTTGGCATGCTTACACGGTAAATTCTGAGTTCAATATTTCGACATCTTCGTGGGTCCCATGTATCGACAATCTATGGGAGAAGGGTACGTGGTCCTTCGAGCTTACTGTCCCAAGAAGTACGAGGGATATTGGTGGCTTCGATTCCCAAGAAAATGGTGCACAAGAAGACGCCATGGACATTGAGAAAGATTCTTCCACACATAGAAGCAACGAAGAGAGTGACGAGGAGGAAGATGATTCCGAACACTACGATCTTTTTGTCTGCACCGGTGATTCAGCTAATACAAAGGAGACGCCCCACCCGACCGATGAATCTAAAAAGATTGTCTCCTGGTCAATATTCAATCCAATTTGCGCACATCATGTGGGATGGGCTGTGGGACCTTTTGAGAGCGCCGAATTGGCCAATCTCTCAAGCAATACACAGCAAGGTGCAGATGAAGATGGTTATGAAGAAATCGAGAAAGAAGAACTCGGTTCCGTTGTCACATTATATTTTCTTCCTGGTCAGGAGGACCTTGCAAGGAACACCTGTATTTTTATTCATGAAGCTTTGGACTTCTTCTCGTCGGAATTTGGCTCCTACCCTTTCAGTACCTACGGCATGGTCTTTGTCAATGGCCCATCTTATCCTTATAACAATTTTGCTGGTCTCACTGTTTTGAGCGATAGACTACTTTATCCTCAAAACCTTATAGAACCTATGTTCACACTCACAGAAAATATTCTAGAGTGTATCGCAGGACAGTGGTCAAGTATCAATATTGTACCTCAAACATTTAATGACCTATGGTGTACAATTGGTATTGCTCGCTTCATGTCATTCCAATTCTTGAGAGATTTGATGGGTGTTAACGAATTCAGGTACAACATAAAACAGAAGATGGAGAATATCGTCGAAACTGACGTCTCGAAACAACCTATATCTTTGCCTTTTATTCGCTATCCACTCTCGGAGGCAGATCTTGATTTCGTTCGTCTCAAAGCATCTGTTGTGTTACTCATTTTGGACAGACGTATGACCAAAACAGATAAGCTGTTTGGTTTGACCCGTGTGTTACCTAAGATCTTCTTACAGGCCATGTCAGGAGATTTGCAGAATGGCACATTGTCCACTCAGCACTTTCAGAACGTATGTGAAAAAGTCAACCGTAACAGGCTTGACAACTTTTTTAAACAGTGGGTATTTGGCGTTGGTACTCCTGTCTTTAACATAACCCAACGTTTCAACAAGAAAAGGTCGTTGATTGAAGTTGTGATTCGCCAAACTCAAATTCAACAACATCGCTCCATCAGACCCAAACCAGAGACTTTCATGGAAGAGTCAATGATGTATCTACATGATCAAGAATTGCCTTCCGCCCAGAACACATTTCTTGGCCCTATGACCATTAGGGTGCACGAGGCAGATGGTACTCCGTATGAGCACATTGTTGACATCAAGGATTCTCTTGTTAAATTCGATGTCCAGTACAATACAAAAGCTAGACGACTGAGGAAGAACAAAGAAGAGAACGTCGAGACAAATCCCGTCTTCTCCAAACTTGGTGACATTCTACTTAAGGAGAAAGATGTTAAGGAGTGGGATTTTGAAGAATGGCCTAAAAGAGATGAGGACATTGTTGATCCCTATGAATGGATTCGTGTTGATACTGATTCAGAATGGATCGCTCGCTTCAATGTTAAACAACCGGACTACATGTTTGGTTCCCAGTTGCAACAGGATAGGGATGTTGAGGCTCAATGTGAAGCAGCTCGCTATTTTGGAGAGCAAGAAAAGCCAACCAAGATTTACTGTACCACGCTCACAAGGACACTAATGGACCGGCGCTATCATCATGGTGTGAGGATTGCTGCGGCCCAAGCACTTGCTAACCTTTCTAAGAAAGCAAACTCCTATTTCGGTTTACCATATTTGTTAAAAGCTTTCCGCAAACTCTTCTGCTTCGAAAAGAGTAACATACCTATCGGTAACTCATTTGAAGTATTTGGAAAGTATTTCCTCCAGAAAGCTATGCCTCAGATTTTAGCTCAAATTCGTGATGACGATGGAAACAGCTTAAGAGAAGTGAAGGAAATACTCCTCAATTTTGTCAAGTATAATGATAATTCTAACAATGAATTTCAAGACTGTTATTACGTCAGCGAGTTATTGAACGCCTTGACTGAGGCGGTTATTCCAGTTAATGAAAAAAGAAAGCTCATTGATTTTCATCTTGAGAAAGAAGAGCGCTTAGGTTATAAATCTAACGATGAGAAATTTGTTACCGAAGTGATAGAGGAGCTTGACAGATTGAGGAAGATTGAAGAATGGGTTCCTTCTTATCAGAATATGGTGTGTGCCAGCTGTATCAGACAAAAAACGAGGCTTGCTAGAAACAACCTTTGCGAATATTCCTTTGAGGAGCTAGTGAAGTTTACTACGCCAAATCATGCCGAGGAGGTAAGGTTAGCAGCTTTTGAAGGAATCCTTCTATTAGGAGGACTAAAAGTGTGGGAGATATTACGCTATTTCCTTTATTCACTTTGCTTAAGCGACACCACAAGATTCTTCAAAACCAGAATGATTGATGCCCTACAAAACGCTGTTTGTGAGGCGGCAGTTCATGGTATTCCCTCAGTGATAGATGACCCCGAGTTTGATTCGTTGAACAAGTTATTTAACGCTAACAAGGGGCTTTCGAACCCAAATAACATGATTGTGGTAGAGGAATCCCAAAATACAGAGGTAAGTTCAAGAAGGGATGCACTCGCAAGAGCGTCCATCGAAGGCACTGTCCTTCTTTTGAGAAGAGATTACGGGATTGGCCACGGTCTTAAAAAGGCTCTCTGGAGATTGATTCACTCCTCGTTGTTGGGTTTAAAGGAGCGCAGAGTACTCTTCGGGCTTTGTGAAATCCTCTATTTCGAAAAAGACACATACCCAGTGGATATATCAGTTCCATTTGTTCCCCTTGATGAATTGAAAAAGAAAATCGTGGCTAGAGATTTGGGTGATGGTTCGATCGTTATCAAACGTGAGGGTAGATTCCGCATTCAGCTTACGACGAAGGTACTGTTGACTGATCCAAAGAAAGCAGAGAGACCGGAAAAACACCGGCCTTCTATTGATCGTGGAATGCGCAGATCCAATTCTAATCTTGACGGCCATGCTCAAGCTTCGGAGCCCAAACTTAAACTCAAGCTTGGCCGCCTGGACAGTAAAGCTGAAAGTAAACCAGAGAAGAAGGTCGCAGAACCTAATGTGGCACCCACTGTTACGAGAGATGCGAAGAATAACATGAAGATCAAGATGAAGTTCCTGAGAAGAGGCCTTTCAGAAGTTACAACCTCCCGAAGAAGAAGAAAGAATGTTTTGCTTAGTGATTCATATGTCACTATCAAGTTCTTCAATCCCGCAAATCTCGATAAATTCAGATCACCCGGCGGGTTTGGACCATCTAACACTGTTCAAGATACTGTGGAGGAGATCGAGCCACCAGTTAGCAAGCCTATTCCAAGGTATGTGAAGATCAGTGCGGGTAAAGTAACTGTTTCCGAGACTCCTTTTGAAGACAAAGCTGTGAGCAAGCCGGCTGACAATGGTCACCAAAATGGGCATCCTGGTGATGCCGAGGACGCCAAGGACCCTGAAAAGGCCAATCAGGGTAATACTGAACTTGAAAAGTCAAAGAAGGAGCCTAGCAAACAGAAGAGTCCTACACCAGTCAGTGTACCAGCAGAACAACCAGGGCGTCTATCGAAGGAGGGACTGGCTGAGCCCCGGGAGCATATTTCCAGGACTGCCAGTCCAGTTAGTGCAGACCATCCACAAGGCCCCAAGAAGAAGAAAACCAAAATTTACATCCACAATGGCAGCAGAAGTCACAGCCGCAGTGGCTCTTCTTCTACATCTGTGGAGCCAGAGGTAAAGAAAGAAGCCAGTGAAAGCATCGCCGAAACCACCAACAAAGAAGACGATAAAAAAGAAGAGGAGGCGAAACCTAAACCAAAACTTTCCTTAAAATTGTCCCTCAAGTAATACATTCGCATATAGTTTAATGAGACATGGACCATGGCTCCAGAACTGTGTAATAGTCGCCAGCATTTTGATACTACCGCACTCCTACCTCTATAGATACCGTTATCAACGTAATTGGCCGCCACATCCCCTAGACAACATATTCTTTATCCGGCTAATATGTCGTTCAATAACCCGCTAGGCTTCAATGTGTCCAAGGCAATCCCCACCACCTCCACCACTAACACCAACACAACCTCCACGGTCACATCCCAAACTGCGTCCCCATCCCCCTCCAAGTACAGTGAATATGACCAGCAACCTAGCTTGAGCAAGTCCAATTGGAAGGATCTTCAGGAATCTATGAGGCCACCCACCTCTTCATCAAGTTCGTCCCCTAAAGTTCTACAACCGGCCACGACTACCGGACTCAGTGATGTCACTCCAACAACTGTTAGTGTGGCAGAGGGCGCTAATGGATCAAGGGAGAAGACTGATTTGATCGGACTCTTTGATAAGTTCGATGTCAACAAGGCTAACGAAGAAGAACAAAGCAAAGATGACGATGAGGTCGAGATTGATTCGTTGGAGGAGAAGATGAAGCAATTCAAACCTAAGGCCAGACAGGGATCTAACAAGTCGACATTGACTGATCAGCTCGAGGAGAAGGAGCATTTAAAACCATTGGAAGAAAATACGGAAGCTTCGCAAGGAGAACAAACTGAAACCATTGAGGAGACAACTACAGAGGAACCCAATCAGCCAGAAGCTAATGATTCACTTAAAGAACCTGAAAGTGTCCCACAGGCAGAAGCAACGGAACCTCAAAGCGACGATCAGTCTGCTCTAGGGGCAGATAAAAATGAGCCAACTAACGTCCATGCGAAGGAAACGTCTCTCGATGAAACCAATGATGCATCCAAAGGGGATGAGACAATAGAGAGCCCTACTGGAACATCGTTAGATGAGTCGAAAGACACAGAAGAAGAAGATGTCCTCAAGGGAACCCAACTGGAGACTGTTGAGGACTACCAGTTGAAGGAGGACGAGATTCCTAATGATGTTTCGAATAACGTTCCTCGTCGCCCAAGAAATAAGAGAAACAACTCAATCCAGAGAACATTTGACACGATCAACCCTCAAGAACAGTATCAAAAATCACACAGACCTTTTGACTTCCAGACATTCCTTTCTCATGTGAAGAAGAAGTCAGCGGACCCCATTGTTCGTTACATCAGATCGTTCTTGATATCCTTCACCAGACAGGCGCCTACTATGACAACAGCGCAAAGGATAAAGGCAGTTCGCCAGTTCAAGCAGTTTATTAAGGGAAAGTTCGAGGAGTTTGAGCCATTTGCAAGCATGGATGCCACCGACATTGAAAATTCGAACGAGGGTATTGAAAAGCTTATTATGAATCGTTTGTACGAGTATTGTTTCTCGCCAGAAGTTTTCAAGAAGCATGGTCACCAAACTCAAGAATCATTCTTGCAGGATCTCAGAGAGGACTTGAAGTTTACCAGCAATTTGGACAAATTCTCCTGGGTCCTGGGGACTCATCTTGATGTTGACCTCGATGAAATCGCCCAAAGAAAGAAAGAGACGTCCCATGACAGCATGAATTACCTCGACCATGCTATCACGGAGCTTAACAAAATTAACAATTACAGAGCACCAAGAGACAAAATAATATGCATCCTCAACTCATGCAAAATCATATTCAGTTTACTTCGTGTCAGCAAGCAGGAAACGAATGCTGATGCTTTTATCCCGTTGCTCATATTGGTCATTATTCGTGCCAAGACACCTAATATCATTAGCAATATTCATTACATCGAGAGGTTTAGAGGAGAAGAGTGGCTCATGCATGGAGAGACGAGTTATTACCTTTCGTCTGTTCAAGGAGCAATCTCATTTATTCAAAACATTACAAAAGACGATCTTACCGTACCAGACGAAGAGTTCGAAGCCAATATTGAAGCATGGGAAGCCGACGTCAAACAAAGACCACCTGAACTTGTCATTCCCGAACCCCAACCTGCGGGCGCCCCTTCAAACGCTCCAGTGGCACGTACAAACTTGTCACCATCGAGTGTATTGATAGCAAGTGCCGAAAATTTCAAGAACTCCATCACCAGTTACTTGTCATCGCCACCGCCTCAGCAACAGTCGGAAGAGGAGGAGCAGAACCAGCCTGAACCGAGAGAAGAGCGTGCCCGTGGTCCATCAACCGAAGATATCGATGCAGCATTCGCTCAACTCACTGAAATGTTTCCTTCTCTTGACAAAGCGATTTTGAGAGACTTGGTGGTCATGAACGAAGCAAACGTTGAAAAGACATTAGATGTTTGTCTACAGTTGGTGAATGAAAGTTAAGTAACTTCAGTATTTAAGTGGCATATTTTGCATCGGTCAACTCCATTTCAAGCATATTTCACGAGTTAAGCATGCCTTCAAGGATAATATAAAGTAAGTGATATTCTTTTTTTCTGTGTAGTCAATGCCAAACCGCCCAAAACCCATCCTAAGACAACCAATTCAAATTAAGATTATAACAATGCCCTATTGCTGCAACAACAAGCTGAATGCGATAGATTTACCAAGGTACGACTATATGGAGGTAGATTCTCCTAAGCGAAACCTTAAAAAGTGGAATCTTGAGTATTCGGCGTGACCTGCATATAACGTCGTTTATCTCACTTAGATTCTACAGCACCTTCTTCCTCTATCTAATGGCTCTGTGGCCGAGCGGTCTAAGGCGGCAGACTCAAGTTCTGTTATCGTAAGATGCGCGTGTTCGAATCACGCCGGAGTCATTATTTTTTGCATTTTGGGCTCTCTAAGGTGAATGGCCCTTCTACTATATTATCCCCTATACTTTATTTTTGTAATCGCTGTCTTAGGTGATGTGTCTGAAGCAGTTCTGCGCAGTGGAGGCGTAACAATCAAGATTTACGCTTACCATACACTACCAAGGTCTGAGATCATGTTCAGTTGCCTTTAACCAGGAGAGAAGCTCAATTTGCTAGTTTAAAGACTAATATAGGCTACCGTGGTATCCTAGGGTGATCTAGAAGGTGAAAGGACACTGTAAGAGGCATATTATTGGCGTTAAACGTACCATCCATCACACACTTGTGAATATCAATCACGTGATTATAGTAGTTTTTCGGCCATATCTCGCTCAAAATTTGATTTTGACGATTGCAAGACCACAGTCACAATGCAAACAGCTGGATTTTTCGATAAGTAGTAGTTTAATGGCCATTTCATGAGTTTTTATAAATACTATGTTCATTTAAATTAGATGTCAGATTTGCTAACAAAATGCCCGGCTAGCTCAATGGCTAGAGCGTGAGACTTTTAATCTCAAGGTTGCGGGTTCGACCCCCGCGTCGGGCTTCTTTTTGGCTTCGGCAACAGTCTTTGTATTAGAAACTCTCCTTTTGACCCCTTTTTAGTCTGGTGTGTCATTGTATCGATAGCGCAGCCTAGGTGACTCTAGTGGAAGCCCTCTCCAGCCAATACCCATTATCGCATTCCGTTGTATCATAAATTCCATTCGCTTAGCTTACCATAAAGGCGTGAATCCCAGGCATCTAATCTCCAATAAAAATACCCTCACTTTAGGCAATTGTTCCCGTCGTCAAACTGACAAGATAGCTAGTCTGGGGAAAGAGATGCGAATTCGCACCCATTTAGGTAAACAGATCCAGGGCCAATCTAGCGAAAAGGTATAAATGGGTGCAAATTATAGGAAATGTCTGAAGTCAAAATAAATTCTAAACAAATACCAAAAAATAATCATGCCTTTTAAATATACTCCAGCTGTCGAGGGCAAAGAGGTCAAGCCTCCCCAGATCCCTTCTCCAGGCAACAACTCTTTCTTGGGTGACATCTTCACTTCTGACGCACCCTCTGATAAGCAGATCTCGTGCGGTTTCTACAAACAAGAGAAGGGTGAGCCTTTGGAGTACCACTACGACTATGACGAAATGAAGATTATCTTGGAGGTGAAAGGCGAATACACCATTGCTGACGAGACTGGAAACAAGGTATCTGTTTCGCCTGGTGACGTCTTTTACTTCCCCAAGGGCACCACCATCACTTTCCAGACCACCGGCTATGGATATGCATTTTTCTGTGGCTTGAGACCAAACGGCACTGCCTAAGAAAGTTTATAAGTTAATTTAAAATTCAGTTATTGGTTGATCAGTGTAGAGTAAAAGGGAGAAGGTGTGGTTTTTGCAACCAGTAGAAGTTTCTCGAACCTGCATCAGTGGGTAGTCTACGAAACGCTACTCACGCATCTTAGCCACCACCCGAAACTACATACCCATAATGCCAATTGATTATTCTAAGTGGGATAAAATCGAGCTTTCTGACGACTCTGACGTCGAAGTTCACCCCAATGTTGATAAGCGCTCGTTTATCAACTGGAAGCAGCGTGACATCCACGAGAAACGTCAGCAAAGGAATATAGAGATCAAGTCCATCTTGATCCAGTTAACCATGTATGCCAAGTTGAACGCCAGACTTGATTCTTTGATGGAGAAGCTTGAGCCTCTTGAACTTCTTGATGAGAAGAAGGTGAAGGAAACTATCGATGCTGCCTATGACCCTAAGGAAAAGTTTGACTACCACAAGCTCAAGAACGACAAGGGAGAAGAACTTAGAAAAGGTTTGCGTGATTTGGAGTTCTCGACCGACGAAATAGAGTCGATGCCTCCTTACAATGAAATGGTTGAGGACCTCTTCACTCAAGTGAAGGAAGACCACCCCGAAGTGACCAGTGATGGTGACAAGTTGATTAATCATCTTAAGGAGCACAGAGCCAAGATCGATGACATCTTACTGAAGCAAACCATCAAGCTTGACTCTTTGCTTCAAGAAAAAGCTAATCTTATCAGCAGTGACGACTATCACACGGGTTTCGACAGCTCATTCGTTAACAAGGAGAAAGAAGAGGCGGAAGCAAAGGCCAAGGCTGCTGCCGACACCAAATCGAAGCCTAAATCTGAGACAGCCCTTGAAACCATCAATACTCCTACTGGTCAATCGTCATCTCAGGCACAGGAAGTTGTTGATGAATATGATCAACTCAATGTGCTTCCTGAAACGGCCGCCTTCGCTAAAATTCCTTATCATCAGCTCGACAAGAGCAGAGATTTCTTGCTTAAGAACTCTCATATTTGCACAGAGAACCAGAAGGACTCGCTTATAATGACAGCCTTTGACCACCAGCTTGAAGGTAATACGAACAAGACTAAACAGGTTGTCCACCAATCCCTCATATTGCAGTATGTGGGACAGTTGTCTGGAAATGGTCAGGTTCGTGCCCGTCTTTTGCAAGGTATCGAAATGTTCTTCTCGAATCTTATGAATCGGTCATCCCCAGTTGCTGCAGCATTTAATGATGATGTCGAGAGAACCTTCCAGCATATTCAAACCAGATGTAAAATCATTCTGGAAGAACGTCAAGGGCAAGCTAATGATGATGAATCAGAGGTTCCTGTTATTCAACTCAGATCACTCGATGACAGCACTCAGCTTACTGTGAACACTCCGTTTGAAGGCTCTAAAGAGCACGAAGTGTTCTCAACGAAGCTTTCTAAAGAAATGCAAGATGCCATCAAAACTGGGGACCTCGATGAAGTTAACAAGGTCTTTGCCGCCATGAAAGTTGAAGATGCTGAAGAAGTATTAGAGATTATTAACGAATGTAATGTGATCGGTTTAAGTGGCTACTTGGAGAACGAAGAGGAGTTTGAGAATTTGAAAGCTCAGCACGGCCACGGTAACGAGGACGAGGAAGAGACAGCTGTTGAGAGCGCTGATATTGAAGATACTGTGGATTAGTTGTTCATGTAGGTAATGCAATGTGATCATGAGATGATGTATTATGGCAAGAACCCTACTGCTTACTCAATCTAGAAAGCATGTCCATCAACGTTGACGACTGTCCGGGCTGTTGAGGACGCTGTTGCTGAGATTGCTGGGAACCGGGCGGTGCTGCCGGAGGCGTACCCTGGTTCTGGTAAGGTTGCTGGGAGGTTTGAAGTTGAGAGAGAAGCACATTCAACTGACCAGGTTGTTGAACGGCAGGAGGAGGTGGCTGTGGGTGAGCTGGTTGACCATACCCACCAGTATACCCACCCTGATATTGCTGTTGCATAGGTGGCGCAGGTTGTTGGTATGCAGAAGTCTGAAATTGTTGATGCTGTTGCAGTTGCTGTTGTTGCTGCTGCTGCTGTTGAATGAAACCAATGACTTGTTGAAGGGTTGTCGGATCAAGATTTTGAAGCATTTGAATTACGCTTGGATCAGCAAAATTCTGAGAAGCTGAGCCGGGTGAAAAGTTACCTTGCGGATTTGCGTTTGGGTATTGACCATACCCTGGATATGCGGCGTGAGGTGGATAATGAGGTGGAGGTTGTGGCAATCCATATGGATTAGATGGGTAAGGCTGATGCCGAGAGGCAGGAGGCACCGGAGAATACGAAGTATGGTGTCCGTTGTGACCTTGGTTGGCCCGACGCTCTCTCTGGCGGTCCTTCTTTTTCTGCTTCTTGGAATGATGGCTATCTCTATGGTGATGGGGATGGTGCAGCTCTGGAGATTCATTATTTTCATAATCTTTTTGTGTCTCTTCGTGTGTTCGCTTTAAATTTGAAGCTGAATCAGGCGGAAGCATCCTCTTGACAACATCAACAGCTACCAGCGGAGAAAGGTCGACGTATTCATCGAACTTGATTCCGCCTTCCTCAGTTTCCTCAAAGGTTTGCAAGTCGACTTTTGATTCCTTGATAATGCAAGCAGCAAGGACTCCAGAGTATGCTGCATCAGGTATCGCCTCTGTCAACTCTTCATCACCAATGGCGTCAACTTTGAGAGTAAGCCCCGCTGACTCGAAAGCGTTGGTGGTCTCCTTTACAAGGCGAGGAGTACTGTCGATTGTGATAAATAGATGGCAATGGGCAGGTATCTCATTGGCTTCATCATTATCATCGTCTTTCTCGGCAACTCTCTCGCGGAATTTGACTTGCTCACCTGTGGATTTTTTGTTACCAGACGAAGCATCTAGACGCATAACCCTGCCGTGAAGAGGAACGCCAGTTTCTCCCTTGATACATGCGGCACACTGCTCCGCAGTTTTAAACTGAACAAAGCCATAACCACCTTTGATCAAGATATGGAGGACTTCGCCGTACTGGTTGCAAATCCTGAAGAGATCCTTCTTGGATACCGAATTGGAAGCCAAATTGCCTATGAAAAGCCTGGAATTTTCTGGGAGGTTATCCAACAACCTTCTGTTCGAATATTTGACCTCTGTTTCCGTGTATTTCACGAAGTCTGATTCTTCCTTGGCAGACATTGGAAGACTCATATTTGGTCTTCTACAATCCTTGTTCTGTGAATCGCTTGGGTTCTTAGAGTCCGGGTCGTTTCTCGCATCGTTGTTTGCGTGGGGGTCTAGTTGAGGCAAGGAAATGCCCTTTGCTTTGAGCTGTTGGTCAATGAGCGACATTTGCTGTTCCGGGGTCAACCTTTTAAATTCAGGTTGTTTGACAAGATCGCTTTGCATGATGGCTTCATATGCCTCTTGAAGCAGAGTCGCTGGATCATTCACAGTGGCAGAGCCAGCGCTCACTGGAGGCTTCGACGGTAGCGAAGAAATTCCAGCTGGCTTAGACGTTGAAGAGGAACCTTCACCATCGGAAGTTGTTTCTAGGCCTTGTTCTGGATCATAATCATCGTCATCAGACTCTTCCTGTGAATCTTTCGTTCTGGTAGTTTCAGGTTCAGGCGATGGGTTAACGCTTTCCGGATCATACTCGTCATCCGAAGATTCCACGTCCTCTTTGGTACCTTCCACTGCGCTATCAACTGTCACAGATGGAGTGGAGCTTCTCGAGCTGGCGGTTTCCCCAGACTCGTCTGACTTTTGCCTTTCAGGCTGAAGAGATGGAGAACCGTTATTCACGCTTTCTTTTCCCTCACCAGTCTCGGACAAGGTCATTGCTGGGTCATACTCATCAACATCAGAGCTCCTTGCTTCTTCTTGCTGCTCGTCTCGCCGAAGTTCTATAGGAGTCACATCCATCTTAGAAGAGTATACTAGTAATTAGACTTCACTGTCACGCACTACTTCGCACTATAGAAAGATACCTGTGGACCAATATCTACAAAAATCACGATCACAGATAATATTCGTGGATTTTCCAGTTCAACCCAAATTTGGTCATCTTCAATACCTTAGTAGCCGGCTTTATTTTTTTCGTTCATTAGCACAGCGGCTACATTGCTATGTGTGGCTCTAGACCACTGTAGTACGCCTATGGATCCCCCACGTCTTGTCTGCACTAGCTTCGCAGACCCCCCAACCGTGGCGTAAGGTACCCTGTCGGAGTACGCTACCCCGTATAACTAAGCATAAATACCATCACAAACGCCCGTTTAGCTATTCAATTCCATAATTTTCTTAATTTTTAATCATGACTCTTAACGTTGGTATTGTCGGAACTGGTATTTTCGCTACAGACAACCATTTGCCTGTGATCAAGGAGATCTCGAACTTGAAGCCATATGCTGCTTTCAACAGAACAGAGTCCAAGGCTCAGGCATTCGCTGAAAAGGCTGGCATTGACAAGAAAGATGTTTATCAGAACGTTGAGGACCTCTTAGACAACAAGAGTGTCGACTTTGTGGACGCTTTGTTGCCAGTTCAGTCCAACTTGGACTTGGTTCAAAAGGCAATCAAGTTCAACAAGCCAATTGTGTTTGAGAAGCCAATTGCTGCAAACTTACAGCAGGCTAAGGAGATTGTTAAGATTTCTGAGTCTACTGATCTTCCTATTGGTATCTTGGAGCAGTGGGCGTTCTTGAGTGCCATTGACAAGATTCACGACCTTCTTCCAAAGATTGGCGATGTTGTATCTTTCATTTACAAGTCGACTGGTCCATGGAATGAAGAGAACAAGTACTTGGCAACTGGCTGGAGACAGAAGCCTGAGCACATTGGTGGATTTTTGAGTGACGGTGGTGTTCACCAGTTGGCTTTGCTTACTGAAGTATTGGGTGAGGTTGACTCTGTGAGCGGCCACACTAAGCAAATCAGAGAGGAGAGTGGTGCTCATGATATCTTGTTCTCCACTTTCAAGTTGAAGTCTGGTGCAATTGGTAACTTTACTTACGGTTCTGCCTTCGGTGCTACTGAGAAGTCCACTAGCTTTACTATTTATGGTACCAACGGTTCTATCGTGTACGACTTTTCCCCTGCCTTGAAGAAGCCTACTATCACTTACCAAACTGGCCCAAGTGCTCAGCAGGCTTCTGACAAGAACGTTATCGAGATCGATGAGGTCAATGCTATCAAGAAGGAATTTGAGAACTTTGCAGAGGCTGTCGAGAAGAAGGACAAGTCCATTGTCAGAGTTTATCCTAGAAAGGCTTTCCACCACTTGGCTGTTATCGCTGCTGCTCTTGATTCGTCTGACAAGGATGGTGCTTCTATTAAGGTTGAGCAGCCATAAATGTATTCTATTTAAAACAATAAACATTTGTTATAGTTCATCATGAGCATGCTCGTGTGCGCTCCACTCTTTGAAACCTAGTTTAGCCCAATCTTCTTCATCTAGATTCAACAGTTCAGTGCCCTCTTCGGCTGGCACAGTAACTGCCTCTTCTTTCACTGTTGTGACCTCTTCGTGGCCCGCTGATACATCTCTAGGTGCTTCCTTCAGCTTTTCAAGCTCGACCAGGTCAGTTTTCTCGCTTCCTTCGCCTGTCTTAGTATTGACCAAAGTGGAATCCAACACCAGCTCAGCTGGTTCAATTGGCTCCACTTGCTGAACTGGGTCAACTGGCTCAAACTCTGCTGATTCGCGTGGGTCAACTGGTTCAACTGGTTCTGGTTCAGCTTGCTGAAACTCGGCTGACTCAATGGGTTCAACAGACACGGGTGAATCAATGGCCTCTGTAGACTTGAGAGGCACAGTTTCTTTCGCTTCTTCAATTTCGTTAGTTCCTTCAGCTTCTTCCTCTGTTAATATAGACGTGCTACCCAGACTTGGAGAAGGTATTTGGGTGGATATCGTGTCTGTCTCGATGCCATGTGCAATGCTCGTCTCTTCCTCGTTATGATCTATTTTACCAAGGGTTTCAGCGGCGTGAGACAAATCCAGAGATTCTTCCACTTCGCTTCTGGGAGACTCGGTCGATTCGGAAAGAATTGGGTCAAGTATGGAACTGGATATCAGTTCAACCTCTGACGAAACTACGTCTTTGGCTCGATGAACCGCAGAAGACACAGATGACAGTATTGCGGTTGTCTCTTGGAAAGCTGGCGACTGATAGGAGTCTACCATTATTGGAGCCTCCTTCTTCGCCGTAAACCAAGAAACAACGCCGAGTACCTTGAGTAACGACCAAGTAAGAACCTTGACAGGTAACTTCAAGATTCTATGCCATATCACCCAAGCAAGACATAGTAGCAAGAACCCAATGCTGAAATAAATACGTCTCTTGTCTTTCTTATCTTGTTTCTCGATAAATTTGACTATCTGCCTAGACTTGTTCAACAAGGATTCTAGGTCCACAAGCTTATCGTTCACCTTGCTGAGATCTCTCGTTTGCTGCTCGAGAGTTTCCGTATTGAGCTCCGTCTGCATCACAGACATGGTCATGAGTTGCTTAGTTAGCTTCAAGCTATTAGTGATATTTTTATTCTGCGTGAGAACTTGATCTTCAATCGGCCTGTCTTCTTTATCTTCCAGCGGTGTTGATCTCCCAGCAAACAATTGCTCCCTGGAATCCAAGTTAGAGTCTTTCCATTTGCTCACGTATTCTTCAACGATTTGACTGTGAACACGTTCACTTTCCTGTTCGTAGGCTTCTAGTTGGCTGTTTCTGAGCTTCTCTTTCAAGTTACGAACCGTGAGTTTGTGGAGAGCTAACTTCTCCCAAAGTAGATCCTGGTCAGCGGTTCTGGGTGCAAATTGAAGAATCAAGAGCTCAAGAACACTCAAGACATCATTCATTTGGTTGATCGAGTAATGAGCACGTTTGGTGAGTGTGCCTCTCTTTGTTTCAATGGATTCAGCCTCGTCGGCCTCTTTAGATAATGCCTTGATATCTTCTATATCATTGAAAACTTCATTTTTAAGGCGAGTGAGTTCACCCAATTGAACATCAAAGTCCGTAGCCAGCATGTGTAGCTTCTCTGTTTGGAG